CCTACATATATATCTTCGAATTTTTGTATCTGTCTTTTTATTTGTTCTTTAAGTAACCACGTTCGATAAATAATCGGCGATTGATAAAATAGAAATAATCTTTAAACGATACCATAGGCGAATTTTGCCTGTGACGGAATTAGATCATTTTAAAGATACCTGAGTTATCAGCGTCAAATAAATATGGATACTGAAGTATCTTTTGTTGGTACCATACGCTGTACCTTCATATGGTGTTTTATTTCTACTTTACCGACTATGGTGAACAGCCACAGACGCCATAACACAGACGAGGTATACGAGTATACCGTACGATCGTATACCTCGTCTGTGATTACGCCTTATGGACTTTATTGAGAATGGCTAAGTTCACGTAATTTCTCAATAGAACGTACCGTCACATACTCGACATATGTGCTGCGAACAAAAGCTGAGCGGGAATTTCTAACGATCGTTGAGTTCCAGGCATCATCTCACATGAGCACGACGTGTTAAGAATAGTTTCTGTTGTTAAAATTCTGTTATTAAATAAAGAGAGTACATTTCATAGTGGAATACGAATTATTATACAGCCCCTTCACAGAATCCTGTTTTAACAGACTTTCGTCGCCCGATCTGACTGCCATACCGACTTGAAAATTCGGAGGTGATTTTAGCGCCCTGTTCTTATAGATAGCGGTCAGTTGAGAAACTATTCACTGAATTAATATTGATAGGCAAACAGCTGTAGTTTTGCGTAATTATATGTGAGTTGACTATACAGGGATTGAAATTCAATTCTAAATCTGTTGGTAATGTTACAAATGACACGAAAATGGTAATGGGGTTACGAGACTCCATAAAAATGGGCCGAAAAAATACAGTGAAAGATCTACTCTTATACCTCGTCTCTGACAATACTTTAGAATCTTTGATGACTCAATGAAAATGAAAACTAACCTAGCAAAGAAGCTCTATATTTATGATGACCTATGCAAGGGGGATCGCAGCCAATTTGCTAATATTATTTAGTTTTCAATTAATAATTGCATAACCCAGCCAAGAGCGATACGATTATTAATTAAGCGGTAAATAATATTACCCAGGTCTCACCACGTGGAGGTTGCTGCGAATGGAGACCCGCCCTAACCGATTCCCAACCACCCTCCATTAATAAAGATCTTCTGTGACCAGCGATCGTTGGTCGAAGAAGAAACAAACGAAAGTGCAACCAATGAAGGATGCACAACCAACGAAGAGAGTTGAAAGAATTTTCTAAAGAATTTGTCTTCGAATAAAAATAACCTGCTTAACATAATGATTAACCAAACTATAAATCTAAATTCGTTTATTATATCAAGAAACAATTCTAAATTCACAGCCATTAGCTCTGTGTTACCCACGATAGATAAGCTTTTTTATCGTGGGTGACACAGATTACCAGGTCTCACCACGAGGAGGTTGCTGCGAATGGAGACCCGAAGGGAGATAGATGGAATCAAAGTTCCATCGATCTCCCTTTTACATTCTTACAAGCTAGATTACTAAACTAGAGAAATAGAAGGAAGCAATGTTCCTTCGATCTTCCAGTTTAGTTGCACCAAGTAATTATTTCGTTTTAAATGGGGTGAAGTTATATTGTAGGATACGCGACGCGACGCGATACGACGCGACGTCGATCAGCAGTGATCGACGCAAGGAACGAGATACGCGACGCGAACCGAGTAACTGGTCAAAAATGTCAGCTCCGTTGCCTCTTGGCAAGTCCAATCGAAGGGGAAGTGAATCGACGCACCCGGCACAGAGGTTCCCCATTTCTCCCACGCATCCTGTTGGGAGCCAGATGGACCCAACTCGAGACGACTGACTGAGAGAGGGAGCGTGTGCCGGGGCTACCGTAGACAGGAACAGTCCCTGATCCCCTCTAAGGCCGAAATACGCTTTCTCTTGGATCGTCTCGCCAGAGGGCGGCAACTGACCCTTCGGATCAGCTAAACGGCCGATCACTTGCTTTCTACATCAAAGCAGTGGTGACCGGAACGAGAAACGGGAGAACGGGTGAACGAGAAGCTAGTTGGTAAAAGAATTACTTGGCACATACGCAGACGCATACATGAGAGTCGTCGATGCTTATATCTAATTTTACCAAGCAATTATTTTGTTTAAAATGGGGTGAAGCTAAATTATTGGATACGCGACGCGATGCTGAACCGTGCAGCAGATGAACTGGACGAGAAGAAACGAGAGTACGAGTGAACGAGAAGCTAGGTTAATAATTGCTTGGTATTTACGCAATGTCCCGCGATGTCCCACGATGATAGAGGCCTGTAAGTAATCTGAAACAAACTAAAAGAGGCGGCATTTGCGATTAGTTAAACAATTAAATATAATGAATTGATAAACACTAAGCCCTGAAATAAAATAAATGGAACCAGAGAAACCAGTGACGTAAAATAGACGTGGACAAGAGCACAGCGTATACAATAAGCAACATTTAGACGAGAATAAAATACGGGAACAAACACATTTGCAAACAAGAAGCCAGAAGTAAAATATGTAAGGAATCCAGACAAATGAAAACGAGGCGAAACGATAGATTCAAGCCCAGTAGACATTTGAATGTCGATAAAGAAGTGAGAAATCGGAGATTGAGATATCATTCACCACTGTGTCGATAGTGGTCGATGAAAGAGATTTGTACATGCAATATAGAATGTGCATCGAACAAACCAAACAAGGAACAAGGAGACCAAAGTAATAAAAGCAAGATGGAACCCCACATTCAAGCCCAACAGACGCTCGAAGGTCGAAAAAAAAATTAGAAAAGGGAGATTCGGAACTCGCTCACTACTGGTCACTAATGGTCAATATTGGTCAGCAAAGTTGACCAGTGCTCGGCCAGTGGTCAGTAGTGGCGAGTAAAGGTGGCGCGCAGACCCACGGCGGTCACGTCCGCCAGCGCCGAGAAAGAGAGAAGAAGTGAGAGCTCGCCACCGGCAGTTAGCCTGTTAGCCTCAGGCAGGCGAGTGAAAGGGGAGGGGAGGACCGTCCTTGACGCGTTCACCAATCAATTAACGGTTGACCGTGCCTGTGACCGAAAAATAAATATTCTACGCAAAATGGTATTAAAACAATTATTTATACAACCCACGCTATCGAGCATTATTTCAACTATTGCCTGATGTTAATTAATAATTATTGCAAACAATAGGTATGAAAATATGGAGAAATTCGAGGAGACTGAAAGTTTCCTTGAATTTCTGTCGAGAACCAAGGTCGTATCACGTACATCACGTATACGTTTCTTCGACCTTCTGTCCTCTATACGATACTTTCTTTTGTATAAGTTTCTATCTTTCGTTTCTTATCGGTAAATTGTACATGCGTCACTAAAATCGCAAAACGATATGTTACAACGCCCAACAAAACATATATTAATGCACATGAAGATGAGTTGTGTATTTTGGATCGTAAATTTGGAAAATATTCAAGCATCCAGGGGTTTAATCTCGAAACATGCGAAAACCATTCTCAAGTCGGTCAATTGGAACGTTTTAAGAATATTAAAAAATATTAATCGTGTTGGAAAAATTATTTTCGGTTGTGGGGGTCAATTAGAATCATTTTTGGTGAATAGACATATCCTTGAAATTCTACGCATTTTCGAGAAAAAAAATTCTCGTCGAGGTTATCCCAGGTAGGACTCGCGATTGCAAAAGAAATACAATAAACATTCCAAGCTACCGTTTTTCTTTTGACGCTATGTGAAATACACACGAGGTATACGAATAGACCTGTCGCCTTATGGACTTTGATGACCCAATCACTCTGACTGCCATACCGAGTTATTTTTTTTAAGTAAATAAGGATTTTCGGTGTAGTTGTCAATGAAGTACATCCTTATGTATTTTAATAATCTTAATCGATTGGTTACTCCAATGAAATTAATTGATTGATGCTCAATTCTGGACCGTACAACTTTCATTCCGTTAAAAATTAATACAATTTCTGTAATTTCATTTTCTGTCTCACTTCCTCTTGTGTTCATTTCTAAATCTGTTGGTAACGTTGCGAATGACACTAAAATGGTAATGGGGTCTCGAAACCCCAGAGAAACGGGTCGAAGAAATACATTAGGTGAAAGGTCTACTCATATAAGTACCTCGTCTGTGGTGAAAGGTCTACTCGTATACCTCGCTGTGGCGACATACAGAACGTATAGAATGTATATGTAGAATGTATAGAATGTATAGAACGGAAGACAGAATGGAATAAGACTGCAGCTCTACCAAATGTGAGAATCAAAACTAATCTAGTGAAGAAGCTCTGTATCTCAAACCTATGCAACGCAGATCGCAGCCAATCTGCTAATATCATTTAGTTTTTCTTAATAATTGTATTACCCAGTGATACGATTATTAATTAATCGCTAAATAATATCACTCAAGTCCCATCGACCGTTAACTACGATGGAGAATACTTAGGCCACAATTTACATTCAAATTATATTACGTATATTTAAAAATTAAAAACCCTGATTCTTAGCGTAGTCGGTACTTCAGTTCATGGGACACGAACCACAGACAACATAGAATCATAAACGAGATGTGAAAAAGCATTGGATCTATACCGTACCTAGTCCACGATCGTGACTCTATGAAAAACAGTGATTGTCATTTCGTCGGATAGATGGCGAATGTTTTGTCCCATAAATATTACGATTGGCTTTAAATTTCAGTTTCTGATGAGCGTAGAAAACTTGGTCCATAAGATTAACGAACATTGTCCACGATAAAGTATTTGGTTCCATCTTTCGACGTCGAAAGATTTTCTGCTTAATCAGGTTTTCGTTGTTCGTAAACTTGCGAGAATTGACTGTTCGTGGTAGCCATCTAGCGGCGAGATGGTCGAACGAAGGTATCGTTTATTTCTGTCTGCTGTATGGGATACGCGATTCTTTGTCATTGTCGTGTGAAACTGACGTCCTGTAAAATTTCAAGGGGCACGTCGACCAATCGGGAGTGCCGACGACAAAATTTACGTACAGATATATTACTGACGTGTCCACGAAAAGGAGACTACTTCAAGGGTTTATGATTATTCTCGTTTTATATAAGTGGAAAGCAACTGTGTCCGACGGATCGTGGTGTTAATCGTAAAGCGACTTGTTAGAACCAAGCAACGAAATTATGGCTACGATGATAAACACGTTCGTGAACGCTTTCTCCAACAGACTGTGAGTATCGTTCTCGTCGCCCAAATGCTGTAAAATTTTCGAACGGAATTGCTATCTGCGCGATAACGTTTTATACGTTTCGTTTTCGTTTCGCCGCGAGTCCATTAGTCGTCGATGCGTTTAATTCTATTATTTTTCACGCTCTGTTTCTGAAACGTAACGACCGTGATGATGTAACCCGTATCAGCGTTATAGGAACGTTTTCGTATCGTAATAAAAGCGTCGAAATTCTCTTCCCCGGGCATCGTTTTTGATATTATTTATCGTGATTTGCATCTTTTCTTATCAACGTTGTTGGTATATCTTGCGCGACCTTCAGTCGTCCACGTATATTCTAGAACTTTATTAATCTGAATATTTGATGCAGAAAACTTTTCGAGTACGAGCATAGTCACTGTGACGTGCGTCGTGAATACATCACGCCGTGAATCCACAGTTTCGACGCTTCTGACAAACCTCATTATACGATTCTCAAAAATTATTCCTCGACAAACCCCGTGCCCCGTCCCGCGTGTTTACCTTGCATTAACACCTTGTCAAACGTAAACTTCCCGTAAACACCTCGCGTCATTCGATTGCAACCTTCGTAATTGACGCAACACCGAGATTAATAACGTGACATTTTTAAATAATGCTCGTCGTGTTTTTACGACACCATTCAAGAACGATGTTCTTTTAAATGTCACGTTATAATAGTCTCTGAAAGTCATCGAAACGTTCAGTAATGTTTTTCTGAATGTAATTGCACGATATTGTTAAATAACACAATTTTGCACGTAATTACATCACCATTACTAAAAGTTAGTTTTTTTTAATGAAACGATTTATAAATTTTATTCACTGACCTAGTAATAGTAATAGCATAATGCAAAGAAAAATTCTCAAAATACAACATGATCAGAGAAGCTAGTTGAGGAATTAGAACATAGTAACAATGGCTAGAAATTACAATTCAGGAAAGAAAAGCAATATTAAATTTATGTTGTCCGTTCTGTCATAAAATGATTTGAAAATGAAATGTTGGTAATCATATTAGAATTGTTCTTCCAAGACTGATGACCCAAGAGAAAAGAAAAATTATAAATATAGCTAAGATCAAAAAGTTTGTCCTTCTGATATTTGTGTTTACGATAAAAGGAATGAAAGTAAATTCATTGCATTTAAATCAGATGGAAAGAGCCCAGTGCTGAAGCAAATCAAAGTAATTTACAAGCCGCTGTAAAGTATGGGGGCAGTGGTTTAATGACGTGGGGGCGTACGGCTACATTGGATGTAGGAGAATTTGTACTTATCAATGATATTATGGTTAAATATGTGTATTTAACGCTAGAACTACCAAAGCAGTCAAAATGAGCTATTCATAATCTATATATGCAAAATGAAAGGTTTGATTCACTGACTCATCAACGCCCAGGCTAAAGCCCTTGGACATAAAAGCTGAAGTTTTGCACAGTGGTTTCCTTTATGATGTATACAGGAAATAAGAGAGAATATTCTAAAATTCAACCCCTAAGAGGGTGGAAAAGGGTTATTACTAGACTGTGGATGTTTATGCATTTATGGGAAATTTCAATCCTCAAAAAACTACACAATTTAATATGCAAAAATATAAGAAATACTTAAAGTAAGATACGAATTATTATATTTAGGGGTTGAGACAGCCCTCTGCGAAGCTGCAGTTTCATTAATTCTATTAATAAAAATGTGAATTTGCATAAAGATCCGTAGTCTAGTTATTACTAATAAACCTTCTAAAAAATTAATTCGACTTAATTTTTGAAAATTTACAATTGTCTATGAGAGAATGAATAAACATTTCCATTGCATTGTACATTTCTTCGCGTGTTTATCATTTTAATTGCTTTGGTGCAAATAAAGACGCTATAATTGTCGGTAGTTTTAGTGTTAAATCCGATCGTGTAACAAGTTTAAAAAAACAATTAGGAAACATACGATTCACGGTGCGATAATTGCATTGTACATGATTTCATCGAACGTTGTACAAAAATGTTTAAAAATCGAACAGCGTGAACGGAAAGTCCCAGAGTGGGGAAATAAGACCTTCGTGGCATCGAGAGCGTTGAAATCGGTGACCCGAAGGTCTTTGCGTTCACCTTGTTAGTCACAAACGGCAGTTTATGTGTACTTAAGATAACAATAGATTTTTCTGATTGCAGCGAAGCACCGGTCAGGCAACATTTGAAAAATGTTTACGCCTGCCTGTCCTTGTCGACAGTCACGGCCGCGGCAGGAGCCTGTGGCCACCTCTACACAGACCTCCTGCAGGCTAACATGCTGACGACCCTTGGCTCGATCGCGTTGCTCCTTCGTTTGTCAACTTTGCCGGATAATGGGAAAAATCCGAAATTACGATTATGCTACCTGTTGGGATTCGCATTTCTGTCCGGTATCGGGTTGCATCCTTTGCTTGAGCTGGTCGTTACTGTCAATCCGAGTATCATAGTAACTGCATTAATGGGTAAGACGTCACATTGTCACGGTGTATCATTTAGAACGTTTACCATTACAGGGCTACCAACAATCAGTGATATGGTATAAGCACTGTTAGGACTCGATAAATTCTGTTATCGAAACTATGAATTAATCTTGTTAATTTGTCGAGGATATAGACGTCTATGTAAATACGTGGTATAATAATGTTATTAATTTTTCAGGAACAACTGTTGTATTCGTATCGTTCAGTATCTCGGCTCTTCTGGCCGAACGAGGCAGTTGGCTATACCTGAGCGGTACCTTAGTTAGCTTGCTGAATGTTCTAGTTATGTTGGCATTCGTCAACGCCTTCCTACACTGGTCCATACTGTACGAAATTGATTTGTACGCTGTATTGTTCTTGGTGTGCGGTTTCGTTATTTACGACACCCAGTTGATCATCGAGAAATTCCACGCGGGCAGCAAAGATTTTGTTCTGCACTCCTTTGATCTCTTCATTGATTTCCTTACTATTTTCCGTCAGCTTCTTATCATCCTCACAAAAAAGGTAAAGATCAATATGCGATAGCAGGCAGTGTTGCCGCACATTTTAGGTTTCAAACTGGGCTGCTTATCGTTCTAATTTTTTGTTCTTCTCTTTTACAGGAGTTATCAAAAGAACGCAAACAACGCAAAGAGTAAAGTGGGAACGAAGGAAATTGTAAAATATCATACCATTCAAGTAAATCCATGAATTAGAGGTCTTCATTTAATCTATCCATACGTAATGCATATATTTATTACGATAAAATGAATTTAAAATAATACAGCTTATCCATTACCGTCGAGACAAATTTTAGGTACGCGTTGGCCGTATAAACGCAATAATAATATTAATTTCCAATTCCTTAGTTATCATTTTCTTTTTCCTTTTTTTTTTTTTTTTTAATTATCTATTATCTACTAGATTTATATACATGTATACATAGACATAAATTTATTGTACTATATTTTTATCTTTCAATAAACAAAATTTCCCAGCGTTTCTGGGCTTTTCTTGATCAGGCAAAGGTTAATCACAACACGTTCCGTGCCATACTTTGCGTATAAACCACTTGGAATTTTTCATTCGAACCGAACAAATTTCTAAAAATTTATTGCAAAGTCATGCAGCGACGTTTGAATCGCCAAAAATTAGTCTGGCACGGAGCATGTTAAACGCAGGAAAGGAAATACCAAGATGTCGTTACAGGACTAAAGTCTTATTTATTAAAATTGTAACTTTACACGTATGATTATTATCATTTACATGCGTATAGAAAACAAAAATTACGCGTCACGCATCGATCTTTATGAATATAAAAAATGTACGAAGAAATAAATCGATGATAATGGAGTTGGTAACACAATGATTTCCTGTGTTTGCGAATAATGTACATACGTCAAAACTGTGTACAAAATGTGTACAGTATGTCAATGAGTGATCTTTACCAATCATTTTGTTTTGAATGTTATTTAATAAGGACGTTGACGATCCCTGTCTCTGTCACCTCGGCTGCAAAAGAAAAACCACAAACGCTCAAATACGAAATTAATAATCCGTCAGTCGCTTCTGTTCCGTGATCGCGGAAACAGAAAACGCAGATTCTAAGCAAACGACCGCTAACTTCCTGATAAGCTCATCTAACATTAGAAACTAATTAAAGGAACTAACCCGCCGCCTCCTCTCATGGGTCCACCTCGACCGCCTCGTCCCCTGTCTCCACCGCGGAAACCACCTCCTCGGCTACCCCTGTCGCCTCCACGGCCACCTCTGTCGCTTCTGAAACCTCCTCGGCCACCCCGATCGCCGCCACGGTTACCTCGTACACCACCCCCGCCGCCGCCTCCACCACCACCAGCGCCCTCTGGTTTCAAACTTTTACAGAGATTGCATTGATCTCTCCAGGCGAAATTTGTGTTACCACACTCGGGATTCGGACACCTGCACGAACACAAGTTACAAAGAAAATGATTTATAGAAACTCGAACACGATGGTCACTCGACAAGAGACGAACACCCATTCATACTTCTTCTTTTCTTGGGTCATTTACAGGGTAACCAACCCTGGGAAAAATTATAATGGAGAATACCAATTTGTTAATGGAGGATTCGTTAAAAAGTTATTAACATTTAAAGTTCTGTCTTTACTGAATTTTTTTCTCGAAAATACGCAGGATTTCGGAGGTATGTCTATCCACCAAAAATGATTGTAATTGACCCCTGTAACTAAATATAATTTTTTTATAATGATTTGAAATTTTTTAATTTCGTCTAAAAATGTCAGTACCTTCTCGAATTTTTTTCTAGAAAATGGGTAGGATTTCGAGGGTAGGTCTAATGACCAAAATTGATTGTAATTGACCCCCGCAACCGAAAATAATTTTTCCAGAATGATTTGAAATTTTTTTTTTCATCGAAAAATTTACCTAATTAGATTTTCGGTAAGGAATTTTTTTCTCGAAAGTGCGTAGGATTTCGAAGGTATGTGTAATGACCAAAAAGGATTGTAATTGACCCTCGCAACTGAAAATAATTTTTCCGAAACGATTTGAAATTTTTTATTTTCGTCGAAAAATTTACCAAAATCGATTTTCGGTAAGAAATTTTTTTCTCGAAAGTGCGTAGGATTTCGGGGATATGTGTAATGACCAAAAATGATTGTGATTGACCCCCGCGACCGAAAATAATTTTTCCAGAACGATTTGAAATTTTTGAATTTAATTGTTAATAACTTTTTAACGAAGCCTCAGTCAAGAAATTTATATTCTTAATTTTCGTCTTATTTTGATCTCTAGAATACCCCATTAAAATTTTTTCCCAGTATACGTGAGTCACATCACAATATACTATACTTCATAACCTAAAATATACAGCTAAATAAAACGGAGAACATACACACACAGACAGAGTCAGTCACACTACAAATCGTCTACCTCCTTTTGCTAATTTATATTTGTTCATAAATAATAATATACACTGAATATAATTATTATCAGTATGTACGTAACATTTTTATTCATTGCATCACTTTAAAACTCTAGACCAGAGAATCAATAATTTAAAGTACTCCAAGCGGTGAGATAGGATAAAACAAATAAATCTAAAAGAAAATCGAGATAAGTGAGAGATACTACAACAAAGGAATGTAAGATTCCAACGCTATAGGCGACCGTTTGTGACCGCCTTCGATCGTTGGAAAGTGGCCACGGAAGGCATACTGATATGACCCAGATACATAATATGTTAATTTCTTCATTAGCTGAATTTTTGCCAAGTTTTTTGGTTTTCTAATAGAAAAAAGGAACGGTATAGATATACTGCTGTCGTAGACAGTTATATTGGGTTGGTCGATAACTTTTGGCGGATTTATTATTAGACGTCGCACTTATTTATCTTCTTGAATTAATATCTACTTAACCCCATTTTCCATTTATTGATATATTCTGATAACTGATGCTTTGCCAATCATATTGCAGACAAAGTAATTCAATTTGCTTCACTTGCTCAATGAACTCTTAATAAAAAAAAAATGCTAGACTAAATTGCTAATCGAAGTTTGAATAGTCTCCAAGAGGAACCATGCTCAGCATAAATTTAACACTAGTTCCCTACAATTAATTTCATTAAAGTTACATTCTAACTCTGGATTAGTGATGTAATCATATTAGTTATACATTTGAAGAATCCTGACATGAGTAATAAGACACTACGTTTGGCTTCTCCTTAATTTCAGTGAACAAAATTCCGAGTTACGTTTTAATATTGAACATGAATGAAGACAAAAGAAATCAGTTTTTCCCACTTATACATTACAAGATCCACATCCAAACAGAAAATAAATTTCTTTCTTTCGATTACATTTTTATGCTCAAAGGTAAAACGAAGAATGAATTATCATGAAACTTTATATTGATTATTGTATGTGTAAAGACTTTGTAGAAGTACGTGGCCATCCATTGTTTGTCATCAGTAACAAAGTCCAACTTTTTAAGCGAACTTTCATAAGCGTGACTTGCCTAAAATTGTATTCAATAGATGACCACCTACTTGTGTTATAATCTTCATACATAAAATAATGTTAGATTGATTTGTGCTTTGTTAAATAGGGTTTAGTGACTATAGTCATCGATAGGATACAGCAAACGTGTATAGTTCAGGCCACGATATAGCGAGGTCGTAAACTAAACTCTTGAAAGGGTTGGGACTGACTGCTGGCTGCACTTAGGCGACATCTTGTTTGAGGGTGCCTTTCTAAATATCTTTCTGTGCCCGTAATTGCACTATGTATTATATGTTAGCGTCAATTCCTTTTTCAAGGGGTGACACGTATCAGGATTAATGCATTTGGGGCTTTGACCAGATCCTCAAGAGTATCGTAGGTGTCGATACCCGGAACCATAAGTCTGTTATCACAGACTTGGACTGACATAGTTGATACTCGAGGCCCTACGAATTCTAAGAGTCGAGGATTCAAAGGTACCATGCATGTGGTCATGGTGTTGCACGACACGTGTAGTAAGATAAGGATTTTCTAGAAGGCCTTTATTTTGGTAAGAGGACTGTGATGAATCCCACGGCACTTACCCCAGAACCTTGGATCGCTTAGAGATTTTTAGTAACATGTAAGCAGGTAAATTAAGATATCAACGACTTGAGTAAGACCTTTACCTGTTACGATACCCCTAAAAATGACGACACTAGATAAAACATTTCTTCGTACGGCCCTGACTTATGGTCTAAGGCCCATAGCTGCTCATATTTCTCTCAATTCACTTGTTTCGGGAGCTGAAACGTGTAAACTTTGACACCTACTCGACTTTACGATCTCGCTATATCGTGATCCTGACTGTAATGGAGGATTCTTGTCTGAGATATTCTCGAGTACATATTTAACCCATTTGCACTCCAAATTATATTTCAATTTTGTTACCAGCAGCTCCCAACGCTTCTAAGTGTTCTATTTGAAATTTACGTCAACTAAAAAATAAAGCAATTTAAACAAATAGAGGAACAAACAAATTCAATTAAATATCTGCTTAATTTACACTGATGTTGTATTTTGTAATTTTCAAGTGTATGTTTTCAAGTGTAAAAAGGATTGATTTACTTTCTTCCTTCAGGTATTTCTCTGTTTGAGCAAACTGCACAAACTTTATGCCTTCTTTCGGAATGTACGAAAATGAAATTGAATTCGATTGATTTGAACTTGAAAAAATGTCAAGTGGGACTCGACAAAGGAGTTCTTGACATAATAACTGATGTCGAGTCACGCTCCACGCAAGAGTGCAAAGGGTTAACATGGTCGATTTAAACGGGGCATTATATATGAGTTATGTAATAATATAAATCTGAGAAACAATGCGTACCTCCAGTCTCCGCCACGACCAGCTCCATCGCCGCCGCGTCTATCATCGCCACCGCTGCCTCCACGGTGGTGATCGTCTCTGTCACCACCGCCTCCGCGGCCGCCAAAACCACCGCGGCCTCGGACACCGCCGCCGCCGCCTCGACTTCCGCCACTGCGGTTGCCTTGCCAGTTACTCTTATGCTGAGCAATCTGCACTTTTATAGTACGCCCTTTGAACTCTTTCCCGTCGAACCAGCTTATCGCCGAACGCGCGGCGTTCTGGTCGTCGTAAGTCACGGTGGCTTCGCCTTTCGACTTGCCAGTATTCTTGTCTTTGTACATCCACACTTTTGGCTTGCCAGTACGCTTATCGTGCTAAACAATTATCAACGTTCGCATTACTTCTTCTCACATGTGCAATATGTTACAGCGTCCCACAAAATATTGCGTTAGTTTTGATTTTTATTAACCCCTTAACATTCATGCCCGAGTCTGACTGCTTTGAAAAACGATATTTGTTTAAGGGATGATGATATTTATTTTCTTTCAAATTGTACGTTAGATACAATATCGTAAATAACAAAAACCGCATTTTTTAGAAACGAATCCAACAAAGAAAACTGATCATTCTTGGCTAACCCGAAAAATATGAGCGCTAAGGGGTTAAACAGCTAAAATAAGCAATATTTTCTGAGACGCCTAGATGAAGATTTTTGATCTTTCAAGAAATATGAACGTACTTTTATTATACCAATCGCTCCAAAGTGTTCGCAAATTTCTTCCTCCGAGATTGAAGGATCCATACCAGATACAAATATAGTATCTTCTTGAGTAACCATTCCATCGTTGCCACCGCCACGGTCACCGTAGCCCCCTGCAATGTAATAAGAGTTAAAAAGCGTTCTGGTACCACGATCCACGAAGTAGGAATAATACTTGCAAATCTACTTTGTCCCTAAACCTACTCAAATCTAAGCTAAACGAGTGGAAAACTTTTTATGTCGGGTTGAAAACAGCTAACAAAAACAGTACACCATGGAGGAACAATTAAATATTGCAAGCCATTTGGAATTCCGCACCCAGTTCGCGTTTAGGACAATTTCTTTTCTTTTTTTTTTTATACAAGTTATAACTACGCCTAAACACTATTACTTTCGAACGTTAAGATAGTTTTAAACGTTTAAATTACTTTTGCTCCTTTTCTCCTCGAAGGATAACTAAGTACGCTTAAATGTTATTATCGGTTTTAATTAATCGAAAATTTAAATTACTAGTTTTCTTTCTCAATGATCTTTTCCCAAGCGAAAAGAACTCCTCCTGCGATATACATTAAGAAATTTTTAAATTCGTGTATGCTCAGGAACATACACTGTTATTGATTCATGTTAGTTTTTACCCGACGAAGACGTAAATTTTGTCTGGCCTACCCGTACATGATACCATCCCTTCTTAACGATATTCGAGGTTCGTTACTTTGTCGATTCATAGTACTTCAGTTATTACACTTATACAATATTTTTGTAACACCTTTATTGTATAGAATTACCGACTTTAGAATATATTGCATTCTTTTTTTTTTTTTACCCGTGCATTAACAAAAATATTAGTACTCATTGACCTAACATTCTTAGTAGCATATAATGATACGTAGAGAACACAAGGTTGCAGCTTAACATACAAAAGGGCTGCAACATTACTTTTACCCTTACCATTTACCTATAACATACTTTTTTTTTTTTTTGGGGAAGCCTCGACTTATCAGGGGTAGGTAGTTAGTTCACCAGCTGCCTTTTATGTTTGATCTTATCCTGACACATGTTTAAAAATATTGGAGTATGCGTGCGAGCAGCAGAAATGCTGATGTACGTTGCGGATAATTATTTTACCCAAAATAATTCGCTCATTTAACTTTTGATCTCTAATGCGATGTTCGTTTGTACGAAACGCCCTATTCCATGTTTTAGACGATGCTCAGGAAAGCGAGATTTAACGTTACAAGCGCATAGCGCATTCGTATTTACGACAGACGATTATTATTATTTGATATAATTTCTGTTATACTATTCAGGGATGTTCGATTCTTGTAAAAAAGAAACCCCTTCCGTTATAAATTATATTATTAAATTTTAATTATATATTATAAATTAAAATCATTGAAATAGATAACCTAAAAATTCAAGTCTTGCAAAATCGTTTTCAAACCTCCATATTTATATTTAAAACATCAAAAAGGGGGAAAATTAACCAGAAATTAAGTAGTGCATAATCTATAATTCATTGTTTATTATTTAGAATATTCCCTACTTTTGAAAATAATAGTTCTGCCAAAACGATGTTCGAAGACGTATTTTACTGGAAGCTTTTATAAAAATCGACTTTTTCAAAACATTTTATCGAAAAATACGATTTACATGCAATATTCTATTTTAAAACTTATTGGGTGATTAAACTTCAAAGTGTCGCCATTTTATTTTAGAATGACTGCAACTATGGAAACCATAAGAAAAACAAAACAAACTAGTAAAAATGCTTGTTTTTATCGCAGGAAGATCGATTCAGAATCGAACATCCCCAATTACTATCTTTTTGTACGAAGAACGATGTCACCTGTTTCCAATGTGAATTTTGTAATACGCATAGACAAACTATTGTCGTCGATTGGAAAAAGCAATTGGTGATCAAAGCAGCTCTTATAACGCTGCAGTAACATCATAGTGATTACCCTATCTTTTTTTGTTTTCGTTTTTTTTCTTTTTAAACATGTTAAAAAATTCCGGACAAACGTTAGTTGCCAGAGACAAAAATACACCCCTAACAATGTTGCATAGCAGCCCTTTCATATAATACAAGTAACCGAGTATTTAGATTGTAAATATTAGAGTGAAAGCTTGAATAGCACCAGACTTGTACAGACAATCTGGTGCATTTACCTTTGTTATAACCACCACGGCCACCGCCACTGCTAAAACACAGAAGCAGATATACCAATGAGTTGACTCATGGACAGACTGATCGATCGATCGATGCATGGCGAATCAAATGCTGCTCGCCACCTCTCTTCTTGATGTACCTACTGTCTAAATGTCTGTAGTCACCATATTACTTAATACTAGGGACAAAGTCGGCGTCTCTCGTCATGTTAGTCTGTCGCGTCCGGCATGCAAAAAAATTACCTACGTATCGTGGTTACGATACCGTGAAAATAACGAGAACAAAGCACCGCTTTGTCGCACAGGCATTATTAACGGCTTTGCACGAAATAAATTGGTCGATGCAATTCTCGGTAAAACATTATCCTATTCACCAGATATATATATATACAAATATTGTATATTTGAAAGTTTGATGGTAAGAGATTACTACTGATCGATCTACGAAAGCATACACATCGTATTTCTGGCTTTGAAACGAAAGTAAAGGAGAGAAAAAGGAAAATAAAGTTTATCGTGATTATTTCTTAAAATAAAAAATAATTATATCGTACGAATAACCGTTATGTTAGGAAACAGTCAAAACATACTGAACGAACGTCAAATGCATTCATTGAAATTTCAACTTAGAAATGCTATTTCTTGATCATGTAAGTAACTGCAATCTCTTACAAAAACTTTGAACGTCTTTCGATTGTCTAGTCGATTTCAATAACCCTAAAATAGTAATGCTTAAAACAACAGTGGCCCCAGTGGCAGTATTAACCGCTTTACAGGTATGATCGATGCGAAACCTTTATTATGATATGCGCATCGTGTGTTTGCTTATTGCAGCGATGCAGAATCAGAACGTATCACACATTATTACCATTTTACGTCATTTGTCATATACAACCTGTTTTTACCTTTACCAGTTATACCTGTGCGTTAAACCTGTAGGCACACTTCAAACATATTAACGCCCAAAGGGCATAAAAACCATTTGCAAAGAGACAACAAGTTTTCATTACTGTCATAAGGAACTTCATTTCATACCTTGATTAATTCAATGAATGTATTACCTTCCCACCGAACATTATTGTGGACATATATCGGAATCTTTTTTTTTATTTTGCTTTATAACTTCCCTCGCCATCGTCATATATGTATACATATGTAATGTAAGAAATGAACTTACTTGTAGCCACCGCCAGAGCGGTCATTGTATCCCCCACGATCGCCATATCTACTGCCACCACCTCCTCCTTGGCCTGGTATACACAATAAAGAATTTAGATTTCTCGTCCACGGACAGAATTTCCTCGAGCATTCTATCGTAACTGTTATATCTCGACAATCGAACTAACACGTTCATAAATCGATTTTTACTTAGAAATCACGAAACTTCGATAAGTACAAACTGTACTGTATTTCTTAGGTTACTCAGCCTTAAAAATAATCCCAGAAATATTCCATGGCTTCTTTTCACGAAGTCGCATGCTTCAAACCATAAATCGAAAACTTTTTACAATTACGATAAAATACGATATTTTACTTAACACTAGATTTACGAAACCCGCCAATTTCACGAGTTTCAGATTCCATACCTAAAGTTACAGAACTCATAAATATTACTTGTCAACGACTTAAGAATTCCACAGACCGATGCAAAATATTTTACAGCGGCAAATTTTCGATGAGACTGCGAATTTGTGGCGTTTTTTTTTTTTTTTGCTGTGGTTCTCAATTTGCGATGTTTGGTGCTGCTGTTCATGGACAAAAGACGATTGCCAAACAAAGATCATGTTTTTGTTTTTTCGTCACACGCTGTTTGGCGCGAGCATGGTTTGCGAATTTCGTCATTGTTGCAACTTGACAATTTCGCTATTGCTGTTGTTGCAAATAGTTTGCGTCAGTCTGTGAAATTCTTTACCTTGAATTTGATCAACGTAACTATAAACTATAACTGTAAATCTAGTGTTAATCACGAGCACGTGTAAACATCAATTTACGCTTGTTTATAATTTCAGACTTATGATTTGAACTGTATATAACAATCAGTATACCTCCACCATAGCCTCCACTAGAATTGTTGCGATTATAACCACCGCTACCTCCGCCCCCGTGTCCATAATTTCCACCATAACTGCCACCACCGCCGCTGTTACCTCCAGAACCACTGCCGCTGCCATAACTGTTTTGGTTGTAACTCTGCGGCTGATTGTAGTCTGGGCCACCGCTGGAATTGTAACTGTTGTAACTGCCATAGTTGCTTCCAGTATTTGGTGGTGGTTGGCTATACTGATTATAGCCGCCACCACCGCTAGATGGTGGCGGATACGAAGTATCCTGACCACCAGTAGGTGGTGGCTGGCTGTACTGATTGTACCCCTGTTGCTGGTAATTTGAATACTCTGAAACAGACAGTCAAACATTGTTAAACACTGTCAGAACATATTTTTCGATCGAAAAACGAAATATTTCCAATGCACAATTCCAGAGTTATGTATTTTTTATTTTACTAACAAAATTGGACAATGTTTATCGCATAAATCGACTTTCCTCGTTGTTCGACGCATAAAAATATTAAAGCAAGTTGAGATAAAGAAAATCAAATAATTTAGGATAAACTGAAAACGACAATGAAAAAATCTGCCAAAATCGAATAACAAAATGGAGTAGAATAGTGGGATGAGACGCTTGAAATGCCGATCAATAAAGTTCGCGCATAGAACACACAGGGATGCGAAATGTTCCAACAGTTTTTTTTACATTTTAATTCCTCGTTTTGTAGCGTCTCGTACGATTTTCCATTCTGTATTTCTGCTAATGATTCAGAACGTCGATTAATTACGAAGTTAGAAGGCTAAACGTGGCGATCGTAGAAGTTAGGTTGAAATACATTATTCGGGAAGTCTAATGGAATACAGGGCTCGAAGAAAGCGATATTCCATCACTGGAACACTTATTTAGCGATTTAAACGTAAGAATTTAACAATTTCGGTTTACTTACGGGTGTCCGTCATCGTGCCTTCCTCCGGTAATCAAATCGCTACACGGTAGAAAAAGCACGTAATGGCGGGAACCGAGCGACTTTCCAACGACGATTCTGAACGAGCCGAGCTCAATGGTCAAACTCGGCGTTTTACTGCCGGATGTCGGGCACGAAGAACGGAAGTCTTCTTCCCCAGATGGCGCTGCGAACACATTAATTATTTCGACCTCAATTGACTATCGTGGTAATATTTGCGAATTCAAATCTAAAATCTAAAACCGTCACAGTGGCATAGAAAGCAGTGTTGCGTGATCAAAATTAAAATTGTACTTCAACGCTATCTTTCTCGATGTAATATAATCATTTACAGTAAAATGGCGGAAGAAAATGACAATTCTTATAAAACGAGGGAAATGTTAGTACTAAAATTTGCAACATTTTTATACTAAATAAAAATTCAATTTTGGAAATTTTACAAATACAAAAAAAAGAGATTTTAGTGTAGAACGAAACATAAAGCAATCAAAGATTTTTAAAAACAAACGCTTCATATCAAATTCTTGATTAAATATTATTCTATTAATTAGGACGATATTGTTTTGTCACCTAGGCGACCAACAACACAGAAACGGCCCTGAACAAGATAACATCACGATATTGATAGATGTCATCGATCGATATTAAATGGTGAGAATTTTATTTACTTCGTACAAAAATTGTTGAAATGATACAAGGAATATTCCTACAATTGTTAAATCTTTTTTTATCAATATATCAATACATACAGATGTTTGAAAGTTTTGTTAACGTCTTCTTTACGACGTAAAGCGCCCCCTATTTCAGAAAATACTTCTTTAAATTGAAATTATATCAGTATATTCTTGTCAAGAAACGAAAAGATTCTGAAATGAACTGTTTCAAACTGTTACATCAGAATTTTGATTAAAAACCTGTAAGAATCGAAATGATGTTATAACAATTATAAAGTAAAATAGTATCATTTCCGGAATGGTACGTGCAGAAATAACTGTAACGTATTATTATTATTATTAATATTTTCCTTTGAAAATAAGATACAACGCAGGAAAAAGAAGCGTAGAAAATTTTAATCACTCTTGAACTTAATTTTTTTTTATTATCCATTGTATCATAATACTACACTTAATTTAAATTTTCAGTGCAATGCAATATTTTGTTTTTTTCTTTTTGTTCGTGAACAAAAGTCACTGCATATCGATGGTCGAGATTAAAAAACGTTATTCTAATGCAGCGACATTTGTTTCCTGTTACTGTCTTTTTCAATACATAATATTTACATGAACAGTAATACCTCCTTGTTTACACTAACGATTCGAACCTATATCCTATTATCTCATCAAGATTCTTAATTTCTTCGCGGTTCATTCGTAATTTTCTGAAATGCCAGCAGGGAATCAGAAATCGTAAAAATCAGGGATCGAATGAACCTCTTTCAAGAAATTAATGCTCTCGATGGGCTAAACAGTATATTGCAGCGCACGTAAACTGTGTACATATACACGTGAAACACAAATACATTTTACACAGTCGATCCTATATTACATACTCATAGTGTACAATTTTCTGTAAGAAAGTATTCATCATCCTCAAACATAAACAAAATAAAAATTAACACTTTGCTATCGCGAAAGATCAGGTATCGATTGAAAGTATACTATTTAAAAAGACAATGAAACGAGGGGAACGAATAAGTTCAAAAAAAAAAAAAAAAGAAAAAAAATTACATAAATTGAATAATTCAATTATAATTTACGAAGATATTTAGATCTAATAATTGTCTGTACATGTGTTTATTCTTAACGGAAATAAGAGAATTTAATTGCGCCTATAAAAATCGTAATGTCAGGTCAAAAGTCAGATACAAACAGAAAGGGTAAGATTAAAGATCACGAATTGGAATGCTGAGATGGTGTTAATCCTCCGGTGTGTTCGGGACTATGCTTTTGTTTTTTACGCTTTTTCTCCTTCTTACGTTTCTTCCGAGCTTCTTTTTCTTCGTCGTGTCTTTTCTGCTTTTTATGCTTCTTTTCGTGAGTATCCGAACCGCCAATATCCGTTGTCGTTGCTTCCTGACCGCTAGGTATCTCGCCCGGTTTGTGTTTGTGCTTTTTATGTTTGTTCTTATGTTTTCTTTGTGGAGCTTGATTCACATAGCGATACTGCTCCGGTAACTATGCAAATACAAAATTTATTAGTTTCGTTCAAATATTTTACACGATAGATCCTTTTTTATAAATCAGATTTACTTACAGGCCCAGGATGTAAACGAAAGCCAGCTAATTGAACACTGGTCAATGGTAACAATTCTTTTCCACCTATCGGAGGTTTTTCGATGACGGATCTCAATGAGCTAGAAAAACAAAAATAAAAAACACAATAATTTCCAACGAAATGATCAATGTAATCTAGAAGCGTTAGGAAGTTTACAAAATTCGTCGAACAACAACTTTGTCCGTTAGAAAATTGGAATGAACTTTATGAACACTCCGATACATCGACATACCTATTATCTAGATGACCTGGTCTGTCTATTATTCCAGGTAAATTAGGTAAAAAGGAGGAAAGTTGTTCTTTGAGTTTCTTTCCACTAAATTTACTATAAGAATGTTCTAGGCCATAATAGGCCATTAAATTTGTTGCCCCTGTGAGTTCACTTTCTCCTGGAAAAGACGCAATGTGAATTTGTTAGAAATAACATTATCGCAAAGAAACTATTGCGTTGAACGGAAAGAACGGAGTTTTTTAATACTATATTTGTAAAATTTTTGTGGTTTTAGCTAGAAACATTCTTGAAGAATGGTTTTAATTTCTTTGTAAGTTTCGGAGCTTTATTGTTTCTATGGTACTGGTAGTTTCCTTAACAACAAAAGACCAATATAATGAAATACTCGAAATATACTTGTATAACATGACTTTCCTTTCAACCCAATATAATATAAAGAAAAGAGAGAAAAACCGTACCAGGGGGTTCCTTCATCAAGTAAAATGGCCCACTATGGACAATAGAAGGATTCTTTCCCAGGGAAATGGTTGTCTTTAAGGTCCCTGTCGAATCCTGACGCGATACAACAGGGGAACGTGCGCCCCTGGGCGATGACTTTGGTGAATATTGCTCCACTTTGTTACGAAACTGATCGCCCATCATCATCCTTTGATTTTACTTCATGGCACCTTCACTACAATTAATGAGCTCTAGCGGAGAGCACAAATAATCGTTTAAAGTTTGTTTTGGTTAACCAATGAACGTTTATGCTTTACTAAAGCATCAAAGAACAACTCGGTGCTACTACAAAAATGCACAACGAACACATAATTCTCGTATTATCGTGTACAGGCACCATGCAACACAGCGACAACGGGGATACATAATTTGATAAGTTATACAATCAGTGGTACAATATATAAGAAACGTTTCAAGATTTTCTTTTTTTTTTTTTTTTTTTTTCAACTCAATTTCACGAAATATAAATATTTGGGGTTGCACAACGATCATCACCACAATCTACACGGCCACAAATTAGTTGAGATACCGATTGATCGTTTCGTTAACATCTTGATCGTATCACTCATTTCGGTTTCGTTCGTAGGTTACAATTTGTACAAAACGGAAACTGTTGTTGTCACTAGCAAGACATCACGAACAGAGTTCTGCCTCTAAACTAGAAATCAATTAAAAATTTTACACTGTTATGGTACTTAGTCGAGTACATACTGACGCAATTATATCTAGACGGATCCGTGTATAATAATTCATCTAAATCCATTATTTCTTCGGGTATCCCCACTAACCAACAAACCCTCCTTCTTGTTCTCATGTCTTACCGAAGCACCACTCGATTAAACATATTTTCCGTATCCCTCTTTTAAACACCGTTCTAGCACATCGCGCAATCACATTAAAAGCGAACACTTCGAAAACTAGACATTGCTTCTAGATCGAGAGACATGTACGGAGCCCAGGTATATAGATAAGCAACCATAAGCGAGTTAGATGCATCGTAAGTGTCATGCTTGGAAAGTTCAAGGATGTGCAGTTTCGGTGCAACAACAGGTCGACAAAACGAGCAAATAAAATTTAAAGGATGCGTTTCGATTTCTCGACGGTACTGACTTTCTCGTTAAAACCTTCGTACGATCGAGCGGAACATTTTTGATTCATATCGTCGAATTATTTCATATTTGCGTTTCGCAATTGCACACGTTCGGAACGTGCATGCATGTGAAACGTAATTCTAGGAGCGTTCTCAATGCATCCGTCAAACGTATTTGTTTATGATTATGAACGTTGTGTGTAAATAAAAAAAATTATTCAGATTTTCGTTTGTTTTATGTTGCATCGGTTTATACGCTCGCGACGCAACGTTTTTCGATGTGCTGTGAATTAATATGTCGTGTCTACAAATAGATGTTATTTAACGAAGAATCGAGTATTTGTTTACTGTAAATAAAAATTTTATTTCTCGAAAAATAATACAAATTCTTTTGCACTCTGTAGAAATAAAATTATGTCCATCGTACCAAGGATTCTATTCGTTAATAAGAGTGGTCTTACTGCTCGTCGAGTTTATTTCTGATTTTTTCGAAAGCGAGTATTCGATCAGTTCGATGATCTCGAAATTTTTATACGCTATAGCCACCTCCAATGGTGTATAACCGTTGCGATTTTTCCGATGCAAATCAGCCCCTTCCTCGACAAGATATCTATATGGTTTAATGAACATCGTTAAAACGCAATTCGTAATCTCTCGATACGCGTCTATTTCGTACGTGTACTTAACAGAGCCAACATCAAATTCCCCGTCATGGCAACGATATGCAACGGCGTACGCAAACCGATGTCTGTCGTATTTAAATCTGCTCCGTTTTGAAACAGAAGGTCCAATATATACAGATCCGATATGCTTCGCGCGGACAAAACAATCTCGAGCAGCAATCCTAGTGAACTTTTATGAGGCGCGGACGAAACCGTTGCTCTACGAAATCAAGAGTGATTCGAACACGGCGTTTGAAATACTCGAAAAGGGCTTAGTTTAAGTTAGGTTTATATACCCGAAGGACAACAGCAATTTGATCATAGAATAGGACCGCCTTCGCAAAATGCAGGTGTACAATGGACATTCGTCAAAGACATCGTAAACGTTTGTATTCGCATTGTTTGTCAACAGTACGGTGGCGCTCTCGACGTCCTTTTGAAGAGTAGCGTAGTGCAACGGAGACCGGCCTAAGCTGTCCGTGCAATCTATCGTGGCGCCATTTTCGAGCAGTTTCTCGAGAGCGTTCGTGTGCCCGAGGAATGCAGCCTTGTGGAGCGGCGTTAACCCTGTACAAAACTGACTCATTTGGACTTACGATTAGTTCGAGGAACGTTCGATCTACGCAAATTACGGTAAGTAATAACTGACAAGCTTGACGCGCCAGAGCAGTATATTACAAATATTATGGACAAAATATAATTTTAAGCTTGTTGCATGTAACAAGGAGATTGTATAAATCATACTACTATTTATGGTGTTTCGTAGTTACGTTGTTTCCGTTAGCAACGCGATCGACATTCGTTTCAACGATCAATTATTGTCCAGTTCTCAGAGATAGGAATATACAGGGTGTTCCCCTCAGGGCCAAAATAAGACGAAAATAAAGAATATCAATTTTTCGACTGAGGCTTCGTTAAAAAGTAATTAAAAAATTAAATTAAAAAATTTCAAATCATTCTGGAAAAATTATTTTCGGTTGCGGGGGTCAATTACAATCATTTTTGGTGAATAAACATACCCCCAAAATCCTACGCATTTTCGAGAAAAAAATTCGGGTAGCTACTGAAATTTTTCGACGAAATTAAAAAATTTCAAATCGTTTTAAAAAAATTATTTTCGGTTGCGGGGGTCAATTACAATCATTTTTGGTGAATAGACATACCCCCAAAATCCTACGCATTTTCGAGAAAAAAATTCGGATAGCTACTGAAATTTTTCGACGAAATTAAAAAATTTCAAATCGTTCTGGAAAATTTATTTTCGGTTGCGGGGGTCAATTACAATAATTTTTGGTCGATACACATACCCCCGAAATCCTACGCACTTTCGAGAAAAAAATTCTTTTAGAAGAAACAAATTAGTATTCTTGATTTTCGTCTTATTTTGGCCTCTAGAATCTCTTATTAAAACTTTCCCAGGAGTGGGCGAACACCCTGTATAATATGTAACGTTGACAGAGTCGGACTAAATACGGTTTAGAAACGGTTACCGTGCTTCGTCTTCGACTCGATATCAACGGAAGGCTGATCGCAAAGCAACTGTATCATCTCGACGTCATCGTGCTCAGTCGCGATATGAAGAGGCGCTAAGTAATCCGATCTTCTGCAGTTCACGTCAGCGCCCTAGGCGGCGTTGCAGTCGAAGTTATTACCGTTCGAATATCGCGATGTCGCGGCTCGATTTATTTTCATACCTCAGATAGCGCCTCCCTCGCGATGGGAACGTGTCGCATGGTGCAAGCCTGCAATAATTTCCAATTAACGTTGGCGTTTATCGTTTCTGGCCAAATAGAGGGATCGACGATGGTCACGCGTTGAGACGGTAATTTCTTCATTTAAAATGGCAAATAATAATGTATTAAAATAACACAATCAAAGCAGAGGGAGAACAGAAATATTTTGAGGATCAAATTGGTTATTACAATTGCAAGAGTGGACAGCGATCGTGTCTTTTTTTCTTTGCGAATATAACAAACGTGAAGTAATTTCAATCTGTGTATTATTTGAAACCGATGACATTTTCAGCTGTTTTCACATACAGTTTAATTAACGTCATTAATAATTATTTTTTTTATGAAAGGAAATAATTTCTTTTTTACAGGAAGGAATACGTCTGAATAGAATATAGTTATTTATTATTATTATTATTTGTTTATTTCGTTACAATATTATATATCGTTCGATCGAAAGCACCATTGGTTTGAAAAATATTTACGGCGCCGAATGACACAACTTCTTTTGATTTGAAATGCACACGCATATACAAGGGCGTAGCCAGGGTGGGGCAAATTGAGTACTTGCCCCCTCCCAGCTAATCATAAATAAATTTTAAGTTCAATTTTTTTTTGGAAATAAATGATCAAAACAAGCATTTGATACGTTGTATATATTGTATTAGAAAATAAGTAATTATCAATTAAGTTGTAGTATAGCATGTTTGCCATTTTCTAGACAAAATTCTGACTACGCCCTTGCGCATATAGAATCGAACGCTTACACGACGTTTATTATAATATGCACACATAGTCGTATATCCATTCTAATGTAAAATAGTCGACAGAGAGTTTCATCTTTTGTTGTTGTTGTTGTTTTGAAATATATTGTGAGTAGTTCGCTCAGTCGATCAGTAATTGACGACTATTACTATAGACAAGTTTCGGAATTCGTTCGTATTTATACGTGCCGCTACAATTTCGGTGGGGCGTTGTCGTCCTTCTATTTCCCGATAAATCATCCCCGAGCAAAAAATACATAGGTCTTTCTCGCGTTTTAACACTACAATTGTCCAAGATGTTAGAATAAATTTTCATAAAATCGATAACAAGAAGTTTTAGCAAATCTGGAAAATGCTCCAGCTCCGTCATCAAAAAATTTTACAATCTTCGGTTACGCAATTGTCATTTAAGTTTAAACACCATCGAAACACGATTTATTTTGTCACGTTTAGAATCGAATATGCATTAATAATAGTTTAGAAAAGGTACATATCTCGAATAAGAATGCACGTCGAGACGAAAGATTCTTAATCGTACGAGAAGAACTTTAGAAACGTTTATCACCACGATAATGCATAGCTTGCTAGGATTTTTCATCGAAATTTACAGCAGCGTTTCCCAAACTGTGGTTTACGAACAAAAATTACCAATTACAAGTCGAACGAACAAAATAAATAAATTTTGTAACTTTTCATATTAATTTTATCACATTTTTTTTATCCACTTAATAATCAAAAACAAATTTATTTTCATACATAAGAAAACTCCATTAATGTACATAAAGATTTATAGACGTTTCCGAAGATGTGTATGCAAAGTGTTCGGCCATCTCGGGAAAAAATTTCAATGAGAGATTCTAGGGATCAAAATAAGACGAAAATCAAGAATACCAATTTGTTGATTGAGGCTTCGTTAAAGAGTTATTAACGTTTAAAGTTACGCCTGTAGAACGGCAATCGTGCGCGCGATAGGTTGAGGCTGGCCAGTCCCAATGGTTCTCACTCACTAAACTGTAAGGCTGTCGACACGTCAACAAGTAGAGTTCTCCGCTGACTTGAAGTCTCGCGGAAGGAATGCGGGAGAAGTAGTAGAAGGGGTACTCTAGCTCGCTATTCGTCGCGGCAGTTACGCGCACGCGTGGACTGCCTGAGAGCAAGAGAGCGAGATAGATAAGTGGGCGGTCCGACTCCCTTTGCTTCTGCGCAGTCACGCGAGACTTCGAGTCAGCGGACCACAGTAGAGTTCCTCACGCTGAGTGAGAACCATTACCGCGTGCAAAGTTTGGGAAACGTTGATTCATAAGCTTTACCATGCTCGAAATGGTTCCGTGGCCCAGCGTTACAAATGTCAGCGATAACGTTCATTCCAAGGACGCGCTTTTAATCGTCTAGAAGCAACGATCGTTAATTCTTTTACTGGAAAAATATGCCCAAGATTTAGTTTACAATAAGAATACAGCGTGTATTTACGAAAAACAAGACGAAGCATGATCTTGTTCCGCTCCGTTCGACAATTTTGCAGTCGCGTCACAAACTGACACGTTCGAGTAGCATTTTTTTTTTTGTGAAAGATTTTACGATCGAAACGTTTTATACAGTTTAACGGAGCATCGTTCGATCGTATTAACGATAAAAGCCGTAACAGCGACGTTCGAAGACTATCGTTTGTACGATAATCTTACGATTCGATGTTAGCGCGCTCTTTCGTTAAAAGACACGAACTTCCTGAAAACCTCGTCATCGATATCAATGAAACGCAAATCCCCGATTGATCGATATTCCCTTTAATTATACAATACGTAATCAATACTTCTCGTCATCTATAGTAACATTAATTACATATATAATAAATACTGAATTTATTCTCATCGTCTCGATAATACTTAGTCTAGAAGTAAATCTAATTACACGCTAAACGATCGTCAAAAATATATAGCATTAAGTCACAAAAGGTTTTCTTTCCGCGCCGATCATTCCGAGTCGATCGGGTCAGTCGTTCGCTCGTTACTTTTTTTTTTTTAATCTTTTTCTATATTCATTAGTCTTAACAAGCAAACAATAAAACGTCTCCGGCTTCCCTTCAAATCTGTTCGTTAAGGCCAATGAACGCGTTAATTTTTTTTTTTTTCAAATCAAAACAAGCACGAGATCATATTGTTATTTTTTTTTTTTTGTTTCTCTGTTTTCTTCTTTTTTTTTCGTCTATAATTGTCTATCGTCGTTGCAAAATCATACGCGACGTTTCAAGCGCACCGATCGGACGACGAGAAACAAGAGAAAAAGAAACGACAGAAGAAACGAAGAAAGCTAAGTCAGTCTCCTCGGAAACTTTTGTTGCAATGGAAGGCCGTGTTCGGTTTTCAATTGAAAATAATCGTCGGTCGTACTTCCCTCGGTTTCTCGTTTCGTTACATTTCAGTGACAATGGTAAGACGATGGATTATCGGTAAAAGGTGTTTCACACTTTACACTCGCAAGTTGAGGCGAAAATCGAGGCTCAAAATTAGTTTTAGTCACTTTTATGTCATTCGACCCTTTTACCCTCAAGCCATTGTGGTACGTGTCTTCGAAAATCTGACGAACACCCGAGACGAGACAAATTCTCGTTCAAACGGTTCACGTTTCATTTGCCACTCGAAACGTTGATCCAGATAAGAATATTATCCATCTCTGGGGGCGTCAATTTGACAATTAACACATCTTCATAAAATGGAAATAAAGCATATCGACTTTTAACACTGATCGTACAGTTACACAGTTGTATTTAAATTAATATTCGAATTTAACCCCTTACTTAGTTCACGAATCATTTTTCCGTAATTTTTTGGCCAATAAATGTCTTTCGCGTTTAAAAAGAAATTCATTCGGTAAGGGATTGCTGTGTATGACAATCGTGTTTAACAATTTATAGGTTATGTACCCGACGCACGCAAAACAACGCGCGATCCCAGGCTTGAATTTAATAGGGTTAGTTCCGTCCAATTCACAATGTACATTACTGTCCAGTAACAATAATACATTACTGATCGTTCGATAAACTAGGGTCAGTAATATTTATAGGCATTTTTGCTATCATTTAAGATGCAGTTCGATAAATATTACATCTAGCACGAAGTGGTATAGGTAATGTTCGCTGAGGTTAGTGGTCCTGCTATCGATAAAGTTACAGAAAATTCAGTGTATCAACGATAAGACAAATTTAATTTAAATATTTTTTTAAAGACGAGCAACATTTTGTTGACGTTGGAAAATTTCCTGCTTTTCGTGAAACATTTCTTCCAGTTTCTTTATTTATCTGTTGCTGACGACGAGAGGTTGTTTTTTCGGTGTAAAAACATCGATGATCAATAGCAGCACTCCTAACCACGATCTCGATTTCAGATCGAGTTACAAAACTTGAACCTCCAGGTTAGAATTCAGCTTGAAAAAGTGAACATCGTCGAGATATGTATTAAATGCTCGTCAAACAGTTACGTATTAATTTTTGCCAGTTATTTAGCGTAAATATACATATACGTATAGTATCGTACACGGCTAGAAAATTAATTGACGATTATATTTAAAGTATGATGGTAGGAGCATGGAGGAATGTTATTGGACGTCGAATATAAAGTGTGAATCCAATAAAAGATATGTCGTAGCGTTTGACATCGAAGGTATCTTTGGATTCAAACTGATATTTTCGGTACTCGATATACACTGTTCTGCTATCTCTCACTTTCTCTCTTTCTCTCTCTCTCTTTGTCTTTGCAAAGTAAACCAAACAGATGAAATACAAACACGAATCTCATGAACAAGCTTCGATCGAACTTGAATCGTTTCTGCTTGCTTCTTGATAACAGACACTAAATACAAATGATAGGTTAGGAAATTACGTCCCTCCGAGCATCGTCTGTCGTTCTGAATTCGAGGGCCATAAAATCACTCGTCACTCTTTACTTCCACGGATTAAAAGTCTCGTCCTCGATCTTCTCATTCGATCTTTCTTTCTTTAAATATTTCGAAAATTACACGCGACTCGATTGGATCGTTCCGTACGATCGATCGTTCGTGACAAAACTTCCATTTTGTTTACGTTTCGGTTGTATTTCAGTCTTGATCACAACGTGAACACTGGAAGAAGGCTTTGTTCAATAATTTATCATATACAATGATGAGATTTGTTACGTTTTAAATCACTTCGAATCTGATCCAAACTAACAAAGATTCTATTGTCCGTTTAACCACTTTGTGCCCGCATTTAGATGCAACGAATATATTTTTTAATACACATCAGTCTATTTTGTTATAAATATGGGATTGCAGAAAAAAGTCACTGTTTTACCATCGATTGGTAAACTCGTGAATGCAGACTGTTTTATCATTGCATTAAAAAATAGCACTGAATATAATCATAAATAGTTCACTAATTTTTAAAAATAATGCATCAAAGAAAAGTGCATAGTTTATATTGTAAATAAATATTTGAGTCCTCTGTATATCGTCGGTGGATATGGTAGGGTTAAGACAAAGTGCAGGTAAATAAAGTCATGTGATCGCGACGGATCTATCACTCTAAACTGTTTCACTTAAAAACCGAATAAACCTTATAAAGTTATACAGAAAAGGTTATTATCGTAGTTCTGTTTAATGTTTGGATGACAGTGACTGGTTCAAGCGTCTCGCGAGTTTGGAATTACTGTTGCACACGTTATGGTCTGTGTTACTTAACCTAACTTTTCGTACGTATATCATAAGAAAAGAAAATGCAATGTGTTGGAATTGGTCGTTCAAATGACAGTAATTAGGTCCTTTGCCCTAGTTCTCATTGCGATCAGAATTGAAGTACAGTCGTGTCGTTAACGAAAGTTTGATTAAAATACGAATTACGCGTGCTGAAGCGATCGAACGAAACGGTCGAAGCGAGTCGCGTTTAAACATGAACTTCAGAAATATTTATTAAATATTTTGATACGGTCAACAAAGCCAATAATCTGTCTCCCCTCTTTTCTCGTCTCGTTTTCAAATTCTACTGTTATCTATCGGATGGAATGCTACGTCTACGCCGTACGAGCTAACCCATGGAAAATAGCTAATCTTCGTCATTTATATCAGTCAGAAAAATCGTAAATCAAGCCTTGAGGGTAGTTTGATTCGAATACTACGATTGTTTAACGATTTCAGTCGTGGCGTGATCGCCAGGGGTTCTCAACCGCCCCCGGCGTTGCACGCGCGAGGAGCTTAAAAACTGTAATTTCACCGTTTAAAGCGAAAAAGGTACAAGAGCGCGCTGAAGCTGCGATTTATTTCGCACGTGACTCCTTAATCTCGATCAACGTTGGTAGATCTTTCATAGAAAACAGTCTGAAGATTTTTGTGGTTAATATTTCTGAATGAAATTTCTATTTAACGAAAAAACAAAAAAAAAAATAGAAATTATTTAGGGAGTTCTTGTTGGAAGAAAATTAGTGCAACAATTGTCTCTTCAGCGGGCTCTTGTAGACCGTGAATAGTCTTTCTGAGCACCGTGTTTCTTAAAGTAAGAAGTAGTCTTTTCTTGTTTCGCTTCTCGAGCACGTATTGCTGTTGTTCACAACAAAGACAGAATGGCTAAAAAGAAGGGGGACGTCAGAGAGGGACGCTCGCCGAAAAGACTGCGAAACCGTGTATTCTTTTTTTTTTTTTTTGTTGCGTATACGTGAATCCGAAAACGTTCAGTTCCGTTTACCTTCTTTCTCGTGCTAGACTGTTTAGGTTAGGTTACCTTTCGCTGTTTCCCCGAACAAGTCCTCGATAGTTTTGGTTAGTTTCTTTTTTTCTTTCTTTTGTTTGGTTTTTTTTTTTGGTTTGTCGAGCAGAGGCGAATCGTTTAATAGACTAGACGGTGTTGGTAGGGATACCCTCGCGATTGCGAACCGATTTGGAATTGAGCAGAGCCGGAGTAAGGATCGTATGCCTGTAAAATAGAGCGAAAGCTGATAAATTTATGATCATTTATTTCTGTATCACATATCGTTTCAATAAATACAAAATACGATCGTTTCGTTCGTAATACGTCACGTATTTACTCTCGATTGGTAGACATCTATCGTAATCAAATACTCGGTTAAATTTCGTTTCGGGGGGAGACCGAATTATTTACCCTATTTTCTTTGCTCGCCTAGTTTCTACTGCGTTACCTGTGAGCGTTTCCTGGCGACCATAAACCTCTTCTCTGGCGCGTTGTAATAAGTTTGCTTGGGATAAACAAGACCGTATTGAGGGTTGCTGTACTGAGAAGCGCCTTCGTATTGTTGACCGTACTGGTTGCCATATTGCTCGTAGTAGTTCGGAGGATGGGTACGCACGATTCCAATGTCAGGCGACGACAGAGAATCGACGCTGTAGTGGCGGGGAGGGTACACCGGGGAGTCCACCCATGGAATGACTGTACGAAAAACAGTCACAGAATTAGATACACGGTGCCTCGTGCAATAAACATATTACAATAATTTTCGTTCTCGAGCAACAATTTTTCTACGGTATAATTTTTCAACCGTGAACAATTTAATTTTCTGGCGATTCTATAGCAAACGTAAGCGAAAATAAAATTAAAAAAACAAACAAATTTGGATAGGAAAATATAAAAAATACAGAAAAAGAATTTGATTAAACGTCGATTCCACGTTTATCTTCGTCTTTAGCAACAACGAAAACTAAGTATAGAAATCGACTGGACGTAATGTCAGCCAATCGAACCCAATAAAAAATGTAGACTCAAATATAAATAAACTTTACCGAAGGGCAGCAGCTATACAGGGTTGAATATTTCTAAAGCCCTTTTTGCTTCTATTTATCGATACAAACCTTTTTGTTTTGCAATAACAAAGTTTCATTTAATGAATGAATTTAAATTCTTAAATAACTGTTCGTAGCAACTAAATAAATTCAACTGGTCTGCGAATGGTGAAAGATTGAGAAACACTGATCTATACTGTTGTTCGTTTTAGGTAAAGTGAATATGTACTGGTCTCAAACTATACATGAGATAAATTTTTTTATTACTATTTATCCCGATATATAGTTGCAAAAAAGAACGAAGTTTATTCAGAAATTGAAAAAATTAATGTTTGAAGTAATTTTTCTTTCAAAGTGGTTGGGAGTTCCCGGTTAATACTTTAGACTTTCTTTATACGCCTCATGCTCTATGACCTCGTTTCCGTCTTTGCATTCTTAATCTCTTTGGTACGACTACCCTCACTCGAGGGGTCTACCTTGCTTTCTAGATAAAAAAGAAATCGATTAATTATTTTCTATAAAAAAATTTTTTTTTGGAATTTTTTACTCGTCGAACGTAAAAGATTTCTTAAAAAAAAAAGGTGGAAGAAATGAAAATATTTGTTTAATTCTACGTTTTGAACTTACTATTTCGAGAATCATCTTCTTCGAGGATGTTGCCATCGTCATCCATGTTCTCGTATTCTTCGTTCATGTACTTGTGCCAGTTTCTACGTAAAAATTGACTTCCATGAAATCTTATGTCGTCCATAATCAACGACACCATAGAGTCTATTAATTCTTACCGGTTACGACGTTCGTTTTCCCAGAGGGAGAGGAGGGTCAACACGTCCTCCGGATCGATGTCCAATTCCCTCTTGAATCGCGGTTCTTGGTAAATCGGAACGCTAAAAATGACAAATTGAATAATTTGCAACGTCTTCAATCTTTCGTAATTCCTAACCTAGTATAAAACTTCATGTCTAAACTGTTGAAGATGGGAGAATATGCTATAGCGAGTAGTTCAAACAAATGCACACAGGCTACTCAACGTCAGATATTATTATTCCAAGATGAAGCCAAGCATTTGTTTTAATCATTTTACTCGACTGTTTTTCGAAAACGATATTAACCTCTTCACGCCCTTGGCCACATATGTGAACGTTTAGTTTTTTTTTTTCATAATTATAGTTACTGTCAATAATAAATAGACCCAAAAAAAGAAAAAAAAATCGTCCCTGAAGAGGCTAAAAACTAATGTGATTATTCCAAGACGTTCAATTCCTTCGGAACGATTCGTTGCAGGAGTATCGATTTGAAACGCATGTGTACCGAACCAAGGTCCAATCTCATCTTCGGGTATCGGTATAGACCAAACAGTATTAATTACAAAGGTATCGGTACCACAAAGCGACGCTCTAGGTACGACGTTATCTTTCGATAATTTTTGTTCGAATCGTCGATACCGTAATCGTATCGTACCGGTTGCCACCAAACGGTATCGGTTTTCCATTCGCGCGAGCAGATTGGAAGCGCAAAGTGTCCTGAATGGAAAGGCTCCGTCGAACAAAAGAACGATCCTCCGAGCACCGAATACGACCAGCGGGATCGTACGCGTTTGCGCCAGCCAATAGTAGGATATTGTCCTAGGTCAGGTCCCCTGGAGCATGCCTGGTACATGCTCTGTCACGGATGATCGATACAACGCCACCCCGAGTAATACTCTCAGCTGATTGGTTGGTCATATGCCAAAACGGCACCGACTCGTCAGGTGGTTTCATTCAGCTTTACGATTGAACATCCCACGGGAAAAACGTCCGCGGCAGCGAGAAGTTAAAGTTTCGGTATTCGTGGAATAAACTTTCCGTACTCCGGTAGTACGCGACGCGATCGAATATTTAGCGTCCTTCTTTCTTCCAACGAGTTAACGTCGCCTCGGGATTGGCCTGTCCGTCGTCCGTACAGCGAAAACGAAACCCGACACCGGCAGATATTTATACACAGCGACGTCTCCGAGGTCGCCTTTGTCTTTTACCAACGGCCGTAGTCGACGATCGAAGAAAAGTGAGAGCAAATGCGACAAAGCATCGCCTTTTGTACAGATCGTCGCTGGGCACTCCAGCTCCAGAATTTTTCGATCAGGAATACAAAATCTTTTGTAAAAGACAGCCATTGTTGGCTCCACCTTGTGACCAAACACCGAATGTCTCTTAACACGATCGTTTATTCGATATGGAACGAACGAAATTAATTTTTATTTGATTTAAGACTAAGAACATGTAATATAGTAATTAAAGTTTGTTTTGAACTTGGATTATTATTTATAATAACGTTTATTATTTGTTTCGTTATAAGACAATTCTTCGTATCACGTAGTATAATTACAAATTCGAGCACGTGCCGTATAAATTTCCGGATCGTTTAATCGAGGACAGGGCTTTTACATTATGCATTCACATAAATTACTAAACAGTGTTTCATAAATAAAAATGACATGTGATAAATGTCAAAGTATATCATCCGTTTTATATTATGATAAGAACGCTTTGTACCTCCCCATTATCTATAGAAACGTTAGTCTCGATTTATATGAAAATTTTACGTATCTAATCCACAGTGTAAATCGAAGGTTAGGTTTCGGTAGGAAAGCAGTGGAACAATATAGGGGAAAAGATGGAGGACGTCTCTCGATCGAGCAAGGGCAAAATGTATCTCGGAATATCTTCGAAAAAAAGTTTTGACATTGCATTAATATTGCGGTGTATCTCCTGACGCGGGTATTCGATTGCGGGATCGGATTACGCCATTTAGGCGACGACTCGACGACCAAACTCCAGAAAGGTAAGTACTGTTGGGAGCTGTGAGATCTCGAGACACGCTACCAACAAACTAAACGACGCGAGGGGCAAGGGAAATCGGCTGTCTGCTCCACCTAATCCCTTCCACATTTAAGGTTCTCGATTATCATTGGTCGAGTCGATCGCGTAACGAAGAACGCGAACGAAACAAAATGTGACAGTGAGTGACACTAAGGAGCTAAGAAGCGAGGAAAATGGACGGAACGTGTAACCGATTCCCCTTGCTCTTCTCGTCGTTCAGTTTGCTGGTAGCGTCTCAACGTATCAGATTCCCATCATTTCTTAGAATTCTTTGCTCGAGCCTCGGCGTTATCTACAGTTTGCATCGACAGACAGATTTATTTACGTACGACAGCGTGAACTACTACTGTTCGAGTCCCAAAACGAACTAATTTCGGTCCCTATCATTGGACATTTTGTATTCCTCCAGTGTGGTTAAGAATTTTACTCGAAGAATAGAAAATCTTTTTTAAGAATAGAGAGACTTTAGATATATTTCGATTAGAAAAGCATTCGAAGCAGCCTATTGTTTCAGCTCGCGACGAGTCTCGAAGCGGTTCGAACTTTCGTGATTCGCACGTCCGTCGGCCGGAGCCTTTGTTTCACGCGTTTCATTCCACGGCCGTGTCGCGCGCTGCATACGAATTCAGCCGGGGCTCCGTGAATTATCATGCATCTCGCGGAAGCTAGGACAGTTAACTAGGCGCTTATTCCCGTCAGCTGATTGGCTGCTGATATGCGAAGCAATAGCGAGGAGCCTGACCTACTTTCGCTGCCCGGTTCCATTCAGCTTTTCGTGGATCCACCCCTTGGAAATCTACCCTATTGCGTCACGAGTATCGAACGAGTCTCGATGACTGCACCAAACTGTGCGCGTCTACACACGCCCCCCCTCCACACACGAACACTGCGGTGTCGAGTAAAATCTTTATTCGTGAATGATAGATTCTGTTTTTAAACGAATTTACAAACGAAACGTAAAGGAAATTTTTATTATCCGTTTATTTAATTATTTTACAAAACCTCTGGTATTTTTCGAACGTGCAATCTCTGTAATACGATACGCAAAATTTTGTTCCATCTTTTTTCTATAACCATGTTTACAAAAATGCGTGTTGTAGAACAGTCGAATGTTTAATGATCTTTTTCAGAGTGTTTTAATTAATTTAAATTCACCGAGCAACGTCACGTTTGTAATTAATATTCCGAGAAGTTCGTTAGCAATGTATATTCCGCGCTTCTCCGCGTCTGCGAACCAATTAAGAAGTACTAACTGGATTTTAAATGGGGCGCTGCCGTCAGCAGATTGAAAAAACTTTCGCAGGACATTGCAGTTTCAGATTAAGCTTTAATGAAAGTAATTTTACCTACATCTCTCGCGTATTCATGCACACGATTCATTTGTTTATTTTTATTTTCACACTTTCGAATTAATCGTCGTTGCTCTTACGAAATTTATAATTGTAATGCTGTATATTTTAATTATTTCCTCAACGTGAATTATGCAACGCGATCAAAGGATTATAAACGAGGATGGAACAGTCGCGAAAGGATTAATGCGAGGGAAAAAGTTTCGCGCGTTTATCGGCTCAACGAAATCCGATTGAAATATCCGCATCACGGACGCAGCTTCGTGACACTTTATCGAAACTATTTCTTCCCATTGTTTGCCTCTAGTTTCCCGCAAGTTTCGACGAGCCTTTCTTACCCGGCTATGGGAAATTAGTATCGGCGCGTGTATGCGCTCAGGCGGTGACCTGTGACATTCATTTACAGGTCAGGCAATGCACACTCGTGTCTAGGTTTCCGTGTAAAAATAAAAGTTTGACGTAAAGAGCCTCTACCGGCTGACTTGAAAATAATTGATCATGCTCTGACGTACCGCGGAACGTCACCGTCCACGTTCGACTTAATTAATGAAAGCAATTTTACGTCACACGCTGTCGCCGCAAATACCATCGACAACCTTCGGCGACGGTGGCTATCGATTTTCAATTGAAATTTACAGGCGAACCACCCCCGTCGCGATTTATCGCGCAAACCTTCCATTAATTTTTCTACATTTTTAAACAAAATTCAAAATAATCGATACACATTATTTTTTTAATTCTCATACAAAAAAAACTTTCCCATTGTATCTGGTCGAATTATTTTTACAGACAAGTTAACAAATTTTATTTTCAGCGAGCAGTTGAATAAAACGTGTAATCATTAGACGGGAAAATAACAGAGTTCGAAATTTTGATTGAATAGCGCATAATTCGACGACAGCCTTCTGAAAATACCCCGCCGTATATGGGGGCGAAGAAAATGAGACGTATCGGTTTCGTTGCGATTGAATGTTACGGCTACGAAGCGAATAATGGTGTTATTTCGGTCGAACAAACTCCGTTGATGATCAACCGCGATAACCACAGCCTCTTCAAGTCGTATTGAACGACTTGGTCGTCAAGTCGACCGCCGTTCCTCGCGAGGGCAACGCCCTCCGCCAACCCTCTCATCCCCATTCAGAAGAAACGTCGAAGAAAAAGAGGGATGTCCCGAGCCGAGGGGGGGTGAAACTTGAAGGGGTGGGAATGATGGGTGGGTTACACCAAGTCGATTCACCCTGTTCCACAGGTGAATTCGCTCCAGCATACCCCGACTGGATTGCGTGAAACTCGCTTGATCTATGATCTATGATCTTATGAGGACCTCACGGTGGTGGAAATCGCATTTGTACATACTTTGTATAAAAAAACTCTAAAGGGTTTCTTCAAAATGGGCCTCTGTTTTCGAAATATTTTAATTTAAAGTTTTCTATGCCATAATAAATTAATTATTTAACAATTTTCGGTGGAATAAATTGTAGGTAAGTGGATAGGGCGGTTGACTACGAATCTGTAGGTACTAAGTTCGAATCCCCCGCTTTTTGTTACTATTTTTTTTCTGTTTTTTTTTTTTTAATACAACTTTGAAATTGAAAAAATAAATAAAGTAAATGAAATATTTTTTCATTTCAAAGTTGTATTAAAAAAAAAAACAGAAAAAAAAATGTAACAAAAGCGGAGATTCGAACGTACTACCTACAGATTCAGTCAACCACCCTACCGACTTACCCACCACTTATTCTGCCGAAAATTGTTAAATAATTAATTTATTATGTGCGTAGAAAAGTCTAAATCAAATATCTTCAATATGATATAATCAAGACTCACCTTCTCTTGACCTGCGCCTGTACGGACTGCTGCGTGGTCGTTGGCGACTGGAACGAAGTGGTCGACGGTTTGGCGGTCGTGGATCCAGCGGTTGCTGGCTTATCGGACCTTTTCCGACGTTCCACGTGCAAGTAATAGCGCGAGTACGGAGGAACGTCCCAGACCTGAGGCATTTCGTCGCCCAGCTCGTTCACCAGAACCTTGCCGTAGCTGTAACACGTAAACGAGCGCCGGGTTCGTGTGGGTATCGATTTTGCGAAATAAATCGCTTCCGTCCTTTCGGGGAACACTCACTCGTAATTCTTGTCGTAAGGGGAGAAAGAATCGCGATCGTAGAGACCGTTGTCCAGCGACTTCGAGCGAGAGGACTTCTCCTCTTCGGCCAGGGCTACCTTCAGTCCACCCAATCCCGACGAGGAAGCGGTCCCTGGAACGACCAACAAAAACATCACGAACCTTTCGAAAAAGTAAACAATTTTAAAAAAATTATATAATTTATATTGAATCTATTTCACAATTGTGAAACCTGTTTGAACAATTTTCACGCCTGAACGGATAATATAAATCGATTTTAAAACGTCAGACTGACATGTCTGACCCAATATGGCTCCCTACTACTTGCAAGTTTAGTCTTTCGTTTTGGCTGCTGATTGAAATTCGATTCTTACTCTTCTCCGTGGTGGACGTGTACGATGGACCCGCGTTGCTGTCCGCTTGTCGATTCTGTTGATTGCCGAACATCAACATTTCCTGTGCCCGTTTAGCTGAAAACAACACGCATCGCTGATGAGGCGAACGGACCAGGGTGTTCCACGCAGCGTTACGGCGCACCGATTTTAATGATACTCGCGTGGATAGACAGAGAATCTGTTTATCGATGTTTACGATTCAAATCGTTTTAATTAATAAACTATAGTATTGGTGAGTTGTTCGTAATGACGATGTTTATTTATTGTATCGACAAGCGTATTCTTTAGCACGGAATAAAGAAAACAATATTTGTAAACGTATACAGATCGGTCGGTAATGTATCGAAATCGGTCGGTAACGCTTCGTAGGGTAATGCTGCAAAGAAAGAAAAATATCAAAGCAACGCTTCTTACGTTTCGATCTCATGGTTTGGTCAGTCTTTTTTCCATCTTCCGCCAAGTTCGTTGGCAACGATTCGCCTATGATGACGAACGAGCTTAGAGTTAGTAACCACACCCAGTCGCGCGTCATCTAGAAACATGAATATTTACGATTTCACTCGTGGATCGACACCACCGTTACAACCCTAAACTCGACCACACGGACTTCGAATCCGCTTTCGCGTAAATTTCTAACAGGCACGGAATTTTTAATTCTCGTTACGGTTTAAGGACCACAACGTTGTCGTTCGTTTTTTTTATCGACAGAAACAGGTCAGAGATGGTAGATTAAGAGCGTCGTTAGTGTAAAGTGTTCCCGTCGCGCGCAGGTCGAAGTTTACATTCCCTGCGATCGCGAGCAAATGAAGATAGCAGGTCACTACGAAAGAAGCTTAAATGTCACATAATGCGAAATGTCAGGAATCTATTTCCATTGCCATGTGAAAAATTAACGGACATACCATGTCGGAAGTACTATAAGAGATCGCGAGTGTTTTCGTAGGATCAACGCGAAAATCCAACGAATCGTCGTATTCGCCCCGTGAACTCGGTGCGTCGTGAGTTAATTGGAAAATCCGTGTTGGTGCTTTGGGGGTTATGTTATGGCTAACAGGCTGAAAAATAACCTGACTTTCGAAGACGGTCGAGCAATTTCGTCGAATGTTTGATCCAGTCGAATCGAATAAAAGTACGTACTTTAAACTAAAAACCTACTAAATTCTTAATCGTTTATAAATAAATATATTGATTGAATTTATTGATATTTCAAGACATTTTGTACTTTCCCCGAAGAGTATGACTCTGACTTTTTTTTCTTAAACTCTATGTTTTATTCGAAAATTTTCAAAATCGAACTGTTGTATCTCGCTGTTAGTTCAGGCAACGGGGATTCCGGATTGATTTTTAAGGAATTTGCTTCAACAACTAATTACTAGACTGCGAACGATTATTTGATCGAGTTTACCAGGTAGTTTCGAATTCCCTGCAGTTCGTGTTCGCCCCAAAGGTACACGAAACGCTGGAGGAGCCCCTACAAGCCCAACAAGTGGCTCTGATAATTTAATTACAAACACTCGGCAACTCACGCGCAATTGGTTTACGTCGGCTCATGTTGTCACTAATCAGACGCGCAATTAACTAAATCCGATAGCTGGGCTCGAATCGCATAATCGTCGACTCCAAATGGGCGTTCTGTCGATTCAAAATGTCAGGGTTCAGAGTGTTATTTTAACGGTGCGAAATTTGATTAGCGTTATCTGGTAATAACATAAAAGCGGATATCACAATTATGTGAGTTTCCATTTTCCTACATAGAAAGGAGAAAAGTATTCAAGATGAGACAAGTTTCGATACATTTTCTTATAACTCCTACTATTTTCGGACGATCTAGTTGGAACTTCGTAGTCACCCTTTATACATACAGGGTGTTCAGCCAACCCTGGGAAAAATAGACTTCGTTAAAAAGTTATTAACAATTAAAATCAAAAATTTCAAATCGCTCTGGAAAAATTATTTTCGGTTGCGGGGGTCAATTACAATCATTTTTGGTGAATAGACATACCCCCGAAATCCTACCCACTATCGAGAAAAAAATTCGAGGAGGTATGGAATTTTTTGGCGAAAAAAAAAAATTTCAAATCGTTCTGGAAAAATTATTTTCGGTCCCGGGGGTTAATTACAATCATTTTTGGTGAATAGACATACCCCCGAAATCTTACGCATTTTCGAGAGAAAAATTCGAGAAGGTGTGAAATTTTTCAACGGAAAAAAAAATTTCAAATCGTTCTAAAAAAATTATATTTAGTTACAAGGGTCAATTACAAGCATTTTTGGTGAATAGACATATCCTCGAAATTTTACCCACTTTCTAGAAAAAAATTCGAGAAGGTGTGAAATTTTTCAACGGGAAAAAAAATTTCAAATCGTTCTAAAAAAATTATATTTAGTTACAAGGGTCAATTATAAGTATTTTTGGTGAATAGACATATCCTCGAAATTTTACCCACTTTCTAGAAAAAAATTCGAGAAGGTGTGAAATTTTTCAACGGAAAAAAAAATTTCAAATCGTTCTAAAAAAATTATATTTAGTTACAAGGGTCAATTATAAGTATTTTTGGTGAATAGACATATCCTCGAAATCTGACCCACTTTCTAGAAAAAAATTCGAGAAGGTGTGAAATTTTTTAACGGAAAAAAAAATTTCAAATCGTTCTAAAAAAATTATATTTAGTTACAGGGGTCAATTACAATCATTTTTGGTGAATAGACATATCCCCGAAATCCTGCGCATTTTCGAGAAAAAAATTCAGTATGGGCGGAACTTAAAACGTTAATAACTTTTTAACAAAGCCTCCATCAACAAATTGGTATTCTTGATTTTCGTCTAATTTTTGCCTCTAGAATCTTCCATTAAAATTTTTCCCACGGGTGACTGAACACCCCGTATAATTATTATTACAGTATTGTCTCTATAGAAGCGACGCTCTCGGGGCTCAACGCTCGGCTGTATCGTGGACGAGAAACGATTCTTGATACTTTGTTGACGCCTACTGGAGGCGGCGAGTATAAAAAAGAACAGCGAGCATATGACAAAGAGGGACTGAGCGGCCGAGCATCGCCGAATTTGCTATCGCTTCCTTCGCTTCGGGTCGGCTGTAACGAAACACAGGCGATGTTTATGCGAGCCTATACGAAATCGGTGTTCTAATTCTGACTTCTACCTCTCTTGGTAGAGGTCGCAGAATGAAATACTGATTCTGTATAGGCTCGTGTAAACATCGCCTGTGTTTCGATACAGCCGACGTGGAGTCACTTGAACGATGCATGCCTTTGATTTCTTATTGCGTTAGTAAATAGGACCTAAATTGTATATCGTATTTGGTGTCATTTTAATCAGAAAACTGTCACGAATATGTTGATGAAGTTCGAAAAAAGGAAGAACAAAAATAAAGATAAATTTCGTTGTTGATTTAATATTGTATATGTACTAGTTAAATCGTGTCATAACTTCAGTACATATATGTATGTATCGCTCGTTTACTGCAATAGTGATATGACTCAAAAAGATACAACTTGCGAATTTGAACTGTTTAACCAACTTATTTTACTCTGAGTTGTCTCACGATTTCGGCAAATAAATGATAGGTCAATTAAATTATAATTCCTTTTTTCAGATGAGGATACACTTTAAAGAAAGGTCAAATGTATATTATAATTTATGAAAAACAATAATAAAAATTATGTTGTACTTGATCTTAGTTAAATCAGAAAACTGTCACAGACATGTTAAAAGTTTCAAAACAAGAAAAGGAAAAATAAAAAATTTGTATTATTGCACTAGTGTTGCCTTAGTAATTTGAGCCCGTATCGTATGACAATGTTCGACGACCGACCGTCAAGCGCGCCGCTATCTTGGGGAACCGCCCATAGGAAGGCATACTCGCCGATACAGCGAGTGCTTAGTTCTAACGGTACGCAGTGGGGATAAGTAGAGGGGATATGATATTTGCCTATATCGTGGACGAGTTCCGAGCTTATATAGAGAAAATACTGTATACCGAATAATATAGAATTTATGATCAACGAGGAGAAAGTACCATGGATCGAAATTCGTGGTAACTTAATCGTGAATTAATCGATTATGAATGCAAGAGAAATGTCTCGTACATAATTTTGGCGCGTAAAAATGTTCTCTGCCGTTTAAAGGGCGCTATCTGAAATGCTTGGAAACCACTGCTTTAAGGTTAGGTCGCGAAACATCAATTCACTGAACCTCGCCCTTTCACCTTATTTCTGTACTACTATATAGGCTGTTTACCTACAGGTGGGCAATCTTCGAAGTGTGATTCTACTCGGTGAAATAAAATGAAAATCAAGACCAACGAAATTACTTTTGAGGCTGTTTTACTTTCCTATCTGCAACGATGAAACTAAAGTATTACTGTAACGGAAAAAAAAATGCAAAGAAATTTTTTTTTTACAAAAAAAAAGCACCAATGTAAATGCGGAGTTAAAAGCTTGTAAACATCGTTTACGGTTTCGTGATCCTAAATTTATTTATTTTTCCCAATACAGCGACTAAAGTGGCGAAACAAAATTTATACGTGGAAATAAATAGGGGATTGGCACTTATGGCATCAATCAGGATTTAATGTCCGCGATAACACGTCCAACATCTGCTCGTCCCTCCGCGAAGCAATTTTCATTGGTGGTGCAATTAAACGTTCAATAGATAACGCGGGGCCGATAGCGTGGAGCAATTAAACCCGCCAAGCAAATAAAACCAAACCGGATATAGTAGAACCAGAAATCGCACACTTGTTGCGTCTAGAAACACTATAGCCATTTATCGCATTTGTATACGCGTCTATGCGACTCGCAATTAAAGATGCATTTCATTCACCGTACTTTCATTGACGTATCCCATTCGAGACCTAAGGCGTCTGTCTCACCCCCCCCCCTCCACTTCAAAGAAAAAAAAAAATTTCTATCGAACTTTCGAAAACATAGTCCCACGAAAATGATATAAATACGATCTTTCAACAAAAATGAAAATCTATTCTCCAAATAGAAAAACAATTTTTCCGGGTATATTTGAAGGGTAGAATCTATTCCTTTCACAAGATCTGTGAAACTTTCGTGCCGGAGGTAATAGAAAATTTTAATCGCGAAGCGAAATCTAACCCCACGACGAGTCCCTCCTATTCCTGACCCTCTATTAATAACCGTACAATTTTAAACGTCCTTTATCCCACGAAACTTGGCCAATTAGATCGATCGAGAGATCGGCCACAAACCACCCCTCCCTAATTTCAACGAAAACGAACCGGTAAAAATTCGGAAGGCGATAGGGCTGTAAAAGGGAGATTTCACCTTTCTCGATTGCGTGCGGTGTCTCGACTTTGTTCTTAGTCTCCGGTTCCAGCGGTCCGTTCGCTCCTGTCCGTGTTTCCTTCTCGCGTTGCTCCCGCGGGGTGCAGAGATGTTCCTTGCTCGTCTGTTCGAGGTAGAATGAACGTCGGGGCTCGGCAGGGCGACTAGAAAACCGGCTGAGGGTACACGGTCGATCAACCACCCCCCACCCGCGTTCAACGAGTATCCCCCTCTCCCCTTCCTAGGAACCACCCCTGACGGGCTGACGCGGAGGGAGGGGGCGATGTGACGCGCACACGCGCGCGATTATGCCAGAAGGAACGCGCGTTACTCATACACACACCGGGCGCTGTTGTGCCCACGAAATAAAGTCTGCCCACGCGATGACCCCCGGACCACTAAGATTCCTCGAGGCATCCTTGAAATCATTCTCCCACGTTGCAATCACCGCCCCTCGCTATTGTGCTTTTAAAAAATTAAATTAAAAAAATTCCAAATCATTCTGAAAAAATTATTTTTGGTTACGGGGGACAGTTACAATCGTTTTTGGTGAATAGACGTACCCCCGAAATCTAATCCACTTTCGAGAAAAAAATTGAATAAGTGGACAAACTTTTCGGCGAAATTAAAAAATTTCAAATCGTTAAAAAAAAAATTATTTTTAGTTCCAGAGGTCGATTACAATCATTTTTGGTGAATAGACGTACCCTCGAAATCCTACCCAGTTTCGAGAAAAAAATTCGAGTAGGTGCTGAAATTTTTCGGCAAAATTAAAAAATTCCAAATCGTTCTACAAAAATTATTTTTCGTTGCAGAAGTCGGTTATAATCATTTTTGGTGAATAGACATACCTCCAAAATCCTACCCACTTTCTCGAAAAAAATTCGAAAAGCTGTGAAATTTTTCGACAAAATTAAAAAGTTTCAAATCGTCCTAAAAAAATTATTTTTAGTTGCAAGGGTCAATTACAATTATTTTTGGTGAATAGACATACCCTCGAAATCCTACCCAGTTTCGAGAAAAAAATTTAATAAGTGGACAAACTTTTCCGTGAAATTAAAAAATTTCAAAGCGTTTAAAAAAAATTATTTTTAGTTGCAAGGGTCAATTACAATCATTTTTGGTCATTACACATACATTGGAAATCCTACGTACTTTCGAGAAAAAAAATTCTTTACCGAAAGTATACTGTGTGATGGGTGCATATGAGTGATGGATCGAGTACTTGTGAGAGAGGTAAAGGTCGAGCATGTCCCTCTGTTGGAGAGCGCTGGAAGTGTTATCGCAGATTTTACAAGAGAAAATAATAACAAAAGTTCGTACAAACATAAGTCGATTTCGTAAATTAAACGCGATAAAGGGTAGGTGGAAGGGTCGTTAGCGTTCGGTTAAATTGCGATTTTAATGGCACTTCTGGAAAACCGATATTCCGTTCGTCGAATATTTAAATTCTGCGTTTGTTTTGCCCGCGAATGCAATTCTGTTTATTTGAACGGTACCATTTGACTAAATGGATTAATAAACATCAAAATTGTTCATAAAATTTCACACATGGAAAATCCGCTCTCTTTTCGATGTTCGTTTTTATTTTATTTACCAATTTATTTAACAACGATACAGTATCAATTGGATCCGGGTGTGAGCTGGGATAATCCTCTTCGACAAAATGGTCATTTCAATGGAATTATTGCGTGCGTAAAAATTGTTACAAAAATCGAGTGTCTGGTGTTCAATTTTGCGGTCGTTTTGACGCTCGATTCAATGTTTTTTCGATAACCCTCATTTCATAATAAATCATCGCGTAACTAATATATATTTACAATATTTTTAGTGGTACTTTCACGTTCATTTTCTTTCCCATTTTATGTAAGTATCAATTTAATTTAGTCAACGAGGTATTAACGAAAATTGAGGCTGAAATCCGAGGTGGACTTAGCGGGGGCGTCCAAAGGATTAATAAGATGGTCCAGAAAAGTCCTTGGTATCCTCGAGGATCAAAATATCCTCGACAAAAATTGAGTTTTAGCCCAGACTTGATTACTCGAATCTCTCGCTCTAAATTGCAAAATTTTCTCGATATTACTCTGAAGTTTTTAAATAGAATCGGAATCGACCAACACATTTTTACTATCGCTCAAAATATGCTGGTTATTCGGTTAACCTGTTTCCGGCGTCCCACCCTCTATAAGAGAAGTGTCGTTTTATACTACACGAGATCAATTATTCGTTAAGCTACGTGAAAGGTTGACGAAAGTGTCCTTGAGGTGTATAATAACTTGGAAATCCTTCCAGCCCGCTTCACTGTAATAATTCGTATCAATTATTATCGTTAAGTAGTAAAGTATAAGATGGCGGGGACTTTAATTAAAACGTTCTGCGCAGCGTTATAATCGAATTGCGCCGTCGGCGCGAACATCCCCGCCGATTCTTAGAAAACAGATTCTCCAGGACGTAATGTATTTTCCTCGTGATTCATCGTTTTCCATCCGAACGGCGAAGCGTAATATCTTCATTGCGAATAAACAGTTTTCGTCGAGGAAAAAAAAAAAGAAACGTACACTTAAAAGTTAACCTTAAAATCCTAATCGCATTTTCAAAGATAGAAAAAACTGTTGACTTTAGCGTGTATATTACCGTGTATATTACCGTATAATTAACTATAAATTATAAATTAATAATAAAAATATTTTAATGATATATTTTTTATTTTGGAAACGATCGATCAACTGCAATAAAAGGAAGTCTTAATTTCATATTCAGCACTTGTGTAGTATCGATATCTTGACGGTTACGACGGCTTCGTGGCACCGATCCAATGTTATTACTTCGTGCAAGTTCGTCTAACGACCTTTCCGTAACGATGGCGTTCGTTCGTTTTCGCCGGATCGCCATGAATTGCGCCGCGTATTACCGTTTTCTTCTCGCCGTCAGTAACAGACGGGGGGGAACCGTGGTAGCGGTGTTCCGTATTCGCTCCCCGCGCTCCCCTGCATCCCCGCAACAGGCCAAACGCCTACACGCCACTGTGTTACGCCCACGGACGCCCGACGCCCACGCGTACGCTTCGATGTGTGTACGGGAACGAGGGAGAGATCAAGCGACGCGCGAAATTTTTTTTTCTCCCTTTTCTTCGTCGCGCTGACGTCCGTCCGTGCTCCTCTCGAACAAAATATTTATCGTCGCCGCAACGTTATCCTTGAAACACACGCGGCGATGCCTTTCGGGACACTGCCGCCCCGCCATACGTCTTTCTTCGTTGCAGACGCGCGCGATCCTTTGCTGTCCGTCAATGAACGCGCGCTGCAGCCATCTTCGGATATCAAAACAAACACGTATCGTCTGGATTAAATAAACTTCTAGACTTAACGTTACTTTAGTTTTTGCAACAAAAACTAATTCAAAATAAATGTTTCATCGCAACTTGAAGATAATGAACTAATACAACTCTTAGTTTTGAAATAAAAAAAATTTTAGTATTATTGCACGAGAGTTACCCTTCCCCAGTTAAGGGGTCAATGTACGAGGCGCATTCATGAGTTGAAAAATCAGAATATCTTTGTTTTATGAAAACGAACGGTCGCGTGTTGCGTGTGTCCGTTGCATTTTATTTTCCCTGCGTCGCTTTGATCGATCCTGTCCCTTTATCTGCGTCGTGTCGTCTCGGAGACGACTCGAGGAGGGTGACTCGAATTAAACGCGTTTCTCCGGGGTAGCGGGCAAATTCCCGGAAGCGACCGCTCTTCAGCGAAGTGTTTACTCGAGATACGACACATCCTGGTGCACTACGCATCTCCGTAATTGACCTATTTCCAGTAGAAACGGCCCCACACTTGCGCGAATTAATGTACTCGCGCAAAAACAAATGCAGCCACGCCGTTGGGGTCTTCCACGAAGCAACGTTTCCCGCTAGCGAACCCTACCAGAAGCTCCCTTTGTTATCGAATACCACACGTGTTTACTGTGTACAGCAGAACCTCCATTATACGAACTCCCGTTACGTGAACCTTCTATTATGTTAACGTTCTATTATACGAACAGTATTTCGTAAACCTATTAACGTTCATTATGGAAGTGACATAGCATGCGTAGTATTAACGATCGAACAAAAATGTGAATTGTAACGTTACAAGTATAATAGAACCTACGAGTGTGATCGAATATCCTAAATGATTATATAAATTTTATACAGGGTGTTCGGAGAAATTTTAATGGGGGATTCTAGAGGCCAAAATAAGACGAAAATCAAGAATATCAATTGAAATTGACCCATGCAACCGAAAATAATTTTTCCAGATCGATTTGAAATTTTTTAATTTTGTCGAAAAATTTCATACCTTCTCGAATTTTTTTCTCGAAAGTGGGTAGGATTTCGGGGGTATGTGTATTCACCAAAAATGATTGCAATTGACTCCCCTAACCGAAAATAATTTTTCCAGAACGATTTGAAATATTTGAATTTAATTGTTAATAACTTTTTAACGAAGCCTCCATCAAGAAATTAATTTTCTTGATTTTCGTCTTATTTTGGTCTCTAGAGTCCCCTATTAAAATTTTTCCCAGGGCCGAACACCCTGTATATTTTGCCACAAAAATTAATGTAAACTGTCCTCAAAAATATTTTATATTAAGTTCAGAAACTTAGATACGAACTGACGAGAACGGCTATAAATTTTTCATTAAATTTAGTACACGAACATTGTTCAAACAACTCGTGCAAACCTGCTATCTTTGCGGAATTTTTCCTAACCTAACACCTAATGTAATTCTCGCTTTTAACCTTTCAACCGTTGCACTCGAGTATACTCGAGCTTGGATAACGATGTTATTCTAGATGCTCCAACATCCTTTTTTTTTTTTTACAATGGCAATTTTAACGTTTATCTTACATTAATTGTTGAAAATGTTTTCTACAAATTTTCCCCTTGTTCCCGCATGGTGTATCATTTTAAAGAGAATGTCCTCGAAGGTTACGAGAACAGAGCCACGTAATTGTTGCTAATTTCTGGCCGAGTATCGAGAAAATGAAACGCCACACCTTCCCATCCGACGAGGGACACTCGTTCCTCAAACTTAAAGGACCTTAAACAGTCCGAAAATGTGTCTCGTCCAACAAACGAAAAGTTAATTCTTCCATCCATGGGGGCTGATTATTCCGCGGAGGATACCATCGAACGAAAGAACCTCGTCGCTTGTAATTACGGCAGAGTTCCGTGAAATAATATAATTCGACGTGCTCCAACGTCCTGAAGGTTGGTCCCCATTGACGTCAGCCGTTGATTCTGGAAACGACGAATCCCCGTGCTTCGTGGACTCTCCGTTGGGTGGGGATGCACGCGTCGTGAGGAAATCGTCCGTAGGAGGGGGCGACGCGATTCAATCCAGGTACGTTCTACCGAGCATCGGACCCTGGATCAAAATAGTCCTTTCCAAACAATGGCAGACACCTTCCGAATTAATATCCAGTCGATTTTACTTAAACCAAAGGTTCCAGAACATTTTGCTAGGCGTCCATTTAAAAGAAAAAGAGAAAACTCCTACCTGTATTTACCTGTTTGCAAATCAAATTTATCTTATAGCAAATTAACTCACCTTGTGAACGATACAAAAGTATTGTGTTAATTTTATGTTAGGATTAATATGAAGAGCAAAATTAAATTAAATTTCAGAAAATGTACAACCTAGCGTTAAAGATGGCAGTTTCTTAATGACGTAGAGGTGGACGAGTTCCAAAAGGAACGGGCAATTCACACATAATCGACGGAATCGTGGACAAATTCCTTTAAATATCCTGAAAAATAATTTAATAAAAATAAATAATTCTAACTCTACAATTATTGATGAAACTTATTGATTTAAAAGCCTCTATGTGTAGATGTACTTGTCGCAGTAATAATCTGTCTCAAGAATTAAACAAAAAAATTAAGTTTAATGAAAGGTTAGAGATTCGTGTTATCAATGTGTAAAGATCCATTGTTGTTGCAACATACTCTCCTCTATGTATACAAATTTTTTTAAAAATCTACTTTTGAGGTTATAACGCAATAGTGTAAGCTAGTTGTATACAAATAATTTTGTAAATTTGTTCGAACTTGTGTTAGACCACAGGCATTTCGTATCGTCGATACTACCCTGCAAAGTGGAAAATGTGGAAAGTCGAGGGAAGGGATATCCCGAAGGAATAGATCGATGTTTCGTTCTGTGTAGTAAGGGACGCCTGTTGATATAAAACAGGAGTAGGTTCATTCATGAAAATGGCGAAACGTGAACATGTTGTATAATATATACCATCTCGAAATATGTATAGCTTTACTATTCGCTAATAGAACGCTGTATAGACGCTAGAATTTATGTACTTATAACCCTCGTTGGAACATGTTTCGAAAATTATAAATAAAGGGAAAGGCATTCATGACTTTGTTGCAGATTATTTACTGTAATTATTCATGTAATTAGTAATGTATACAGTTGCTCAAGATACGAAGTTATAGAATAGATGTACAATAAGTAATATTTTTCTTCAGACGAATTTATGACTCGCAAAAAATTGCGAACCCTTTTACCATTTCCGATATTATCGATTAAGTGTAGAATAAAACACCAGCATGTAATAGATTTTTGTGTTGCACGAAAGGGGACCCGTGAGCCCCCTTACCATTTCCGTGACACTACCTACGTTATCGGTTCAGGTTAAAATGTCACCACAGACGAGGGATGGCGGCCAGTTGAGAAACCATTCGCTGAATTAGTATTTATGGGCAGCAGCTGTAGTGTATGAAAAAACGCAATTTTCAAACGACCATAACACCTACAATAGTGAATACATTTCAATGAAACTTTTTTCCGAAGTAGAGCTCATGGGTACCTACAAAAAAGTATTAGACAACTTTTCTGTAGGGCGTCAAACAAAATTGCTAAAAATGAAAACGAATTTTTAAGGAAAATCGACAGGGGGTAGGTGGCCAAATTTTTCGGCGAAATTGAAAAGTTTCAAATCACTCTGGAAAAATTATTTTCGACTGCAGGGGTCAATTGCAATCATTTTTGGTGAATACACATACCTTCGAAATCCTACGTACTTTCGAGAAAATAATTCTTTACCGAAAATATAATGTGTCATCAGGAATGTTGTGTAATTTCATTTTCTGTCTCATTTCCACTTGTGTTTATTTCTAAATCTGTTGGTAACGTTGCGAGTGACACGAAAATGGTAATGGGGCTCTAGAGCCCCAGAAAAATGGGCCGAAAAAATACATTAGGTGAAAGGTTTGGAATTAAAATTAGAAATTTAGTTAAATAATTATTTGCTGGACTAGAACTTGAACAAACTCGATAAATTGATTAAACGATGACGTTGCAAGAGAAACAATAAAATCATCTATACGTGACGGTAGCCGTTAAAGTGTTTATTTTTACATTATCTTTCCCTTCTCCTAAATCCTTCAAAAATTTGATGAAATCATTCTATGCAATAATTTCCGTAATCGTTGTTACTTATTGCCCCAACTTAAATTCTTTTTCCATTCCTACCAAAAATACTTCAGGCGACTAAAATCACAAGAGACTAAATACATAATGTATATATGTTAAAATACGCTATTTTGCAAATTTAAGTAGTGTGTTTTGTTTGTAACCTATTTTTTCACGCATATATCTATTTATATGAGTTCGTTTCAAGAAAACGAACATTAAGTTGTATTATCGTATGCATTTCAAATGTTATTAATCGTTATCAGCGACGTATCGTACAAATTCAGAGAATATTATAAAAAAAAATGAAATTTGGCAAAATGGCGGTTATTTACAGAAGAAATGTAACCAGCGTGACTAGATCTGGCATAATTGAGTGCATCGACGTCGACATTAGTAACGACGAACTTCCTTAGCGTCTAACGGACTGGTGGGGATAGCAGGTATATACTACCGTACGAGCCACGTGTACGTGAGTTCGGCGCTTCGATAACTTTGGGAAATCGATAAAGAACGCGAGTGCGAATGTAACCGTTAAATTTATAAATACAATGTACGCGTAGTCTCGAAAGAATATTAACTCAGAGATGCCAGAAAAGCACCGTCGAGTGCCCTACTCACACATGCCAGATACACGTACGTGTGCTCGTGGAGTTTCGGAAAGTCGACAAAGGCAAATTGACGCATGCCCTCTTTCTCGATTCTCCGAAGCTGCCCGAAGTAATTTCGGACCGCTTCGTGGGAGTCAAGAGAGAAAGGGTCACATTTGCAAAAAAAAATTTTGTAAAATTTATTTTACGGAAATACACGTTTTAGGACCCCCTGATCATATTTTAATTATTGAAAAAGAAAGAAATTTTTTTTTATTCCCATGTATGAGCACATGTATGAAAAAAAATTTCTTTTGGGTACTTTGCTTATGTACGTCTACATAGGTCGGAAAGTAAAAATGCCTGGGCAGTCGAGAATCCAAATCGTATGCCGTTGACGGGAGGTCGGATTTCAGTTGTTGAGAGCGAGAAGGCAAATGTGAGCCTTTCTCTCTCGACTCCCACGAGACTGTCCGAAATTACTTCGGGCAGCTACGGAGAATCGAGAAAGAGGGCATGCGTCAGTTTGCCTTTGTTGACTTTCCGAAACTCCACGAGCCAGCGTTACGCGTATCTGGCATGTGTGAGTTGGGTACCCGACGGTGCTTTTCTGGCATCACTGAATATTAACATGAAAAGTAGTAGAATGTGTCGAGATTTGTGAAATCAAGATAAACAATAAGACGTATTCAATGATTAGAAGTTAATAAAACCAACATGATAATATAAGTACATAAAAGAAGAAAAGATGTCGAGGCAATCGTTTAGTATTGTTAAATATTATCCAGAACAGGAAAAGGGCAGATGTGGTTATTGCAAAAGTCCTGATACAAACTGCAGTTATGGTAAGTACACGTTATTGCAACGCTATTTTATTTTACAACGTACGTGTAAAATTGCCGCTGTCGTGTTTCTGTTGATAGGTTATGTAGCTCGTATGACAGTTTATGTACATCGAATTTGTATTGTAATCGAATGTTACATTCCGACGTATTGGTGTTATTTAACACTAAATTTACGGATTCCGTCAATTTGACGGATTTCAGATTCTATAGTTGAAAGTTACAGAACTCGCACAGTTTATTCAGTCTGATTTCGTTTCTCGAAAAATTATCTAAATATGCAAAATTGATGTACACTACCCTATTGGCCATAAAAAACTATAAAAATTTGTCGTACTTCATTTTTTTCTAATCACAATAGTTTTCAAACAAATTGTTGGTTAATAATAATACGAACAGCCTGTATATCTTTTAACTCATTTTAATGTAATTATCAACATAAGAGGGTTCAATAAAAATAAGTATAATCGATGACTGTAAATCTAGCATTAAACTTACTGTATTTCTATATTTTATATACTTTAGGTATGTGGGCGCAGAGGTTAACCGTAGAAGATTACCAAGCTTTATTAGACAGAGGTTGGAGAAGAAGTGGTTGTTATTGTTATAAACCACTTATGGATCAAACCTGTTGTCCTACGTATACCATAAAGTAAGCATAATGATTATATATAACGCTGAGAAATATTCCACCATTACCAATTTTACTGTAATATCGGCAACAAACGTTTACCGTAGATGCGAAGCGCTTCAGTTTAAAATTACCAAATCGCAGAAGAAGATCCTGAAAAAAATGGGAAGATTTTTGAGAAACGAACTGAACAAGGACGACACTATGGATACGAGCGAAGATGATGATGTCAGAGGTAACGATACGATATATGCGATATTAACGCGCGTACAGTTGTCACTTTCGTAATCATTTTATCGTAGACATCGGAGAATTTCCTAACTATAGTAAACATCTTCGAGAAACGGAAGACTGTGGTTTCGAAATGGATGTGAAGTCTGTTAACGAGGAAGTAAATAACAAAGTACAGCCCGACGTGTCGGAGAATGAAAAACAGTGTAACGATCCAGACACTCAACAGAAACATTCGGAGAGTTTACCATGCGCGTTGAGTCGTAAAGAAGATTCGCACGATATATCGCAAAGCGTGGAATCGGTAGAAATGAATTCCGTCAGAGCGCCGTGCAAGAAAGCCAAACTTCTGCGCATCGAGCGCAAACAAAAGAAGTTACTGGCCCAAGGGAAGACTCAGGACGAAATAGACGCGATGTTCAAAGAGAACAAGCAACAAAATCGTGCTAAAAGTTTAGAGGAATTGTTCGAAGAAATGTTGAGCGGAACAAAGAGATTGGAGGTAGGATATCGTAGTTCACTTGTCACGTATATCATCGAACGTTGCATACGTCATAAGTTGGTCCTCTTTTCTCCAATTCAATTTACATTTAAAAATATCTTTCGAATAGCGACAAAGAATCAAATAGATGGAACACGACGCTGCTTCGCATATTTATACTCGCACTTACGAAAATAGTATAATGCTTACAGTGTTCTATTCTGTTTCTCCGATTCAGTTACAGTATTTCATTATGAAGATAGTTTCGTTTGGTTGTATTTCGGATAAGTTTATGTTAAAATTTATGACTTTTATAAGCTGAAACTAGTTAGAACTTCGCCAATGAGCTCCGGATACATAAAGACTTCGAATGTATCTTACGAACTGTATAAAAAATATCAGACAATAGTACACGGAGATCCAGCAGCGAAGGTTACAGAGGAACGATATGCGAGATTTCTTGTGAAATCGCCTTTGCAGGTAATTTTACAATTACTACGGTTTTAGGGACTTACATTCGTTAAATATTTATTAAAAGTAATTGCATTACTTTCTTTTGCTATTTCAATTTAATACATAATATCATACATAATTATATAGTAAATTATTGAATCTAATGTTTGTATATTTGTTAGAAGCGGGCACGTGTCTTCTTAAATGTTTACTCATATTTAACGTAGACATATGTCTTGCTAAACGCTTTAGTATATACTAAAGCGTTCAGCAACAATAATTAGAATCTTTGTAGTACACGATTGGAGCAAAGTGGACCCTTTTATACAGTGTATGTTTTAATTATGTTATTTAAATGGTTCTCACAATATATTTGCGCGTCTGTAACCGTTAAAACCGTCTGTTCTGCGCAGAAATTGCCTCGAGTATTGTGAATTAATTTTTTTACAAATATTCTTGTAAATTCGTCAGATAAAATTGGTGAAAGTAATGACCAACGAATTCAAACGCACTTTCGACGAAAGTGCGAACCTTTATAAAAAATATCAAATGGCCATCCACGGAGATCCACCGGAGGAATGCGAAAAAAAGTCATTCTTCAACTTTCTAGCAAAAAATTCTTTACAGGTACACTTTGTATTCAATCTGATCTCTGTCCCGTTCGCGTTCTATGTATAAAATACAAATAAATATCGTTCCAATGTTAAATGCTTCGGTTATGTATGATATTGTAATTTTTTTTTTTTCTTGTCGAATAGTCACTTTGGTTTTTTTTTTTGCCGAAGAAGATAAATTTTAAGGTACACGCGATTAAAGACGTTTGTAATTTTCAAGCAATGGAAACCAAGCAATGGCCCGCCCACCGGATACGGTACCTTCCACGAACAATATTGGTTAGACAATGAACTGATAGCCGTCGGAGTGATAGACATTTTGCCGGCGTGCATTTCGAGCGTATATTTTTTTTACGATCCAGCGTATGCTCATCTCTCCCTTGGAACATTTAGGTTAGTACCATTCAGGGAGAAAAACGACTTGGAATCGGTTAGAATATCGTCTGTATCCGGGAATTATTGTGTATCTCGTTTAGCTCTTTAAGAGAGGTTTGCTTGACGAGGGAACTGAACCGATCGGCGGAAAACTTGAAATATTATTATATGGGATTTTATATACACACATGCCCGAAAATGCGATATAAAACACGGATGAAACCATCGAAGCTGCTCTGCCCTGAAACGTACAGGTGGTTCGACGTGGAGCCTTGCCTGCGGAAATTGGACAAAGAGAAATACAGCAGACTGAACGACGACATCGACGCTATCGACGAAGATGGCGTTATTAATGTCAACGAGGTATAGAACAATCTTTATACGTGTATCCATCGCAATGGACGTCCCATGATCTTTGTTTCAGCTAACAAATCATTCGTCCTCAGGTATGCATAATACATGCCAAGGTTAAAATGACTTTCAGAGCTTTCAAAATACTGATCAAACCGACTGTTACTAAAGAAGAGGAAGAAGAGGTCGAAGAGTACGCTCGTTCGGTCGGAATGAAGTGCGCGCGAAGTATGTATCTCTACCGTCGTTAAAACCAGGCTGCGTACTGGTCACAGTTAGTATATTTCTTTTCGCGTTGCGATAGCGATTCGTTGTTTTCACGGACGAACAAGTCACTAAAAAAAAGCTAGTTCTAAGACGCGATTAACCTTTTAACTGGAATGTTAAATCTACGAAAAACGCATTCTGTCCTCGACGTGACAAATCCATTACGACGAGTTAATTCGTCGCACAATAGAAACGCATTCTCCATTGGCGAATTAACTCGTCGTCCCCCCCCGGTTAAAAGTTTTTAACATTCAGCGAATCGAGTGAAACTTAACAGCTTCGAATAAAGTATTTATGATAATAAGTGTACGGAAAGTTGAATGAAAATAAAAAAAGAAATTAGTTCTGTTGAGATGCATTTTTTAACGTACATGCATTAATTATTGCTTTTATGAATATTACGAACGAGTTTCCGACGACAGAAACGAAACATTACCTATACATTACAGAATACCGGTATAATGTATCTGTTGCTTTGATTATCTTCCTAATAACCGAGATCTTAGATGTATGATGTCCGGTTGAAGAAGATGAGTCATGTAATGCAGCTCTGACGTTCTTGCACAATGTCGTATTCGGAACTGGTCGAAAATATTTCGATTTCAAAACACAGAAAACACTTTAGGGGGCCATTCTACCTTGCAGGCACGAAAAATACATGTTTGTGATTTTTTTTTGCGGGCTATCAAAGAGCAATTAATTCCGGGTTTTGTAGGTACGTTTATTATATATTTAGCTATATTTACGAATTTTTTTAATGCATGATATCTATCGATTACGCTGTTTTTGTTGATCAACAAACAACAGTTTTTACGATCGGCGTCTAACTGCGTATGTGATATCTTGCGAACAAATTATCCGAAAACCAACGATATTCTTAATATAGACGAGTGTGGTTATAGCAGGAACTAGGATCTTTTAAAAAAAAAAACAAAAAATGGCTATTTTACAAAAAAATAGTGAATATTTTCATATATTCAGTTGATTTTTTGTTAATAAAAGAAAAAGTATTGCATATATCGCAATTATCCTAGTTCGTGCTACAGGGAGACCAGTTCTAAAGATACTGTATAAATTTCATGTTGATATCTTGAATAGTTTTTTCGTTATCACATACGCAGTGGCGAAAAATGTAGTTTCGAGAAAAACAGCTTTAAAACTTCGTTAGTTTTTCAAATTTCAATTTAATATTCGGTAGACATATTTTCGAGACTACATGCTAAAAGAAAACGCAAAAAAAAAAATTCGATTTTATTAAATCCCACAAAGTAGAAAGGCCCCTTAAGTGTTCGTATAAATACTTTATTTTCATTGTTATATCGACGATCTCGCGTACAGCGACGTTGCAGGAAAATGAACATTATCTCTATGAACAGGTAATAAACACAAAGATCTCAATTTCGATTAAAACGTATTTATTCGATAACGAAACATTCAAGTATCACATAGTTATTTATTATACAACGTTCTAAATCACATAGAAAATAAAGAATATTATTTGGTATACAATGTTTGTCATATGAAATCGCATGAACAATGTCTTGTACTATAAATTTCGCGTGTATTATGAAAAAATGTTAAAATACACGCGGGTTTCGGTAGATTTGTAAAAATATGTATATACAATGTGCTGTCGTTTAGACGACTATCCTTTGTTAATGGTTCCCTAAAATAGTCTGGTAATAAATCCCACCGTAATTTATGCAACAGCAAACGTTCGATCGGTTGCTTCGCAATTCTAACCTAACTAAATTCAAACCTAACATTTCTCTCTAGCCTTCACTTTCGTTTCACGCAACTGCGCGACGTAGCATCGATAAAACGTTTAAAAAGCATTCTTCGAAACAATCAATTTCTCGCGCGGTTTCTTTCCGTATCTTCGGCTGGAATTTCGTTCCACTTCTGTATGTTTCCGCTACCACCGAGGACGAAGATGACCATACAGACTATACAAACAGCCGCGCCGATCCAGAACAATATTTGCCATTTCTCTATAGGGTTCTATAAAACGAACATCATAAACAATTACGCATTATCGACTAAAATCATTCACTGGTCAACAGCAAATTTGCATTCCTCGTCTAAGCAAACGATTCTAGTCCCTGCCATGACTCTGGTTGCGAAAATGAAAATTAATTTGAAATTAACCTCTTCAGAGACAATTTTTTTTTTTTATTATTCTTTTTTTGGGTCTATTTATTATTGACAGTAACTATAACTATTAAAAAAAAAACTAAACGTCCACATATGTGGTCAAGGGCGTGAAGAGGTTAAAATTTCGACTTTGGTTCTTCTAAATGCAAACGACACTAAGCAGAAATATTTCCCATCTCCGTTGTTATGTACGTGTACGCAAATTGTATACTGTAATACTGTTATTATACATACGCAATAACAATTATGCCCCGTTGAGTTTAAAATATAGTTACATGACATTAATTACAGCTTATGAAACATAGTTTGTATTAGGGAGAGAATTAACACATGAACAGTTGCGAAGGATCGGCTTTTGGGGTACCAGAAAGCGTGAGCCACATTGAACAAGGACGCCCAATACCCGCGCAGCGTGTGCAGCGCTGTTACGACGACGACAGTGACGGAACTGTTGGATGTTAGGCGTGTGCATGCAACTGTGGAAGCGAGTGGATCGGGGATGGTTCAACTTGTAGGTACTTCTCGTACTATACAACTTGCGACGATATAGAAACGAGCAAGTACCCACGTGTCGTCACCACCACGTGAGTCTGGATAAGCATGAGTGCGTGTGATCTTAGCAGAGACCTTCTCCCGCCAGTTGTTCGTGCTCGCCGCTTATTGACGTTTACGATTAGCGCTCCGTCCATCTACAATTACCGAACACGCGTACCCCGGGCACGTTTCGTCCCTATTTATCGCGAATACACGACTCATCGACATACATCTAGTCCGCAAATTTACTGTACACTGGCGCTAAATCCGTGTCTCATAAAACACACCAACAAAGATGGCCGCCATCAGTAAATCCTAATATTTAACTTCGTCATGCTACTATTTAAGTTCAACTACGGAAAGGATACCAGTAATCGAAATAACATGGTTTCGTTTTTTTCATTAATTTTTTCGAGACCCATAACTATTTTATTTTGCATCAGTTTTTGTTGTAAATTTAGTCGATAAAGCCCCCACTCTATTGTACATAGAATAATAAATAAATTTAGATACCCGTGATGTTATTATTAAGTTCCTTCGATGAGTATACTTCCACGAGTAAATTTTGTGACTAGCTGTACGCGTGAGATTCGCGTTCGACGATGGAATACGAACAACAGGAGCCCGATTTTACGTTCAATGGATCATACATGTACTCTTCTCGGATGTAAACGGGACACACAACCGGGTTAAAGAAGATTTCACGAAAGGAGCGCGAGTTAAATTTCGGATGCATCGCATACACAATTCCCCAGTACTGCCCGTACTATGAGTTACGCAACAGAGTACAAGGTTGGACTGAGGTCTCGAGTATGCCAAGAGCACCTTCGAGCTGCGACAAGCTGTAACATGACACCTGACGACACGCGTCAACGAGCGCAAAACAACAAATTAAATCGTTTCTGGGAAGCTTCGCATAGATCCAAAAGACTTGCTTCCTTTGTCTTTCTGATATTCTTTTTCGTCTAAAATATTTATAATTGTAAAAACATGCAATGTTCTATATTAAAATACAAACGTGGCTAACCTAAACAGCCGTCGTGAAATTTATGTAAAAGTAAATCTTTATTAAACTATTTTTTATGGATGGTGTATTAAACCGAATGGACCAACTTTTGAAACGGAAGAGAATCGAATTTATATCGAATTATATCGATATTGTCATAGCGCTGTTACAAGCCGTGGTTCGTGCAAACAAAGCAAGGAAAGCGACAAGCGGATATGGAAACTTTTTTCAGTGCGAAAGAAGCATGTACTCACCCCGTATTTTCCAGCAATCTCCTCCACCATCGGTGAAATAATTATGCCGGACGCGCAACCGACCGTGTTCATGATACCGTACAAAAAGCCGGCGAAGTTCGGCGACAGGTCCTGATTGTTCGACAAGTTCGAGATAGAGGCCGCTCCGTTGAAGCCTAACGCCAGCACCAGAAACACGTTCGCCAGGACGAATCTGCAGCCCACGTAGCCGACCAGTATGAGAAATATACCAGGGATCAGATGAGCTGCAAACGGAAATAACGAAAAATTCTCAGAACTCGAAAACAGTTATAAAACTTTTTTAACGATGTATTAAAAGACAAGCGAAATGGAACTTGAAAATTTGCAGCGACAGAAAAAAAATTGAGAAAAATTGATATATTATATTTTTTAAACAAACAAGTCGAAAACAGTTATGAAACTTTTTTAATGATGTATAAAAGACAAGTGAAATGGAACTTGAAAATTTGCAGCGATAGAAAAAAAATTGAGAAAAATTGATATATTATATTTTTTAAACAAACAAGTCGAAAACAGTTATGAAACTTTTTTAATGTTGTATTAAAAGACAAGCGAAATGGAACTTGAAAATTTGCAGCGATAGAAAAAATATTGCGAAAATAGGTATATTATATCTTTGAAACAAATATTAATTTTGAGTACTCACAGAAGACAGTAGCACCCTTGCGAAGTATGGTGACGGAGACCAATTGTTTCCGCTTGATAGTGTCGCCAGCCCAGCTGAAAAAGAATCCAAAGAACAGTCTGCCGGCCCAGGGCAAGCTTGCAGCCGCCCCTCCCTTGGTCAGATGGAATCCCAGAGCTTTCGTTAAATACAGCATCATTGAATTCTGATAGAAGAACAGGAGGAAGAGATTTCCAAAGTGACAGAAAGTCAGACTAATAAATGGAATCGAGGTAAATATTTCCTTCAACGGCGTCTGCTTCATCGTGGGTTTCGTAGCCGTCACTGTTCCCGCTTGCGAGCTGAAACAGATTTTATTTATTTATTCGTGTTTAACGACACTATTTGCCGGGAAATTGATTCGGATGGACAGTATTTTTTTGCTAAATAATGCTCGAGTCTTCGTTGCAGACAAACCGCGACAAGTTCTCACTCCCTCTTTGCCTTTCGTGCGCTATCCTTCTCTGTGGCGACAGAGATTAAACGCGGCTCGGATTTCACGCAGCCGGCAGGTCTCGAGCTGCACGTATACACTTACCAAAAAAATACTGTACACAAAGGGGAGTCAATCCGTTATAGAAAACATAATTTTCGTCGTCCCAGATACCCCTGCTTACTTTGCACAACGATTTCTAAAATACTGACTCGATAATGTACTTCTTCTCCTCGTCCGAGATACCAGGGTGTTCCGCGGGGGAGTCGTAGGCGAATATCGCCCAGAAGATTATCCAGACGAACATCAGCAACGACGGGATGTACCACGCGCTCTCCCAGTTCATCGATTCCGCGATGCCCGCCACCATGGGGTACGTGAGGATGGTTCCGAAGGTGCCGCCGAGCAACGACCAAACGAACCGCGCCTTCTCGTCGGGCGGCGACCATTGGGCGACCAGCGAGTGACACGCCGGGAACGTGACGCCGCCGGTGAGGCCAATCACGATCCTCGTGAACAGCAGGACACCCCAATGAAGCTGCGCGAATATCGGGCTGATCAGGGACACTATGGCGGCCAACAGGGACGTCCAGAGGATCGACTTTTTGGCGCCCCAGCGTAGAGTCAGAAGGCCACCCAGGAAGTTGCCAGGAACGTTTCCGTAACTGTAGGCGGCTATCAGCTGCCCTCGAACCTGCGGCTGCCAGTCGAAAGGCATACCGTTGAAAAGCTCTACAGGCGCGTCGTGGGGACGAGCATCGCGCAAGTGAGGCGCCTCGCGAGCGAAACGACCATTGAAAATCGCCGGGGGCTCGAAATTCTGGGCAGCTTCGAGCCGCTCGTTCAAGATCTGGTCCTCCAGATCGGCGATTGGGTCCAGCCAGGATATCGCGCGACGCACGCGATTCTCCTCGGCCGCGCATGCGCCACCCGTTGCGTTACCCGCAACCGCCTTTATCATCGGCACCACCAGGATCGGCATCTGCAGACGACACATGTAGCTCGTCCAACAGGCCGTGAACATCATCACGCCGATCAGCAACCGCGCCGGGATCCATTCTGCGGACAAAATTGCGTCCACGTGAGATTCGGTGCTAGTCAAATTACATACGACATTTTGTACTTCGAACTGGCTAACCTCATTTTTGAAATTTTGTTGGTAAATCTGCAGTTTTAGCGACTTTGTTTTAACCCTACATCGGTATAACATATTTTTACTAACGCGGACGACGTATTTCAAGTTCAGGCATGATTTTTTATTGTTATAGGCATTACAAAAATCTGCAAGAATTCTAAGACACTTATTAGCGTTTCTATTTTGAGGTACAAGTCATACTCGAGTCTTTTTAAATAGAAAAAGCAAAGAGACGGTCTCGATCGTTTCAGAGAAAAATTTTCGCCTGGACTTAAATGACCCGTTATGCCAACGGAGGATTAAATTAACATATCTTTATCCGGTTTTTTCAGAAGAGATTGTATTTCAACGTAGGGCGAGTGAACTTGAAAAAGTAACGTGCTTCTATTATTATTATGTTCCTACGTTGATTTAGAGCAGAATTATTAACATTACCAAATTTTTTTTACTCCGCGATTATCATGATCACCAAGGACAGTTTTAGGCTAACAAACCGTAGATGTCCGACTGCTATTCTAAGCATCCATGATTGAAAGCCACCCATGTTCGTGCGATCGACTTACTCAACAATTTCCAAACCACAGAATTCGGACCAGTGAAAAATGTCGACACGCCGGCGGCGTTCTCCTGCATCGACCGGAGAATAAACATTGATCGTCGAATAAATTGTATCAGAGTATGGTTGGTGGCTGACGGCTGACAGAAGGAATGAAAATGACATTACCATGCCAACCACCATCATTCGATATTCGAGTCACTGATTTCCATGCCTATTTTCAGACTTTTCTTTCATTAACGATTGACTACTTTTCCGGAAATTTTTATAAGATTCTTAAAAACTTACAAAGAAAAAAACAATGCAGCAATGTTATAGACTTATAGATATATTATTACTTTATACAGGGTGTTCGGCCACACTTGGGAAAAATTTTAATGGGGGATTCTAGAGGCCAAAATAAGACGAAAATCAAGAATACCAATTTGTTGATGGAGGCTTCGTTAAAAAGTTATTAACAATTAAATTGAAAAATTTCAAATCGTTCTGGAAAAATTATTTTCGGCTGCGGGGGTCAATTACAATCATTTTTGGTCATTACAAATACCCTCGAATTTCTATCCACTTTCGAGAAAAAAAATCGCGTAAATGCTGAAAATTTTCGGCGAAAAAAAATTTTTCAAATCGTTCCAAAAAAAATTATTTCCGGTTGCGGGGGTCAATTACAATCAATTTTGGTCATTAGATCTACCCTCGAAATCCTACCCATTTTCTAGAAAAAAATTCGAGAAGGTATGGAATTTTTCGACGGTAAACAAAAATTTCTAATCGTTCTGGAAAAATTATTTTCGGTTGCGAGGGTTAATTACAATCAATTTTGGTCATTAGATCTACCCTCGAAATCCTACCCATTTTCTAGAAAAAAATTCGAGAAGGTATGGAATTTTTCGACGAACAACAAAAATTTCTAATCGTTCTGGAAAAATTATTTTCGTTTGCGGGGGTTAATTACAATCATTTTTGGTCATTACAAATATCCTCGAATTCCTATCCACTTTAGAGAAAAAAAATCGCGTAAATGCTGAAAATTTTCGGCGAAAAAAAAATTTTTCAAATCGTTCTAAAAAAATTATTTCCGATTGCGGGGGTCAATTACAATCAATTTTGGTCATTAGATCTACCCTCGAAATCCTACCCATTTTCTAGAAAGAAATTCGAGAAGGTATGGAATTTTTCGACGGAAAACAAAAATTTCTAATCGTTCTGGCATCAGCAAATTTTGCATTTTTAACGGATCAAACATGCACTAATAATTAATCAGTAACTAGCTAGTATCATATCGCTCCTGAGTGATAGTTAAATTTTAAACCAAAAGCTACTTTTTTAATAATTTTAAAAATGCAATAGTTTTTCAACACTTTATAAAGCGCAAGCATGCATATACATACGTAAAACGACAACTTGAAACAGTAACAATTTGCGTAGTGTGAAGAACAAAATGGTTCTTGCATAATTATACGGGTGAAAGTGTGGCAAAAATATTTCAATTCGTAGAAGCGTGAAATTATTTAGGGCTCGAAAGATATTTCTTGTCGATTAAAAGGAATTTTCTCTATTTCGTTTAGCAATATCTGTTAAATACGCTAACAATAATTTTTGGTCTACTATTTTAGTCGAGTTTTTATGAAATTGCGTAATTTCTTTGTTTTCGATGTGGACGAACAGATAACAATAGTAGTTCAGTAGATACCGAAAAGAGAAACAAAATTACTAAATTGTATATTAACCGACGTGGGTGGGCTCGACCGATAAGACGCGTTCATCGGTACGCGCGAAGAAACGCGTGCTCCTTTCATTTTCGGACTGGTGCGTTAGAAAATAACGAACAGTATTAAGTAAATATCAAGGACAGCTCGTCCAACCATGCGCGACACAATTTCGTGTCGTAGGAGAATTTCAATGTGCAACGTTCGTTACTCTATTATTTGAAACTTTCGAAAAGACCCATTTACTCTCAGCTAGTAACGACGCAGCGCGATTACAAAAGAAAGTTCTCGACCACTTTCCCGGCCGTTCGCGTATTTACGAACCACCGCCAGAGCGTGCTATTGTTTACAGAACCCGCGCCGCCGTGAAGAACGTGCCGCAACGTTTTTCGCCGCGACCGTTCCGCCGACTTAACCCTCTACCGCACGAATTTTACTTCGTCCGTCAAAAAACGTAATCATTTCTGAACAATTTCCACGATCCATGTGACAATGTTCACGCGAAGTCGCTGGTTTCAAGTTCGCGATCGAACAAATTATGCAACGGACGATTATAACGTTTATCTACTATGGAGAACGATAATGTTTACAACAGACAAAGGTACCGATGGAACGAACATCGGAACGTGTGAAAGTTAAAGTGAAAAAGAAACAAACACGTGGATCGTGGTGAAGTTCGAATAGAAACGAATTCATCGGAACGACGGCGAATCTTCGAATTAGCTGTGCTAACGCGATCGTCCGTGTAACAGGGTTAAATAACGGGCATGAATCGAAAGCTATGCCGGGAATTCCGAGGACCACGCTAAACGTCGCGACAAACACGAACATCGACCGTTAATCGTTTCGTGTCACTGTCGTACACGGAACAAATTACTTCACTTCGCGAGAACGTTTCAAATCGAATAGAAAAAAAAAAGAATAGAGAACTGGATACTTCACTCACGTGGAAAGTACTTCTTGTATAACTTCTGGTGCATTCTGCGGTCTCGGCGTGGAAGTTCGCGGCACTCGCCAGGCTCTCAACGTCTCGGTACGTTCTTCAGAACATTTTTCAGGTAGCTCCAGAGAAAAAAAAAACTGCCGACGATCGATTACACCCGGTAGAACTCGGACGCGGTACAGTACCGAATCGGTTGAAGGACTGACTGATGACATCGGTCATCCAGCCTGCGTATTTAAGGAGTCGGCAGGTGGGACCGAGTGGGGACACCCAGGTACATCCCTTCTTCGAGAGAAGGACGCCAAAATTTTGGGTTTTGTTCGCGCCATTCCTACCTGGGGGGGAGGGGGTCCACCACAGAATTTCACCGTTTTCAATGGAATACACGATTTTCACCGTAGTTCAACAGAATTCCGCCATTTGCGTTAAAATATCAAAGAAATGTTAAAATATTTTTCTATGTTATTTTATTTGAGAAAATTCCTGTGCATAATTTTCTTACAAATTAAATTGCAAATAACCATATGAAAAATTAAAGGAATCTGTAATTTTACGATTACTAATTTTTGTACAAATTAAATTACTACTACTGACAATACTACCTACATATGTAACAATATTTTATGTTATTGTAATTAAACTGCATTAAATAACCATACGAAAAATTGAAGGAATCAGTAATTGTAGAATTAGTAATGTTTTTACAAATTAAATTACTATTATTAACAATACTATCTACATATGTTAGAATATTTTGTACTATTGTAATTAAATTGCATTAAATAACCATACGAAAAATTGAAGGAATCTGTAATTGTACTATTAGTAATGTTGTAGCAATATTTTGTACTATTGTAATTAAACTGCATTAAATAATCATATGAAAAATTGAAGGAATCTGTAATTGTACTATTAGTAATGTTGTAACAATATTTTGTACTATTGTAATTAAACTACATTAAATAATCATATGGAAAATTGAAGGAATCAGTAATTGTACGATTACTAATTTTTTTACAAATTAAATTACTACTACTGACAATACTACCTACATATGTAACAATATTTTATGTTATTGTAATTAAACTGCATTAAATAACCATACGAAAAATTGAAGGAATCTGTAATTGTACTATTAGTAATGTTGTAACAATATTTTGTATTATTGTAATTAAACTGCATTAAATAACCGTATGAAAAATTGAAGGAATCTGTAATTGTACTATTAGTAATGTTGTAACAATATTTTGTACTATTGTAATTAAACTGCATTAAATAACCATATAAAAAATTGAAGGAATCTGTAATTGTACTATTAGTAATGTTGTAACAATATTTTGTACTATTGTAATTAAACTACATTAAATAACCATATGAAAAATTGAAGGAATCAGTAATTGTAGGATTAGTAATGTTTTTACAAATTAAATTACTATTATTAACAATACTATCTACATATGTTAGAATATTTTGTACTATTGTAATTAAATTGCATTAAATAACCACATAAAAAATTGAAGGAATCTGTAATTGTACAATTAGTAATGTTGTAACAATATTTTGTACTATTGTAATTAAACTGCATTAAATAACCACATAAAAAATTGAAGGAATCTGTAATTGTACAATTAGTAATGTTGTAACAATATTTTGTACTATTGTAATTAAACTGCATTAAATAACCACATAAAAAATTGAAGAAATCTGTAATTGTACGATTAGTAATGTTCAATGTATTTAATGTTTAAAATTTAATGTTTTAATGTTTAATATAGCGAATTTATTAATTCAGAATTAATCTACCCGAATTAAAAGTATCTGATCGCGCCTTGGAAACGAAACGTAGAAGCGTCAAATCTGCGTACGATGCCCACGTAAGTGACCGCGTCTAACGTGTAGAAAAGTCGAGACGCAATCCATCCGCCATTGTCGTACGTTGTTTCGTGCAGTTCTGGATTTGACATCGCAGAATGCGGCTTCCTTAATTTTCAATAATGCCCCGCTGTTTTACGTAATTTCGCGATTCGTAGACCGCACAACAAATTGGTGCAGTCGCAACGAAATTCCGATGTCGGACTTTTACACAATTACGAAACTCCTACACCGAGGAGTTCGCAAAACACCGTGAGTGTTTACCCAACGAGCTAACGTACCTGCATCCTTAATCGAAAATTAATTATCGTTGCAACATCTCTCTACATTTTTTTCCCAGGTTGTTTTGTTTTTTCTTTGTTATCTTTTTTTCCCCCCCCCCCGTCGACGGAAAAATATCGTCGGGAATCGAACGGAATCGTACATCAACGCGATCGATTTTCTCCGATGTCCGCTGGTAAACTTTCGTTGATCGATATCGAGTACAGTTACCCAAAACACGGGTCTCTGTGCTCGTAAACATCGTTCGCAATGTTAATTGAAACCGGAAGCTGTACCCATATTACATCCGCGCCAGGAAGTGGAAAGAATTAAAATAAACGAGTCAACTTTAATCTACCTCTTACATCGACCGTTGGTGCATTCTCAGTTTCAAGCAATTCTGTATCGAACTTGGAAAAATATTTCTGCACGATGGCTGGTGTAATTTCGATCGAGAACATTTTCATGAATAAATCACTACACTTCCCCTTATTACAAATAAAACTCAATTCGTGTTTGTTTAAATACACAATGACAATTACATATTAAATATTATTTTGTTAAGAGGTTATAATTTCCATCCAGATTCAGACGTATTCTTGGTTAACCCCTTCAACGATTAATTCTTTGCTTAAAATTATGAATATTCTAATAACGTTGGCTCATTATGTTCGTTTCAATTCTTAAAAACACATGGTTGATCGATAGTTGATATTCAACCTTATATTTGTTAAAAATATCCAGTAAAAGTTACTTTTGTTTTTGTGTGGTTGGCTGCATTGCTGTATATCCCCTTTCTTATATTTTTTGTCGGTGTACAATGTGCTTTGAATTATACAGTCTTTTTGTTTGTTACCTTTCGTTTCTTTTCTGAATTAATAAAAGAAACATTGCATAGATTGAGTTTATTTTCTTTAATTACAACAATATTAAAAATCTTAAAAGTACATGGCTAACCTTACATTGTAATAACACAGTTTTGAAGGGTTATGTTCGATTCAAATCTTAAAGGTGCATGGTTAACCTTATATCGTAATAAAAAATTTTAAACATCAGATTTGCAGCATATTATTCAGCGTAGACATACGTTTGTTCGTATCAATAAAGATATGAGAGATATTAAAACGTGCAATGTGAAAGAATGAATATTCTGATTACGTTGGCACGTTATGTTCGGTTCAAATTTTAAAGATACATGGTTGATCGATATCTGACATTTAACCTTATATTAAAAATCTTAAAAGTACATGGTTAACCTTACGACACATTTTTGAAGGGTTATGTTCGATTCAAATCTTAAAGGTACATGGTTAACCTTATATCGTAATAAAAAATTTTAAACATCAGATTTGCAGCATATTATTCAGCGTAGACATACGTTTGTTCGTATCAATAAAAATATGAGAGATATTAAAACGTGCAATGTGAAAGAATGAATATTCTGATTACGTTGGTACGTTATGTTCGGTTCAAATCTTAAAAACATATCGTTGATCGATAGCTGACATTTAACCTTATATTAAAAATCTTAAAAGTACATGGTTAACCTTACGACACATTTTTGAAGGGTTATGTTCGATTCAAATTTTAAAGGTGCATGGCTAACCTTATATCGTGATAAAAAATTTTGAACATCAGATTTGCTGTATATTACATGGTTAACCTTATTTTGTAATGAAAAATTTTGAACATCAGATTTGCTGTATATTACATGGTTAACCTTATATCGTAATGAAAAATTTTGAACATCAGATTTGCAGTATATTATTCAGCCTAGATATACGTTTGTTACGTATCGATAAAAATAAGGGAGACATTGGGACGTGCAATGAATCGTTGTGTGCTGGTTAAAATGTTTCGTGTATATTAGAATTTATTTTCAAATTTCTCAGGTATCCGCTGGCCACCTCGAAATTGCACGGACTGTCCTGCTGAAAAATAATTATACACCTTAACCGTTAGGTCGCATTATGCACAGGGGCCATTCTGTACCCTTCGACAATAAACGCCGCGCAGTTTTCAGAGAAAATCCTTCGGCTTTACTAAATCGACAGCTCCTTCCGCGTGCGACGCGTTCAATGGGGGTCTAACTACCTGAACGTACTTTCGAGATCAGGTAATGTCACCGGCCAGTAAAGTGACCAATTTACAGGTAAAATATTCATCAACTCAAAAGCGCCGCTTGTATTTAAATAAAATTTTCGCATTTCCATTGTAGCGTGAAAAATAACACGTAATAAAGTTTTGCAACAACACTATTTTATATGTATCTATATCGATCAACAGGTGTCTTTTTACATTTTTGTATTTAGATGTAAATAACTGTGGGAATAATGGTTAATGCAAATTATGTTGTTATTAATAGCATGTTATCGAGGAAATATGATTAAAACTTGGAAGATAAACTGAATTTAAAATTTTAAAATCAGCCTTCTGACGCCATTGATAAAAATAGAAAAATCGATTTGTACTTAATTCGACGATTAAAATTCATACGAGATCGCGTTTATGATTTACGATTTTTCTGTTATTATATCACGATTCGGAATTAGTGTTACATAATTTAACTACGTTGCACACGAATGATTTTGTTCGCCTTGCATTTGCATATCAGTCTTCTTCATTTTCAATTGGTCATTTAGATTAGGCATTTTCAACCAGGTAAAAAATTACTTTCGGGAAAGCTAAGAATTGACAGTAAAATTCGCAATTTTTCGTGAATATAGATTCACTAAATTTTTTGATAGATGGTGGTAAATTGATCCTTTACTCTAAATGTTCAAATTTTTACAGTACCGACAGAGGACTGCAATTTGATATCTGATTACGTTTCTGCAATTTTTTAAAACTACATTGTTCGAGAAAGGTCGGATGAGCTGTTGATTAGGCTTCTTGTCATGGATTCTTCGCTTACTTCTTTACTTAGTGCAACTTGTATTCTAACCTAAAGTACTTTGTCGTTGTATTTGTCAGAAAATGTTTCCCCATTTCTGGTGCGTAAATGTAGCCAAAAAGCATCATCGAAGCTACTACAATTTGTAACAAAATTGTGCGTGACATTAACATAATGATACAGTGAATACGAACAAAAATATTCTGTGAAAAAACATTCTTTTTAAAATTATTGGCAATTATTTGAACGAGTTTTAATCTCTAAGCGTTCGAATACTTTTGTGACATGCTTGTATCCCATAGTAGTCACATCATTACTGATTTACATCGATTAATGATTTTATTGTTGAAGTTACGCTGCCGCGAGCGTTTTGTAGGTTAGTGATCGCGCTTCAAGAGTTGTTCAAAACTTGACAATTACTAGACATCTCGAAAACTTGTAAATTCTCGAATACCTTAAATGGTTTGAGCTCTGTCGTGACTTTAAACTGTTTGGCCAAAGCTATTTGCAAACGCTATGTAAATATGGGAAATAATGGAATCTAAAGGCCTTGCCACGTAGACGTTCGACTTCTTCGATGAACGAATAACGAAATCGTCGATTTTTCAACGATCAATTTCTTCGATCGTTTGGTCGAATCGGAAATTCAAAATGGATGCCTAACGCTGTTCGTAGCTAATAGAATTTGAGAATCACTGTACCGAATAATGTAGCTTCGACGATGATACAATGACACACCCTGCAATGAATAATACGTAGAGATTCTCTACCTGAAACGAAAGTGCGAAGGTTTGCGCATTAAGAATAAAGTACTTCGAAAATAGGAGTGTCGATGGGAACAAATGACTATATTGGGGGGGAGGAATGGCAGCGTCCACGACTTCTTCGAATTTGTCGTACTTCGGGTATCCTGTAAGTCAATAATTCGGGACTCCGTTATCCTTTGCAGGTACGTACTGCTAATACAGAAGGGAATTTCCAGCATTGGCCTGGCCGAGTGTCAGCGTGTCCTTGGGTGCAGTAAAACCACGGTTCCTCTGCGTTTATTGTCGAAACTTAACTGACGTACACTCGTACACGAAAGTATTCGACCATTTTCATTTCTAACATTAAACTGAAGAATTTGATGTAAAATGAAACTTATGACAAGGGTTGGGTACTAAGACTACGTAAGTGTAATTAGAAAATAATTCAACCATATACCTAGGGAAAAAATTTAATGGAGGATTCTAGACGCCAAAATAAGACGAAAATCAAGAATACCAATTTGTTGATGGAGGCTTCGTTAAAAAGTTATTAACATTCAAAGTTCCACTAGTACTGAATTTTTTTCTCGAAAATGCGCAGGATTTCGGGGGTATGTCTATCCACCAAAAATGATTGCAATTGACCCCCGCAACCGAAAATAATTTTTCCAGAACGATTTGAAATTTTTTTTTCCTGTCGAAAAATTTCATATCTTCTGGAATTTTTTTCTAAAAACTGCGTAAGATTTCGGGGGTATGTCTATCCACCAAAAATGATTGTAATTGACCCCCGCAACTGAAAATAATTTTTCCAGAACGATTTGAAATTTTTTTTTTCTCGTCGAATTTAGGCAGCAAATTAGATTTTCGGTAAGGAATTTTTTTCTCGAAAGTGCGTAGGATTTCGGGGGTACGTGTAATGACCAAAAATGATTGTAATTGACCCCTGTAACTAAATATAATTTTTTTAGTATGATTTTGAATATTTTAATTTCGTCTAAAAATTTCGGTACCTACTTGAATTTTTTTCTCGAAAATGAGTAGGATTTCAATGGTATATCTATTCACCAAAAATGATTGTAATTGACCCCCGCAACCGAAAATAATTTTTCCAGAACGATTTGAAATTTTTGAATATAATTGTTAATAACTTTTTAACGAAGCCTCCATCAACAAATTGGTATTCTTTATTTTCCTCTTACTTTGACCCCTAGAATCTCCCATTAAAATTTTTCCCACGGGTGACCGAACACACTGTATATCGTTTTTACAATAATGGGCCATGTTCCCCTTATTGGAAGTTACTGATGGTTTTATTCATGATACAGTATCGCAATACCGTAAGTGATAATGACAGTCCAAATTGATAGTAAGTTATGTAACAGAAATAATGGAAGGCAAGAGTAGGTACATACATATTAACGCGACTCGTTTTGCCCAGCGTTAATTGTATGCTATTTTTATCATAACTTCATGCGAAGAAAGATTGTTTACTATCAGTCGTGGATACGTTTCACCATTTTGTTGTGTAACGAATATTGATCGAAATAGCCTATCACCGAAATTTCAATCGCTTCGAGCTGACAAATGTCGACAACAGAATGTTTTTTAATCGTTATTTACAATAAGAATGCCACGGAAAGAATTTTTATTCCACTAGATAATATGCTTTTTCTTTTATCTTTGGAGAACTCGCGAACCCTCAGGGGTCTGTGAACCTCAGTTATGAAATTCTAACACACACAGTCCCCTTGGAAAGTAAATTGTCACGATTATATCAATATTCATTACTTTAAACTAACATTGTATTTACAATGTGTAATAGAATAATATACATCGAAACTGCATAGTGTAATATGTATACTTCCGTTATTTATTTAATAATAAAATTTTATTCAACAATCCCCTTTAACCTATTTTTTTTATTACTGATAATGTTTCCTGCTTTTAAGAAGATTTTCAAGAGTTCTAAGCTTCATTTAAATTTTTCGCCAAATATCTATAAATTCGAATCGATTCACACGTCACCTTAGTTTTCAAAAAGACTGTACCCAAATAAAATATTCATAAATACACCGTACATGTATAGCAAGGTTATTGTGAAATTAACGCGATAACATGTACTCGGTACGATTACAAAGCGACTTTTTTTTTTTTTGTAATCCGATACGACGGTTCGCGAATCGCAAAATATATTTAATGGGGAGTCGTGATATATTTTTTCCAAAGGTTCCAAAGTTCAAACGGTAAGTGGAATTGTGCATCCGCGTACTTTAAACAGTTTACTCGTGACAGTTGACACGAGTCGTGGTGACACTCCGTGCGCTTTGTTGGTTAACAATAAGTGAAACATGAAGAACGGTAATCAGATTGTTGCTGAAGCCTTGAAGGAACAGGTACCGGATTTTTCTCGGTTTTCCTCATTTCTCCGCGTCCACTTTCTTCCTTTCGTTTTTACACGATCGAAACCGGAATGTTACTTTTAAGGTTATGTGACGCGTATATCTGACAACGCAATGCATTTGTCTGCCCGTTCATTGTTATCGAAGCGTTTATTCTCAACACCGTTATTTATTTACTGTCGATGTTCCTGGCTGTTTATACAATTTTTTAAAAAATCCCACTTGCTCGTATTACGTTACACTTACATACCTACAGGATTATCTTATCAGCTACGGTAAGGCTAGTAATATAACAAGAGTACTGCAGTTTGAGCAATCAATATTACAGTACGAAAGGTTTATTAGTTTCAAGCACAAAGGAAATAATTCTCCAATAAAGAGATTCATATATTATGTTTGGTTCCAAAAGAAACACTTCCAAGTTTCTAATAACTGAGAAATGTAATTAAGCTTTCAAACTAAATCGCGTACCTGACCTACCTACCTCTAGGTATGAAAAGATCGGAAATCCCAAAACATTTATGACCTCCACTTTACAATTTGAACCACGAACTAATGAAATTTCAAACGAAGGGAAACTTTCATTGGATATAATAAGACAGACAATTTTTGTAACTTATTTTCATCGTATAAATCGGTGTACATATTTAATAATCGACTTATTCGTTTGAAATCCATTGAATTTCGACGAAAAATTATTCGAAAGTAACGTAACAAAGAGTAACAACACTCACGTTTCTTTTTCCGCTGTACGAGCGGAAGTCGCTCCTCCTCGTGACGGAACATCCTGTTTACGATCGAATTCGCTACTTTATCTCGTTCGATTCACGGTCCTGATTTACTGTCGATCGGTAAATTATTATGATTCGGTTTAAACCGCGAGCACCGAACGTCGTCTCTTATTTCTCCCGCGACTCGAGATACATTACTTTGCTCTCGCAGCGTCGCAGTAACTTTCTTGATAAATAATATTATTTAGAGTCGAGTATTTCGAACGATACAACTAGTCTACCGACGACACGGAAAATTGATTTGTTCCTGCCGTTTAATAACCGCAGAAAATAACAATACGTACGTAACGTGTAATTTTATGTTTTGCGATAGCATTAGATACTGCACTTTTTTTGTTGCTTTCTTTTGCCGCGCTTATCGCATTCCGTGAACTTTCTCCTTGATCATGCTACCCTGATGAATGCGTGCATCTTGTGCACTAACAATACTATATTATCACTCCTTTATTATTTTAAACAAACGCAGAGGCAAGAAACATTGTTATTTCAAAAATTTGTGTATCAGCCATTTCTTTATGAGAGCACTAAGGCTAGATGTGGGAGGTCTAATTAAAATTACAAATACAACACGATTCGGACTATTTTTAATAACACATAGTTGAAGCGATTTAGAGGTTATTGTAATAATGTATAATTAAAAGTAGTCCGAATAGGGTCGTGTTTGGACTCATTTTCACTGGAAAAATCTTGTCAATCCATTGACAATACTTTCATAAATATATTATGGAAAATTTGATAATTTTTATTTTGTATACTTTGTATACAGAGATTTAAAAATTAAATGTTAAATATCTTTGTAAATAGTGAACATTGGCAAAAAAGCTCCGATATGCGTGTGCTTATTTTTGCTTCCGAATCACCAGAAAAAAATGATCGAATGTTTTAGTAAAATCGATGACTCTACAGGTGCGACCTCTCACTGTAAACATGGAATGATTTAAAGTAATAATTTTATTTAAAATTTTTGTTTGTTTAAACAGAATGTCGAGTATACATTCGGGATTATGGGACACCCTGTGATCGACTTGGCCATATGCATGCAAGCTGCAGGTATTCAGTATCTTGGATTTAGGAACGAGCAGGCTGCGTGCTACGCTGCGCAGGCGTATGGCTACCTGACCAGTAAGCAGAGAGAAATCATAAATTATGTATCTTTGTTTGAATCGAACGAAAATTTTAACAATAAATTTTAATAATTTTAACGTTATGACTTGTAAAGCATTACGAAATAGAAATGTCATTTGGCTACAACAAATGAACGACAATATGAAGGTTATTAAGAATTGAATGTTATTTTTTTAATTAGGAAGACCAGCGGCGGTTCTATGCGTCTCTGGGCCTGGATTGCTTCACGTCATCGGTGGTATGGCCAATGCCCAAACGAATTGCTGGTGAGCGTCGTTTTAGTTGTAAGAATTATAAATATTGTGCGGTATTTGGCGCTAGTATTACTGAAAAATTATTAGCACAACGCATTACAGACATTCATAATCGTTACATTACCACAGATAGATTTTAATGTTTTTATACGCGAATACTTATCTTTCATCTCATGGTAATCTTATATCAAACTATTATGATGGATTACGCAATCCGGCTCGCATTCATTGTACCATATTATTAAAGAAAATGCATAGCGTGTAAGTTAGATAATGATTATGTAAACATGTCGCGCAGTAACCGTGTTAAAAGATGAAGAGGCATCAGGAGGAAACAGAAATTCGTTAAACACCGTGGGAAGTGGATTCGAATCAGAGATATTAATAATTGTATTCAATGAACCGCTGTTTTATCGATGGCGGGTATTGTTGATAATTAACGTCGTCCCTAGGAAAAATTTTAATGGGGATTCTAGATACCAAAATAAGACGACAATTTCTTGACTGAGGCTTCGTTAAAAAGTTATTAAAAAATTAAATTAACAAATTTCAAATCATTCTGAAAAAATTATTTTATATTGCGGGGGTCAATTACAATCATTTTTGGTGAATAGACATACCCCCGAAATCCTACCCACTTTCGAGAAAAAAAATCGAGTAGGTGCAGAAATTTTTCGGGAAAATAAAAAGTTTCAAATCATTCTGGAAAAAATATTTTTAATTGCGGGGGTCGATTACAATCATTTTTGGTCGATAGGCATACCCCCGAAATCTTATCCATTTCGTAGAAAAAAATTCGAAAAGGTGTGAAATTTTTCGACAAAATTAAAAAATTTCAAATCGTACTGGAAAAATTATTTTATATTACGGGGGTCAATAACAATAATTTTTGGTGAATAGACATACCCACGAAATCCTACGCACTTTCGAGAAAAAAAATCGAGTATGTGCAGAAATTTTTCGGGAAAATAAAAAGTTTCAAATCATTCTGGAAAAAATATTTTTAATTGCGGGGGTCGATTACAATCATTTTTGGTCGATAGGCATACCCCCGAAATCTTATCCATTTCGTAGAAAAAAATTCGAAAAGGTGTGAAATTTTTCGACAAAATTAAAAAATTTCAAATCGTACTGGAAAAATTATTTTATATTACGGGGGTCAATAACAATAATTTTTGGTGAATAGACATACCCACGAAATCCTACGCACTTTCGAGAAAAAAAATCGGGTAGGTGCAGAAATTTTTCGGGAATATAAAAAGTTTCAAATCATTCTGGAAAAAATATTTTTTATTGCGGGGGTCGATTACAATCATTTTTGGTAAATAAACATACCCTCGAATTCCTACTCAGTTTTGAGAAAAAAAATCGGGTAGATGTAGAAATTTTTCGGGAAAATAAAAAGTTTCAAATTATTCTGGAAAAAATATTTTTAATTGCGGGGGTCGATTACAATCACTTTTGGTCAATAGGCATAACCTCGAAATCCTAACCATTTTCTAGAAAAAAATTCGAGAAAGTGTGAAATTTTTCGAAAAAATTACAAAATCTCAAATCGTCCTGGAAAAATTATTTTCGGTTGTGGGGGTCAATTACAATAATTTTTGGTGAACAGACATACCCCCGAAATCCTAGCCACTTTCGAGAAAAAAAATCAGGTAGGTGCAGAAATTTTTCGGGAAAATAAAAAGTCTCAAATCATTCTTAAAAAAATATTTTTAATTGCGGGGATCGATTATAATTAGTTTTGGTCATTAGACATACACCCGAAATCCTACGCGCTTTTGAGAAAAAAAATCGGGTAGGTGCAGAAATTTTTCGGGAATATAAAAAGTTTCAAATCATTCTGGAAAAAATATTTTTTATTGCGGGGGTCGATTACAATCATTTTTGGTAAATAAACATACCCCCGAAATCCTACCCACTTTTGAGAAAAAAAATCGGGTAGGTGCAGAAATTTTTCGGGAAAATAAAAAGTTTCAAATCATTCTGGAAAAAATATTTTTAATTGCGGGGGTCGATTATAATCACTTTTGGTCAATAGGCATAACCCCGAAATCCTACCCATTTTCTAGAAAAAAATTCGAGAAGTTGTGAAATTTTTCGAAAAAATTAAAAAATCTCAAATCGTTCTGGAAAAATTATTTTCGGTTGCGGGGGTCAATTACAATAATTATTGGTGAATAGACATACCCCCGAAATCCTGCACATTTTCGAGAAAAAAATTTTTTAGGGAAGCCTCCATTAACAAATTGGTATCCTTGATTTTCGTCTTATTTTAGCTTCTAGAATCTCTCATTAAAATATAAATGTTTAAGAGCAGGAAAAATCCAACATCCATTGTTACTAAAATTAATTACGTGTACATTTTCGTACAGGCCAGTTATAGTACTTGGGGGATCGTGTGCCCAGGATCACGAGGGTATTGGTGGTTTTCAGGAATGGGCGCAGGTAGAATCCAGCAAGCCCTATTGTAAATATGCAGCGAGACCACCCCAAGCAGCGCTCATACCGCTCCACGTGGAAAAGGCCGTTCGACTCTCCACTTACGGTCGACCAGGTATATTTATTTGATACAATACGCCACGAGAATATACAATATTTAACAATCAGTCACCGACGTTACTTTCAGGCGCTGTATACTTGGACCTGCCGGCCACTTTGCTGACTCAGTCGGTCGACGAGAACAAAATATACAAAGTGGCGCCCTGTCCACCGCCGCCATTGATATTCCCGGATCAACAATTGGTCCAACAAGCAGCCAACTTGCTTATGCGAGCAAAAAGACCGCTGGTGATCGTCGGGAAAGGTGGTCGACAATTCTTAATGTAGATTTCATCTGTCTCTGGTGTCCACCTAAAAAATATTAGATCCAAAATTATTTTTCAGGGGCCGCTTATGGCAGAGCGGAAAAAGAAATTCGCGATCTTGTATATTCAACTGGTATACCTTTTCTACCGACTCCAATGGGAAAGGGCGTCGTTCCAGACACGGATGAACGTTGCGTTTCCAGCGCTAGAACCTTCGCGTTGCAACAGAGCGACGTTATTTTGTTACTAGGCGCCAGATTTAATTGGATGTTACACTTTGGTCGGCCACCACGTTTCCAAGATAACGTTAAAGTGATACAGGTACCACACGCTCAGCAAATACGGACGAGTTATTTACTTAAATCGTCAGCGGGTCAAAGACCCGTTTTCAGAATTTAAAAACTCGATGATCGTAGGTTGACTTATGCCCGGAAGAATTACACAATTCTGTTCCTTCCGCGGTTGCGATCCAATCTGACGTATCCACGGCTGTCGATTCTCTTGTTAATGTTTTGAAAGCTCGCAAATGGTTCGTCGAGGGGAATAGCCCATGGTGGAGAGACCTTCTAGCTAAAGCAAATAAAAATAAAGCAGTAGTCCAAGTAAGTATCATATCTCGATACGACTAATCGTCGACTAACCGTTCTCGTTTTCTGCAGAGGATGTCCGCGGATGTTTCTGTGCCCTTGAATTACTACGCTGTTTTCAAGCAAATTCAAGATATCATTCCACCAGGTTGGCAGTTGTTTAGTGTACATCCTGTATACTCCACTTTAACAATGAATAGTAGAAAAAAAATTATAAAAATGTATCGATATTTTTTAGATTCTATCATTTGTTCTGAAGGAGCGAATACGATGGATATTGGAAAAACGATGTTATTAAATAACGAGCCTCGTCACAGGTTAGACGCAGGTACCTTTGGAACCATGGGCGTGGGTTTAGGTTTCGCCATCGCGGCCGCTCTTTATTGCAAAAACACTGCACCCGGGAAAAGAGTGTTTTGCGTGGAGGGGGACAGTGCTTTTGGATTTTCTGGCATGGAAATCGAAACAATGTTTAGGTAATTAAAATCGATAAATATTTAATAAGTTCAGTTTTATAATTTTCAACGTTTCAGGTACAAGCTGCCTATAATTATTATTATCGTAAACAATAACGGTATCTACAGTGGCTTGGACACTGAAACGTACAGACAATTGCAAGCTTCGGGGGAACCAACGCAAGTGTAAGATTTTACAATATTCGAAACTAATGTTTATCAAAGTATACAGTAAATACCAATTTACGTAAATGATGTTTTTAGGACCCCGCCATATTCTTTAACAGCTGAAACGCATTACGAGAAAATGATAGAAATGTTTGGTCGAAAAGGATATTTTTGCACGACCGTGCAAGATATTCAACAAGCAATAAAGTCCAGTCTTCGGGTAAGTCAAATTTTAATTTTAATACCCAGGCTTTTTAGCCAGGAATTCTGACAGAATAATCATTTCTAGGTGAGCGATAGTCCCAGTCTAATAAATATTATGATAAATCCTCAGGCTGATCGTAAGGAACAAAAATACGGTTGGTTGACTGAATCGAAACTTTAAATTCATTTCTTCTGTTAATAGTTAATATGGCAAATGGAAAAAAATATTATATTAGTGAGATTTAAAGGTGGACGCACACGCTGTATATTTTTTTATTCTATGTATAAAAGTATCCATTTTTATTTTTATAATAAATGTACAGAATATACAGTACATGCAAAGTATTTGACAATGGAAATTGATATCATGTATCTTCTAGAAATATGTTCAATTTCTCCTTGAATTCAGAAAAAGAGGGAACTCTTTTTATACTGTTACGGTAAATTGTTTTCTTCATTATCGCTTATGATGTCATTGATATTTAATCCTAGATTTTCGACTACCGTGGTTAACTTTTTATTCGCATTGATCACCGTTTCGTGAAGCTGACCCTTTCCCTTTATGAGATGATTAATCATTTCCAACTCATTCTTACTGAAAAATCGAATAAACGTGTTTTATATGTTCCAAGTTTGAAATAGTGCAAAATTATTTTTATATAGTGTCTGCATTAAGCGTAGCGATGGGCTATTTGAATCTCAGTTTTAAAACAGTCTTAAATTTTAAAATTATGAAGATTCGAATCGTTTCAAATATGATTCGAAGCTTAAAAGTCTTGAAAGTCTTGAGTGTCGAAGGTCTCCATAGATTTATATTATAATATAATAAAATTTGTTGGAACATAGAAATGGCTAACGAGTAAAAGAAAAAGAAATTTGAACTCATTTTGTCCTTCAAGAGTTCTAATCTTCGAATTATGTTCGAATTGATTCGAATTTTTCAATTTATATATTAATTCGAACCAATTCGAAACGTATCAAATCCCATCACTAATTATATGTGATTTCATTGAACTGTATTAGTATTTGGCGGGAAAACGAAAATATTAGAGGTTATAAACTATTCAAATCTTACATTTTTGTTGTCACTTGATAAATGGCAAACAATGTCTGCTGAATTCTAATATCTACGTCAGATTCTTTCGACATCATGTTTACACAAACGAATCGAATTTAGAAACCGATGTTTACAGCAACAGGTGCATTACGTATATCTGTATTTACATGATTCGAAAGCATAAAAAATTACAGAGTACTTTCTGCAGAAAACACCATGGCGGCAGTGATGGGCATACGCGGGAATTTGGTCATGCGCAGAAAGGAATCCCATGAGGGAAAATTCCAGTGCGCATGACCAAAATTCCCACGATGTCCGTGGTGCAATGTTACTAGAAGTACATTCATATATAGCGTCCATCGGAAGATGATTTGAATGCTTATATTTTGTATAAAATTTTATATCAAATCATGCTGCACAGATATTTATTTGAAATGTATCCCATTTCATCGAAATAAATAGTGATTTTTAACCTATTTACGATCCAACGATTCTTAATAAAGAAGGCGTACAAAATCATTAACCGCTATTTATTACAGTGATCGAAAAATTACAATCATGTTTGCGAATAAAATTGAACCAAGATCATACAAGTTGAGGATACATTTGCATTTAAACTGACAATTCTAACGACGCTTGGAAAAAGCAGTTATGCTTTTTTCACTAAACAAAAGCGATCATGAAAAATCACTAATCGCCGAGAAAAGTTACCGCGATTGAGAACGAATGTGATCGATTCACAAGTAACAGTTCTATTTCTAGTACGACTACGAATGGAGGTAGTTTTTAACGGTTAAATTCGTACGCTATTCATCGATACAATTTCTAACGCGCAAAGCTGCACGATTGAATAATATAAATACGATAAAATATCATCGTAATATGCAGATATAAATGATTATAAGATAGCCAGAAATCGGGACATTATTTGTTCTGGCCAGTTATTGGTACATTTGCTTTATTGGTTGCTAGAAATAATAACGTTCTACCAATCACGAGATGTGGAAACTGTTGACTGTCGTTTCGCCAATGCATGCAGCTGACGTCACCTAAAATCGTGCCGCATGAAATAGAACCTTGAAACTGTAAATTATCGTTAAAAAAGTCATGACATCGAAAACATCGTGCATTACACGGAGAGACCAGACAAAACGTGATGTGATGATAATGAACAGAAGCCCATAAACTGTCGGCCGTGGACGCTTGAGGTTAAATAATTCTCTGTATCACGCTCCAAATGCTAGCGCAGTTTCATTGCAATTTCTCTCGAGTGCCTGACTTTTTTATCAGCTGATGAATTCAGTGTTGTTCCGTAGTGCCGCGTGACTAAACAATTGTTCGAGGGATATCTAGTCGGTTTGACACGTGTATTGTCATGGCAGAATTCGCATTAAACGAACTTAACGGCGAGCAGACATTGAAGATCCTGCAGTTCCAGGTGATCCGTTGTTTTTTCACGTGCCATATCGTTTTTTTTTTGTTCCCTTCTGTTCCGTGCTTGGTCTCCGAGCCCGTTATAAAGTACTATTAATGTTGTTACTTTTAGGAATTAACAGGCATTGAAGACCTGTCAATCTGCAGGGATGTTTTACAGAGGCATAATTGGAATTTAGAAGTTGCTGTACAGGTAAAGCTTTCCTCCGGCGTATTCGAAGATTTCCAACTATTTACATTCCGTTTATAAATGATACTTGTACATTCCTAGAATCGTTAAAAACATTCGATGCACTGGCGTAATTATTTTACGAGGATATTGAATAACTACGAGTTTGTAACGCATACTTGTAATACTTTATTTGATTTTACAACAATGAAAAAATAGTCTGAAAATTCAATTTATATTTGGGGATGTTTCTTGTGTTTGTCGCATTTCTATTAACCAATTCGTCGTTTCCTTTGTGTTCAGGAACAGTTAAATTTATACGAAGGACGGCCATCAATGTTTGCACAAGACTCGCGGTTAAGGCCGCCACAAGTTGTTGACGATAGTAATTCTAGAATATATTTTCATTATTCTGGAAGTTCTGGCGGCAGCGGTAGTTATTTATGGTATATATTCTCCCTGTGTTACGAAAGAGTGATCAGTATCATACAGCTAGTTCTTTCAATATTTAGAGGAAATGCTAGACCCGGTAAGTCTAAATTCCATTCAAGTTAGGTTAGGATATCCTCGTAAGAAGTTTAGAAAAGTAACTTACGTACTATTAATTGTATTTAAAGTGTCCTCCGATCCTGTCGAAGATGTAATGAACTTCATTCGATCGTACGAAGAACGTTATGGTAATAGTCATCCTGTTTTTTACCAAGGCTCTTACAGCCAGGCTCTTTCCGACGCAAAACAAGAATTAAGATTTTTGTTGGTGTATTTGCATAAAGACGAAACCCAAGATATCGATCAGTGGTGCAGGTAACGTTCAACACGTTTGTATAAGGTTTTAATAAATTTTTATGTAAATAAGTAACTCGAGCTGATGTTTATGTATATATAGGAAAACGTTAGGCGATTCCGAAGTTGTCAGATTCATAAATACGCGCACTCTATTTTGGGCATGTAATGTACAATCCGGCGAAGGCTATAAGGTAGCAGAAGCTCTCAGACCTGGATCTTATCCTATCCTGGCTACGTTCGTTTTAAGAGATAACAAAATGTCCATAGTCGACAGGTACGTAACATTATTTTTACGCTTACCAATTGCCTACTAATTTCGTTGCTTCTTTCTTAAACCGACGGGGGCGATATAAGTTAAACGATTTATTTATCTGCACTATAGGATCGAAGGAAGACCATCTCCTTCCGATCTAATATCACGTTTGCAAACAATTATAGACTACAACGAAATTAATTTAATACAAGCACGCCAAGAGAGGTAAATTATTTTCAGTTTAAAAATTAATTCTCGTTTATAAAAAGAAATAAACTAATATTTTGTAATACAGAGCGGAACGTAGCGCTGCGCAATCTTTGCGCCAGCAACAGGATCAAGCGTACGAGGAGTCGTTACGCGCCGATCAAGAAAAAGATCGCAGAAGAGAGGAGGAACGAAAAGCGCTGGAGGAGCAAGAGGCTAGAGAGAAAGAGAAATTGAATGCACAAGAGCTAGAGATCCAACGTATTCGTCGCGAGAAAGAGCTTACCATTCGTAAAGTACCTTACGAACCAGAGCCTAGTAACCCTAACGCCTGTCATTTACAAATTAAACTCGGGGAGAGGACAATGATACGACGTTTTCTGATGTCGGACACAGTAGAGGTAATTGACATAAAAATTTATGCTTTTTTATTCTGGTCTAGTATCGTTTCGATAAATCGATTGTTTTCCCTTCGTAGGATGTGTATAATTGGATATTTAGTCAACCGGATTCCCCAGCATGTTTCGAAATAACAACAAGTTATCCGAAGAGAATTTTGTATCCGTGCAGAGAAATCTCGACGTTATCGAAAGCTGGATTAACTCACAGAGAGGTTCTTCATATTAACGACTTAGACGATTAACCTCTATTGATCTTTCAATACTGCATTCTTTGTGTTTAAGTATCATTCCACAGAAAAAAATGATACTGTCGCAAGAGACATTTATCAAAAAATAATATGTATATGTATATACATAAACAAAATATATATATATATATATATATATATACATATATTTGATACATTCGAATATTTAATGCGAAGCGTAGTTCAACGATGGGAGTGCAGTTATAAAATAGGTCCACGAAGTACACCAGAGAAAAAAAAGAAAAAGGAATCAAAAACTGTCTGTTACATTGCATCTTCTGTATAGAACTATCGTATCAGCTACTATTAGTACATTTATCATGTACTGTGAATAATACGCTCATTAAAGTACATATTGAATAGAAAAAGAGCAGATTTCGTTTTAGAAACTAAAAAGGAAACTTATTATATATGGATGTATGTATATATATACATATATAATACAAACTACACAAAAGCTGTACACCAAACATTTATTATACTCGTCTTAATACGTTTTAGCTTAAAAGGATCGTGTAATAAACTGACTAAGAAGCGTAGGTAATTTATAAGATTAAGCAAACGAGATGCAGCGGTTATGATCGAGGCATAGATTTTAATATGCACACTTGGCAGTTTTCGAAAAAATTTGAAACTACGCTGCGTCGATTTGAATCTGTACTTTGGATGTAAACCCGAGGAAATGTTTCTGGCAAATGTGGTTCCTTGTGCATTTTACCGTATATGCAGTTCTGGTCAGTCTTATTGGGAATACTGTTAGATATAATGAAAAAAAAAAACGAAGTCGCAATAGATCCATCTGGACACGTTTGAAAATTATACCGGGTGCAAATTTCTGTATCAGAAAGCAGAACGAAATTATGCGATAACGGTTTATCCTAGAAGATAATCTGATTATTTTTGCGTATCACACGAACGTTTCGCCGTGCGTGGTATTTCGATTTTTCGTTGGTAAACGCTTGAATTTAAATATATTTTTAAAGTTTATCGTCTTGGACGAATAAAGAGCGACGAACCCATTGTTCGAGTAATATTTGTTGCTTTGTTTGTGGTATACAAGGAAATCATCGTCGTTTGGTATGTACGTTAATTAAGAGTTTAATTGGTTTTTTAAAGTTGGGATTTTAACGATCGTTTATATTATTTTCTGAATATTTGCTTGAAACGTTCGCGAATCGATGTTTCTTTCGATGCTATATTTTTTCCCTGTTCAAAAACGAAAAAGAAACGCAAAAAAAAGAAAAGATAAGAAAACCGAACAACAAAGTAAGCGACGCTTACGAATTCGTATTGCTCCATCTAAATGTTCTATAGAATAATAAAAAAAAAATATTCAAGAGCAATCCGTAGCATTTATATATACATATATACATATGCATATATAAATCGTTTGATAAAACACGGTCTGTGCGATGCATCAGATTTGTTAACCATTAAATGTAAACTTTTGTACACACATTTTGTGATCTAGTTTTGATACATCTTTATTTTTCCTTTGGATACTCTCTTCTGTACATACGTAAATGCTCAGATATTTAATGCCAGCTGGTGTCTGATGCTGGATATTGCTAATCTTTTGTTATCATTTAATGCTTAAATAAACATATTTCAGAATATATATATATATTGTATGTATGTCTTATTGTGCATTTAACGTGTGTATCGTTGACAAAATTTTCTAATTTCTACATTGCTAATGCCAAGCATCAGATGCAAGCACGTCTTCCGGGTAAATTGCAACCAAGAAATTATCTAAAGAAATTATCTCAACAATCGATGAACACGTTTACGATCGGTTCTGCACGCATGCAGTGGCGGATTTAAACTCATATTTTTTTATAAGTTTATATTCTAAAAATTACTGTTATCGATTACGAGGTAATCATTATCCCTAAATTGGTCAGTGCAGTAACCTACAATTGGTCGCACATCGTTAAAAATTTACAGATACTCTTTTTCAATTCGCTAAATCGTTTTTGTTTCGCGTTTACGCGAACGATCGTAGCAGGCTGAACCCGATGGTCGTTTGTCAACGAGCTTTAGTCAATTGACGAAATGATTCACTGATGGGCCATACATGCTCATAAACATATTAAAAATGTTTATTTATTTGGTAGCTGTGGTGGCTACGTTATTTATTATTTTTGGACTCGTACACGCTAGGTGTTTGTAAGTAAATAATTCTTTAAACGGTTTTTGTAAATCGAGCGTACGCGATCCAGTAAATTTCATTCCGTGATTCTAGAAAAAGTTGGATAGGATCGTCGGTCCCCTCCTCTTTCTGCGATCAGCTGACTCGTAGACCCCAAACCGAGGCGTCGTTGGATAACGAAGATCTCGAATCTACGTTCGCTACCGGAAGATCTCTAGCGATGACCGACGAGATAAGAGAGTTTGAGGATCTCGCGCCTCAAGGATTTGTGTTCGGCACCAAAGAAAGATCATCGGACGTGTTTATAGCAGAGACTGGAAGCAAATCGAGAAATTTGAATCCCCCGCGGTATTCCTTCGAGAATTTACTTTCAGGCGAGAGGGATATAGATCTTGGATTGCCTGGTAAAAACACATGTTGCTGTTTTTGACGATTATGTATTTAAGAGCAAAAAAGCAACGTAAATTTCTATATAAAATTAACTATTTCTTTTTATTTGATCTCAAGAAATTGATTTTCCCGCCATTTTTTTATTGTCAAACGTGGGCGTATGCCCAATTTGACGAGCGAATGTAGATAATTTTAATACGTAGAAAAAGAAAAAAGAATTGGTTTCGCGTTTTGTAGCCACGAGGAATTTGCAACTTGGAACGACGAAGGACGACGAGGCTATCAAAACCACGAAGCAGGAGGGGAAGGAAAACTTATTTGAATCGTTGAAGAACTCGTTAGAAAAGGGTGCTTTTCCGCCCTCTCGATTGAACACCAGCCAGATATACAATCTAATCGTAAAGGAAACGCTCAAGGACAACGCGGCGAAACGGAAGCTCTTAGAGATCGAGAGGATCAAATTTAACGAATCGTTGCCGATCAAATTGTACGACGAATGCACCAACGTGTAATAGTTACAAATTAATATGGTATGATTCCTTTAAATTTATCTTACCCTTGATTACAGAGTGGAACAGCTTCCTTCTTCGTCCGAGAACGAACCCGAACAGGATACTGACATCAATGGTGCAGAAAAATCTGACGATTAAATGTAATGAACATAACTAATAAAACTGTGTACTAATACCTAAAATTATAAGACGCTGGTTCGTTTGAATTCGCTCCGAATTTTAATGGAGTTACATGATCGCGCACTCGATGATTATTAATCGAGTTTCCATAAATTCCCGTCGCGGCGCTGTATGTACTAAACCTATATTCACGCGGTAGCGTAACAAGATATTTTTGAAACATCGATACATCGTTACAATCCGGTAGTCCAGTGACTGACATCGTGGGAATTTTGGTCATGCGCACTGGAATTTTCCCTCGTGGGATTCCTTTCTGCGCATGCGTAAGCTGACGTCACAGCTACATGGCGACATGGCGTTCGCTACCGTAGATGTATCTTTAGCGCGAAAAGAGGTGCATGTTAAAATTAACTTATCGAAGATCCCCTACGTATTTCTCTAGCTATACTCATGCAGATTAAGAGGAAATTTGTTGTTTTTGTCTCGTTCCCTGTAACTTCCTTAAATTTTCTTCCTTACTGGGATCCACGGTACCCTAAATTTTAGTTAAGTGTAATACGCTTCAGTGCGCATGACCAAAATTCCCACGAATGTCCATCACTGCCGTAGTCCTGCGGTTCTTTAATTTCCATTTAGTTTGTTGCTTGAAATTACTAGATACATTTACTTCGAAGTCTTTGAACCGCATTATAAACAAAAGTACATTCAAAATTGATGTACAATTAAAGAGAAACGGAAATGCATAAAAATCGTATCGACGGTCGCCGACTGGCGCAAAATATTGGAGAGCAAGTGATTCTACTTGGAACCGTTGGAAAAGTAAGTTACATCGTCTTGCGGCGGTTCTTAACCTTTTATTTACCAACGACTCCCATTAATCAACCCTTTCAAGTTCACATATTTTAGTTTTACTCGCCAAAAATGATCGATTTTCTTTATTGGATTTGCATAATAACCTGTTTTTTATTAACTACAATATTGTATCTTGCATTTCTAACGTACTAAAGTGAACACCGAAATGTAGAATTGCGAAGGAAAACAATTACTTTCGTTCCTTGAATTGTCAATTTAAATAGAGATCAAGACTCAAACGTAAGCGTCAAGGGGTTAAATCATTTTTTTATCGTCGCAGACCTTCAAAATTCGATTAAAGATTTAAATCTGTAAGGAATTTTTAGACACCCAAGTCATTGGTTGGATCATAGATTAAGAACCGCTATAATATTACATTGATGCAATTAGAAAAAAGAAACATCTGAAATACATTTATAACTTTCATTGACTATGTATTAGAAAAGTTCTAACGGTAAGAATATAGAATTGAAAACAACAGATGGCGTACAAGTTAACGTAACTTTACCAGAACCTATCGACGGCAATGCCGACGGTTACATAGAAGTTCACGGGACTGTGCATTCAAAGTCCACGATGGCTTGTAGTAACTATATATTGTTCCCGGCCAGCATGACAGAAAATTTCGGTAAACATAAATATATTTCGATAAACATATTCACGTTTTTCTCCTTGTCGCGAGGCGTATAAAAACACAGAGGACGTTACAGATCCCGAACAGTATAACGAAATGATGGTTATATTGAACGTATTAGGACCAAAAAAATGGAGAATGTACGAAGGCGACGAAGGAGTATAAATCACAGCGAAGATAACTTGCAAAATCTTTTTACAAGAGCACTGTTATTATTATGTACACGTCTAATAGTAAATTATTTTTGTCATAATAAACTTCTGTAACACCGCGTAAATGCACAGTTAATTATCCTTTTTTTTCGGGAAGTACAAAAAAAATGATATCCTAAAACTATAAAAAGAAAAGAAACACCGTCGGTGCTGTATAAATTTCTTGGGATGCCATGGTTTCTGTTTACGCGATACCCACTCCGATTTTGCACGACGCGTCCAAGGAGAAGCATCTACAAGTGCACGATGTTACCGGACACTCGGAATGTTGCCTATTTAAAAATGATGATAAATTACAAGGACAAGTTAAAACGAGTACTGTATATACATTATTGAAACATATTACCGAAACCAATGCGTAATGTGATCAGCATGACCACCGTGTCTGCACGTTTGACACCACGTGAACCAGTTACTGAATTCTGTCAGCTTGTTGTCGCACTCTTCGTTCCTACTAACGCCAGACGTAGTCATTTGCAATCCGCTCACGGTACCCATGTGCATCAAACAGATGGCGCATCGCGGTAACGGTTTTCGACAATTTGGACACGAAGACATCTAAACAAGACCAATCAATTTCATATTAATTCGTTCCACGAGTCATTTGAAATTCCCCAAAAAATGTACCTTTAATTTATTCGGCGTACTTCCCAATCTACCGAAGGGTCCCCTAGCTCTGCTTAAACCTTGCATAAGCGCCGATATACTTTTACCACAAAAGTTGCAAGAAACGTATATTTGTTGCGGAGGTTTCTCGTTTGTCGCAGATCGCATTGCAATGTCAAAATGTGCTCTTTGAGTCCACATTTTCCATGCGTTCAAAAGGTTCCTGTAACTACATATAAATGGGACTCCTTAATCTATTCCGTATCGATAACTCTTTCAACTATCATTACCAATCTCAATACCTAGTAATCCATACTTGTACTTGGTTTTCTTGCAGCAATTTCGGAGTGAACGCCCTAATAGCTATGAGGCTGCAACTTTGAACGTCGCCGGTGATCTCTAAATATCGATTTAATAATTGTATACCTTCGAAGCTTGCACCTAAAATATACCAACGCGTAGCGAGAAAAATTATTATAAATACTGCTTATCGATTAACTAAATACGAGAAAATTGAACCTGTTAAAAGAAACCCAGACAAATTTCCCTCGTCGGTTAGATTTTGAGTTAACCTTTTTAAGTATTCGTTCAATTTATTGTCCGATAAAAACATAAGCGCGAACGCAACTCTATCCTCGACCGCCATACCATTTTCGTTCTACAAAAACCCAGGTGATAAGTCGCGATAAATTCGTTGATAGAACGACGGTGAAATGATTTGCTCGACTTTAACATAGAAAATTAATATTTTACTTACTAAAACATTTTCGTACGAATCGTCCGACGTGAGAAAAGCAAAAGTCGCTCTCAAATATGGATCTGAAAGTTGGGATCTACATTTCAAACAGGATTCTCTCCACATGCTATTTCTATCTTCGGAGAATCCCGACAAAGCCATGGCGACAATATTCAAGTTTGCGGACATTGACATTTTACTCGCTCCCCGGTTTAATATTTCTATGGCTTGTCGTAAACATAAATTAAATACTGCTATCGCCGCCGCTCTCGGGTACGCCCCCTCTCTTTCTAACCTCTCTAAAAATAAATTATCATAAAGAGTGTTTGTATCCTTGTCAAATCTCCAACCGCATAAAAGCAGTCCTTTATCTCTATCTGGAGATCTACAATACAAAATATAATGCTTTACACGAACTTCGACTTACATCGAACAAATAATATAAATCATAAAAATTTATCCTCTTTGTTCTTAGCCTTGCTAAAGGTTTTGAACTGATCTTCGTTTCCCATTCGTACCTGTAAATTTTCGCGGTATGATTCGATCCTATATCCGACCAGGGACGATGCATCAGTTCCGATTTCAAGAAACCATTGGATCCTTGTTGACCGTCCAACTTCAAAACTGTTCTATGTAATGTCCACGAACATTAACTCGCGTATACTTTAAAGGGGAATTAATCAAGAAAATCTTTCATTTACCTGACGCCTGGATGTTTATTATCCGGACTGGATATAGTGCCATCTTCTACCAAATAACGACTTAAATATAACCATTGCCACAGGTTCTTGAGTGTATCGTTTTCAGCCAGTTCGCCATTCTGAGTCAGTTCTGGCTATAAACGTACATGCGTGAGCCTTTGAACAAGGTAAATTATAGACTTCCTCAACTTACAAGTAATCCATATTCCGAAGCTGCGCGTGTTTTAGTCAAAATAGAAATGTCGTCCAGAGCCTTGTATATGTTATCATTGCTGCATATGTATTTAAAAGATTTGGAAGCATGATTCCATGCAAGGTGAGATCGCGTAGACCAATTTACCGTAATCCTTTCGCAGACCGTATAATCCGTGAGTTCTTTAAAAATAATAAACAGGAATAAAACAAATCTGATTGTTTTTATATCTTGGTAGCATAATATAAACAAACCTTGTTGCGATATTGCCAATAGCCTGTTCACGTGTGTCGGATGCCATGAAAAGCTTACGGGGCTATGCCAAGGTGGTGCAACCGTTCTTTCCAAGGCTCCAGGTTCAGTATCTTCTCCTCCGCCAGTTCCACAGTGTTGAATATCATACAAATGTAATGTCACTGGAAAAAAATAATACCAAGGTTAGTTTATTATGTTGTTATTATTATTACAGTAGCTCGCAGTTACACGGTTAAATTAAAACTGTATTTTACCCGAGTCTTTTTGTAAAGCACCCAAGAGGTTGTGTCTGGTAGGGCACCAGAGAACTTTAGTAATTTGTCTACCTTGCGACAGGGTCAAAACAGGCTTTTCGAAACAGCGCGTATCCCAAATTGTTATCTGATTATCGACACTGGAGACTAAATGATGATTATTGTGCGGGTTGACCGACACGTTATAAACTGCTTTAGTCGCAGCTGTGTTCACTACCTTTGCGGAATCTATTAAAAGACAAATCGATGTATCGTATATCGATATACGTTTTAGTTCATTTTATTACCTCTAAAATCAATAATTTTCAGCTGCTTGTTATTTGCACCAACCACCATACATTTCTGTTCGTTCTTGAACCAAGCGATAGAATGTATAATTTCAGAAACACCGACCTCAGCGATAGGTCTTACAGAATCCGTTTGAACAGCAGTGTGGTGATGCACTCTTTCCGAACCTTGCAAGCCTTTATTTATATCCCACAATAAAATGGAATGATCTTTACTATGCTTATCTAAACCAGATACAATTAAATTTGTATCTATGGGATTCCAAGCGACGGTGTTACATTGCCTTGCATATTTTGGAACTGCAATAACAATCGAAGCAAGGAGTTTATCTATAACGTCTTTGATGCTAATTTGTCTCGCGCGATTGGTACAAAGTCTGAGTACTGAAATAATTTACCTAATTCTTTTCCACTGAGACCTTGAGAATCGAACACCGTCGGACCGAAAGTGGTCAAAACGACTTTTCCATTTGCTTGTCCGACCGCTAACAAAATATCTGGTTCCAATTGCGGATATATATCTATACACTTAACGTAATGATGATTTGTATTTGTAGCAAGTAAATGAGCTACCGTAGAGTCGGAAATCTTTATATCTGTGCGAAAGAAACATAGAACGATACTTTTCTACCTTTAACGAATGAATCACGCGTAAAACACGTTGTACGAGCAACGTATACTCACATAATTGCCTAATACTGTCTTTTACTTGTGTCACTTCGTACAGACAGATTTCCGTACCCCATGTAATAAATTTATTTGCATGGATAGGTGACCACAGTACATCGAGTTTAACACTACTCATTTTGTCGCGTTTTTCATAGAATCTCGCCAATAAAAATAATATCCATTACTTTATATTTTTTATCTAAAATATGAGAAATATTACGTTTCGTGTTACAAAAACATCGCCGGTCAGCATTTCTTTACGAAAATGACAGTTAACCTCAAACATAATTGCCCATTCGTTGAACGTTTCCATTGAAATGTAATACATTCAATGTTTAATTCCTTTTCCCACTGCTTCGGAAACGTTTGATAACATATTTTTATATTAGCAAGCTATATAACAACAAAGATTTTCTTTATACATGAGTTTGATTGGTCGTTTGAAAAACTTGCCCGACACATTGTGTATTATACACAGCAATATACAGGGTGGTCTACGCGACTTGAATTCTTTAAATAACTTTCAAAGCAGGGTTGGGTAAATTTTGAACGAATGAAAATTTTCGATTCATTTCTAAACTAACTCGAGTTTGCGTTTCATTCGTAAATCACAATATTTTTTAATTAACATCCAGACGAATGAAACCGTTAACGAAGACTAATTTACTTTGTATTAATTATTGAATAAAATTTGCATAATTCTGTTCCAAGGTATACAATGCACAAAGAAACATTTTATACGAAAGTAGCATAATTCGAATGTCATATTATATGTATATTGCATATGTTTTTTTCATAGGGGAAAGCGTTTTAGAGATTTCAAGGTCACCTTTGTTTTCATAACGAATGAATATATTTTTTGTATCAAAATATGGAAGAATTTTTAGTAAAAAAGTAATGATGCTCATTAGCCTTAAACCTAATAATTTTTGTATATATACAGTGTGTTTAAAAATTATGGACCAATGTAAATTCTTCTTACATAGAAATTGTTTTTAATTGATAAGTGATATTCGTTTAATTTTGGCATCCAAAATCCATATGCAATTTGCACAAAATATTATTCCTATTGTAATCGAAAAAGGAAAAATTAAAAATTATGATCCTCCATTTAGTTGCAAGCACTAGTATTTTCTACGTTTATTAAATTTTGTGCAGTGGGTGAAATAATAGAATATAACATTGTATTAACATGATTGACAAATATTTTCGTACAGTATTTTCGTTCATTTATAAACTAGTAATACATTTTTAATACTTTCAAACGCATAATATAAAATTCATATACAACATATATTTTTTCTTTTGTCTAATTTGTATAAAATACGTTTTATTAAAAAGTAACTATAGACATGTGGTTGAATAACAGATGATAGCGCGCAAAGATTATATAAATATGATTTAATTTATGTCTGAATGATAACTCGAATATACATAATTGCAAATATAATGTGATGAGTAATGGGCATGCAAATGTTTATAGGATGAGATACGGTTTCAACCATACGCGGTGGTAAAACGCTTTTAAAGAATTCTATCATAATATTAATCTCAATTCGTTAACAGTGAACACTTAAAAGGCACAATTAATCGCAATAGTACAAAAATATGAAAACTCAAATGCACAAAATGATATTACTTATTCTATAAAAAGCTATTACTAACAAATATGCTTCCAAACCATAATCATCCCGTAAAATTTGAATGCTTCGATAATACATAAACATATACATATACATATACATACATAGTCGTAAAACTGCAGATACAATATTAAGATTTTCTTATTATATTTTTTTGCATAAATAAATGCACCTCGTGGAGGTTCAAGTCTTTTCAAACACGTTGATTTACCATGCATTCAGTCTATCGAAGTTTATTAATTCACAAACGCAATATTTTGTGTAGAATTGTATCATCGATCCATTTTAGCAACGTTATAACGTTTGCGCTATCAGTTGAGCTTTCAAATGTATATGCAGGATATACAGGGTGTTCGGCTACCTCTAGCAAAAATTTTAATGAGCGATAGTAGAGGCCAAAATAAGACGAAAATCAAGAATACTAATTTGTTGATGGAAGCTTCGTTAAAAAGTTATTAACAATTAAATTCAAAAATTTCAAATCGTTCTGGAAAAATTATTTTCGGTTGCGGGGGTCAACTACAATCATTTTTGCTGAGTACACATACCTCCGAAATCCTATCTACTTTCGAGAAAAAAAATCGAGTAGGTGCTGAAATTTTTCGGCGAAAAAAAATTTTTCAAATCATTCTAAAAAAATTATTTTCGGTTGCGGGGATCAATTACAATCATTTTTTATCATTACACATACCTCCGAAATTGTACGCACTTTCGAGAAAAAAATTCCTTACTGAAAATCCAATTAGGTGCCTAAATTTTTCAACGGAGAAAAAAAATTGCAAATCGTTGTGGAAAAATTATTTTCGGTTGCGGGGGTCAATTACAATCAGTTTTTGTCATTAGACATACCCACGAAATCCTGCCCACCTTCGAGAAAAAAAATAGAGAAGGTGTGAAATTATTCGAGAAAATTAAAAAATTGCAAATCGTTGTGGAAAAATTATTTTCGGTTGTAGGGTTCAATTACAGTCATTTTTGGTGAATAGACATACCCCCGAAATCTTGCGCATTTTCGATAAAAAAATTCAGTAAGGGCGGCACTTTAAACGTTAATAACTTTTTAACGAAGCTTCCATCAACAAATTGGTATTCTTGATTTTCGTCTTATTTTGGCCTCTACTATCGCTCATTAAAATTTTTGCTAGAGGTGGCCGAACACCCTGTATAAAGAAAAAAAAAAAAGACAAATTTTTCTTCATTTTCGGGTTAGTTTTCACATATTTTAGCCATAATTGCGTAGACATAGATTGAATTTTCAAACTCAATTATTTCGACAACTAATCCGAAAATGATAAAATTTTCTTTTTATAATCATCTCTCGTTTGCTTCTGAACAAGCTGTTTAAATCGAAGATCAAGTAGGAATTTAGTAAAACAGTTAATGCAAAATATGCAAGATTCTAAAATACTTAAATTTCTATTATCATTATTGTTACACGTTATGTGATTGTAAAGTCTGTATTTTTTATACGTTTACCGCTGATGCAACAGAAAAGTTAAAAAACTTTCATCTTTGTTTTTTTTCGAATCACGTTTTAAAATCACAGATGATAAACGTCTAAGCAATTACTAATCGCACGCCCGCAACATAAAGCCATCTTAATGTAAAATTATCAAAGTCTCTTACACTTGTACAATAATTGCATTTAACGAACTAGAATTGCATAATACCACAAAGAATAAGCAAAATTGTGAATTACCACACGTCTTCATTACTTTACAGTGTCGTGACTGTCACGTTAAGAAATAAATAATCCGAAAGGAAAAATCGTTAGAACCTTTATTAGCGAATGCGGAATTGAAGCGAGAGTGCTGAAATCATTCGAGGATACAAATAAATGTACAAGATATGTCAATGAAGATACAATAATTTTATTTGCAAATAGAGTCAGTTACATAGTAAAGATTTGTAAGCATCTAATCGATCGTCTTCAGTGACCATGGAACATTGTGCATAATGTATATATATATATTGTATATTTTTTTTTTTTATCCTTCGACAAATCAAATCTTCACTTTTATCAAACGTTAGCTTAAATGTATATATTTCAGCACTCTGAGAATAAGTGGAAAATTAAAAAATAATTTCATTAATGTATAAGGTACTTTTGTGCTCTATTACAATTTTTATAGATTCTATATTACAGTAAAAAGTATGACGCGAATCATTGGTAATAGACGTGAGTTATGATTGTATGTACTTGGTGCAGTTCGACCGAATCAATTAGCAATTGTATGAAAAAGGGGGGGGGGGGGGGGGGGGGGGTTAGAAATTTTGGAATTCTTAACGGAATAATTATTGAACGATTTGTAAACTGTATGTTTTCTCAACGTAAATATTTATAATTTACTTAGTGTCATTTCACTGTAAAGTGTTAGAAAACTTTTTATGTATATATAACATATATGTATATACGTATATAAATACACTTTTCTCTTACTCAGGTTTTTGCAATTAGGAGCCGAACGTTCCGTTATAGAAGCTATACGCATTGTTTTGTTTGTTAGAGCAAAATGCAGCAATTTCTTTTCTTCTTACGTTCGTTCCCGTCCCCTTGATTTTCCTGTGCTTTGCGCGCAGCTATTGCGCACATTAAGTCAAAGAATACCTGGAAATGGAATACACAGAAATCGTCGATTTTCAATACATGCTTTTATCCACCTATTAAATAAGGGATAACCAAACATTATTTTAATCGCTGAATATAGAATTAAAATATTCTCCTGTATCTTTAGCTACCAATATTTAGATTTGAAATTTGAAATTTCTGCCTCCGTCCGTAGTCTTTGTCTGTGCCCCGTATTGACACACCCAATGCACGATGGAAATTACGTGTTCGATCAAATAAAGAGATAACAAAAGTAACGTGTAGATATTTGTATTACCAAAATAAACATGCGGAACAGCAAGCTATATTTACTATTTTATGTTACAGTTCGCTGAATCATTCCCAATGTTTCAATTACCAAAGTAAATGCTTTGAAAACAATAACGGAAAGTCACTCTTTACCTTTGTAACTTGGAACATTAAACCAAAGTAATACATGCATATGCAGTATTTCAGGCATAAGCGAGTGTCAACATGACAAGCAAAATATATGTATATATAAGAATTCCTCTTTTGTAGTTGCCCGTGTGACCGAGTCGGTCATTGATCAACTGACTTTAATCAACGATTGCGCGATTCGATTGGAAATTTAGTCGCCAAAATTAATTGCAATCAACATTATTCAAATTAATTTGATTAAACAAAAATTAGATCGATCTGATGAGTCATCGAACGATTAACGATTATCCATTTCAATTGTAATCGTTAATTACTTTAAATAAATTTTGTCTGGCGCTGTTTCGTGACACTTTTAGAAAAGAATTGATACTTCCGGTGAATCTGTTACCTGTCGATAGCTGTACGTGTTCGTAATTATTTTAAATTTTTGAAAAAAAAAAAAAAAAAGTGGAAAAAGTGCTACAATTTATGATTCGTTTATGATACCAAAATATCGTCGATTTCCCCGAAATAAAAAATTAAATCAGTGCTAAAGAACAGCAAACCTATAGAATAATGCACTTCTTTTTCTTCCTCTTGCCACGGTCCTTTCCACGACCATTACTCGCGGATTTGTCCTCGATCTTGCGTGACCTTATTTCACGCATCAAGTCGAAAAAAACCTGGAAATGTGCAATTTGATGCTGTCTGAAAGCTTCGAGGCTTGAAAAAAGGTGCTTTACGAATTAAAAGATATATGCAATATATAAATATATATATATATATTTATCGTGTGCTTGTACAAATATGTTTTCGTTACAAAGAAATATATGTGCGTAAGCTACGAGACGTATGTATAGCAAAGAAAACAGAAGAATATATGATAAATTGCAAATTAAGCTAAACATATATTTCATGCGATTCCTTCATGTTCTAAAGTCTACGGTACAATTTAAATAGTATATTAACAGAAATATCAAGGATGCATGTGCATAATACAATTTTTTTACATACAACTATAAATAAATAAATATTGCTACCGTGAATAAAATACTGTTAAAAACATGAATTACTGTACCAAATAAGATTGTCTTCTATGGAATGCTTTCACGTTGTTATTTCAATACCTTATTAAGTAGAAAACGGAAGAGTAAAGCTTAATTTTATCATTAATTACCTTGTCAACATTTTCCTTTGTCTTTGCACTTGTTTCTACGTAAGGTACGCCCCATTGTTGTGACCTGGCTTGAGCTTCGGCTAAACTGACTTTTCTCTTTTCTTGTAAATCACTTTTATTTCCCACTAATAGGAATGGAATGTTCTCATCGTTTTTTACCCTGAGAATCTGTTCTCTGTAAATAGAAGAACAACTAGCAGGATTGTTTTCTTGTAAATTAATACAATTACCAAATAATAGGAGATATAAGAAAAACATAAGATGATATATTCTTCGTCATTTTCTTATGTGCAATCCGATAGCAGAAAAGAAAAGATCGATTTATATATAAATTGCTCACCTAAATTCCTGAGTAGCTTGAAAACTATCATCCTCCGTTATAGAAAAAACACAAAGAAATCCTTCTCCGCTTCGAAAATAATTATCACGAATCGCTGCATAATCTTCCTGACCTGCAGTATCTAAAATATCTATTTGTACTTCTTCTCCGTCTAATACAACTTTTTTTCTATAGGAATCTGCTTTTGTAGGTTCATAGTCCTCTACAAACTGATATAAATATAAAAATATATATATGCAGGGTGTTCGGCCACCCCTGGGAAAAATTTTAATGGGGGACTCTAGACGCCATAATAAGACGAAAATCTAGAATACCAATTTGTCAATGGAGGCTTCGTTAAAAAGTTATTAACAATTAAATTCAAAAATTTAAAATCATTCTGGAAAAAATATATTTAGTCACAGGGGTCAATTACAAGCATTTTTCGTGAACAGACATACCCTCGAAATCCGACCCACTTTCGATAAAAAAATTCTAGAAGATATGAAATTTTTCGACAAAATTAAAAAATTTCAAATCGATCTGGAAAAATTATTTTCGGTTGCGGGAGTCAATTATAATCAGTTTTGGTCATTAGACATATCCTCGAAATCCTGCTCACTTTCGAGAAAAAAATTCGAGGAGGTATGAAATTTTTTGGCGAAAAAAAAAAATTTCAAATCGTTTTGGAAAAATTATTTTCGATTGCAGGGGTCAATTATAATAATTTTTGGTCATTAGACATATCCCCGAAATCCTACGCATTTTCGAGAAAAAAATTCCTTACCGAAAAAAGGTGCCTAAATTTTTGGACGAAAAAGAAAAATTTCAAATCGTTTTGGAAAAATTATTTTCGATTGCAGGGGTCAATTACAATAATTTTTGGTCATTAGACATATCCCCGAAATCCTACGCATTTTCGAGAAAAAAATTCCTTACCGAAAAAAGGTGCCTAAATTTTTGGACGAAGAAGAAAAATTTCAAATCGTTTTGGAAAAATTGTTTTCGATTGCAGGGGTCAATTACAATAATTTTTGGTCATTAGACATATCCCCGAAATCCGACGCATTTTCGAGAAAAAAATTCCTTACCGAAAAAAGGTGCCTAAATTTTTGGACGAAGAAGAAAAATTTCAAATCGTTTTGGAAAAAATTGTTTTCGATTGCAGGGGTCAATTACAATAATTTTTGGTCATTAGACATACCCCCGAAATTCTGCGCATTTTCGAGAAAAAAATTCAGTACGAGCGGAGCTTTAAGCTTCGATTTTCGTCTTATTTTGGCCCCTAGAATCTCCCATTAAAATTTTTTCCAGGGGTGACCGAACACCCTGTATAATAATCTTATACGAAATTTAATTTAAAGTATACTTTTTTTAATGCATTTGACATACCTCATCATACATAAATTGTAACGTGAGGGCAGACTTTCCAACACCTCCACTCCCAACCATTATAACTTTATGCATTGCTGGGGTAGTGCCTGGCTTTTTCGACATGTTGCTGTAACTACCTGGAACCGAATAGAAAAATTTGGAGACTCAAAACCTATTCAAAGTAAAACATTTAAATATTATAATCAAGAAATATTAAATGATATATGAAATGATACATTTGTATAAATATTGCACTACATTTTGTAAACTGATGTTAGAATTGAAACAGGCAGGATGTGAAACTACTATTGTCAGCATGAGAAATCTAAGAACAGGGTCAGCAGTACATATTTACCTATGTTGCATTGTTATTTATCTCATACTCTGGTGAAATTGTACATATTAATATAGTACATTAATTTGTCATAATAAGTTATTCTCTTCAAGGTAACTATCGACATGTATACTTATACATATACGTACGTCATATGCGCGTGTGCGTATATATATATATATATGCATGCTGAATAAACTTATCATTTAATCTTTAGATAGTATAAGGCCAAAATTATAATTATCGATAAAAAAAATCGCGATTGAACAATACAAATATCGGAAACCAATCGATCGGTCGTTTCCGATTAGAAGTGTATCGTAATGCAATATAATCACTCTTCATTTTGCAAAGAACCTCGTCGAGAAGAGGTGGAAGTGACATGTAAGCAAAGTAGAAAAGGGTTAACGATCACAAAGTTAAATATTGTGATTGGTTAAAACTGAGAAAAGGACACGAGTGAAAAGAAACTGAACAGTTCTGGTATACACAAGTGACACATTTTGACTCTGTCTCGTGTTTATACGTTGCACATTTGGAGATACGAGAATAGGAGACGTTGTAACGAAATGTACAGGACCCGTACGCCGTCGCAACGAAAATCAAACTGACGTTTCCTATTATATTACACTTATCTGTACGGAGAAATAAAACCATTAAAAAACACCTAAATGTATACTAGCGACGATTAATGAAAAAGGCGGTGCCACACGACCAATTTCAGGAAACGTCCCTTTCGATATCGAAGCTCACTTTTTCCGTAATATATCGGATCATGTATGCATTAACACAGTTTCTGTCCTCAACGATGGCAAACATGGATCGAGTAAATACCTTCGAGCATCGCCTCGACCGAAAAATCTTCGATGTTTTTCCTGCGAGCTCAGTCGTCGCGCTTTACTTCGCTATACCGCGACTGATAGTACTAATAATTAACTACAGAGGTGTCTACCGCCACAGATGACATACAGAATAGTTCCGTCACCTTAAAAAAGTTTGTGTTGCATGAACTGGGGGGCTGGTCAGTCGAGCTAGAAAATTGTTCCAGCGTGCCGCCATGTTGATAAGTCCCTAACCATAGAAGACACTAGTCCTTACTTAAAGAGATGCGATTTCAGGCGGCATCTTTGAAATCCTTATTTGACTTCGTCAATTAAACTATTTGAATCAACTGAATCTAATACCTCCTTTCATTTCTATTTATGATAACTTTAAACATATTGTCTTCTTACATATCTAATCTTTTTAGTACAAAAGGACCTTTCGGTTAATAAATTGTTAAATATATAAATAAAATTACTTGAATACGTGTTCAAATTGTGCCGCGTTTCAGACAGATGGCGCCATTAGGAGACCATAGTAAGATGGCTGAAAGATATATTAGAGGTTATTTCCTCCTGCATTTTAGGCTTTATATCTCTTGTCTATGATCCTACTCTCTGCACCGTCCATCAGGTCTGTGGTCTGCTGATCAATTTTAACGTTTTGTGCTGAATTTTTGACAGAAATCTACTGAACCAAATTCACAATGGTAATTAAGTGTGTTTAAATGATAATTACTTGTAGCTCTATAGGATAACCAATTAAAGTATCGTAACACGTGTGTTGTTTGTTTTTATACGATTTTTACCTGAAAAAAAAAAAAAAACATTTACTTTATGCGGTTGTAATTGTTAAAACAATTTATGATGTCGATAAAAGAAATCTTTTTTCCGATCGAATACATGTTCTCTTTTTTTTTCTCATTTTTTCCTTTAGGGTAATGAAAGCTCGCTGCCCGTGGAACTATGTTCGACCTGTAAGTCAATATCGGACATTATTTTTGGTGCATTAAAATAACCTATTCCCTTTCATCAAGTTTTTTTTTTTTGATTTGAAAAATATAATTGTACTCGCTTTGTAAACGCACTACAACATTATTTTGAATAACATTCGATACGAACGATATTTTTGGATTTCCATTGAAAGTGACCGTCTTTGTTATTTAGTTCTTGTATTGCTTCTGATTTATTTTTATCACTAACTAAACATAGCACCTATAACGTATTAGGCACCATGACTGTTTTTTATTGTATCATAGATACTACGTTTTATTTATGTACCTTGTCACGATGTATCAATAAAATTTAAAGATATTATCAATGTTATTGCTGTTTCTGTCACATAAAATTTATTTTTTAACGTTGAAATATCAATATCCCAGTTGATGTTGATGAAATTAGAAGACTGGGAAAACGGTTTCGAAAGTTAGATCTGGATAACAGCGGTGCTTTAAGCATCGATGAGTTTATGTCATTGCCGGAGCTACAACAAAATCCTTTGGTTCAACGTGTAATAGATATATTTGACGCCGATGGTAACGGAGAAGTGGATTTTAAAGAGTTTATTCACGGTGTTTCGCAATTCAGCGTTAAGGTATACAAACATGATCGTAACCGACTAAAAAGAATATTGAATAATGCATTTTGAAAATTTCTCTTTGTATCGTAGGGTGATAAAGAGAGCAAATTAAGATTTGCTTTTAGAATTTACGATATGGATAACGACGGCTTTATAAGCAACGGAGAGTTGTTTCAAGTATTGAAAATGATGGTAGGCAATAATTTGAAAGACACGCAACTTCAACAGATCGTTGATAAAACAATATTGTTCGCGGATAAAGACGAAGATGGCAAAATTAGTTTCGTGGAATTCTGTTCCGTAAGTACTAACTTTGGGAGAATTATTATTGCAATTATTTAATATGTTTCGAAATGTATGGTTTCAGGTTGTTGGTAATACAGATATTCATAAGAAGATGGTGGTTGATGTTTAAATAATTGAAGTCTGTAAAAACTATTCAATACCAATATATGGTAATATTAATTTGAATTTATAAATTCCTTACTAACAAAGAGATTTATTGGATAATTATAAATAACTAAACTTTCTGTGTAGGGTGATATCATGATTGTTAATATGCCTTCGATCAAGCCAATTTACACATAAGCTTGTCAGTTAAAATTTTTTTATAGTATAACATATATTAGAGTTTATTGACCACCAACTTTATAAAATTGTGCACGTCCGCTAACTGCTGTACAATTTTAATGTTACATACGTGCATCTTCCGTTATACTAAATATTTATTTTTAGCCGATGTTATAATTAATGTTATAATTTTATTATTATTTTTTAATTTATAATTTTGTTTAATTAATGTAAAAAAACAATTTGTAAAGTTGTTTCAAATTAACTCTGGGAATACAGTTTGACGCATGTAAGTTATACGAAAGGATATATTTTCTAATTGCGTTCGATTCAATTAGAATTCAATGTACATCTCTCGATCAATACCGTATAACGTGTTCCAATAATTTGCAATATGTATAGTAAAAAAAAAAAGTTACATTTTTCTCAAACTGTGTTTCTTTAGTTTTGCAATGAAATACCATTAGAATTAGAATCGCAGGAACATTCTATTTATATTGTATCATGAAATTTATTGTGTTAGATGCTAAATAATGAATCTCTATGAAACTTCTAATCAGTTCCAAGATGAATTTTGTATCATATACTTTATTTTTTTCTTTGATTACTGTTAGTTGTGCATTCGTAAGAGACACAACTTTTGGACGTTATTCAGTTGATGAACATTAACATTGGAGAAGTTTTTCACATTAAAACGATAAATTTTGTCGTAGAGGTCTGTTTTTACTACAATTGCGAATAAGACTGAAACACAAACGGAACTTCTGTAACTTCCGGGTGCACAATTATCTCGTATATTTATGCCTTGTATCATTATGAAAGAGATAGCATATTATAAAACACAAAAATTAATACAACATATATATATATATCGATTTATTATATCATTATAATTATTTCTACGTGTAAATGTTATAAAATCTTAATGTCCAAAGTTCAAAATCGTAAGTTATGTTTTAATAAAAATCTATGTAACATCTATAAGATCTGATGTTTAAAGATATATGTATGTATTTATTTCCTAACCTCTGTTCAATACTCGACTTAACACGATATTAATTACCACCTAATATTATCATTTAATATTATATAAATTTATTTCTTTTACCTTGCTATTAAATTTAACGGGATTTGAAAGCATTTTGAGTTGCAAGGGCAATTCATCGATCAGTTTAAAAATAATTGTCGCAACTTCAAATTATTAATATCATTATATAAATAAATATGCTAAAAAACCTTGTCCCTTTAAACTAACACCGACAAACATAAATTACGATTATTCTCTTTATTTACCGCAATATATAGTTTGAACGTTATCGAATAGTTTCTCCGAATAGACACAAAATATTTCTAGAAGAAACCCGCGACATCATTTTTTATCGATGCAAATTTTGCACGGTTAGATGCATTCCATGTCTTGATATCATATTGTTTTGAAAATCGTTCACGAACCGAAATGCATTATGAAAATTTAACGTTCGATCCATATAAATTAAAAATCATTTTCAACTATCGCGTAACCGAATAAATATCACGAGAGCTAACCAAACGCTGTCATGATGACATATTTTTCGAGTGATTGGTACCCCTGCTTCGTCCCCCATCCTCTTCATTGTTGCTGTTTAGTACCCGGTGTGTTTGCGTTTTTCGTTGTTTCTCGCGTATAAAGTTTCGCCGCAGCAAGTCCCGGCAGTTTCACGGAAAAGTGTCGACAGATACTCTTTCTGTGAACGAAGGAGGCAGAGGGGGTAGCAGGCGGAGAAGATGGAAAATTTGGAGGAGGTATTGCAGGCGCTGGACGAGTTTCAGAAAATGCGTCCGAGTGAGATACCCCGTGAACTCGAAGACTATTTGTGTTGGGTCGCGAAAACCGGTGATCCCGTTTATCATTGGTCATTGATAAAAACGCTCTTCAGGGAGAAACTGACACGCGTGATGACCGACTTCTACGAAAATTGCCCGACTTTGGAACTCGCGCCTTGTCCGAACGTCGAGCATTTCAATTACGACACTATGAAAAGCAATCTTCTGGACCGTTTGGAGTCATTCGCGAACGCACCGTTCACCGTTCAGCGGATTTGCGAATTATTGACAGCGCCACGTAAAGAATACAATAGGGTCGACAAATTTATGCGTGCTATAGAAAAGAACATCTTGGTTGTTTCCACCAGAGAGCCAGGACCGATAGCTAGGAGGAACGAAAATGGAGACAGCATGGTCAATGGATCCGTAGACGAAGATACTTCTGTAACCCAACCTCCCCAAGACGTAGAAATGGAGTATTGGGAAAAGGACTGCCCTTCTACCGTTACGATTAGCGTTCACACCGTTGAAAACGAAACACCTTTATTGCACACTGTTATACCCACTACCACTGTAGTAAAAAATGTGTTTGGTGCCGAGGAAACTTCTCACGAGAAGGTCGAGTCAACCTCTTCCAAATCCGATATCGTGGGATCTAATTTTATACCGACTACCTCAGAGTTTTCCGGCGTTTCGAATTTAACTTCGCCGGCGCAAACTCAGGACACGCAGATAGGTTCTACGATACAAAATTTGTCGACCATTGTTCCCGAACCTTCCGGAATTGTCGGCGATGTTCCAGAAGCTATAATGAACGAAGACACCAGTTCTCAACCTAGTTTAGATTTGGAGAACGAAGAAGGAGATACGGACTCCACGCGAAAATTGCAAACTACCTTCCAGACAAAAGATTTTGGCTCGAGCGAAAATAAGTCTTCAAAATTCTATGTAGATAATTCTAAGGTTAACGAAAAAGCAGAAGGAGGAGCAATACAGATGCATATACAGGAAGGACCAACTAAAACTAATAACGTATCGGAGAAATCGGTTATTGAATCTAAAATGCCGTTAGAGAACAAAGAATTTGCTAATCCGGTGGTCGAAAATCTTATAAATACTTCTAATAAAAACTTGGAGGATAGAACAAAATTAGATACAGAGGTGAAAGACACGCAAATAATCAACGATACGCCCGGTACCAATACAGAGGAAAAAGAAACACTGCCTCTAGATAATGCTAGTATAGAAAATACATCTTCGACGTGTAATTCAAATAAATCTGGAGATACTCTGCTCTTATCTGCCGGTGATGTAAGTTCAGAAGACGATGCGTCCGTAAATGTATCCGAAGACATGGCTTTGGATGTGGAGGATTTAAAAGATCAAAGTAGAAAAACGGAGTTAACGGAAGATCCAAAACCTATAGTGGAAGAACCGTGTTCTAAAAATAACACGATAGAAAATTTCAGTCATAGCAAAGATGAGGACAATTTGACGATAACGGAAGCAATAGAAGACGAGGCCAGAGTAATAAAGTCTATAGTACCTGATCCAATTCCTATTGTGGAAGAACCAAAAGATGCGGAAGCTGTTAACATAGAGGCTGAAAATACTACCCCGATCGTTGAAATATCAGAAGATTCTGAAAATCAAAATCCTATGGTTATTTGTCATACAGATTGCGATGATAAAATGTCTATCGACAGTAGTGATATAACGGAATTGCAAGGTAACGATGTAACTGCCAGCACACCTAAAGTGGAAGATAATGACACTGTAGTGGAAAACGTCGCAAACAAAAAGGAGGAAAATACAGTAGAATTAATGGACGTAGACGACGAAGAAACATTGTCTGTGTTTCAGCAAGACGACGAACCAATGGAACAAGAAACAGCACATATGTCTCAAAGTTAATAATGTGTAAGAAAGTCCTATTACTTTTAATGCTTGAATTTTTATTTTAACAGGAAACAAAAGAATACGCAGGAATGAACAAAACTTGTCTATATAAGAAAATCCTCATTATAATTAAAGTACGATTTGTACGATTTTTCCTAAATGATTTGACATGTAAGACGGAAGAGAATACTGTAAGATTTCGAGAAAATTCTACAATCATGTATCATTTAACGCTTCATTGACTTTACAATTGCAATTAAATCAGGAAAATTTTGGTATTTACTTGTACAAAGACTTGTTTATATGAATTTCTAAGCTCCCCGTAGAACACAAAACACTGTTTATTCCCCGAACGTTATACTACTAATGACCAGTTTTGACCATGATTTGAGTTTTAACTCGGATCAGTTTGTAAAAAGTTACGCCATGGATTTATACAAATAAAGTTTCTATTTAGGGTACAGTCGGGCTTGTAACCGGAGCGTACGAAATTCTAATGCGGCTCCTTACAAATGTGACGTGTGATAGCTATGTAAACAAAGAAGCACTTGAAACATGCATCCTGTTGTTTTAAATTACTTATTATTGGCAAATAGGAACTAATTGTGAGTACAACTTCAGACTTTGATCGTGTTCTATAATTCCATTTTTCAATGTTGAACTGGCTACAGAAATAATTGGTGAATTAATTCGATGATCTTGAAATTATCAAATTTGTTGATGTATCAGCTTTGGAAGCTTAACGAATATTAGACACAGATTTCCACAGTGATGATTGAAAACTACAAATGTTCCAATTATATAGGATCAGAGCATAGATTTCGTTTTCTGATTTGGGATTCGGTCAATACACGAATGTTTTTGTTAACGCGTATTCTCTACATAAAGAAGTAAAACATAGCAAGGGAGAGTATGTCCTAGTTCATTTTTCCGATTAGAGAAACAAATACTACTATTTCATTTGTACCTTGCTACGTTTTCTAATAGAAAAATGATAATTGAATACTTATCGAATAACGAAGACAATGCCCTTTCTTTCTCACAAAAGGAAACGTATTAAACGGACTCGTGTAACGGTACGAAAATTCGGCTATTTAATTAAAACAATTTTGCTTCTTATCATGTGATCAGATATTTTTATGCAGGCACGAGTCTAGTGGTAGATTACCCAGATGTAATTGTAGTAATGGGATATTAATTTAAAGATGATATAGATCGACGATATAAGATACATTGATAACTTAAAAAAAAAAGCAGTGTACATTATTTTATAGGAAAATACATTAAAATTATTACCAAAGTGGAATTATTTATAATACCTGCCTTACACCTTAGATCAGAGAAAAAAACAAATATATATATAGCTTTGTGATTTTTATATCGAATCACAACTTGTATAAGTGCTTTGTGTGTTACACAAATTATTTTAGTACATTAAATGAAAACGCATTGAACATATTTCATTCCACGCTCCGAATTTATCTCTTAACAGCGAGTTTATATATTTCCTGGTGGTGAAAAATGGATGACAGAATAATGAAGTCAGTGATTGTAAAAGTTATTTAAATATACACCTTTATATCGCTACTTAAAGGTTTCGTAAGAGCCGATATGTGGTGTAAAGGAATTATTAATAACTAAAACATTATAGATTACAGAATAACACATTGTATTTCTGAGATTAGATTAATAAATTTACTAATTATTTATTACAATTTTTATGTGATTTTTAATGACCTTTATACATAACTTTTATCTAGTTACTGCTACGAATTTCTTTTTTACATTTGTTTATTTTAACATTATTAAAATGATTAAAGTATTTCCGATTGAAATTATAATATACACACGTATCTATGGATAACTTTACAACTACCAAACCTTGATTGCTTTTAAAACGTATTAAAATTCAAAATCTAGCCGAAAGTTTGATGTTGAACCAATTTATTGAAGCAACCATTGTTTATATTCATAAGTTCTTTGTATGTTCCAGATTCTACTACGCGTCCTTCGTTTAAAACTATGATCTTATCAGCATTTTTTATTGTACTCAGCCTATGGGCAATAGTTAACACTGTTCGACCTTCAACAGCCTTTTCCATTGCTTTCTGTACAAAGTGTTCACTTTCCGCGTCTAACGCGCTCGTCGCTTCGTCCAGAATTAAGATTTTTGGTTCCTGAATTAAAATAATTTTAAAACATTATTTTTCTATATATTTTATGTGTACATATATAATAATTATTTCCTGAGTATTCGTACCTTTATTAACGCCCTGGCAATAGCAACTCTTTGTCTTTGTCCACCACTGAGAGTAACACCTCTTTCTCCAATGATAGTGTCCAAACCATCGGGCATATCTTTTGTAAATTCCAAAACATGCGCCCGTTTTGCAGCATCCTCTACGTCGTATTTTGTTGGATCATCAATTCCGTACAATATATTTTCTTTTATCGTACCACCAAAGAGTACTGGCTCCTGAGATACAATACTGATCTGTGACTTGACCCACAGAGGATCGAGAGATCTGAGATCATGATTGTCCAAAAGTATGCATCCTGAATCGGGATCATAAAATCTCAATAATAGCGAGGCTATCGTAGATTTTCCAGAACCTGATGATCCAACAATAGCAATTACCATACATTTAGAGATTTTTAAACTGAAATTTTCCAAAACCTGTACGCTCTCTCTTGTAGGGTAAGCGAAACTGACATTTTGAAATTCGATATCACCAGATAGCTCCTTTTCCAGAATTCTACCACCCTGAATGGGTATCGCTGGTTGTCTTTCGATCAACTCAACTAAACGTACATTTGCACCCATCGCTTTATTGAATTCACTATAAAACGAAGACAGTCCGCTTAAAGAAATTCCTACGTACGCAGCGTATATTAAGAAAGCACTTAAACTCCCAATCGTAATAGCGGAATTAGAAACCATGACTCCGCCGTAATACAATACAGAGAGAATAATCACATTTCCCGATAGTCCGGTTAATCCAAAAAATATGCCTCTGTATAAACTTTCCTTGTTACAAATTTTTAGCACATCTTCTAATTGAGAATTATAATAAGCGATCTCAGACATTTCCTTCGCAAATGCTTTTACCGTTCGTATATTACAGATCTTTTCTTCTGCTGTTGTATTCAGCACTGCTAAGCTACTTTGTATTTCTTTGGAGACTTTCTTAAGATAACGGCCATAAATTATGGCCAAACCAGCAATCGGTGGAACAATACTCAGACCAAGTACAGCTAATTTTGGCGAAGCGTAAAACATCATCGATACTCCGCTGATGCTCATAATGGCAGAACGTAATCCATCCGACACGTTGCTAGTTAACGCAGAACTTATAAGTTGCGTATCTCCTAAAATTAACAAGGCAATAATATATTAAAGGAAACGTTACATACACGTTATAATAAAGTATTTGAAATAAAAATATGTACCAGATAATCTACCAACAAGTTCTCCCGTACTACATCTGTCGAACATTGCTACTTCTTGACGAAGGATAGCAGAGTATAATTGTTTTCTCAAAGACTGAGTGATTCGATGTCCGATGTTGGTCATCAAATACACTCTGAAATAATTACATATACCTCCGATGACAAATATTCCAAGTAAAACAAGACACAACTGATCAAGATTTTCTTTCATGTTCTCTTTGTCTTTTTTGTAGATAACATCGATCAGGTGTCCTAAACAGAAAGGTACTGCCATCGTGACACCAGATGAAACCATTAGAAAAGCAATGGCACCGAGTAATCTCCATTTTTCAGGTGCCGCTAGTACAATCAGATTCTTAAATTCTGATGCTTTTTTCGTTTTCTTTACGGACTGAACGGTAGAATTGAAAGCATTTTTCGTTAATGTATGTGTTCCACGATACCTTAACGCGGTAAATGCACATGGTTTTCCGTAGATTCTAATCGACGGCGTTAGACATGTGTGAAATAACTGCGCGTATCTAATTGCCGGACCATGATATTCGGATATTTTTAAAAGGATACTTTTCGTCAGTAACGTTCGAAATAGTGTCATTTTCTAATGCTAGCATGAACAAAGTAATTCACAAAATGAAAAGTCATCGGAGCCGATAGTATTTCATTAACTCAAGAAGGTTGGAATCTTAAAACTAAAATAAACATATCGATATTTTTTATATTAAAAACTGTATTTAAATTATGTCTATATATATTAATAAAATCAATCAATAATTATTTCTTTATAATTCATTCCAATTTCGTAGCTGAATCATTTTTAATCGGTTGAATGTGTACAAATTCTCGTTCGATCACGTGACTAAATATGAATGGTGAATACACAAGGTGTATTGAAATTTTAGACAAATTTGATATAAATCCGAATTGGATTTAGTTCAAAGAGCTACGTGTAAATAAAATAACGTAACTCTAACGGGGCTGAAACGGCAAAGGGTTAGATCCCAAAGAAATGAAGTAACAATAGAAATTATGCAAGTTATTATTTGTAGATATCTAATAATTACAGTTTTATGTTACTACAAAATTTACTATTATATTGTATTAATACTAATCAGGTTTTTAGAACTCAAAGCATTAAATCGTTGTTTCTATATTGACCATACGATTAGTAAGGGGTGTTATTTACTTTCTTAAATATATTGACTTAAGGTTTACAAATATTATTCATTTTTATAATACTATTATGGTAAAAGCTATTTTAATATTTAGGTTATCTCATTATATTAAGTATCATACATAAATAGTTCATATAGGTTCACGATTCGTGTATATAGTACGAAGGATGAAGCACCTATAGGGCCGCGTGCGCATGCGTACCTTGTACGTAGAAGATATCAAATGATATTTCTGTAGTATTTATGTTGCATTTCTGCGGCTAAAAGTTAATGACTTGGAAGTATGTGATATAGACAAATTTAGAACGAACCGATGAAGTGTATGACATTAGCTTTACATAAATTTCTTTTTCAGTATTTGAGACAAATATAATTTCGACAGTGCAATTTTCCTAACCTATTGTATAGAAAGGTATTCGAATAAAATTAATACCATTTCTGCTGTTTCAGACGGATTATAGTCGTTCACCAATTTATTACATAAAAGTTAATATTCTTTAACACGAAGAATTTGTCAAAATGACCAGCCTCGCTACACGGACATTTTCATCTAAACGTAAATATAGAAATTGTTTCTCCATCAATATTAATTTAATACTTTCGGACATTGAGCGTCTTATTTTTGTATTTCGTTCTAGTGTGGAGAGACAAAAGCATTTTACGACCATACTTCGCGTATCTCCCGTGGTGTAAACTGTCGACAGGAATTAAACCTCAGGAAGAAATTACCAACGGTAAAGATATTTTTCCTTCTCTGTTTGGTTCCGTTGGTTACCGATCAAGTCTGAGTTTTTAATATTTTTAGTTCCCGAAGATCAAGAAAGTTTCATAGACCCGTTGACTCATCCGGACTTTTTTAAAGTTCACAATTTATTCACGGTGAAAAACTTATTCGATGCGAAAGTACATTACGGACACATGGAAGGATCTCTGGACGATCACATGCGACGGTTTGTATTCGGAGCCAGAATGGGACATTTAATAATCGACTTAGACCAAACCGCCGCACTTTTGCGGCAAGCATTAAATTTTACGGCTCATATAGCGCTCAGAGATGGAATCATTCTATTTATTTGCAAATCTCCTAAGTTCGCTCACTTGGTAGAAACCACTGCTAAAGAGTGCGGGGAATTTGCTCATACCAGGCGATGGAAGCTTGGAACATTTACGAATTCCGTGCGCGAGTTTGGGTTACTCACAAGATTGCCAGATTTATGTATATTTCTCAATACTATGGAAACTGTTACTAAACAGCACACGGCGGTGATACACGCAGCCAAAATGGCTATTCCAACGATTGGCATTGTTGACACAAATTGTAATCCAAATCGTATAACGTATCCAGTTCCCGGGAACGACGATACACCTTGTGCCATAGAACTCTATTGTAGGTTATTTAAGGAAGCAATTATGAGAGGAAAGAAGTGTAAAGATCTATTATCTTGAACGATAAAATAATTTCCATACGATAATCGCATCTTATAGAATTTTTAAATTAAAAAAAAAAAAAAAAAACAAATATCATTTTTGTTAAATTTATTTTATCGCTGTACTCTGACAGATTTATCAAAAATAAGCAATCAAGCGAGTTTTTTAAAATTAAAATCGAAAGAAGATATAATAGAGTACAAAAAATTGTACGCTACAAAATAAATGTTAAGTATTCATTGTTCTTGCTTGAGCGTTTTTTTATCGTCTCTCAAACGTTGTAAAAATCTTGGTCCCAATATCGTTAATATCCTGGAATAGAAAATAATGTTGAAACGTAGATGGAACAGATTTGCAGACAGAGTTTAGTAATCGTGAGACAATGTACCATCTTCCTACGTTTGGATAATACTTTATTAGGTACAACACTTGAAGCACCATTGGTTTGGAAATCCATACTTCGATAAGTTTGTTTGCTATTGCAATCCCCATTAACGTTGCGCAACGTTCGGCGCTGACTTTATTATCAGAATTTTCTTTCACCTTTTCGCCGTACGTCTACGAAAGAAATTGTGTTGAAAAGCTCATACGTGTTTTTATTATACAGCGCAATTCACATGCTAGGAGATTCGGAAGAAATGCCGCTTTCCAAACATCTATCTTGCTCTTTCAACTGTACCATTATATCATTCCATATAAAAAAATATGTTCGATCATTTATATCATATGAGTGTTACGTTTAACGCATTTCTTTCGAGTGCATTGGCCAAGTGAATTACCCTATAGTAAAACTCACTTCTCCAGATTTCTCTGTATATGATTCTGACAAGAAATTAGTTTGTATCGGTCCTGGACATGCGACTGTGACCGCTATATTCTGATTGATCTTTTCGATTACGAAAGAACCAAAATATCCCTACGAAAACAAATACGTGTGCATTAAAAGTAATCGCGCGAGAAGTAGTTGTCAATACTAATGCGACTAACGTGTAACGCATGTTTAGTTCCGCAATAAGTAGCAGAAAATGGTGTTGCTGCAAGGCCCGCGAAACTCGAAGTGAGCACGAAGTGACCAGCGCCCACTTGGAAGAAGTATTTTGCCACCAATCTGCTTAAGGCCACTTGCGAGAACACGTTTAAGTCGAACATTTCCTTATCGACGGACAACTCAATTTCCTCCCATCGTGCTCGTTGAGAACGACCCGCGTTATTTACAAGTATGTCTAACTGGAATTGAAATTAAAATCAAAATTTAATCGTAAACTATTATCACAAAGTATATTATACCTTGCCAAATTTGCTGATAACATGTTTAAATGCTGTTTCGTGATTATCAATGTCACAAACATCTAAAACAAGTACTTCGATATCCGAACCGGTTAAACTTGTGTTTTCTGAAAGTAATTAAACAGAACAGTGTGAAATTTATGAAAGGATTACAGACGGTGACGAACAAACACGTTTACGTGAAAGACTATTCACTTTGAAGGCATTTGGCTTTTACTTCCTCTAATTTTTCTCTTCTTCGCGCAGACAGAATCAATTTGCATCCTGCATCCGCTAAAACATATGCAAGATGTTCTCCGATTCCACTCGATGCTCCCGTTATCCACACTACCTTTCCTTTTAAGGAGCCTGGAACAAGAAATATTAACGACAAGTGGAAAACCGATTGTGGAGCAGCCCTCTCAAGGATTGCTATACTCACTTATTGGTTTTCCAAATTTCTCATGAAGAGCAAGATTTAAATCGCAATCCAGAAACCAGGGGCATATGAAATAGATGAGGTAATAAATCACGCATACTAAGCCAACGATAGCCAAAAGATGCATGTTGTTTTGAACGTAATACCGCGCAAATTAACCTGAAAGCAACTGAGAACAATAATGCACAAAACATATTTTTCGTTCTGATAAAATATCAACAGGCATGTGGCTGCTCTCGTATCTATAAGTATTATTTTACTTTCAATTAATTTATTGCGTAACGTAACTTACATACACGTTTATATCGTCCACTCGTGCGTAGTATGGTGATATGTTTGTATGCTTATGAGGCGTTTCTGAAAATATTCTCTTAAAGAAAAATACGGTACGAATAAAAGTCCGGTGTTAATTTTTGTCATATCTTTATTAACGTTATGTAAGAGCCGTGTATATAAATGTACATATAAATTTACGAGCGATTAGATAAGAGACACAGAAAAAACATCGCAGAGTGATGTATCTTTCCCCTAGATTGTATTCGAAAGATCGGTAATACATCGATTTAGATTTCTATGAGCCAGAAAAAATCTAGTAATCGTTTTTGTGCAATTATCCATGTTTCATCATATTTTCGTTCAGAGCTTGTCTCGAATATGAACGAAGCAGATGTTTTTAACGCAAGTCATGTTTTTTTTCATTCAAATCCGCGACGTTCTTCTGATTCATTTGAAGTACATGTGTTCCTAAAATGTGCAAAAATGATACTCTGGACCAAACAGAGCGTTTAAATTTTTAAAGCGAGAACGACAGCGTCAAGTATTTACCACCAGAAACGCCGCAGCGAGTAGCAAGCTTTTCAGTTTTATGTCCGTATCCGCTGGGAACGTAATTAAAAAGGTATAATCGCGAAGTGCATTGTCCCATTGATGTATCAACGATGCAATTTGATGAGTACCATCGACAGAGATCACCTGCGGCAATTTTAAATCTAATTTCTTAAATCCGTTTTGCATTTGTTATTAAGACACTGTAGATATACGTTACTTGGAATTGTGCTTCTTCGTACATGCAACAGCCGCAAACATTCGGACCGAATATGTTGCAAAGTTCGTTTCGCGTCGCGTCGTAGACTGTAAAGCTTGGTCCAATTATACTGAAATTTTGTTCCACGGTTCCTATCACGTTCGAGCTTCCCACCGTGATTTTCTATGTAATAAAAATAACAAACTTAACAAAAAATCTGATTGACATAAAAATTTCTGAGGGCCCCTTCGGATTTTGGGGCTTGATTTATGATATATTCGCCCCTGAACGCGATCGAGACCCGAACTTACGCGCAGTTTGTTCAACGTGAAAGTCCATCTGGAGTTTATTTTCATAATGAACGCTGGTTCGCCGCACTGATCGATAACATTCAACGTAAAGTCACCACGTATCAGTTTGGACCAATTGAATCCGTCCACTCGATTCTCGTGTTTCATCTCCATTGCCAGGAACAACGTTTCCGCTCTTGGCACCTTGACCCTGTACTGGACACCCCTTTCCGATCTAGCCAACACTGACAACAACAAAAAATAGTAACGCAAACGTTACAAATTGTTGACTTTAGAAAAAAATATATTTTTAACTTAACTTCAAGTTAAATGCAACTAAAAAATTTTCAATCGTAGTACGAGACATTTCGGATAGAATAGATACAAATTGATGGACACTGACGCGAACGTGTTCATATCGTGACGAAAAAGGTACACACGTGTACTTAAATCGACGACCTGCTGTATTTCTAATTGTTCCACATTGCCCAAAAAATGGCTCCCCGAGAGCGCGCTCAGCTGAGACCTCGAGGTCGATGTCCAGTTTTGAGTGTTCACCGGAATTGGCCTCCTTGGTTGCTGGATTTCTCCTAAAAAAAATTGTTCCGCGTTATTGGAAAAAGGGCAAAAATATTGCATTTAAATTGCATTTTACCCAACTCTGGTTCCGAGTACAAAGTCTTAAAACGAAATTTACTTTATTGCGTTTGTTTACCTTGCGGCTGTGCCGTAATGACGTTCGGTCTAGAAAGGACAGGCAGTGAATTAAACGCATCATCCCGTTGAATTTCCATCATTTGTATACTCGCGTTGTTGGTCTCTAGTTAAAAAACAGAAGTTTGAGCGGTCTTACAAAGTTCTATAATTCGTAATAAACAAAATCGATGGAATCGCAAGCGTTACCTAGCGATGGGATCGAGAAACGTACTAGAAACAATCAATATCATGTAGACCAGTTTGTAACTGAGTGTTGTGTATAGAGGTTACCAAAACATATATATTAGATTATAAACAGAACACAACGGTAGGAATTGGGCTTGATCCCATTGCTATCCGCGTAAAAAATACGCACAAGGAAGAGGAGAAAGAAATTACCGGAGGTAACAAAATTAAGGGCACTTGGTTTCATTTCCTGTTGCACCATGGCGTCGTATTATGAGATGGCACGGATGACCTGTCCGCGGCATTACTTTCTCTACCCCCGTGTCGTACGCTTTACGGCGATGTGGAGCTCGTCGGATTAATTAATTCTAATGAACTCGTCAAGTGGCGAGGGAATATACGGATCGATCAACCGCGTAAGCGTGAATATTATTACGGGCGAAACAGGTCAGCTTGGCCTTGCCTCGTTCTCCTTTTTATTTTGTTCTCGCGTGTCGTAGGAGTCGACGGGATCCGTGTTTCAGGAAATCCAGATTTTCCCAGGCGCCGCGTTTCGTTGTTGTCATCCTTGGCAGGCTTCTCGGATCACTGAAAAGTCTTTTGTCTGGAATCGAGTTCGACGGTTGCCGGCGATCCTCTTCGATTTTCGTTATCGCTGATAAACGGCCGGTTATCGCGATATCGGATAAGTCGTATCGCCAGCGGCTATCGGACGAGACTGTACTTTGTTGGAGGCAAAACAACGGGACTAGCACAATACTTGTTTATTAAAAATAATAGTAATCTGGTAATGAATAAAATTGTTTTGTTATTGTATGTTAATTAACACCTTGTCCACCACGACGCTCAAATGGCAGCACCTATTGCTCGCTCAAACAAAGATGCGCCCCGTACCGAAATTGGGTATCTGCTCATAAGTGACGTGCGCGCGCATCGATCGTGGGCCTGCCAATCGATGCCTCGTGGTGGCCAAAATCACGGTCGTTGTCCTTGTCGTGTTCGAACCGCTATCGAATACAGTGCTCTCTAGTTGTGCTCAGTAGTGATTCTTATTGTACATTAACGTTCTTTCTCATCGGTGTATCTCACATTTTATGTAATTGCCTCACAAATTATTCAAGGCTCACGCTCATTAATATCATTGCAAAGGTATTATGTGTTTGTTTTTCAATGCATGATAGACGGTTCGCGTGTCATTGCTGTTTGCTTGGAAACTCAACCACGCTCATAAATTCAAGATAAACGCTCATTCATTTTCATGTAAAAACAAATGTATATGCGCTGTGAATAAATTGTGACCACCTTGACTGAATATTTGCAACATTTTTATTTTCTACCGTCTGTTAATTATATGTTCTCGTGACTTTCAAACATTGTGGTATATTTTTAAAATTGACCAACGCGCGATGGCGCCTCGAATGTAATGCTCATCAATAGAGACAGGAGCGGCGGTTCAACGACGCACGGGAACAATGGCGCGCGATAAGCGCCGTGCAACGGGACGCGTTGAAAGTCAAAGCAGACAATAGAAGCGATTAAAATTTAGCGATTCCGTGCCGCGACAAAGGAAAACTTGGCGCGCTAGAAGTTTGATGTTCCCGAGAAACGTTGGAACGAATATCCGTCTTACGCGAATATATGTACATATACGCTGGCGTTAACTTGTTGCATACGAAACGTTCGATTTTCTAGGGCATCTGTAGCTTCCTGTTTACACAATACAACCGACGTAGGCGTCATAAAGACTGTATTTCAGAGGGCATAGTTTTTCACTTAATTTCTTATGTCTTACCTTATGATTACGTAATAATTCTTTATTTTAGAAATAACCTAAAATCGACGACTACAAATGAGAATACCAAGCGACCACTGTCACGAAGGTTTCGTTTCTATTTCGCGTGAGAAATGAAAAAACACACCTCGTATTCGTGTGTCTGGTGTCCACGAACGTTGGTTCACGAGGGACCTATTTATCCATCTTTGCAAGGTTTAGTTTGATGTCAATTAATTCGATTAAATTCTGTAGCCCTTCCGCTTCTACGATATCTAACAAAAATATTGACAGTTACATCACGAAGTATGACGATACGTAAAGCTTGAAATGGGTTGTCAAATTCAGGACTCGACCCTTCGTAATACGAATTATTTTTGATTTATTGATAAGTTATACAATAAGTTATACAATGATAGCCTTTCAAATGGAACAAGGACGCGATCCAAAAAATGTGGAGACCTTTGGTACGAGTACAATCCTCAACCCTCAGACCATCAGATGTTTCAGCGTCTAAGGGTTCACTCAAACTATCGACTTTCTCTTGTACGAGAGTTTGGTCGAGGACCGTCCCTTTTACCGAAAAGGCATGGACCTATACATGGTTTTGCCCCTCGACTGTGGAACAATGCCTTTCACCACTTCTACTAGCCTTCTGCTAACTCTTGTGCGACAGAAAAGTCAATAGCATGAGTGAGCCTTAAGGCAGGGTTTGCTAAGTACCTTTACCGATGAGTTCTTTGGACAGTGTTTCTCAACCTGTTTTTTACTTATCGACCACTTTTAAGTATCATGTATCTTTCAGTGCTGGGTCGATAACGAGAAGTCGATCAATCGACTATTGGTAGATGAAGCGTTGAGAACACAGAATTCACTTGCAATTAACATTAAATTGCAAGCGTGTTTAATAAGTTTTATTGTCAATATGTTTAAGCCAATAATAGTATTCCCATTCGACCGCCAAACCAACCTAACTATACTCTCGTAGTATGGACACGTATTTATGAATCGTCCTGTACATATTTCTAATGAACGAATTCTTTCGAGCTACTCGAATCGGTCACGTGCATACGGGTGGTCGCATTCCTTTAAACGGGGCAGACGCGTCGTTCGATAACCGTGAAACGTGTGGAAACCATAGAAACGAAACGCAGATCCGACGAGAATTTTCTTTGACCCTAGGAAAACCGACTGTGAATTGCAGCAAGAGAGAGGGGAGTCAAGTATTTTGAATGTATCGTAATATATTGGTACCACACAACAGATTGGTAATAATACAGGGTGTTCGGCCACCCCTGGGAAAAATTTTAACGGGGGATTCTAGAGGCGAAAATAAGACGAAAATCAAGAATACCAATTTGTTGATAGAGGCTTCGTTAAAAAGTTATTAACAATTAAATTCAAAAATTTCAAATCGTTCTAAAAAAATTATATTTAGTTACAAGGGTCAATTACAAGCATTTTTGGTGAATAGACATACCTTCGAAATCCTACTCACTTTCGGGAAAAAAATTCGAGAAGGTATGAAATTTTTTGGTGAAAAAAAATTTTTTCAAATCGTTCTAAAAAAATTATATTTAGTTACAAGGGTCAATTACAAGCATTTTTGGTGAATAGACATATCCTCGAATTCCTACCCACTTTCGAGAAAAAAATTCGAGAAGGTATGAAATTTTTCGACAAAATTCAAAAATTTCAAATCGTTCTGGAAAAATTATTTTCGGTTGTGGGAGTCAATTATAATCAGTTTTGGTAATTAGACATAACCTCGAAATCCTACTCACTTTCGAGAAAAAAATTCGAGAAGGTATAAAATTTGTTGGCGAAAAAAAACATTTCAAATCGTTCTAAAAAAATTATATTTAGTTAGAAGGGTCAATTACAAGCATTTTTGGTGAATAGATATATCCTCGAATTCCTACCCAGTTTCGAGAAAAAAATTCGAGGAGGTATGAAATTTTTCGACAAAATTCAAAAATTTCAAATCGTTCTGGAAAAATTATTTTCGGTTGCGTGGGTCAATTACAATCATTTTTGGTCATTAGACATACTCCCAAAATCCTGTGCATTTTCGAGAAAAAAATTCAGTACGGGCGGAACTTTAAACGTTAATAACTTTTTAACGAAACCTCCATCAACAAATTGACGTTCTTAATTTTCGTCTTATTTTGGCCTCTAGAATCCCCCATTAAAATTTTTCCCAGGGGTGGCCGAACACCATGTATATTTAATATAACGCGTTACAATGTTGACGAACGTACAGTGTCCCACTCATCGTTAGAAGAACAGAATCACCCGGTTGAAGCTCACAAGATGTCGGTCTAGTCGACAGTAGCGGCGTAGTAAACACTCCGAGACACTCTCGATGGATATAAGACTGAATATACCCATTTTCCGTTCACTGAGCATCGGTTGACGCCGGATCGCAATAAAGGAACAAAAGGGTGCCCTTTATCTATTGACTTATCCTTCAAACATTATCGTAGCATATACAGGGTGTCCGGCAACAGGTGTTCGAGACTTCAAGAGGTAGTTCTACTTTGCATTACCAATTCCTTGGTTATTGATTCCTATATTAGAAGTAGAATAGGGCGATTATGGCATCCGGAAGTCCGTCTTATTGGAATCCTCTATTTAAGGAACATACATTACGAAGCTAAAATAAACAAGTTTAAAAAATTTTTAAAAATATTCATCGCAATTTAATTAAAATTTATAAACTTTTATTTCGTTTCTTATAAATTTTTATCGCGAGAAATTGTACTCGTATTCATTAAAACTTTCAATATAAAAGTTCAAACTGTTTCCACGGAACTCGTTGAAAAGATTCTGCAACTCTTTCAACCTCTGCAATAGAAACTCTACTCGTTGACGCTACGCGTATCAATATTTTGTTTTTAAATACGACAGGCTTGTACATTACTCTTGTCACCGTTTTAAATTCTAGTGGTCGTAGCTACTATACACATGTACAATACATATACAGAGTGTCTGTATCATTACTAGCATTTCTTTTGTAAATGGTAAGCAATGAAGAAAAAGGGTTTGTGTTTCCGTTATAAATTCCAAATTGGAACCGACAGGTTGCAGCATTTACTAACAAAGAATGACCAGTGAACGAAATTAGGGCACTTTACACATGTACAGTCAGTCCCTGTATAAGACGATAGTTAATTTAACCTACTTATGTTATTTTAATTGTCTACTCTTCCTACGTTACGCTTTGTATATCAATATATTGTATATTAAAATTAAAAAATTTTTTTTAAATATAAGATGCGCTATTGTTTTGTCCCGGAAGCGGGTTGCACGTGTCGGGGTAATACTCCGTTGGCACGCGATGCCCAGGCGAAAGAGGACCTCGAAATGCACGGGAAGGGTTTGGATACCACCGTTTCTGTTCGAATCAAAATGGTCGATCGCCTCCTCGGCGGCTTAATAATCGGCTCTTCCGCCGCGGAAACCCGATTCGCGCGTTCATAATTTTCCGGTCGGTGTGTTTGCTTAGGCACACCCCGCGCCTTTACTTGTTGCTGCCGCCCGATCCGACGCCATTTCCATGCGCGTTTCTATCGATCCCATCGGCCGCTATATAAAAGCCCGCGTCGTCGATACCCGCGGAAGAACAGACCGGAATTCCATGTACACCCTCTCATCAGTCGTCGCGAGGACCTGTAACAAACCAACGGAAAATAACGCACATCGCCGCAGAACGACCGTGTCACGCGAATGTGTAATTAAAACCAAGTAAGTCCAACACCCCTCTTCTTCTCCCCGCCGTTTCCGGTTCTTTAATATTTCTTTCGGTCGTTCCGTCCAAACACCCTCATCACTCCTCTGTGATTCGTCGCGATTGTCTTTCGAAAAATTTATCGGGTTGCTGGGCGTTTTCAATCCCCTTTCCAACGATCGAAAACAAATTGCAAACTCGTTCGAAAGTGTCCCGTTTGGTGGTTGAGGATTCCGGGTCAGAAATCGGTCGCGTTTCGTGTCACCATCTGTTAGGCGTCGTTGACCATCGACTGGGTAGTCCGTGACCGTGGCAAGTTCGCGTTAAAGGTGAATGATCCGAACGTTATTTGAATAGAGATAAACAGTGGCCTTTCGCGTGTCGAGAGACAGGCGTGACGTCGATAGTCCCGGAGTCTGGACGAAAGTTATCGATTCACGGCCCTCGTTGGACCCGGGATCCTGGCGGCCATCGCGATGATAACACTGACGCGTAGCTATTCCGTGGGTTCGATTACGTAGCAATTTCGATTGGGGAGTTCGGGCACAGGTCTTAACAGCGATTGAAAATATTCTTCTTTTGGGGGTTCCTGAAAACTGTGAGAATCCTGTTAAGTAGAGATTGAAAAGGCAACGAGAGCACGTAGTAGGAGTTTCGTGGGTTCATCAGTAAAGGCATCCTGGGAGCCCCTGCTTTAGACGCCGGGATATTTAGTAGTCGGTCGTGGAGAGTATATATAGAAACGAAAGGTCGGTCGAGCGCTTGCGAGAGAACGATCCACCTGGCGGCAAGTACGGGAGGTAACGACCCCACAAAACTCTTACGAGAACCGAAAACATAATTGTTTATGGACTTATCTGTTCTAGATTATTTAGACTTCGGTTACCGGTTGTTTTATTATTATTTTTCAATTCTCCGTAGTAAGTACGCTGTAATGACAATTAATTTGAAAATGAATTAGCATTGGGAGACCGGAATGTATCCTCTTGAACCTCCTCATTGAACCAGTGCTTCGTAGATGTTACGAGATCCCTTTTGGTACAATTTTTATCCGCGAATATCCTTAAAGTGCCTTTCCGCGAGTGTTTACCGCTTCATTGGATAACGAGATTCTCACAGGTAAACCAAGCTCGTTTAAATAGGATCTAACAAGGGGAGGTCATGACCTGCCAAACCTGGGATTTGAACCAAATTTGGCAGAGTTGTAGGGGCCGATGTCCAAAAGTAATCTGTAAAATACTGGACGTTTATGGGCAGCCATTTTTGAAAAAAATGACTTTAAAGTTTTAAATTTCGAAGTTGTCGGATCGAATTCGTTTTTTTTTTTTTAAATTTCAAGTCACGACGATGGGAACACAAAAGTCCAATACATTTTTGCCGTACAATCAATAGTTTAGCCAAAGATTTGAGTTTTTTGTAACGGGGTAGATGCGTATACATATATAGTGTAGTTTGAGTGGTAGCCGTGGAGTTAAAGTCAAAGAATTCGGCGTAGAAGACTGGGGTTTGTATCCCCACGAACGTGTGAATTAGTTCATTTTGTTTTTTTTGCTTTTTTCCCCTTATTTTTTAATTTTTATTTATTTTTAATATTATGAAAATAGTTGGCTGTTACAAATGATGATTTGTCGTTAAATATAATATCTCTCGCGCTGATCGTAGTTTTGTTACCAAGCAATACTGTTTTCTTCCAAGCAACGTTTTAATGTTTTATTAATTTATTAATTTTTTTTTTGTCAAAAGAATTTGCCTTTTACACGAGAAAAGTGTTGGATTTAAAAAACTCAGCCTATCTTCCTTCATCGCAGTACCCACTTATAAACAAATTAAAGAAGATCGCTTCGAACCTTGTTTTTCAAAATCCAACACAAGCATAACAATGCCTATAGATTGCATCACTCGTCGCGTTTCACTACTACGTCTTCATACGCGAGGGACTTCTCCGCTCTTTTAACAGAATCGATACCCGACTTAGAGGAGATTACACGAAACTACTAACACACATTTCCACCCTTCGTCAAAGACGTAGGGTGTTCCCCGAAGAAACTCGAACGATTCGAGCACGGAATCCTGTTTCGAATAATAATTTCCGGTCCTTCCTCTTATTTTCGACCATTTATCACTAATTCGATGATAAATTTAATTCTGTGGCCCTGGAAATTTTCAAACAATCGATTAGATCGAGAATGAGGAAGAAAACAGTCGTCATTGTTAATAGCAAAATAATCCATTTACCAATTTTCTTGCGTTGTCAATATCGAGCAATAACAAATAATTATAACGAAGGGGGCGGTGTGCAGATCGGATGGTAAAAGGAAAAAGAATTATACAATAATTATTAAAAACAATCCACTATGCACACAGCAAATAATATTATACATATAAATTGAAAAGAACACTGGAGAATCTATTCACGCACAACTCGCCGGGCATAACCTTCTCTCCACTCGTTTTTTAATCTTCTACTCGCTCCTCCAGATGTCGCTCTATCTGTTCTCTCTCTCACTCATTCACACACCCGCATACTTCGTCACTCCTCCCACGCAATAACAACAATCTCGTTCACAGGCGGTTCTTTTACGTCTGAAAAAACTAAAATCTGGATTAGACGATCGAAACGGCTGGCCAGCAGTCTTAATTAGATTACCCCTGTTGGTTTTTCTCTTCTAAAAGAGAAAGTTTTCTTTGTGTGACAAAAACCATCGACGCGTATATTGCGTTTCGAGTTTCGAGATACAAGCCAAGAGGGTGCAGCTGTGTCGCTTCCTTGCTTGTTTGGACGAAGTATAGGACCGATTGCGTTTCTTTCGAACCGTGCAGACGTACCTTCCAAGTGTTTCTAATAAAGCTTGGTCAAAAGTTATCTCTAATTGTTTTTTTCATTCCACCACCTATTTCCAATAACCCCCATAGTGAATAAGGCTCTCTTGTTAATAATAGGTGTTCGTTGTTTTCGAAGGTGAAAATGCTGCGGCAAGAATGGCTCTTGATTTTGTTAATCGTGGGAACGACCACGGCGGTGACGCCCGCGGCCTACCAAGCGAAGGTGGAGAGGTTGAAGAACGTTCTGGACGCCATCGCGAGGAAGCTACGGTACCTGGACACTAACTCGCAAGAATATTACAATGATCTGCGATCCTTCAAGCTCCACGATGGCGAGGGGGATAGAAAGTTCGACAGAGAGCGGCCGAGCGACAGGGAAATTGACGTGGAAGACGAGGAGATCGAATTCTTGCCAAACGGTAAATTAAACCTCTCCCTACGACCACTTTAGGGGCAATAGAATGACTATGGTTAACAAAGGTGTATACTCTATTTGATCGATGGTATTTCTTATGACTCAATATTCCAATAATAATAATTTTAAACGGTAAATTAAATTAAATTAAACCTCTCCCTACGACCATTTTAGGGTCAATGGAATGACTATAGTTAACAAAGGTGTATACTCTATTTGATCGATGGTATTTTTTGTACTCAATATTTTAATAATAATTTTAATAATAACATATCCTTGATAACATATTTATCTGTGAAAGTATCGAAAGAAATGTTCGTTTCAGAAGTTGGACAGCGCGAAACGGTGGGAAACGGTTTCCAGGACTTACATAACAAACTGCTAGAGAGAGCGATGCAAGATTACATGGAAAGCGTCCCGCAACAGGTAATAGGATTAGTTCGATTCCATCGCCTCTGTTCGACGAAAGAAAACGCTATTAGTTGAGAGTCAATGAAAGAATCGATTTCAAGTACCTACCACACAATAGACCTGTTGGGAGCAATTCAATTCTTCCCCTCCTTTACGGAATCAGGCTACTCTGAAAGGCACAGACACGTGTCTATAGTGTAAAGCAGCTTTCGTTCTCGAGAAACCTTCTACATGTATAAGCGGGGGTTTAACCGACACGTTCCATTCTCCGACTGACTATCTGGCACCTGGTTATCCGAATAACTATAATAGAACAAATTTTAGAAAAATTTTTCGACGAAATTAAAAAATTTCGAATCACTCTAGAAAAATTATTTCTAGTTACAGGGGTCAATTACAATCATTTTTGGTGAATAGATGTACCCCCGAATTCCAACGCAGTTTCGAGAAAAAAATTCGAGGAGGTGTGAAATTTTTCGGCGAAATTAAAAAATTTCAAATCGTTCTAAAAAAATTATATTTAGTTACAAGGGTCAATGACAAGCATTTTTGGTGAATAGGCATATCCTCGAAATCCTACCCAGTTTCGAGAAAAAAAATTCGAGGAAGTATGAAATTTTTCGACAAAATTAAAAAATTTCAAATCGTTCTAAAAAAATTATATTTAGTTACAAGGGTCAATGACAAGCATTTTTGGTGAATAGGCATATCCTCGAAATCCTACCCAGTTTCGAGAAAAAAATTCGAGAAGGTATGAGATTTTTCGACAAAATTAAAAAATTTCAAATCGGTCTGAAAAAATTATTTTTGTTTGCGGGGGTCAATTACAATCATTTTTTATCATTACACATACCTCCGAAATCCTACGTATTTTCGGAAAAAAAATTTCTTACCGAAAATCTAATTAGGAGGGGTCAGTCAAGAAACAAGAGCGTAGCCCTCTGGCGGCGAGTACGGAAGGCGACGCTACAAAGCCCTTTGTCTCAGTAATTCCGAGGGCGTCTTATACAATTTTATCCAGCATGATACTCACGACCGGCGGTGTAAATCTAATATTCGAATATGCTTCAGGAGGAACCAGTCACTTCGCTGTTCAGAGAACGCGAGAGGAGCTCCAACCGTCGCAAGAGGGGTGGCGGTAACGAACGACTGAACATCGACAGCAAGGAGTTGGGGAAACTGTTTTTGGAGGAGCTGCAGGGCCGTTCGCCGTACGGTCTCGGGGACATGGACGACGAAGTGTACACGGATGCTCGTCAGATGCTTTACGATCGATACAGGGGCGATCGGGGCAACAACAAACTTTACGAGTCAGTGTACAACATAATTCCTCCAGAAACGTCAGGCACATCCTCTTAATGCTCACACTGATCTACCTGAACCGTCGAAATTGATCAGCTTTCTTTATTGGATTTGTACAGAACACTGTATTCTTTGTTAATTGCAATGTTGTATTTTCTAAACGTAGAATGCAAAGAAAAATAATTATTTTAAAATTTAAGTCGAATCATACTAACGATACCCATCCTTTTATGGCAGAAACGTGGGCCCCATGTCCTGGGGCGAATTGCTGAACAAGCAGTCTTTGATTCGAGGGCAAGGTCGAGAGCCAGACGAGAACGAATTCGCTGACCGAGAACAGGATCCCAATTTGCTGTACCTCTCTCTGGCCGAACGGAGAAACGTGAACGGGAGATATCCGATTGGACGGGATTTCAAGACCTACCAGAACATGGCCAAACGATACCCTGTCGCTAAGAGGAGCGCAAAACCATTATCGACCAAGAAACAAGTCACGGACCCCAAGGTAGTCTCGTGAAGCTTCTCAGGCGATCGCCAGTCGTAGGTGCCAGCATGAAATGTCGTTTTCTAAAGCGTCAAATTTTTCCAATGCTTAATAATTTATATGTGCCGTACATGTATTTCAGACGTAACACAGCTGAAAAGAAACGTGATTTTTAATTTCGGTACACGCTTGTCTATCGATCACCAAACGTGCGCAAACTTAACCTGAAAATTATTCACCTTTGCGTCATTTAACCAGAGATAAAAAACAACTGTGTGTCTATTCTTATTCTTAATATTTTTGGTTGAGAAACTTACTTTTTCTGGAGTTGTGTCGCTTTTGAAGTACATACAAGGTAATTCATGAATACGTGTCAAAAAAGTTGCTTCTTAGGTGCTTTCGTTCTTCCATATCGAGGGAGTTTACTGTATTTACGGATCACCCTGTGTATATGTGTGATATAGTCGAAGTACAGTTTTCGTACAGAATTGTAGCTCCCGTGTGTGATTTTGTTTGATCCCGAACATCGACGTTGGAGTATTCTATGCCCGTTTCCCTCTTAATTGATCGAACAATGTAACTGCGCTTAAATCCTGCCCTCGAGGGGACATTCGCTTTTGTGGGTAAAATATTTATTAAACGAAATTACAAAAACTATCAATCGAAAACTTTGTTCATTAATTTCCGTTGTCAATACCATTTGATATATCAATTACCGACTGATTTCAATTGTTTATGTCGCGGTACAGAGTCCTGTAGTTAGTTTGTTAATTGACCCGTGCTCTTACGACAAATTTACAAGGTTTTAGGTTTAATTTACGATATTCTCAATAATTTGTGAAATATTAATGATTAAAGTTTCATTATTATCTATAAATATAATTTTAATTAATTAATTTCAGTTAATTAGCCATTGTTAGGTTGAATTTATCTATATTAAGAGAAAAAAACCGTATGTAGTCAACCGGGAATCGAACTTGGATCAACCCGGGTGGAAGTGTCTTACTCTACCTCACGCCCCACGATAGTAATTCAAATTTTATATATTAAAATTTGTATATAATAATGAAACTTTAATCATTAATATTTCAAAAATTATTGAGTATCTGCCCTATAATGTTATTACGTAATAATGGGGTCTGAAAAAAATATAAAAAATAAAAATGTGCGAGCTATAAGCCAAAGCATTTGGTCAAGTAAATTTTGAGACATCGAACAACCGAATTGACGAGAAAACCGTATCGTCTAATTCTTGTTGCAAAACTGAAGTTGCAGAAAAGACGACGTTTCATGTATCGTCGACTGCATAACAGCCGTATAGTAATTGACGATAACGGCACGTGTTGCGGACTTTTGTTCGAAGGTCGCGCAAGATCTAGGCGCGTTGTTTGGCACGCAATCCACCGACGGCCATAACCGTACTCACGGCCACGATCACGAGCACGAGCACGAGCACGACCATGACCATGACCATGTCCATGATCGTGACCATGACCATGATCATGATCACGATCACGAACACGATCACGAACACGAACACGAACACGGGGAGCAACATATGCAGGAGAGCACTTCCGAGGCGCCGAATGTGACCCCGTCGCCTAAAGGACAGAAGACCGACAAATTAAAACCCATCGAGATAAAAAAGAAGAGCATCGATTGGTCGCAATATTTCGGCATAGACCGGAGGAGAAAGAAGGTGGCAGCCATGTTGGAACGATACTTCGTGGTAACATTTTTTAGTTATCTTTCGTGTTTCTAATTTTTTTTTTACTCTGACAATCTTTAATATAAAGATATATTTTTGTAGTTGAAAAATTACAAAACTTCAATAATTTTTATATCGATCCGTTCGATCGATGAATTGTTCGGATAAGTTTTACTGGTAACCTTTTTCAGAACCAGGGATATAATCTAAGGGGGAACGATCGAGAGAACGAAGAGCTGAACTACGAGACAGACGATAACTTAGAACCGATGCGCTCCAGGCTGAAGAACGTTGGCGACAGAATCGTTCAGATCGCACTGAAAAACCCCGACTTGGACGATGATGTTTTGCAGAAGGTATGATTCGTGCATTGTCTGATCTGTATCGTGCTTGGTCTCATGTTTCCTCAATTAATGAGAAATAGAAAGGGAGTACGAACGTGCATCGGATGTCTGCATACGTACATTTACGTTGTAACATGTTTACGTAGGACCGCGGCGACACGAATTGAAGAGAGACGCAAGACGTGGGACGCGGAGTGATAGGAGTGGGCGTGGCTGACCTGCTTATAAGTGGGGGAACCAACTGACTAGCGGTAAGAGTGGTAAAACACGATCGAGGAAGATGTTCGACAGCCCTAATCTAGACTGAAGAAACAACGGTGGAACCTTTCGTCATTAGCAACAGATAAATAAAGAAACTTGGAGAAATATTTCGCAAAAGGCAGCAAATTTTTCCAACACAAACAAAATGTTATAAATTAATAAATTTCCCTTCATTGATCATTTTCTGTTTATCTCATCGTTGTTTCACTATTTGCGCAAATCGCTCGACGGATATGAATTGTTCGTAATCAAGGTCACGCGATTCGTCTTGAAATCAGTTATTATGCAATAATGATAAAAAACCTAAACCTCGATGACCTTGAAAAAAAATTGTTTGCTGTCACGATATTTGATTGGTTCCCTTTCGAACCAATCGGATGCTTTTGTTCGAAACCGAACCGTATCGTAAACATTCCTTGATAGAGAATAAATAATGTGAATATTAATATAAATCAACCTTTATTTTCGAAACCGTTCCAACCACTGGACACAACAAACTAATGAAATTATTTTATAATTCACGTTACGTACAAATTAATTTTCTAAATAAATGTATTTTGTTTTATTCATCAAAGATTCCGGTTCATTTTCACGAGAGAAATTATCAATAAACTGACCGTTAGTTCGATGATTTTTCGTTTGATTCGGTATTCTTATCCGCCCATTGTTTCAATTCTTCGAAAATTTCGAGGCATTCGGAAGTATACAGTTTCAGAAATTCCAGTTGCAATTCGGCACATTCGACTAAAAATTGAACGCAACGTCAAGTCTCTCGCGCTTTCACCATCCACTGTGAAATGAAATAAATTTTTAGAAGCATACCCCTCCATTTTGAAACCACTTCTAATTTCTTTCTCAATTCCGTGTTCAGCTTGTCCATTTGAAAAATAATATCCATATTAGAGTCTGACATTGTTTTATGGAAAATTAATGCTCCGAATAATTTGTACGATTAAATTTCAAACTGCACCGTTATCTCGACCGTGAATACAATAACTGCATAGCGACGCCATCTATGAACTAAAATGGGCCCACATATTTATCAGTTCCCGCGTTTACAAATGTATCCGGAATATATTCGATTACTGAACGGATAAATTAAAATAAATTTATGTAAATAATTAGTTATATGTCGATATGTATTTTATAACAAACGAAATAATGGAAATAATTTTTCATCATAATTCATATGGAATCTTTGGTGTTTAATATTATCATAGACTAGATACCGTATAGACCTATCATTCAATGCATTTTCGTACATTTATAGCTTCTCCGATTTCAGTCGTTCAGTGGACTATAGCTCTTATTCTAGAATACTTTTCTATATCTACTAATATAGTATATATTTTTATACTTGTAAAAATATATTAAATGATAGATCTATTCTATACCTCGTTTAACGAATACCTTGGTTTACCATTAGAGGGCCCCGAATATTAACTGATTCCCAGAAATTCCAAATGAGTAGTGAATTCTATTAAATACCAAAATCCTTCGATATCTTGATGCGTCACGTTTCCAAATCAAGCGACACATCGCGTTCTCGCGAGTACTGCTTGCATTCGCAAGACGGCTCGCGATTGGTCGACCTTAGAAACGTACTCTGTCACCTCTACCGCTCTATGCCGAAACAGAGCGGATCTAGAATTACATAATCTATGATTACCCAAAAGTGGCGATGGCGTTTTATGGTCTGTGTTCCTTCGTGAATAAAAAGTGGCGTTTTCGTGGTATTTTCTATGGGAGACCGGTTCATTAATACGAGTGTCGTGAGCGGTACTGAGAAAATACGTTCGAGCAAAACGAATACGGTATACGAAGCGAGAAGGGAGAAGTGTAAAAGTAGCTAGCACGAGAAAATACATGAGCTCCCGCTTTCGACGGCCGGCGAACATATTTGTCTCCGGCGGCAAATATAATATTTCGACAAAGTGGTACAAATAATCCCGTCGTAAAGGCACGTCTGGCTGTATGTGATCAATTGTGGTATGTTTCATTCCCGGTGACGCGGGATTTTTGATATATTATCGCGATCACATGACGTTCCCGCCGTAACCTTCCATACTCGTAAACACCGTATCATTATATAGGGTGTCCTTGAATTTTGGTACGAATATTTCGAATACTGTGGTAAAGTGGCTAATCGTGTTCAATTGATTACATTTGATCGACCATGCTCTGATATCGATTAAACATCGCGCGGCAAATTTTCATATGTATTTTATATTTCAGCGTACCGTCGAAAGGGTCGTAACAATGTCTGAAACAGAAAAAATAGAGAACTGTGAGATGGAGAGCGGAAATACATCGTCTGCAAGTTTACAACACAATCCCTTGGAACATAGCGGACTTAGTAACTATAACGAAAGTCAAGATTTTCATCTGGTGGATTTCGATGACGAAAAATCGTTGGATAAATCCACACAGAGTATGGAACAATCAAAGTCCGAAGAGACCAAGTTGTCTTCTCAGGTAGCTGATAATATGGAATCGGTTTCAAATATGATAGAAACTGCAGCAATGGGGGACGAAGCAAACTGTCCTGACGCGGGAAATGATAAATGTACGAATTTGGAAAACACCCAGAATATAGAATCGCACGAAGCAACGAAAGAGAAAGAATCTTGTAACGATATTTGTAGCTCGGAAAACAATAGCAAACGTTCGGAAGAAGAGGAGGAAATAATACAGTGTACACCGCCTGATGCTTATTCGCCATCAAAGAAGCAAGTACCAAGTAATACACCAACATTGAGCCTGAAACGTAAAGCAGATTCATTCGACGAACCACCAAAGAAGATCTTGAGAACGATGTCCAGGGAAAATGTATCGATTTTTGAAAACAAAAATCTCGAGGAAGAAGAAAGGTGTCAGTCGGTCAAATCTGACGATTCTCATCATGAGTTTAACACAAATTGCGCTGATAAAAATGTCATAATTGCGGAAACACAAGATGTCATGGAAGATGAAGACTTAGAAATTGTACTTGAAAAGTCTGCGATAGACGATGAGAAGACTATGGATTCTAAAAACCAGTCCGAATCACAGATGACGAATTATGAAACAAATAAGAATGAAAATTTAAAAGATACGTTAAAAGTGAACGATGGTAGTATAAGCAAAGAACACAACGAGGATATTTCTGACGCGAAAAGTGTCACGCAATCCAGTGACAATATATCTCCATCTGTTCAAACAAAAGAAACAGACAGTGTGTCTTCTAAAATAGCAACAGTTGAAAAAATGGAATCAGATACAAATAATGCGAGCGCGAGTGGTGTACAATTGATCGAAGATTCTCCTGACTGTGCAAAGGATACCAACACGATGCAAGTTGAAAAGGCGGTTGATAAAGAGAATGGTATTGAATCCACAACATATATCGATTTAGAAGAGAAATGTAACGACACTCAAGAATCATCGATTCCTAAGAAAACGACGAACGAAACTCATTCGAACGCGAACCATGCTAATATCTGTAACTTGAGGAACAGCATAGAACTTATATACGATAAAACCACCGTTCACGAAGCTAAAACAAAAGCCAAAGAATTGATAGAGATCGATGAAGACGGGGAAAAGATCGTGATAGATTCCTCTCTAGACGATTCCGACTTGAAGCCAGAGAATAAAAATGTCTTAGATAAGATGAAAGCGGAAACAACGTATAAAAGCTGCTACGATAGTAAAAGCAGTAGCGAATTTAGTTATAAATCGTTGGAAACCACCAAAGAGTCGTCGCTCGAGTCTGCTAAATCTAGTAATAAACTTGTAAATGGAAGCAACGAATCCAAAAGGTTCGATCTCGATAGTACGGTTAGTGCACAGTCCGATACGTTTAACGATTTGCCAATCGTACTCGACAAGGTAGATAATACTTCGATGGCTGTACATAATCTGAACAGACAGAACAAAACTGTTGCGCCTGTCCCCAAAGACAACGATCATGCCGAATTGTTAAGCGTAAGCGACCTCATAGCGGATGATAGAAATAAATCAAACTTAACTCATAGCAGTTCCATAACGAAACCCTTGTCGGTAGAAAAGGAAATTGGTATATACGTTAAAATGAAATGCTTGTTGAGTATCGATGAAAGTACAAAGGAATTTCTCGGTAAAGAAATCACCGGTGTACAGTGCGAAGCTGTTCCAGAGACCACTCTGATACGACAGAAGAATAACGACACGTCGTCATCGCTGGCGGACATCTCTGGAAATGACAATAAAGATACATCCCCCGGGTCGGTGAACAGCAATCAGCACATGTACCAGCTGAACCCTTCGAGGCTTTCGTTTGCATCGACGATAAGTTCAGCGAGTTCCGCGTCTAGCGCTGCATCGCTGGCGGTCAAATTCGCGATGAAAGACAGTATGCATTTCTCTTTGCCACGTGTACCTGTGAAACATGCGAAAAGGCACGTTCAAGATATACACTCGTTGAATGACAAGCAAGCAATAGAAGAGGCGCACGATCGCCTCAGTAAAGAGTGGCAAAACAGCCATCTACTTACAACGACTGTACTAAATTTCGTGAACATGGAGCTCAGCGGAACCGATACGTACAACGTTAGCAACGAAAGGATAGACGAGCAATTGCAAAAGATCCGTTCCTCTACGCCGGAGGTTCAGCAAGAAATTGTTCAGTTGCAAACTCCTAAAAGCTCGAAAAAGAGCAGAACCGTAAAAAGGCCGAGGAGCAAAACAATAAAATCTGACGACCAATCGAACGGTTTGAACAAAGTCTCATCGAAGATTCTCGTCCCCGCGGAGAGCAATAATACACCGAGCAAGAAGAAAACTAAAACGGAGCCTCTGGACAATATTTCGAGCACCGTGGACGATTTATCGAAATCGTCGCCGCAAGTAATAACTGACGACCTGATTGGCAGAGAAGTGTTTGCCAAATGGTCCGACAATAATTATTACCCTGGCACGGTTATCGATAAGGTCAAGATGAAGTATAAGGTGAACTTCTACGACGGTAAAAGTAAAGTACTTATAGAGGACTTTATTATAACAATACCGAAAGTTATGAAGCAAGGTTTTTCCGTGTACGCGACGACCAAGAACGATGATTACGGTTCGTGCGGTATAATTGTCGATTCGCAAATTGTAAATAACGAAGTATATTATACGGTGGAAACGGACGAGGGTGAGAAGATACGAGTCCAAGTCAAAGACATATTTTTGTCGTCCGATCAGGCCCAAATATTGAAAGAAGAGCTGAATTCGGAAAACAGAAGTCTTCCATCCACGCCGAAGCTTCTTGGCCAAGTTACCTTGGACAACGTGGTCGACGGTAAGAGACGTTCTCGACGAATTGCTACCCCCGGTTTTCCAACACCGAAATCTAGATCGTTGCTAACGCCTACGGGTAAAAGCGCGTCAGAACCGTCTGTCTCCGGTATAGCTTCCACGATTAGTAAAGAAAAGAAAGGATCGTTCGAGAGCGACGGTATATCCACCGACTCGAACGTCTCCATGAAAGAGGAAATGTCGTCCATAGGCGTGCAGCCTGAGATAATTGGTACGCCGCACGAGCAGATCGTGAAAGGGCCACAAAGTCGTATTAAAAGTAAATCAAGAAGCAAGAAGAAAGTAGAGGACGAGGAAACTATTGCTACCTTTGGCCCGATACCGAGCCCGGATTCGAACTTGTTTAAAGGCATGTCCTTTATTCTAACCTGTACGTCGGTGGAAACTATCGACCGATACCAAGCCGACAGCAAAGATTGCAATTCGGATCCGGAAACCGAGAACGAGGAGGAATGGTCGAAGAAACCGTTCGTCAGGGACAGATTGAACATGCAAATAGTGGTGGGCGGTGGGAAAGTTTATACAGATTTCAATGATATTCCGCAAGATGAGTACAAAAATACAAAATTGATTACGAACGTGCCAAACACAACCGCGAAGTCGTTGTTGTGCCTCTCGGTCGGTATAACTGCGTACAATCATAATTGGATCATAAGGTGCTGTCAAGAGGCGAGTATTGCAATTGAACATGTTTTGCAAAACGCTTGGAGGTACGAAAAATTGTTTGATTCGTAGAGAGATGTTGCACGATGCGAATGATTCGTTGGCAGGGGCGTAGAAGAGATTTATTAACGCTAGAACTACCAAGAATTATGGTGCGTTTATTTGGGCCAAAGAAATTAAAACTATAGAAACTTGAAGAAAGTATAATCCGTTCTCGTTATAGAAAATTGTGATAAATTGTGATCATTTTAACCACTCGGTAGTTCTAGTGTTAATAAGATAATAGTAGGGAATATGAAGAGAACGGTATCAATTTGCTAAAAGTAAATCAGCAATATTTATATTTAGTCTGTTTATGCGAGTTACATTTACTAGTCCTCCATCGAAGCAAACAATCTTTTTCGTATCTTCAACTGTTTATGAAGTGTTTCTCGAACTGGAATAAACTGTGTTTTTATAATACAGATAACCCTCCTATAACACGGTAGATAGGTTCCTAGAAAATGCTGTGTTGTGTGAAACCGTGTTATATGAGACCCAAAGCCAGTACAAAACAAGAACGATGACGTTTGAGAAACGCTGCTGTATGATATGCATATATAAAAAGGTGTAATCTTGTGCATGTTCTTTACAGGGAAAAATTGTAAATCCTGCAGAGGATAAACTACCCGCAGGATGGAGTTTGGACAAAAAATCATACGTTGAAATGTTTCAAAGACCCGACAAGAAACCGTTGAATCAAGTTGTTGTAATTATTCCAGTTATACAGTCTGAGAAGCAGTTCACTACACTTTGGCGCCAAATTTGTGAAAATGCAGGTGCTGTTGTCTTATTAGCAGATAAGCCAGGTACGAATGTTCTTTGTGGTAAACATTTTCCGACTATAAAATTGTAATTGATTGCTGAATAAGTGCATTGATTTTCAGATGCAATGGAAAGTTTTGTAGAGGGGACGGTAGTTATTACGAACAGATCGTGTCCGTCTTGGGCAATAGCGAAAGCTGACGAACTAGAGATTCCGTTGCTTTCCACGACATGGGTTGTTCAGTGTTTGATAGAAGGGAAATTATGTCGATATGATTCACAATTACGTTATAAATATAATTATATATAAAATTAGGTACATTTAACTATCCAGAGACGTCTAAGTTTAAGGGGTTACACTGGTGTAAAAGTTACAAAAAATAGAAAATTCTATTTTCCTTTAAAAAATTAATTCAAACTTTAAAAATTGATTTCTGGGTAGGTAGATGAGTAAACTGGGTGGCTGAGGCAGTGTTTTATACAACTTTTCTTTACAGGATTTTCTAATTTGATTATTTTCGTCTCACCCTGGTATAATATGATATCTACTGAATTGGTGTAGCAGTAGTAGTAGTTGTTCTATCAGAATTAATTCGCACTGGTGTAATCCTTTAAGAGCAGGGGTGGATTCTGCTTTCGATTATAACGTTTTTATTAGTATTGTATCGCTCCGGAGAAGCTGGAATATTATTTCTATTATCGAACAGTTTAAGAATTTGATTATAATTATTTGTTTAAACTTTTTACCAATTGCAAAGCGCTAGTACTTCAGATACTTTGATACTCGCCCACATTTTTTTTTTAGAATTCTGTTTTCGTCGGTGTCAGCTGAGAATTAAGCGCAGAATGTTTCTTTTTGTCGAAATGGATGTAAAATTGATCAATGATCGAAAGAATATCGAAACATATTTTATATAGCGACATTGTGTACTGTATGGATATATGGTGTAAAGGTTTCTCTTTCTGTGACTACTCGTTTTACAGAACTTAAATATGCTTATTATATACCGTATACCGTATTGCTTATCATAAAGTCGTAGGCGTTAGGATTTTGTAACATTTTGTATAAATCGAATTCTAAATCGGAAATCACTTTTATAAAGGATGAATTGTAATTTTAAACACTACTTCACGATTCTCAGTCATAAGTTACGCAATTGAATATCATTACTTCCACTCGTGTCGCAACGGATAAGTTTAGTGAAAACCAAATAGGAACACGCGTACAACATCAAGTTATTTTGAATACTTTTCTTGCGAAAAACTTGAACAACATTAACAGATATATTACGATTAGGAAAGATTCATCATATTTACATTAATGATGTAAATAACTCGGTACATTATTCTTTGTTATAGTAGCACATTCATGATAATCAAATAACGCATTTAATTGTACAAGAATTATTACATTTTAAGGGCAACCTTCCGAGAGAAATATGCTTAAAAGTATAATAATGTAACTATTGTTAGCTTCTAAAAAAAAAAAAAAGATTGTGTCTTCTGTTCTACGTTATCGTAATAATACTTGACGGTCGTCAAGGGAGATCTTTTTTTTTTTTTTCTAATTTAGACGTTATCTTAACAGGGGCTTGTTGGCTTTAAATTGAAAGTTTTGTATAACTTAATCAAATCATTAGATAATCGTAGTCAGACGTACATAGAAGATATCGAGGAAATTCTGTAAATCAAAGCTGATAGTGGGTGGTATATCCTGTAAATATTTTTTTACTTGAAATTGTACTAACAGGTCATTGAATCTACTCACATTAAATTTTTTACATACTGGATATATATCCCGTTTCTAAAGAATTTATAAAATCTTTCCTTACCTATAATACAGCGGATATATGTTCAGTAAAATGAAAAAAAGGAAAACAGAGACGAAAGCAAGTTGCCTATAAATACTTCAAATTAAGATAGGATTAACGAATTTTAATTATGAAGATACCGGAGGGTGTATCTTACGGAACGTTTTCGACATTTTACGTAATTAATTTACAGAATGACTTTCTGTTAAACCAAATATTGACGAGACGATTAAAAATGTACGCGGCAAGTGCACATGTGCGAATGCGTGTATATAAGTAAATATATACATATACTACAAATTTTACTATGTAAGATGTAGCTATTATGTAAAATGTTTTGGGGATAAAATACAGTGACATATTTTGGCAAAGTTTTTCTTCATTATCATTTAAAAACTAACAATATATTAGTATTCACAATAATGTACAACATCCTTCGAGTGCATGTACAAGTAATTTAATAAAATTACTAAAATACTTCTTTCTTTTAAGGATTATACCAATCTAGAAACAACAGTGAAAACGACATAACTAAAAGGAAGAATAGTATCGATACTCTAAGCCCTGCATTCCGTTGAATAGCTTGTCTGATTTGTTCGTTAGCTTCGGTCACGTTCTCCGTCGATCCAACGACCGTCGTCATCAAACGATCTAAATCTTTATCTTGGTCTAAAACCTTTTCCGTAAATATCTCCTGTAGCTCAGCTATATGTACTACTTTGCTCTCTATTTGCTTCACTTCTTCCGTGATCGTGTTAAGTTCGTTGTACAGCTGTTCATTTTCCGCTTCGAACAGCTGTATATCTTCAGGTGACAATTCCTCTTCGTACATCAACGAATTAACGTCTCCGTTTATTTCTTGTATTTTCATAGGACTAGAGTCGTTAGAATCGGTTTTACTTTCTTTCTCTTCTAGTTTTTCATCCGCATTCAAACTCGATTTTTTTGCTTCAAGTTCTAGCCGTTTTACAGGTTTAGGTTCTAACTCTAACTTTGCTATTTTTCTCACTTCCATCGCTCTCTTCACGCGCATTGCTTTTTGTTCTGAATAAATCTTACATACATTTTTCAGATACTCTTCTATCAACAGCAACATGATTTCCCTATGCTCCAAATTTTGCGGTGAGACCTTTGCGTCTGCGATCTCTCTTCGTAAATCCTTGATTAACTGAGAACAGGTGGTCATTATCTTTTGCGCCCCGATATCTATTTCATCGCGATCAGTATCGCTCATACTAGGTACATAGGACAAATGGTTGGAAAAGTTCAAATATGCTTTGCGGTTTTCTAACAAGAATTCGTGTAATTTAGAAATTTGTACTACAACTGCCTGTGCTTTTATAAAGAAAGGACTTTTGTTTCTAGTCTTCTTAAGAGGTTGCGTATTGGTTGGAAACCCTAGATCCTTATTGCGAAGACTTACGGTCTTCACACTGGCTCGAAACAATAAACTTACATCCATTGTTGATCGTTGCCCGAATGAACTTTCTTCTACATTAATTAGCAAATAAGGCACCTTAATATATGTACATTAGTAACTCTTTATAGTTATTCTATTGCAAAAGAAATTTTTAAATGCAGTTAGTTTCGACCTTCATTGTAAACCAAACAGTATCGAGTTTCTTGAAACCGATATTCCTCAAGCTTATTCTATAACATCTGTCATACGGTCTCGCAAATTGTCACGAAATGTATTTAACCTGAAAATAGAGAACCATTTAAAACTACACGAACGAAATTGCGTTAATTTAATAATGGGGGAAAGATCCTACCGTAGCTGGAATCGAGACAGTTAACGTATACATATGTTTAAAACCACAACAAATCGCTCGTAACGTTCCAATTGTTGCAACTGTGACGTGTCGAGTCAACTGTTCATTTATGACGAAAGATGTAAACCGAGGTGCTGTTCAATACCGTCATTTAGTTTCATACACGAATTAATAATCATCGAGGTGTCTTTATCAATATCTTATGCAGCCTCATAATTCACGAAGGATTCTTAAAATTAAGTATTCAACGAATTTTGTGTAAACATATAATAAACGTAGAATGTGCAACATTGGAAGGAACTGTAGCAATATGAAATTACATATAGATGGAAAAAAGAATATCTATCATAAAGAAAAGAAATTAAAGAATAATCGAGCTTCGAAAACGTAAGGTGTTCGGTTAGTTTTATGAAACTGAAAAATTAGGGGCATCATCCATTTAAATCGCAACGCTATTTATGGATAAATAGAAATGACCGTAGATAGTTCCACGAGCTTAAGACCCGTTTTCACGCGACAGTAAAATTCATATCTTTTGCTGTCGTAACGGCGACGCAGCGTTCATGTGTATCTAGCGTAAATGGATTTCATTATGGCGGGAATAGTCAATCTGTATCAATTAAAGTAAAACGTAGGATAGGTGCGTCATTAACGATAATGATAACGAAATAAAGAATTAATTTTCTTAGTTATATTTTAGAGAGAAATTTTCTCTCAAATTAACTCGTTGGTCTGATGTAAGAAAACAGTTTGGTTATAAAGGGGTGCATGGCAACATGTATCTGTCTTTGTTGGTCGCCCCGAATTGATTATCTACCTTTTCGATCAGTTTCACTCTCAATTTTGTCTCATTTTCATTAAATAATTGCTTGGCAGAATTAAATCGATGGAACTTGGATTCTATTTACTTTTCTTTGGGTCTCCACTCGTAGCAACCACCTCGCGGTGAGATCTGGTAATCGGGGTTATCCGCGACTTAAATAAATGTTTCGACATTTATGTAATCATAAATGCTTTAGTTAAAGTACTTCCTCCTTCCAAAATGGAAAAAAAAAATTCTATAAAACACGAGCTCGGTTCGATTAACGGTAAACCGTGCATCACAAGTTTATACATAAGTTTCAAGGTCTTTTGGGGCATGCTTTCTCGTTATCCAATCAAGCTGGTATTTTATAGAAACTATTTCTTTACGTGTTGTAACCATCGTTCGAGATGCACCCAGAAAACTTCGAAAGACAAATTGTAAAAAGAGAAATAATTACGTATCGATAAGGTAGAACGTTTATTTCTGTTAGATTCCTATTGTCAGAACTATCGTCGAGCGTCGCTCCAGTCAAACTTATACTTATGCTAGGAAAAATTGGTATTGCAGATGATTTTATTCCACGATAAGAAAATGCTTCAAACTTGGAGAAACCATACGGTTTTTTAATGGCTCCGGAATAGAAGTGTTAGATCCCATCGCTGGTTGCAACGAGCGGTAAAATATTACAAGACAAAGCAGAAAAAAAGAAACGAAAAAGAATAGTGAAACGAACGATTTGTAATGGCACGGTTCGAGACGCGAATGAGAACAAAGGGGATGGTAGAGGATGGCTATCACGGACACGATTATGCACGCAAGGCCGTCTTGTAGATTCTTTTACTTCGTTATTGGCCGCGTTGTCGGTAAGCTCGTGGATCAGTGGAGTCGCGTTACATAAGTTGACGCGAAGCAGAGAAAGAACGAACGGCGGCGCGGGACGGAGAACGATAGGTGGGAGAACAGGCAATCCGAGAATGTTATGTACTTGGTTTTGCGGCTAAGTCGCACCTAAGCTCTGCCTGGTCGTCATGTACCGTGCAGAACGCATCGGATCGGATCTTTTCGATACGCGTCCTTTTTCGAGCATCCCTCGGAGGTTACGTAGCGCTGTGAGCGTGCACGGAGTGTAGCGGTCGCGGCGCGTCGGAAGGTCACCCGTCAAAACACCGAAAAGCGCGTCGCCGGGCGGCACACGCGTTGTTTACTCCGCGAGAGACGGACAGGTTGCATAGAAAATCCTCTCGTTCCTTGTCACGTTATTGGAAGACGATACGTCGCTTTCAGTTAAAAACGAAATATGTCTCCGCGATATCGTTGACTCGTTTCTATCGTCGCGTCGACGAATCAACGCTACATGATTCGGTGGAGTGATTCGAGGGAATATCGTGCACGCCGGTGATCTAGGATCGGATCGAACTACGAGAAAAGATGACTGCCACGGAAGAAACCGAACCATTGATATCCACGAGAGCGTTGTCCGCAAATCGAAAATCGCATGCAGTCTCGTACGATACGATCTCGTTGGTAAGAAACGTCGAACGATCTTTTAAACATTTCCATATTGTCCATCGCGATATTTGCACGTCGGTTCGCGTCGTGGTGTAACCCGATAGAGGCGCGCGCGATACTATTCGACAACGGACATGGGGGTGAACGTTTGGCTTCGTTAAATTCACGGACGAGGGTTACCGATCATGCGTGTGGCTTCCAACGTATTTTTCCTCTTCCTTTTGTACGCTAAAGGTTTTATCGACGATTCGAGTCACCGGTTTCCTGGAAACCGGTCGAATTACGTAAACGCACGATCGCGACGAATGGGGAAAATAAAAATTGTCGCGAGGGAGTACGAACGTTTTGTTCACCTCGTACGATTTCGGGGCTCTGTTCTAAATGTTCCAACAGCGGGCGAAATATTTCCGCGGCGCCTGTCGCTGTGCTTCACTTATACCTTCCGTTGATCGCAGGAAGCCGTCGGAAGGGACGGGTCGTCGCGTGGAACGAGTTCCGAAACGTCGTTCGGACCGAAACCGATCTCACGTTCGTCGAACGCTGCTGAAAAATCGTCCACGTGTCCTGTTGGGAACTCTGCGAACGAGTCGATCACGTACACCTGGAGCGATTTGAACGTATACGTTTCCAGAAGGGACGACAAACTGTTTAACCGATGGTTCGTTAACAGGAAGAAATTAATCGAACGAAGACATCTATTGAAAGATGGTATGAGAACATTGACAAATGTTGGGGAAATGATGCGAAAGAAATGTAATAGACCGGATGAAACGAACAAGGCGAAGCTTTTACTAGCTACTGCGATGCTTTCGTAGTGCATTCGATATCGGTATCGGTATTTACATCTGCATTAGTATTCGTATCGGTGTTAGTATTTATATCTGGCTGGTAATAGTATCGGTATCGTTAACGATCTTGACATTGTTGTTGGTATCGATATCAGTATCGGTAGCGATGTTGGTAATGATAGTTACAATTTATATCGGTATCGGTATTAGTCTATTTAGTCTATTAGAATCCGCAGTAGTATTGGTATCGGTAGTAATATGTTATTAATATCGGTATCGGTATCGGTATTAATATGTTATTAATATCGGTATCAGTATTGGTATTAATATGTTATTAATATCGGTATTAGTATCGGTATTAATATGTTATTAATATCGGTATTCAAATCGGTATCGGTATCGGTATCGGTATTTATTTTTGTATTAGTATAAATACCAATAGCAGTATTGGTATCTACATCGGCAACGATACAAGTATTTTTATCGGTATTCAAATCGGTATCGGTATCGGTATCGGTATTTATTTTTGTATTAGTATAAATACCAATAGCAGTATTGGTATCTACATCGGCAACGATACAAGTATTTTTATCGGTATTCAAATCGGTATCGGTATCGGTATCGGTATTTATTTTTGTATTAGTATCGATACCAATATCGGTATTGATATTGGTATTTACATCAGTAGCAGTATTAGCGTCAGTATTTGTATCGGCATCGGTATTGTATTTGCATCAATCAAGTATTTTTATCGGTATCGGTATCGATATTAAAAACTATATTTATAGCAGTATTGGTATCTACATCGGTATCGATACAAGTATTTTTATCGGTATTCAAATCGGTATCGGTATCGGTATTTATTTTTGTATTAGTATCGGTACCAATATCGGTATTGACATTGGTATTTACATCAGTAGCAGTATTAGCGTCAGTATTTGTATCGATATCGGTATTGTATTTGCATCAATACAAGTATTTTTATCGGTATTCAAATCGGTATCGGTATTTATTTTTGTATTAGTATCGATACCAATATCGGTATTGATATTGGTATTTACACCAGTAGCAGTATTAGCGTCAGTATTTGTATCGATATCGGTATTGCATTTGCATCAATACAAGTATTTTTATCAGTATCAATGTCGGTATTGAGTACATATGTATGGTGATGAATCGATCAGATGAAAAATTCTATTGCAGTCTGTGGCGTGGCCTATCCAGGCGAATTGTTGGTAATCATGGGATCTTCCGGCGCCGGGAAAACAACATTATTGAATGCGTTGACGTTTCGCTCGAGCAGCGGTGTGACCGTGTCCGGTGTAATGGCAGCCAACGGTCGAAGAGTCTCCTCCACGATACTAACATCGAGAACCGCCTATGTGCAACAGGACGACCTATTTCTCGGCACTCTGACCGTTAAGGAACATCTTCTCTTTCAGGCTATGGTGCGCATGGATCGACGAATACCTATGGCGCAAAGGATCCATCGAGTAAACGAAGTGATCAATGAGGTAGATACCAACATCGTCGTGGTACATTTACGTTCTCGTTTCTATTATTTTATCGCTGTTACTTCTTCCAGCTTGCTCTGATAAAATGTAGAAATACCGTGATTGGTCAACCAGGGAGAATAAAAGGTCTCTCTGGAGGTGAGATGAAGAGACTGTCGTTTGCGTCCGAAGTTCTCACGGATCCGCCATTGATGTTCTGCGACGAACCGACATCGGGTCTGGATTCCTTCATGGCGCATCAAGTAGTCTCTGTATTGAAAGCTTTGGCTGGTGAGTCGTCTTGTATCCATACGGTGGGATATACCTCGCCCAATGGACTACAAAAGAAAACATCCACGCAGCAACACCAGAGACACTAGTGACAGACACCGAATTTAATAAAATTATTAATAGGTGGTAGACGACTGAGAAATATTGTAGTACCTGATACGAATAATAGCTAACATTTCTAGAACATCTTTTTCACAAAGAAAACCCTTTTCTCCTAAAGGCGTATGGTCATCTAAATTATCATATTAGTCGTTACAAACTTGCCAAGCAATTTTATTGAAATCGTAGCCTGTTACTATTGATCCTCTTTTTGCAAACAACGCTGATAGAACAACATTGATGTGTTAGCACGTGGCAAGACAATCGTCGTCACGTTACATCAGCCATCTTCGGAATTGTTCGCCCTCTTCGACAGAATTCTACTGATGGCTGAGGGAAGGGTAGCCTTCATGGGCACGGGCCTCCAAGCATGCACTTTCTTTGAAACGTGAGTAAGAGCAAAATCTACCATGACCGTTTTCAGCTATCTTTACAATGTTTCTACAGATGTGTATGTAATTGTATCGCTGATCCAAGACGACTGAACGATACTTTCAGATTAGGTGCCGCTTGTCCAAGCAACTACAATCCAGCCGACTACTTCGTGCAGATGTTGGCTGTCGTGCCAGGACGCGAGGCATCATGTCGTCACGCGATAAACACGGTTTGCGACGCGTTTCAAAAGAGCGATCAGGGCATTAAAATCGCGCTGGAAGCGGAGGCGACGAACGGCGAATTCGAAGACTCGCTACGAGACTCGAAGAATCACGAGAACCGATCGCCGTACAAAGCAAGCTGGTGCGAACAATTCCGTGCGGTTCTCTGGCGTTCTTGGTTGTCGGTGATCAAGGAACCGATCCTTATTAAAATTCGTCTGCTACAGACTGTCGTAGGTCTACTTCATTTTAGATAAGCGATTTAAAAACAACTGTAAAGCAAAGTGGACAATATTTTCTGAGACACCTCGATGCGTACAGTAGCCTTCATATAGCGTAAATACAATATTACAAAATGTTAAATTTATTTCCTAGATGGTGTCGCTGTTGATCGGAATCGTTTACTTCAATCAGCGGCTCGATCAGGACGGAGTTATGAACATTAATGGTGCTTTGTTTATATTCCTTACGAACATGACCTTCCAAAACGTATTCGCCGTTATAAACGTAAGGATTCCCCCCGTATAAATCAAACGTGAATTAAAAAACGAATGAAAGCGATTCGTATGTTCTGCGTTGTAGGTATTTTGTGCGGAATTGCCGATATTTTTGCGCGAGCATAGAAACGGGATGTACCGTACCGATGTCTACTTTCTGTGTAAAACATTGGCCGAAGCGCCCGTCTTCGTAGCCGTGCCACTAATGTTCACCATCATTGCTTATCCAATGATCGGACTACAACCAGGGATCGATCACTTTTTCATCACCGCTGGCGTTGTTGCATTAGTCGCGAACGTCTCCACGTCTTTCGGTAAGATCGATGTAACTCGCTGGAAGAAACTTTAACCGTGTCTCCGTTTAATATTTTTAGGCTACTTGATATCCTGCATTAGCAACAGCTTGTCTATGGCGTTATCTATAGGGCCCCCGGTGATAATACCGTTTCTATTATTCGGTGGATACTTTCTGAACACAGCGTAAGCACTACAATTCGAAATATTTAACTATAATGAAACTTACAAATACACATAAATTGTAGTAGAGCTAGTGGATGTAATGTAAAGTTCTAAAAATGCCACGATTTAAATTTTGTACTTTAAACGTCACAGATCCATTCCATCCTATTTCGAATGGTTTTCGTACTTGTCTTGGTTTCGTTATGGTAACGAAGCGCTTCTCATTAATCAATGGTCGGGAGTGGAGACTATAGAGTGTACAAGAAGCAACGCAACATGCCCGAAATCTGGACGAATGGTTCTACAAATATACAATTTCAAAGAGGTACACAGGCATTTCTTTCCAAATTAACCCTTTTGCGAGTCACACTCATTTCCGTGCACATCCAGTTTTTCTACAAACTTGTTTTGTTAAAATCTATTCCACAGTCAGAAATTACTTTACTTTTGAGTCGCCCACAAGGTGAATTTAATCTTCGAAAGGGTTAATTTGAAGCGAAGAGCCTATATCTAACTCTGCTTTTGGTTTTAGGAACACTTCTGGACGGACATTATATGCCTTTTCTCCTTAATCGCCGTGTTCCGTTTTCTAGCATTTCTTGCTCTGCTTTCGAAAACTCGACGTACCAAACGGAGCTAGAAAACAGGAGAGAAAAAAGGAACACAAGCACGTACAGATGGGAGCTTGAAAAATCTGTCTAGGCAGGCAGAGCTTTCCTCTGAATTCTACATGACGGAACATTCGACGCCATCTTGGCGGCGTTTTGGATCACCTATCCGCCGGTTGATAAATGATTTTAAAATTGCGGAATGAATTTATGGGACGACCTGATATATTTTTTATATACCTAGAGATAAATATCTGTTCTGATATTTGAGAATAATGGAAGACATATTTTACTAATGTAATGTATTTTACTAATGTATGCAAGTATATTTTTTATATACTTGGAGATGAAATATTCTGATATTTCGATCGTTAACAAATTAAACGAGCTCTGCCTTGTGTCACGGTACCCGTGGGGACGGAACATTTACGCTCCTATCTATATTAACGCCACTGCAACTGCCGCCATACTGGTGGCCGCGCACAACCAGCAGGGTAATAAGAAATTACGAACGTCTGATTCGGATCCTGTGCAAAGAAACGTCGTTTCTCTTTCTCTGTACCTGCACACTGAATCTAGTACATCGACGATCAATGCTGACCTCCTCGTAATTTGTATCATCTGTTTTCGAGTGATTATTAATATAAAATTCAAAACCTTCGTGTTTGTGACTTCCTTACAACTATGCAATTCACGAATAACGAATAAAAATTAATTTGCAAATTATAATTTAACAACGGATTCCTGAAGATTTCACGAGAAGAAGCTTTACGAATGAATCCAACATTTTTATTCGTTATTCGTAATTAAGATTTGCCCAACGTTGTTAGTTCATAAAACAAACGCATTGGCGCTGTTGTTACGCGGACGGAACCTCAACCGATTCCATAAGCGATCGATGTCGAGGAATTATATACTCTCAGTGACACTCCTTTACCACAAAGGGGGGGAAGAAAGGGAGTGAAAACGATGATCGAAAGAAAAAGACTAGGAAAAGTTAACGGGACAGCCGAGGCTGGACGCAATTCGAACTCTCGGTATTTCCTGTTAACCTCTTTGCGGGTTACGAGTCTCTCTTGCGGATGGCGGGCAACGGACACCGTCGTTCGCCACCCCCTTCCAAGCATATGCTCCAATATCTTTAACAAACCGGTTGTAATTCATACCGTGCGAGCGCATATCGGAGGAAGAAAAGAAATGGCAGTTGTACAACGTGATACGTGCATTTGTTCGACAACACCGTCCAACGCGAATTTTGTTCCACGTAGTGGTAGGTTTTGACTCGAGCGGTAGGTGTAGACAATAAATCGGCTGCGTTATCACGAACGTTCGAAGGAAAACTTTCTCCTGGTCCCTTGAATTGTTTTTGAGCTGATTTCGCGTGGAATGACCCCGCCGTGTAAGAAGAGCATAAATGCATAGAACGAAGCAAAGAATTCCTACGACGCATAATCCTTGCGCGAGACCCGTGTAGGGTTTCCTTCTTCGATTACTATAATACGTCTAATCTGGCCCCGTTTCTCGTCTCCCCCTCGTCTATTTTTTAGACAGCTGCGAAACAAATTTATGTATTACACAATAAATGTTCAAAATGGCGTCCATTAAGCGTTTTGTTATACACATTTTAGTTCTTAACGAGGACCCAAAACAAAGAAGTCGAAACGTTGATTTTGTTCATTCGATTAAAATCAAATAATTTAGTCGTTTAAATACTGTTAAATGACTGTGATGAATATTGCTATAAATTTAAAAACATATAACATTCTTGAAATATTTCGATTGGATTTAAGGATCAAGGGGCAAAAGAAATGATCAGCATACATAAAGGAAATAGGCTGCATTTTTACTATGTAAAATTGTTTTCATAAATCGACTGTTTGTCATATGATACGTACAAGCGAAAATGCAGTCCCAGTACATGTAATCCCAGTCCTAGAAGGTACAAGGGGAAGGATAGTGGCAGGGCGAGAGCTGTTGCGAACTGAATTCAGTAACAATCTCGTTTGCGGAGCGACTCGGTTCTATCGGTCGGTTGGTCGTATTCCATCGTTCGACTTTCGAAGATCGAATCGAAATACAAGTGAAAATAAAATAGAGTCTCGACTGGCTGGTAATATTTTAGCAATGATTAAAAAGTTTCCATATTTTTATAAAACGAAACACTAACAGTACATTCATTCAGTAATAAAAATCCTCGTAGATAAATATTAAATTGTATTCTTCGATTGCTTTTATTACATATACGTTTAGTTTATAAAATATATGCATACAGAGTGTTGGGCCACCATGGGAAAAATTTTAATGGGGGATTCCAGAGGCCAAAATAAGACGAAAATCAAGAATTGTAATTTGTTGATGGAGGCTTTGTTAAAAAGTTATTAACGTTTAAAGTTTCGAACATACTGAATTTTTTTCTCGAAAATGCGCAGGATTTCGGGGGTATGTCTATCCACCAAAAATTATTGCAATTGACCCCCGCGACCGAAAATAATTTTTACAGAATGATTTGAGATTTTTTAATTTTGTCGAAAAATTTCACACCTTATCGAATTTTTTTCTCCAAAATGGGTAGGATTTCGAGGATATGTCTAATAACCAAAAATTATTGTAATTGACCCCCGCAACCAAAAATAATTTTTCCAGAACGATTTGAGATTTTTTAATTTTGTCGAAAAACTTCATACCTTCTCGAATTTTTTTCTAGAAAATGGGTAGGAATTCGGGGATATGTCTATTCACCAAAAATGCTTGTAATTGACCCCTGTAACTAAATATAATTTTTTTAATAGGATTTGAAATTTTTTAATTTCGTCTTAAAATTTCACACCTTCTCGAATTTTTTTCTCCAAAATGGGTAGGATTTTGGGGACATGTCTAATGACCAAAAATTATTGTAATTGACCCCCGCAACAAAAAATAATTTTTCCAGAACGATTTGAAATTTTTTAATTTTGTCGAAAAACTTCATACCTTCTCGAATTTTTTTCTAGAAAATGGATAGGAATTCGGGGATATGTCTATTCACCAAAAATGCTTGTAATTGACCCCTGTAACTAAATATAATTTTTTTAATAGGATTTGAAATTTTTTAATTTCGTCTTAAAATTTCACACCTTCTCGAATTTTTTTCTAGAAAACGAGCAGGATTTCGGGGGTATGTCTATTCACCAAAAATGCTTGTAATTGACCCCCGTAACCAAAAATATTTTTTCCAGAACGATTTGAAATTTTTGAATTTAATTGTTAATAACTTTTTAACGAAGCCTCCATCAACAAATTGGTATTCTCGATTTTCGTCTTATTTTGGTCTCTAGAATCCCCCATTAAAAATTTTCCCACGGTTGACCGAACACCCCTGTACAGTATTTGAAGTCAGAGTCGATTGATAAATATCCAATTAATATAGTTATAAATCATATGATACTTTGAACTGTATGTAAAAATATCATAGTTTAACATTGTGTAAATATTGTTAAGATTACGTATAAAATTCTGTTTGTCTCTAAGGTTGATAATTATCGAAAAGAATGAACGCTTTCGGGGAAAGTCGGTGGTCCCGCCGGAATTACGAGAACTTGAGGGAACCGGAAACGATCCAGTTCGAAGGGGTGACGCTTTCCTGGCGCGGACTGTCGGTGTACGCGATGGATCGTGGACGGAGAAACGTGAGCAAGCAACTGATCGACAACGGTGTGTGATTTGATTTTTACGGAAACCTCGGTCGTAGATAGAAGAAATATTTATTGGATCGAACAGATGGTCGATAACATTGCGGTCGATGATCGATTTCAGTGCGGGGTGCGGCGAAACCCGGCGATCTAACAGCGATCATCGGTGCGAGGCAAGTTGTTCACAGCATCTTTATACGTCATAAATTATTACATTTTTAATAGACGAACGCTCGCAGCTCGAGACCATTTCCATTTTTAAATTTCCAACCATGTTGACTGTAATTAACGTTTATATTACACACGTTATACAGATCTGATTTTTCCTAATCTAGCGGAGCTGGTAAAAGTTCACTGATGACGGCACTAGCATTTCGTACTGGACGTAAGTGTTCCTATCATTGATATATATTATAGCCTCAAAACCTCGTTGCAAATACGTAAAGTTCACGTGGGTTCCTTCTAGCCGAACTGCTGGTCCATGGCGACATACGAGCAAATGGTGTGCCTGTTGATTCGTCGTACATGATGGTGAACAGTGGTTACATGCATCAAGATGACATATTCGTCGAGACTATGACGGTCATCGAACACCTTTGGTTTATGGTGAGCCATTCATTTTACGAACCCAGACCTAACCCAGACCTAACCCTCGATTTGTTGTAACGTTACAGGCACGAATGAAACTTGACGAAAGCACGCGAGTGTCGGACATTCGAGAGAAAATTGACCGCTTGTTGCAAGACGTCAGCCTGGCGAGCAGACGCGACACGAGAATCGGCAATGGCGTCGACGACAAAGTACTATCTGGTGGCGAAAAGAAGAGGCTGGCATTTGCTACAGAAGTACGATATGCTACAGAAGTACATTTCGTTTTTCACTTTTCTACTGTTATCTACCAACAATGCGTATAACTGCATAAGAATGTGTATAAATCAAAATAATTCTGGTTTCTTTCTCATCGAAGCAGCGATCACGTTATATCAATCTAACTGTATTATGTTACGACATATAAAGTGACCTGTCGAACATTCTGCGTTCTTGGAACACATTTTTTCGAGGAACGTATCGTCTGTCCGCAATATAAATTACATACAATCGAAGATCGTGTTGTGTTGTGTATTTTATTTATAGAGATGTTGGGAATTTGTTACAGCATCGTCTTGCACGCTTGATATACAAGACGTTTGTCTTTCAGAGTTCAAACTCGGTCATGCTGTGGTCGCGCGTAATTTCCACTTTCAAGGTTCAATTTTTATATTTTTTCTAGTTGCTGATCGATCCGAAAATACTATTTTTGGACGAGCCAACCACCGGTCAGGATTCCCATTCGGCGAATTCCTTGGTCACCCAGTTGAAAACATTCGCTGCTCAGGGACGAACAGTACTATGTACTATACACCAACCGAGTTCTGCTATATTCGATTCGTTCGATCGAATAATCCTAATAGCGGAAGGTCGTGTGGCTTTTGCCGGTCGTACCGAATGGGCAGCACAATTTTTCGCAAGGTAGGTATTAATGATACTGTTGTACAATGAAAGTTTGCACGTTTAACCTCTTCAGGCCCTTGGCCACATATGTGGACGTTTAGTTTTTTATAATTATAGTTACTGTCGATAATAAATAGACCAAAATTTTCACTACAGATTATAAAAAAATAAAAATCGTCTCTGAAGAGGTTAAAGTAGATACTAGTAGTGTGGGGTCCATGATCTCCCGTACTCGCCGCCAGAGGGACCGTTCCTCTCGCAAGCGATCGACCTACCTTACGTTTGTATATATGAGCTTCAGTTTTTTAATTAATTCGTTTGTTTTTCAGTCAGGGATACGAGTGTCCACGGAATTACAATCCGGCTGACTTTCTAATAGCGATCGTGGCTACTGGACCGAGGGCTGAAAATGGCGGGGAGGAAACAGCACGCAAAGTATGCGACGTCTTTCTGACCAGCGAAGCATCCGATGAAATCGATTACATCTTGATGAAAGAAATTCAATTGGGAAATTCCTCGAACGTAAGAAGCTCATCTATTATATCAAAGTGTTCTCTAAAACAGAGATCACAGAAGGCTTTGAAATGGTGTGCGTTAAAGTATTTGTAATTTATTTGTCATTATTTTAACACTTTACCGACCGGTAGCGGTTGATTAATCGGCTATCGGTCGGTAAACGTCGACCGATAAAACAGTTGATTAATAGGCTATCGGTCGGTAAGCGTTGGCCGGTAAAACAGTCGATTAATAGGCTATCGGTCGGTAAAGTGTTAAGACAGTCCCTAACACGTTTTTCTTTCGATGTTTCAGTCAACGCCGAAATTATTCCTCGACTCTAAATCCATCGCGTGAGTAATCGATGAAGATTCCATTTCCCTTTGCACGAGGTCTACATTCTTATCAATGGTTTGTTGCAGACAGAGAGGATCACGATATTGTTCGAGGCTCCACTGGTTGGTTTATCGAAACTTCTTGCAAGTTTTGAGAGATCCTTCGATTCAGATCATCAGAATACTTCAGAAAGTGGTAGGTCTCTATGGGTTCGAAGTTGGGAAGAACAGATAAAAATCTAAGATTCAATGTAAACTTTACAGAGCGTAGCTTTGATCGCTGGACTGTGTTTCGTGGGTTCGGTGAACACCGATCAGTTGGGTATCCAAGCTACGCAGGGCGTGATTTTCATTTTGGTATCCGAAAACGCATTTTTCCCGATGTACGCCACGCTCGCTTTGATACCGCACGAGTTACCGCTTCTTAGGAGAGAGTATCGAGCTGGAATGTATCCGATTCATCTTTACTACGTCGCACGGATACTCTCTTTGGCAAGTAATATTAGCAAACTTTTCAATGTTTAAAGTGTAAGGAATCCCAAAGTTTCCCTGAAGGTCAATGTCTTAAAATTTCTCTTGCAATGTGGGACTCGAGGGATTCAAAGAACAAACATTTTAAATTTCAGATACCCGGATTGATAGTGGAGCCATTGTTATTCGCGTCGATAATATACTGGTTAGCCGGATTGAGGAGCAACGCAGAAGCATTTATATTAACATTACTCGTACTTCTGCTCACGATAAACGTATCAACAGCTTGTGGTGAATTTCTATACTAATCGCTAGACTGCGGATGTTTATGCATTTATGGGAAATTTTAATTTTCAAAAAACTACAGAATTCAGTTAATATGCAAGAATATAAGAAATACTTAAAATAAGGTACGAATTATTATATCTAGGGATTAAGACAACCCTTTACAAAGCTCCAATTTCATTAATTTTATTAATAAAAATATGAATTTGCATGAAGATCCGCAGTCTACTAATCGCTAATAACCATTGCTAATAAGAAATTATGCCATGAAACTCGCGTTTCAGGATGCTTTTTCTCGACGGCGTTCGAGAGCGTGCCGTTGGCAATGGCGTACTTGGTGCCCTTCGATTATATTCTGATGATCACTATGGGCCCCTTTCTAAAACTCGGGTATATTCTTTATCACAATTCTTTTGACTTACGAGACAATTAAAGAATACTAAATACTCATGAAAGTTAACTTAACACGCATCATATAATGACTGATATGATTCAAGATCGTTACCGCTGTATATTCGATGGGTGAAGTACATTTCTTGGCTGCTGCACTCTAGCGAAGCGCTCAGCATTCTTCAGTGGAACGGGGTACATAATATATGTAAGTGAAAATATTCTGAAGATGTTTATTTATTTATTCTTTAGTGAGGTCAAGAGTTTGTGCATGTTGCATATGCCATGAATACAAAAGAATTACAGTGTAACAATTGATCGTCTCTTTGAATGGTAGCTTGTGAAGCGATTGATCCTGAGTTGCCCTGCATCACCGATGGACTCGGAGTATTAAGGCGCTACGACTTCGACGAGGCGAACATTTGGATGGACTTAGTACTCATGGTCGTTATATATCTCGTTTTCCATATTCTTGGCTATCTTTGCCTGTGGAACCGTTGCAGATTAAAGTAAAATTTTCACTTTTCGTCTGATATTTTCATCGTATTCTATCGCAAACTACAATAATGCCTCTCATCTTGCTATCAAATCAAAGTAATTAAATGTATTGTTGGGTGTGTGTACTGATTCAGCTCTGGTTGCAAGTATCCCTAACGCAAATTGATGCAAGAAGCGAGGCATGCACTGATTCAACCAGTTTCTTTATAATGTAATAACTAAAATATAACGATTGAGTTCAGTATAATTTTCTTTGATGTCTTAAGAAGAAACAATTGTAAATTCGCAGCCAATTAGCTCAGTGTTACCCACGAAGAACTTCTTCGTCACAAAGTCGACGATTAAAGCCTTTTTACAAGGTAAAGAATCAAACGATTGTATGACATAACAAGAAATGAAAGCAGTATTTTATCATACATCGTCTTTCAACATTAGTTCTTGTTAGAGACAGACATGAATTCCAGAACCAGCCGAAAGATAGAAACAGTAAATGACCACATATACTTAAGATACCACTAGGATTGTCGAAATTAATAATGGAAGAACAGAAATGACCAATTTAAGAGAATACCGATAAGGGGAAACATCAATAGAAACGAAACAGAAACTAGTAAATCAAATATAATCAATATTTCCATTAAATGGTACTCAGAAACATAGAAGTAAGTTTGGCATCAATAAAATAAGAGAGGGGGAAATTTCGTACACCACTGGTCAGCAAGTAGTCACCATTGGTCATCACAAGCTCACCAATGGTCAAGTGGTCAGTAGTGGTCCCCCTGGTCGCCTCTGGTCAGCCTAGGATGATCCCGGGGTGCAACCAATGAAAGATGCATAACCAACAGAGAGAGTTAAAAGAATTTTCAAAAGAATTTGTCTTAAAATAAAAATAACCTGCCTAACGTAATGGTTAACCAAACACCTGGCTAACTATAAATCTAAATTCGTTTATTATATCAAGAAACAATTCTAAATTCGCAGCCATTAGCTCGGTGTCACCCATGAAGAATAACTTTTCTATCGTGGGTGACACCGATTACCAGGTCTCACCACGAGGAGGTTGCTGCGAATGGAGACCCGAAGGGAGATGGATGGAATCAAAGTTCCATCGATCTCCCTTTTAGCTAAGCTTAGCTGGATTACTAAACTAGAGAGATAGAAGGAAGCAATGTTCCTTCGATCATCTAGTTTAGTTGTACCAAGTAATTATTTCGTTTGAAAAGGGGTGAAGCTATATTGTGGGATACGCGACGCGACGCGATGCTGAACCGTGCGGCAGATCTTCGGATCGAATCAACACTGCCCTTGGTAGATTGATTTCTATTTCTAGAAATCGATCCATCATGGGTAGGCGACTAGATCTTTCGGACAAACTGGACGGCCGATCACATGTTTCGATCGATGAAACAGCGGTGATCGAAGCTAGGAACCAGAGAACGAGTCGAGAGAAGCTACTTGTTAAATAATTACTTGGCAATATTGGGAGACGCATACAATAGGGACTTAAAATTAACGTCGAAGCTCGAGTCTGGTCAAGTTAAAACTAAAATTCGGACGATAGAAGGAAACAAAGTTCCTTGGATGTTCTGGTTTAGTTGTACCAAGCAATTATTTGGTTAAAAAGAGGGACGAAGCTAATTTGAGGGACACGCGACGAGACGCGACGCGACGCTGAACCGTGCAGCGGATCCGAGGATCGAACCTACTGCCCTTGCTAACTAGATCTCTATGGGATAATGGACGGCTGCGACTCCGAATCTAAGGTCTCCATTGCTCCAACGCAACCCGCCGGGAGCCCGAAGGACCCGACTCAAGTTGTCTGACAAAGAGAGAGTACCCCTGAAACAGTGTCGACTTTCGCTGGAAGGTATGCGTTTCCGCAGGATACGGAAACTCCACACCTTCCAGCAAAGTACCATTTTCCCTGGATCTAGCTACCAAGGGAAGACGACTAGATCTTTCGGATCAGCTACACGGCCGATCACATGTTTCAATCGATGAAACAGCGGTGACCGAAGCTAGGAACGAGGGAACGAGCGAGAGACAAGCTACTTATTGAATAATTGCTTGGTAGGACGCGAAGATACGTATAATAAAGAAGGCTTCGACGTTAATTTTAATACTCGCGACGAAGCTTAAGACTAACCACCTCGGAATTAAAAGTCCCTCGGCGGGCGCGGCGTTCTCCCTCGGTGTCCTTGCGATTAATCCTTTAAACTGAAATCAAAACTCATATGTATATTAGTGAGATACGGTAGGAAATTTAATAAACACTTTAAAATGATCTATCACCTAGCTAAAGGGGCTAAACGTAAAAATAGAAATCTTATATTGATCAGTGCCATCGAAACAAATATGGCATATCCATCGACACCATGTTTTATGTATCAAAACGAACATTCTTCTAATGATCAGTATCATCGAAACGAATACAGTATATACGTCGACACAATGTGATACAACTCGAAACGACCATTCGTAACAACGATAGGAACTTGGATCGAGACACCAAATTGAATCAACACCAAACGATCAAACGAAATGGAAGAATCAAAGAAAGTACCCCCGCAGAATATTACGAGAATTCGAGCAAGAAGGTAAAAATAAAAATTCATGGAATCGTGTAGAAACGAATATAGCATATGATTGAAAACAATACTACATTATTATATCCTGCAATACTATACATATCAAAGCAATCACATAAATTCGACAAACAATGTAAAAGTAGAAACATAGAAAAGGAACATTCGTAATAACCAAATAAAATCAGATAGATAAATACAGTTGAATTCACATCGAACAAACAAATGAAAATAATAAAATATAAATAAGTGGAGTGGACTTACTACTTGTTGTCAGTACATAGGGTAGTTACCATAAGGGCCAGCTGTAAAGTAAGAAAATATTCATATTATAGCAACATCGGTTAGATGAACAAGGCAAAATCAGTTCATTGAAGCAAAATTGCCATCAAATGATAGAATAGAAGAGGGGAGAGAATTTTTAAACAGTTCTTACCGTTGGTCATCACCGTCCGGCACTGGTCAGTAGTGGTCAGTAGTGGTCAGTAGTGGCAGGAACGCGAATCAGCACTGGTCAGTAGTGGTCAGTATTGGTCACCCATGGTCAGCTGTGGTCAGCGTTGGCCAGTAGTGGTCAGCAGCGGCCAGCAGAGGTCAGCAGCGGTCCCCGGTTCTCCTCTGGCCATTTGTACACTCCCGAATTCGCGACGCGACTGAAGAAATCTTCGCAGTGACCCTGCTTATATGGCTAAGGCGATGAAAGGGTGGGGAGACCAGTCAGAGCCAAAGCTGAAGATAACAGGTAATACTGTGTCGTCTACAAAGAAACTATTTCGATCGGTCCCACCTCTTGACCATTTCTGGATCTTCACTGGACCGCTGACCTTGATGTCCACCTCACTGTTGACCACCAGTGACCATAAGCTAGTCATTGTTGATCATCGACCCATTAAAACCATTACGAAGATTAAAGCCTTCTTACGAGGATTCCCTTACAATTTGATGCATGATCTATTTAACATTTTGTTCCACTTTGGAAGAGTGTATCTCGTTAATTTTTGTCTTTTTGTACGTCAGTTCGAACAATTGTCATACCGAGCGAAAAATTCGGAGGTGATTTCAGCGTCCACTTCTCATGGATGGCGGTCAGTTGAGAAATTATTCACTGAATTAGTATTGATTGGCAAACAGCTGTAGTTTTGCGTAAATCCATGTGAGTTGACTATGAAAGGGATTAAAATTCATTTCTGAATCTGTTGGTAACGTTGCGAGTGACACGAAAATGGTAATGGGGTCCCGGGACCCCAGAAACTCGGGCCGTAAAATTACATTAGGTGAAAGGTCTATTCATATACCTCGTCTGTGATTTCGTTGAGCGTGCATACTTACCGACCACCGATGCAACATTCCATCGACTATCGGTACGGCAGATGCAGATGTCGCGCGTGCATAGTTTGGTAGATATGGAGGGGATAGTCGCAGGAAGGAAAGAGAGGAACCGAGAATCGGTGGCTAAAGAGAAACGAAACGATTGGTGGGGCGGAAACGGCGGTCTGGAGAGGTTTGAAGTACAGGGAAGTGGCGGTTTGGCGAGGAAAGGAGAGGCGGAAAGAAAAGGAAGACGGTCTGGAATAATGGCGGGCGCGAAAGTAGCGTTTCTTGACATCTCTTTCCCAACGGTTCGGATCTGAAATATTAAAAGCCGTGCAAGCGTGTCGTCACGGGCATCGAGAGTTACTGTTCGTCGACATCCGCTGGCTTTCCCCGTGGAGTCGGTTGCCGTCGGTATGCTCGACTACAGTTGGGCCGCCATGTTACTGTGCCGTACCGTGTCGTATCGTATTGTATCGTGAACGTTAAGTGCCACTCTCGCGGCGTATCGCATCGATGCCGTGGAAAATGTTTGTAACGTTCGGTCGCGCGTTTCTGATTTCGCGTGGCTAGCGGTTCGGGGGCGACGAATAATGGTCGCCGCGAGTTTCGCGAGTTAACCTTATCGTGCAGGTGAATCGAAGCGTCGATCTAATTGACGTGTGTGTCGCGCTCGTGGAGGACGGTCGGCTGCTGTTTCGTCTCGTGCGCCAAGTCGAGAGGAAAACGGTGCTCGGTAGCGGTGTGTCAAAGTGAAACGAAATACGGTGCCAGTGTACGGTTTACGAGTCCGTGTCTGTGTCCTCGACGGCGGATGGCCCGTTCGCGAGTCATGTGCCCGTGAAGAGAAAAAGTATCGGGGTATACACGACGGTGGCTTCGATAATCGGTCGTCGAAGGGGACTATGCCATCGAAAAGGAGGCTCGTCGGCCGGCGAAAGACTATCGTTCACGGCGAGCGCCGTACCAGGAACGCGTTGAGGACCGCCTCTGTCCTCGGTTGTTCATCCGCGTACAGCTGGCGCGGATGAACTTTCTAGCCAGGCGAAGGAAAAACAAAGAGACGAGCGCGATTCCATAGGACAAGTCAATTTATCGCTGTATCACGGAAAACGAAGGAGTAATTACGGAGGCGCTGCGAGCACTCGATGCGCGACACTTCCTACTAGAGGTGTGTATATTGTACCTGATCTAGGTGCAGTCCTGTTTTTATACACACACACACACACGCTCGTTCTTCCGCCATGCACACACGTATGTAGATACGTTTGCTTCAGAGACGGGCGAAATTCTAATCTGGATAGAAATTCTCAAACGATGAATAAAAGATGAATCCGTTTATCCGTTGCTTATTGAAACAAACGTTTTACCGTTTGGTCAAATATACATTCCGAATCAAACGTAGCACATTTTTGCTCGTTCGCAATTATACGCTATCGCGTAGTTCTAACATTTGTTGCGCTAATTTATCAATTGTAATTGGTTTTTATTTTGTCGAACAAAAATATGCTGGAAACGTTTCTCCGTAAAAGTGTCGAGAAAACAAGGCGATACATTGACGCCGTGTTATCGCGGATAATGGTAAAAATTGCAGACGCCGATGCCGGGCGACGATATACAGCTCCTTGCCGTCGATAACGCGAATCAGTCGAGGCGTTTCTTTTTTAGAACGGGTAAATCGATCCGCCGTCGGGATCGATTCCGTTCGGGAATACAAGAAAAGTGACGTGGGACGGCGAAATCGAGACGCGAACGAGCGCGTGTCGAGGAATCAGTACGGTCCCGTGTCGGCGAACAACGGAGAAAACGGAAACGGGCAGAGTCCAGGTATTTCGGTAGCCGCGATACGAATAGAAGACCGACGCTTATATTTAGAAAATTCGAGTCTCCGTTTGCGCGCGGAACGCGATCTCTCTCCCTCGATAAATCGCGGTAACCGTGAAACGTACTTACGCGTTCCCCGAGGTTTACAAGCGCGCGCGCGGCGTAGCAGGTGAAGCAAGGTGAAGCGAGAGATAAAAGAAGCGGGGAAACGAAGACGAGCAGAGGCGTGCGATACATCGATATAGCGTTCGATTATCGGTGTAACTGGAGTATTCGCGGAACGGATTCACGTCGACGCGGATCCTCGTGTTCTATTTGCATGCGAGTCGGGGAATCTATTTAAGATGTCAGACGTTCGAGGGCGGACGTGAACGCGGACGAGAAACACTCGTAATTTTCCACGTACGACGCGCGTTGTACGTTCGGCTTGTCAGGGTTATCGTATCGGCTGTCGATCGTTCCGAATGTAACTGAAATGTTCCTAATGGGCTTCGGTAACGGGAGGCAATCCGCCGGCTGAAACAGCCCCGGAAAAATAAGGAAACCGGTTGGAGAATGCCAAGTCGATGTAACGTTTAACCCTTTTAACCGAGACGTGAAATTGCGCAATTCTTTACGAAAATCGACGGTTATCACGTCGAAAATTAAAGCTACTTTTTATACGATAATTTCACAAATTGGTTCCAACAAATTGCAGTCAAATTCGAATTGGTCCTCTTTCACTAATAACGTAATGTAATAATTGCGGTTTGGAAGACAGAATAGATATGTGTGAGATCACTTATCAAGCAAATTTCACATAGAATAATTACCTTTTACAATGTACACACGTATGTAAAATATTTTGTTCGACTCGTAGAGACCGAGTAACGTTTTATCTTCGACGAGATTATTTTTTAATTTTCATGTGGATTTAACTTCTCGTGGACGTTATCAAGATACGATTACGAAATTTTTCGAGGAAACGAGAAATTGAGAATATGTATAAACAAGTATACATATTATATTTTACTCTTGCAATCATCAGGAAATGATTATAAAAAAATAATAATTTCGTTTACATAAGGAAAATAACAAATTTGTAAGATTAGAAGTTTCTATTGTTTGGATTTTTAAGAAACGACGATTATTCATTTTATTTTATATAATAAGCTATTTTATTTGAAGTATGATTGATTTCTAAGAATTATTAAAAGGAAGACAGAATTGCAAGGTTATCGATATCTTTCTGAATGGGACTATGCATTTTTTTTTTATCAGTTTTGAATTACATGTGTATTATGGCATACTTATAAATAACGCAATTCGATTATCGATTGAATCGTTGTACCTTTTAATTTTTTGGTTAAATACCGTCTTATCAGATCAGTTTGGATTTGATTAACCAACGGATGCTTGCTTTGATTAGCAGGAGGCATACGGCACGTTGAAAACCGATCATTTATTATTTTAATTTGCAAAATTGTTTTTCAAAGACTTATTTTTATACTGTGTATTATAATCACGGTCAGCCCTGAGGAAAATTTTAATAGAAGATTCTAGAGGCCAAATTAAGACGAAAATCAAGAACACCAATTTGATAATAGAAGCTTCGTTAAAAAGTTATTAACGTTTAAAGTTCCGCCAATACTGAATTTTTTTCTAGAAAATGGGGAGGATTTCGGGGGTATGTCTATTCACCAAAATTTATTGTAATTGACCCCCGCAACTGAAAATATTTTTTTCAAAATGATTTGAAATTGTTTATTTTCCCGAAAAATTTCTGCACCTACTCGATTTTTTTTCTCAAAAGTGGGTAGGATTTCGGGGGTAAGTCTATTCGCCAAAAATTCCTGTAATCGACCCCCGGAACTAAAAATATTTTTTCCGAAATGATTTGAAATTGTTTATTTTCCCGAAAAATTTCTGCACCTACTCGATTTTTTTTCTCAAAAGTGGGTAGGATTTCGGGGGTAAGTCTATTCGCCAAAAATTCCTGTAATCGACCCCCGGAACTAAAAATATTTTTTCCGAAATGATTTGAAATTGTTTATTTTCCCGAAAAATTTCTGCACCTACTCGATTTTTTTTCTCGAAAGTGGGTAGGATTTCGGGGGTATGTCTATTGACCAAAAATGATTGTTATTCATCCCCGCAACTAAAAATATTTTTTCCAGAATGATTCGAAACCTTTTATTTTCCCAAAAAATTTCTCCACCTTCTGAATTTTTTTCTCGAAAGTGCATAGGATTTCGGGGGTACGTCCATTCACCAAAAATGATTGTAATAGACCCCAGCAACTAAAAATATTTTTTCCAGAATGATTTGAAACGTTTTATTTTCCCGAAAAATTTCTCCACTTTCTGAATTTTTTTTCTCGAAAGTGCGTAGGATTTCGGGGGTATGCCTATTGACCAAAAATGATTATAATTGACCCCCGCAATTAAAAATATTTTTTCCAGAATGATTTGAAATTTTTTAATTTTTAATTTTTTAATAACTTTTACTACGCTTCAGTCAAGAAATTGATATTCTTGATTGTCATCTTATTTTGGCGTCTAGAATCTCCCATACAATTTTTCCCAGAGAATAAATACTTTACTTTCTGCTATCCAACGCTTCGAGAATATAAATTTCTATATTTAGCGACTCAATTGGTCATTTTTTTCTAATTTTACACTTTTTTTAGGATTCTTGAAAAAAAATTTATGTACGCCTTTCATGCATGTTAATGGACATGCGAGAGCCTGAGTATACGCCTTTTGCAGTCAAAGGGTTAATTACACAGCTGCCAGGGCCACTTGAGTCGACGGTCGCCCGAGCCGAAGAAACATAAACAGTGATTGGCGTGATTTTGTTGCACGAATCCCTAACACGCATCGATGCAAAAAGCGTAGCAGCACTGTATCCGTTTTCGTACCACATATAGAGTGGAATTATTGGACACTTTATTATTGGACCAGTCATTCCTCCATCTACATTCGGTAATAGAAATTGTAAAGTTAGTAATTAATTTTGAAATCACGTCAGGCGCGATACTGTACAGCCCTAGTAGCGTAGCTTGTTTTAATAGTTTCTTTTTTTATTGTTTATGCTTTCGTAACCGTCTGTTTATTTTGTCCTACAGGTGTTCATTGAGAGTCACATCCGGTGATTGTTGCGGTGTTTGAAGCCCTCTTGGCATATTGTATAGCAACCATTCCTTAAGCTTTCGCGCAGCATGCTTTGAATCATTATTTTCCTGCAAGGTAGACACCTCTCCAAGATCCAATTTTATTACACTGCTGTGCACATTATCTTTTAATACGTTGCTTACACCAGCAGCAATCCTGCAACCCCATACTGAGGTTGGGCGTAAACCATTTGCAATTATAATTAATTACGATTAAAATTTGTAAGAAACGTAGAATATAATTAGATAATTATTAGGTTGTAAATTGAAGGGCATGGTCAATTAAGGGGGTCCAAGGTACTTTTAAACTAAATTCAGTTTACAATGAACAGCTTGATAGGTTAGAAAATGAAACTATTCAGTTCCAAAACTTTTACATTTGTGCACGTATTTGGTTTGCTTTTCCTTTTTAAGAGTGTCATAAATTAAGGGACCCCAAAGATTCAGCTAAACTCAAGGCCGTGGGAAATTCTGCGATGCCCATCCGGCCCAACAAAGTCGGAAAACCTTGAGCGTATGATGTACAGGGTGTTCGGTCAACCGTGGGAAAAATTTTAATGGGAGATTCTAGAGGCCAAAATAAGACAAAAATGAAGAATTCTAATTTGTTGATGGAGGCTTCGTTAAAAAGTTATTAACAATTAAATTCAAAAATTTCAAATCGTTTTGGAAAAATTATTTTCGGTTGCGAGAGTCAATTATAATCAGTTTTGGTCATTAGACATATCCTCGAAATCCTACTCACATTCGAGAAAAAAATTCGAGAAGGTGTGAAATTTTTCGACAAAATTAAAAAATTTCAAATCGTTCTGGAAAAATTATTTTCGATTGCAGGGGTTAATTACAACAATTTTTGGTAAATAGGCATACCCCCGAAATCGTACCCATTTTCGAGAAAAAAATTCCCAGAGGTGGCCGAACAGTCTGATTTTCTCTATATTTTTTAATAGATGACAAATTAAATGAAATCTCATTCGTTGCATACTTTCGATTTTCTGCCCCAGTAGTGATATTTTATAAACTTCATTTGGACTTCTTCACTTGGTTAACCGATCGGTTTGCGTCGTATTCGAGAAGACAGTAGCGACCGAGTGTGAAAAAAAAATTAGTTCACGCTACCGCAAACGCGTCGGCGTGCCTCGACTTTCGATTGGTAGAGCACGGTTGACCGCGCGAGCTGATTGGCGGCGATTCCAGTGCATTTGTCGGTGGAACGGGCAAGCTTTTTCTCGCGCCGTTCGTACGAAAGAAATAGCACGAGAAGAGGAGTCGAAGAGGAAAATTGCTCTAAAGAAAGAAAGAAAAAAAAACACGGTCCCTTTCTTTTCGCGGGTCGATATAAACGGCTGCCGTTGGTGCATAAAAAGAAATTTGAAAAATATGATCTTGTACCATGAATAATATCAAGAAAGTGTGTCGACTCGCAGAGAAAGTAGAATGGTACGCTCAACCTTCCGACGTATGTTCGTACATACGCGTGTTAACACTTTGACGGTCGCAAATTTCACGCGAAGACTTTTGCCCGTGATTTACCTTCTTCAACACAGAATGGATATGATTTTTCCATCTCCATTTTGATTATCTACTATTTCTTTCCAAAGACGATTCTAACCTACAAATTTAGAATTTATCAATTACTGCAATCCTGCTATATCATGCGAAACGTGGATTTAACGCCAGAGCACGCTGAATGTTGCGACTAGCTGTCGAGAAAACGTAAGTCTGTGTGAGAGTGTGTTGTAAAACGATAGGCGGCCACGGATGGCCAAGCTAATCCGTGTCTCCGGTTTCACCGATTGTGAGACGCTTTGATAATGTGATTTTACAATTACGTTAAATTATTTGTCGGTTTTCAGGGGACGGCACGATGGCTGAGGACCGAAATAATTCCCAAGGGTTCGTTGGGCAGGCGCACACGGTACGTAAAACCAAACGATCGTGCCAAACTTTGATTCGGTTTATTTTGGTGAGCAAAACTGGGAAACTCGCTTCCGAGACGGAACGCGACGGGACGGGACGAAGGAAACCGAAACGGATCGACGGAACCTTCGCGTCTCCCATCGTTCTTCTTTCCCAGACATTGAAATTTCCGTGTTTCGAACTGCTTAACACTTTAACACTAGATTTACGGAAGCCGTCAATTTGACTGATGTCTGATTCCATATTTAAAATTGCAGAACCCGTAAATATTATTTTTTAACAACTTATGTTGAATTTGACTGGCATGAATACATATTGTAATTAAAAGAAAAATCGTATTGTAAGGTAATCGTCAACATGAAAGGTAAATCTAGTGTTAATGGTCGTACATTTCCAAACCCTTTTTTAATTACATAGTGTTATCATTAACTAAACATACAAATATTAATTTCATTGATTTACATAATTTATCTACTATCGCTGTATTTGTCTGTACTTCTTTGTTAACCTCAAAAATGTTAATTACAAACTACATCCCATTAATGACTTTATGCGAATTGAAAATTGCGATTAGGTTACGTGAATATTATAATACCATAACGAACGTGTGATACGTATTCATTATTTAGTAGTATTCTCGATATCAGATACAAGAACGAATTTACTTTATCGTAAGCGTTTCAAAGACGCATTATAAGTTCGAAGCGTCACCAGTGGCCGCCATGACAGATACACCGTCGTAATCATCGTAACCGACTAATTCAGCCTATTAAATATTTTCGCGTCGCGCACGATCGACTTTTGAGACTAGTCGAGGCGAATTAATCGATCAGTGACCAACTCTGGTCCTGGTGACAGGTTGGTATTTATTGTGAAGTCAAGCGTCGACGAGCCTCGTGTCGTGCATTGTATTCTTTATCGCCGGGAACCGTCATTGTTGTCACTGTTAAATTAACTGTGTTTTGTTACGGGCTCAACGCTGTACACGGTGCCTTTACAACTCTGTTACCTTTAACGTGTCATCTGTTTTCTATGTTTAGGAATTCCTCGACAGTTAGTTAATACTATTTAGCGTTATGAATACTTTTGTTTTTCCCCCCACTTCTAAAAATAACAGTCTCGTTCGATTCAGCGTTGGTAATTAGAATTTCTTTCAGGCAGAACACGGTGGTTCGGCTTCAGTCCCGGCACCGTCAGTATCAGCAACAGCGACCGGGACTGGAGCGGGGTCGAGAACGGTCGGTGGTGGAATAGTGGCGAGAATCGGAGGTGGACAACGCGACGACTCCCCGCCACGTGGTCCTCGAACTTTGCTCTTACGCCGCAGCGAGAATGGTTTCGGTTTCACCCTTCGTCACTTCATCGTTTATCCACCCGAGTCCTGTTGCGTAAGTGTTCCCGTTCTTTTGTTAAAATCTGCAACGGTTAAAACAACTTTCCAACGACTCATCCCTTCACGATCCGTTCCCACTCAGCGTTACGAGCTCGACGAAACCTGGCACGGAAGAAAAGGAAAGAGAATCGACGAAACGAGGCATACGCGAGTACAATGTTACATGGAAGTCTACTGCAATATTAATTATACATATACCGATTTCTAGTCTTTTAAAAGGAATCGGTAGGGCTCCCTAGCAGGTCCTGCTTTAGACTAGATACTAGGTTGAACAGAGTGTTCAATCAACCGAGGGAAAAATTTTAATGGGAGATTCTGGAGGCCAAAATAAGATGAAAATCAAGAATATCAATTTTTCGTTTGAGGCTTCCTTAAAAAGATATTAACAATTAAATTAAAGTTTTCAAATCGTTCTGGAAAAAATATATTTAGTTACAGGGGTCAATTAAAAGTATTTTTGGTAAATAGACATACCCCCGAAATCCTATCCAATCTTTAGAAAAAAATTCGAGAAGGTGTGAAATTTTTCGACGGAAAAAAAAAGTTTCAAATCGTTCTGGAAAAATTATTTTCGGTTACGGGGGTTAATTACAATCACTTTTGGTCATTAGACATACCCCCGAAATCCTACGCACTTTCGAGAAAAAAATTCTTTACCTACATTTTACGACGAAAAAAAATAATTTCAAATCGTTCTGGAAAAATTATTTTCGGTTGCAGGGTTCAATTATAATCATTTTTGGTGAATAGACATACCCCCGAATTCCTACCCATTTTCTAGAAAAAAATTCAGTACGGCTGAAACTTTAAATGTTAATAACTTTTTAACGAAGCCTCCATCAACAAATTGGTATTCTTGATTTTCGTCTTATTTTGGTTTCTAGAATAGCCCATTAAAATTTTTCCCATGGCTAATAATGATCATAATACACAGAATAAAAATAAGTCTTTGAAAAACAATTTTGCAAATTGATGATAAATGATCGGTTTTCATCGTGCAGTATGCCTCCTGCTAATAAAAGAAATTTTGTAATTTAATTGTTAATAACTTTTTAATGAAGCCTGTATATAGAAACGGAGGGGTCGGTCGAGCGCTTGCGAGAAAGAGAGCCTGGCCCTCTGGTAGCGATAACAGGAAGTGACGCCACAATTGAATTCGTCTTGACTCGAGCTAGGATAATACAAAGCATAAAATACACAATGTTTAAAAAAACGAAGATGGCCTTTATTTTGTGTAATAAAAATGTCTTCAGAATTTTGTTAAAATCAGACTAACCAGAAGCTAACATTTGTTCGTGACGAGTTTAGCCTTTTTATTGTGAATCTTGATACGAAGAACTTATGAGGAGTCAGACCAGGCCCATTTAAACAAATGCTTTTAAGGTTATGTGACACTAAGGTGTACGCTGTAACTTGCGTCTGCTCTCGTTCCAAAAACAATTGCAACGTCCTCCTTGCCAGACATCCATCCAGAAGCCACGAATACCAACATTAATTCCGGTCTTGAGCCAAAAATGAACCTAACCTACAATGTATTCATCGAGCGCCATCTATTTGCAATTCTGTTAATAATCGTACGAATTTTCTTGTCAGATGTTACCGGGGCACGAGCAGCCGATGGACACGATATTCGTGAAGCAAGTGCGGGGAAATTCGCCGGCAGCGAAAGCCGGGCTGCGTACAGGGGACCGTGTCGTTTCCGTGGATAACAAGCTAACGCGTGGCGAGCAGTACGCGAAGGTGGTACAACGTATCCAGCAGGCTGGACCCTGGCTACGGCTACTCGTGGTCTCCAAAGAGGACGACATCCTGCAGAGATACTTCGGCGAGACGGCTCACAATCCCGAGACGAATCAACGACCGCGATTGCGTTCCCCGGAGAGGAGCAGTCAGAAGCAACGTAGATCCGCCAGCATGATACCCGGTCTGTCGCCAAGAACGAGGCAATCGTGGGTCTGCTCAGCACCGAGTTCCATGCAGCAGCCGGAAACCGACCGGCCGATCGACGACACGGTCTCCCATCGGGATCAAGACGTTCGATCCAGCGAGTTCGCCAATGAAAATCAGCAGTCGCGCTCGAACGGCAACAACACTCAGTCGCAATCGACGAGAGGCGCCACGTACCGGTGCAAACCGTTTCAAGAGTCTGGTGGTCGTTACGAGTCGATAGACGAGAAAGTGAGATTGCGAAACCAACAGCAACCGGGCGAAGATGCCGCGAACCTGACCAGCGAACGATCGATCCAGTCGGACGCCAGATACGACAAGTACGACCTCTACGACAGAACGCGGCCGGAGTCCATCTATTCCAGAACGAACAGCGAGCAGATTTACGACAGGATCAAGGATCCGATATACGAGCGGGTCAGGCTCGGGGAGTCGAATCGAGCGAACACGGAGGATCACCATCGTCATCACTATCAACAGCAACAGTATTATCAACCGCACCAACAGCAGCAGATCTCGAGCTTGACGCGGTATCCTTTGTCTCGAGCTGAACCGCAGGTCAGAGTCGAACTAATCTTTATCTAGAGTTCTAGCTCTATTTTGAATAGTTCTAGCTCTATTTTGAATAGTTCTATAGCTCTAGCTAGCTTCACACTGTGTCTCGGTTAGCTTTGCTCGAGTTGTCTTACCGTTTTGTGTCACAGCTTTTCCTAATTAGCTCTGTATTGTCAATTACTATCAAACGTATGGAGTTTTTGAAATACTCCCCAAAGTCAGGCAACTTACGTTCCATTCAGTGATAGCCTATCAACAGTAACATATGACCTAACCCACTAATGATAATTTTGAGCAAACGTCCGGTGACTTATGGTCAGGCAAGAGTGTAGCCTCATCCAAAACGTGTTAATAATGGCCTATCGCTTTACAGGTGCCTATCTACCGTCCCACAACAAGAAGAGTAACCTCTCGCCGGGCCAGCGAGGGCAGCACCGGGAGTTGGACGATCAACAATTTCGAGGCGGCGAGTTACGCGAGCACAGACGCGCTCAGATCCTGCGATCTCGGGTCTAGGTTCAGCATCGACTCCAGGAGGGATTCGTCCCCGATACGCAACGACGGTTCGCTGTCGTACGACTCCGGCTCCGTCCACGTCGGGAATGGAACGAACGGGAACAGAAACGGGAACTCGAACGGCAACAGGAACGGCAACTCGGGCATCGACGACTCCGTGATCATGACGAGGTTGCGGAAAAGTTTCGAACAGAAGGAGGAATTCCTGCGACGACCCAGCCATCCGATCGGCTGGTTTCTGTCGGAGGAGAGGGCCGAGTCGCCGGTTCGTGGCAACGACGCGGCGGTGATACCGCGGGAGTTCTACGCGAGGCCGCAGAAGCTTCAAAAGCAGATCTGGCCTCCGAACGAAGCGAAGCAGGATCAACAGTGCCCGAGGCAACTTCAAGATAGAAGCTTCTCCGGGAAGATGGACAAGTTCCCGTCCAATCGTAGCGAGCAGAGGCTGAAGAACGACGCGGCCGACGAAACTGAGAACGAATATTCGAATTCACGATACAATTTATCCGACGAAGCCTCCAACAGCCATTCTCTGGACGACGCCCACTCGCAGACTGTGGCGGATCAACTCTGTTGTTCGCCGTCCGCTTACGACGACCGGCGCGATAAGGTAACTTCGTATTTAACGCTAGAAAGACTGAAACTTAGTATATACCTATATTGCCCAAAAGCAGTCAAAATGACTTGTTAAAATTAATTTTTAATATTATGAATTTAGGGCGCGAAAGAAATAAAATAAACAACTTGTTAGGACAAGTATCACTGCATAAAGATTCGACCAACAAGTACTACTTTAGCTTATTGAGAAACTGCAACTTATCAAGTGTACGCCCAAATCGACAATTTATCATGTACTTGTATGTTATCGTGTGTCGGTATTCAATTCAATAATAAGAATCATTTGGTTATTTAAAATTTCCCAAGCAGTCAAAATGACTGCTTTTGGGCAATCTAGTGTTAAATAAAGATAAAACCGTACATACTTAATACTGAATTTGATTCGTAGGAAACGGACAGACACCAGCAGCAGCCGCATCGAGGCGCTGGCGGGAAGTCTAGCTTCGTTGGCACTTTGTCCAGAATACACGAGAACATCACTAGCGCCGCGGCGCTGCTGTCCAGCGAACGACAGTCCCAAGACTCGAGAAACGGCGCTTCGTCTCTGCCCTCGTCCCCAGGACCCGACAAGAAAGCAAACGACAAGTTCCCGGCGCTGCCGCAGGGTCTTCAGATCGTGTCGAAGCGCGCCAAACAGTTCGAATCGGGTCGTCTGCTCAGCGACGACGACGAACCCACCGGCGATCGAACCAGCCTGTACAAGAGCGAGCTTTCGAGACTGTCCAACAAACGGAGCGTGCCTAACGTCGCCGTGCGGAAGAGAGAATTCGAGTCGAAGGCGGAAGCGCAAGAACCGAGAAGGGTACCGATACCTGCCAGGGAAACCAAGTCTCTGGACACTGGTGAGCCCCCGTGTTTGCCGCGTTTTTTTCAAACAGGGGTGGTAACCATCACCTAGGGTTACTAGGCTGAGATTAACGTAACCGAGTGATCCCCCAAGTCCTTCTCTAGAAAACCGTCTGTCACTACGTTTGTAACAATTTTGCTTAACACATTTTGGTCACGTGACGCTATGGCGTCAAATATGACGACGCGTTGGAACGCTCGTTCCTACCGAGTTAGCTCGATTTTGTATTATATAGATTGAGTTACTCAACCCTAACGATTCTTGCTTTCCGTTAACCTCATAACATACTTTTTATTACATATTCTCGAAGCTAACATCGAGAAGCATTCAAAGCCCTATCTACACGTGTATCTTGCATAAGGCGTAGCTGATTTTCAACAGGCATTAAATATTGATTTATATGTTTGATAGACCGAAGATGTGTACCGTGCTGCAGGAGTATCGCGTTGTAAGGGGGATGTCTGTACACTATTTTGGAGCACACGTGCAAGATCTGTTCTCTTTAGAGCCACTATGATGTACAAAGTCCGACCGAGCAACCTCCTCGCGGTGTACATTGGGTAACGCTAATGCCGGCGGCACCTAAACTTTCAAAGTCAACAACTCGGCTACAGCTTACGCAAGATGCACGTGTAGTGTTCTGATAGCATCTCGATGGTAGCTACAAGAATATTAAAGGACGTTACTTGCAATTAATAATGAAACCACAGTTTACTGTAATTTTATGAGTAATCAGGACTGTTAGGATACTGTACACTGTCGTGCGCCAAGTATGGATTAGATGATGGTTACTATCCCTGTTTGGTACAACTAAGATCCTATTCAAGTGTAATGGTAAAGCAGCACGAGTTTAGATGACTGTAAGCTTTATCCTTGATACGTTACTGTGAATATTTAGGTAACGGATTAAAAGGAAACAGGGTAATACCTGTAGGCAGCAGACGCATCCACTGTGAACCGCCGACCGACTGTAAACCGCTCGAAGGTAGAAAGAAACGAAAGTCGAGTTAGTTAAATGTTGTGTTCGCCGATGCGTTTTCACCCCCAAAACCCTATTTGTGCCCTTTCTAATCAGTTCACTGCACCCTTCGATGTTGCAGCTTTGCTCTGGCAAAGCACGTTATACTGTTTCGTAGACGTATGCGTGTTTGTGTTCGACAACGCACCGTTCAATACTGTACTAACACCGTAAACTGTGATTGGTAATTGTGTACCATTACCGACGCCATCGTTCATTTCAATCACCTTGAAACGAAACGAATGTAGATCTCTGACAACAAGACGAACTTCAAGGACGTTAAAAAATATAGGCGTTGGCGTCGGTGAATGTAATTTATTTTTCCGTTTCGAAAGTGTTGAATCGTTCATCTGTTTACTGTGCACTCTATTTAGAAACGCCCAATTCGAGAATCATGGACAACGAAGCTGTGCGTCTGAGGATCCGCAGCAACAGCGCTGAATCTTGGGACTCGGTGAGCAATAACTCGCAGATCAGCAGACATCGATGGCCACAGCGGCAGCCAGACAACGACCGGGAGCCGAATGAGACCGACAACGAGAACGAAAGCTCTTACGTTAACGCGCCAAGCTCTGCTGGCGATGACAAAAATGCTGAAAGGGGGATCAGAAGACAAGATGGCTATTCGCATTCTCTAGACGCGGAGCGTGGTTAGTAAACTTTAAATTATCATTTGATTAAACTGTCCCTTAAGATGATCTAGCGATTAATACGATTTGATGATTTATAGGTACGATCACGGATAATGGCGTGCACAGTAACGGAGTTGTATTCAGACGGCAGAAGAACGCACAGATCGGTAAGTCTTACACAGAGCATTCGGCCACCCCTGGGAAAATAAACCTGGGAATAGGAGATTCTAGAGGCCGAAATAAGACGAAAATCAAGAATATCAATTTCTCGACTGAGGCTTCGTTAAAAAGTTATTAACAATTAAATTCAAAAATTTAAAATCATTCTGGAAAAAATATATTTAGTTACAGGGGTCAATTACAAGCATTTTTGGTGAATAGACATATCCTCGAAATTCTACTCACTTTAGAGAAAAAAATTCGAGTAGGTACTGAAACTTTAAGACGAAATTAAAAAATTTCAAATCATATTAAAAAAATTATACTTAGTTACAGGGGTCAATTATAATCAGATTTGGTCATTAGACATACCCTCGAAATCTTACGCACTTTCGTGAAAAAAATTCCTTACCGAAAATCTAATTAGGTGCCTAAATTTTTCAACGAGAAAAAAGAAATTTCAAATCGTTCTGGAAAAATTATTTTCGGTTGCGGGGGTCAATTACAATCATTTTTGGTCATTACACATACCCCCGAAATCTTGCTCGTTTTCGAGAAAAAAATTCAGTACAGACGGAACTTTGAACGTTAATAACTTTTTAACGAAGCCTCGATCAAAAAATTGGTATTCTTGATTTTCGTGTTATTTTGGCCTCTAGAATCACCCATTAAAATTTTTCCCAAAGGTGGCCGAACACCCTGTATAATTGGTATTTGTCAGAGTTTCATTAAATGTAATTACTCATCAACAATTACGACAGAAATTTTGCAAGTGTGACCCTCGGCTTTTGATAAATTTTTAAACAGAAATTCCGAGGCTAATGATAATTAAGATAAGGCTAATAATAAATCAAATAAATATAACACATAAGGAAAAATAGTTTCTAAACTTGCCTGTTATTTATAATAATACTGATTCATCTCTCAGTAATGATTGATTGATTAACTTTTATACTACAGTTTTTATTTTTTTCCAGCGGACGAAGATCGTGCCACTAGAAGGGTCTCGTATTTGAAGGCGACATGGGGGGAGCGGATGCACCTGGACAGCGATTTAGAATTAAGTGATTCCGAGCCCATTCACACACCCAGGAGGTGAGTCGAAGGTTCCCCGCGATTGAAACGAACTTTCCCTCCAGGTTCGCGCGTAGTTCGCTTAGTACGGTTTTGGTTGTACGGACGCGGTATGGTGGTTAGGGGTGGAGGTCTCGTCTGTCACGTAGTTTATTCCGAGTAATACATCAAGCTCTGCCTCCGTCCATATTTTCAGCGTTCATAAGAGATGGCGGCTACCGCTGTTTCCAAACGATATAGCATCGCTACGACGCATCTTCGAGGACATGACTCAGTCTGCATCCTTAAACAGAAATATCGATCGGTGAGGACAGTACATGTTGAACAAACCACAAAGATGCTGCATTCCGTTTCCACAAACGTCTTCTCTTACATCCCCGTTGTTGTTCACTGTCTTTCTCGTTGTACCCTCTCGTTCTTATCAATGTCGTCGTCGTAACATCAATATAACGATCTTAACCCTTTTCTCTCTTTCTCACCCTTAAACCAGTCGCCAGGTATTAACCGCTTCGCCTATATTTACTAACTCGCGAATAATACGTTTCTTCGTAATTCTGCTGTATGTGTGTTTGGCTAATATTAGGTCGAGTTATAAGTAATTGTAAAATTATTAAATTGCTTACGAACTCAACCCAATAGTAGATATATCGTGGCTTCGATATAGAATTCAACGGTCAGAGATGACAACGAAAGGAAAAAAATTGATCTCGTTTTTTTGATCGTACACTTTCGATTTGAAAATCAGGAAAGCTTTCTCGATCGATCGAGTATCTATGCAGTCGATAAATGTTTAAGCGATGCAAACTGTCGTATTTGAAGAACGTGTTGGTCTTTTTCAGCAGCAACACGTGTACTGGTATGGAAGCAACCGGTATTGTGAAAGACGTTGTCGAGCAAGTCGAGCGAGAGGGTCCTCTGCATGTAAAATTCACGGTGCTGGATGGCAAGGTAAAGAAATTTGCTCACCTTCTATAAAACGTAACCTGCAAATTCTATTTTGCTCTATTTTTATTCCAGCGATCTTCCGACCGATCGTGGAAGCAAGTATGGGGCGTTCTTCGTGGACCGATTCTCTTCTTTTACAAGGATCGTCAAAATCAGGTATGTTTAGAGATGTGCAAGAACCAGAAAATTTCCGATCGAAAGTTTGAGGGCTGTCTATAATAACTAGACTGCGGATCTTAATGGAAATTCACATTTTTATTAATAGAATTAATGAAACGGAAGCTTCGCAGAGGGCTGTCAATCCCTAAATATAATAAGTCGTATTTTAAATGCATTCTGTAGTTTTTTGAGGATTAAAGTTTCCCATAAATGCATAAACATACGCAGTCTAATAATAACAATTATTGCCCGATTGTTTAGTGTCCTTCGATGGCCAACGATGGCGATAGCGTAGCCCAAAGCGTGGATGTGAGGTGTTCCGTGGTGGACATCGCGGAGGATTATACGAAACGCAAACACGTACTGCGTTTGGCGAACCCGAGTGCCGAGGTTCTTCTGCAAACCGAAGATGCGGCGTCTATGGCTCTTTGGTTGCGATCCTTGCACGAGCATGCCGCTGCTGAAAAGCCGTCTGTAAGTTCGCAACATCGTAATTGCGTTTGTAAGAATCGTCTACAATAGCAGTTGATGGTCCATATGGTGGTTAGATTAGGTTAGAGTTAAAACTTTCCGGTCGAAAAACAGTTAGGGAGTTTGGTTAGGTTAGGTTAGAATTAAAGACAGTTAGGGAGTTTTTACAGGTCGAAGCTTTTACGAAGATCGTCGACTTGGGCAAGTTCACGTCTGTTCCGTGTCGTGTTGCAGGAAATCGCCTACAACAGCACCTTGAAACAGCAGGCTGTCCCGCAAACTCCGGGCCCTACCAGCAGCAGTTCCGCCGCGTATCAGATAATCGCCAATCCGAGCGGCACGATCACGGTACCCAGCGCCGCCACCGGGCAAAGATTGAGTCCACTACCGGGCCACAAAGGCATCAAGAAACTGACTTCGTTCAGGAACAGATCGCCGACGGGCCAGTCGCCGATAAACAAGACGCGAAAGCCGTTGCAAGCGACCGAGAGTTTGGTTTCCCCGAAGACGAAGACGTGGAAAGGCAGGGTAGCGAAACAGCTCCGAAGGATGCACGGTCAAACGGGATCCCCATCATCGCCAACCACGCAATTACCACCGGAGGGTTCTACCTTCAAAGTGCCGCTCGAACTCTGTCCACCGGTAATTACGTTCGCCCGCAGTGGCGGCCATTTTCCTCCACGAGTCGTATTTTAACCTCTAGATTGTGTACATTGTCTTGGAAAGCTTACAAAAATATCTAAACTATGTTCTCGTAGAGCTTGAACCTTCCGTTATGAAGTGTTAAAATTTGTGTTTCTTGGGATAGTCATCCTTCTCGGAGTATGTGCCATTGATCGTCGAAATGTGTACGAGCATCGTCGAGGCGAGAGGGCTCGAAGTAGTGGGTATTTACAGAGTACCTGGCAACACCGCCGCCATTTCCCATTTAACTGATAGTGTCAACAAAGGATTCGAAAACATCAATCTTCAGGTAATTTTGTCAATTTTTTTATTATCTCATTTGCCTTATACAAACGTACCTAGCTCATCAAATGATTTGTAACACTCAAATTAAATACCACTGTTCATACTGCCATATATAACATCTTTTTATAATTGAAAATAGTAGCTAAGGTTCAGCTGTCGATTATACACGGTTTCTTTTTTTTTTCGATTTTCTTAGGATCCGAGATGGAGCGACGTGAATGTAATATCATCCCTGCTTAAGTCCTTCTTCCGGCAACTTCCGGATTCATTGCTCACAGCTGAATTATATCCCATGTTCATCGACGCGGATAAAGTCGAAGATCCGCAAAGGAGAATGACAACGATACGGAAGCTGCTCAGGGACCTTCCAGAGCATCATTTTGAAACTCTGAAATATCTGATGTTTCATTTGAAGAGGATAGTCGAGCATAGCGAAATTAACAAAATGGAAGCAAAGAATCTGGCCATCGTGTTCGGACCTACGTTGGTGCGAGCTAGCGGATCCAGGGACAATATGGTCACCATGGTCACCGACATGTCGCACCAATGTCGAATCGTCGAAAGCTTGCTGAATAATGTGCGTACTTGTCCTGTAATGGTATCAGGAAAATATTAAAATGATTTCCATCAAGGGGGTATTCTGGTCTAGGTCAATTTTTAATTTCATGTCTGACCAGAATATCCAGATCAGAATATCCCCCTAATTGGAATCTTTATCACGCCTCCAGGTGGATTGGTTCTTTTCGGACGATGATTTGGACGATTTAAGCAGACTGAGCGTCAATCTTAGCCTTCCGGCTGACAATACCGAGATCGACACATCCTCGAGCAATAATCACAATCTGTTGTTGAACAACATTCAGAAAGTCGAAGGTAGGATTCAAGATTCTTTGAAAAGATTTTATCTTTTATCATTGTTGTGCAGATAATATTTATTAAATTGTTCATTCCAATAAAACAGGAGTTCGCGAAATGGCTTCTGCCAAGGACATAGTATCGTCCATCATATCCGCTGCCAATCGTAAAATACAAAGAAGACGGAAGGGTCAAGACGAAACTGACAACGAGAGTCACGAGATGGATAAGGTTTGTTTCGTACAAGACACGTGCTATTAACGAAGTTTCAAGGTCCACCAACTGCTAGCTAATTCTGTATCAAGTATTCGACCTAATCGACGGCGTATCTTACAGTTGAAGGTGAAACAAGAGGCGGAGATCTTGCCGAATCGACGAAGTATGGCGTTGAACGAGCGACAGTGTTCGGTCAGCGAGATCGTTCTGATGCACGAGAACAAGAATCAGTCGGGTCGTTCCACCGATCGATCGCCGACGATCGACGAGACCATGATCGGCGGCGTCGCGCCCGGTGGCGGTGGAATCGCCGATTGCGTGGACATCACGGCCGACGCGGTAAGCAGCAACGAGGACGGTATGCCGTACGACAGGTCAAGGAAATATCTGAACGCGCCGGTCGAGTCGGTGCAGTCGGCTCGTCGCTCGGCCGTCTCGTCTGCTTCGGAGTCGTCGCGACTCTCTAGCGAGACTGGCCTGAGCTGCTTCGACGCCAGCTCGACGCTATCGAGCGCCTCGAACGACACCAAACAGAGCAACGACGAGGTCACGATCAGAACGTACGCCGGACTGAGCGCGACCACCCAGGAACGTATACGTAGGTTCGAGCAGGAGACCAAGGCGATGCTGCAGAGGGATCAGAACCGACAGAGGCGCGAGGCGGAGAAGAGGGAAGAGGAACGGCGCAGAATCGAGATTGAATGGCAGCTGGCGAAACGCGACGTGGAGAACGACGATCTGGACACCGCTGTGACGACAAATTATTTGCCGTCCACCGGTCGACTGTCCGCGTTTAACGACAGGCCGCCCGATCAGTCTTACCTGGACATCGGTCCTCGATCGACAGCCCGGATCCCTCCGCTATCCATAGCTGTGCAACAACAACCCACCGCTGTTAGGCGAGTCGCCCAAATCACCGACGAGTCTCCCCCTGCGATTCTAGCTCCGACGAACATTGCAAGCACCGTTATAAAGAAACTGAAGACTGACAAAGAGGTGAGCAAAATTAATGGAGTTTCATTTAAAAAAAGATAGCAATTGGCTTAGAGTCGAAATTGAGACGGTCAGTTTTCTTTATTTGAGATACGAAAAAAATATTACTTAACTGTAAATACCCCCAACACTTAAGAAAAGAACCAATTTTCGTTGCCCTAATACTCTCTTGCTTATTCTTGCACGAAATCGAAAGCAGATACTGGGACCTACGTCGCTACCACCCGTCCGTTACGGCAGTTTGGACTCACTGCACGAAATGCACGATGTTTCACAGTCGGTGTCGCCGCCGCCAACCCACCAGCAACGGAAACCACTCTCCAGCGACGTCTCGGACGATGGTTAGTATCGACTAGTGTCATTGGCCGCTTTTCGTCATGTTCTAAGCGTCAATATCTTCTTTTCACTCTTCAACAAACCTTACATTCTCCGCCCTTTGACTCCTCTCTATACTTTATACCTTCGATGAACCAAGCCCAATCGATCCTATTACACAAAAGCTACCGGATACCCGCCATCTTGTTCGTTTCACGTTCTCACTATTCAATGTTTCGAAGCTTTCGAAATTATCCTAACCGTGCAGAATGTTTCCTCTAACTCGAGCACCCAAAATGTCTTCGTTTTTATTTTTATCGATACGAAACGGAAAGTCGAGATTTTGCTTTATTTTCGTATCGTTGAAAGGAACGGATACATAGTGGATGAACATGTTAAAGGAATCTCTGTATATTGTGTACCGTTATCCTATTTATGTATCTATTTATTCTCTTTATATTGTTCTCTATGTAACGTCGCTTCTGACGATCGGTGAGTGTAGCCGGATCTTGTTTTCTGCAATGGACTCAGAAGATTCTGACTATTAACAAAAAGCTTTCTAGGTACATTTCTTTGATCTGTTCTTCGCCACTCTTTAAACGATTCTTACCAGTACATTACCGGATATGCGATAGATGCGATTGTTTTTAACATTTACTTTTACTTTTGTCAGTCTGAGATCGTTATTCCCTCTTTTTTTTTGTACATCTTTTTTTTCTACTGTTTAGCGACACGATTACGAGATATTGGCAACGAAGCGCTAGAACGATGGAACATCAAGCACCGCATTGAACGTAGTTTAAGCACGTTGGTTACGAGCTCGTTCGTCGTATCTCGCCTCATTTTCCGTTTTTCGCTCTGTGCATGAGTGCAAGTCTTCGTTCGTAGCGGCGACGGCTCGTCCATACGATGACGATTTTTTTACCGAATCTGTAAAAGCAACATGGCGTTCACACGTTCAGTTCTCAAATAACAGATTGTCCCATTGCTATTTGTAATAAGTAAATACACGTAGGCGGAAATATAAAACTATGTGAACGTTGCTTTTAAGTAGAACGACTGAATTGGTGAAAAAACCGTATCGGTTGGAATGGTCTGCAAATATCGAGCTCTAATTTGATCGAGCTTGGTCCTTCAGTCGTGGCGGCGTGAAAATAATTCTTTGTTTGGTACTTATTATCGGATATCGAGGCCCTAGTTTTGACCCAAGCTCGGTCTTATCGAAACGTACAATTTGACACACGAGAGCTTCCTGCCACGCACTTGCATGCGTGCTAGCCGATGTCACGGAAACAATTCTTAAGTTGGTACGCTTTAACGCATGAGTGCTTGGTTGCACACTCTTTGCCTCGTTGGCGAGACTGCCTCCTGCTCGTTCTTCAAACGAGTCTCACCTAAAATCTCGGTGTACATACCAAATACATCTGACCGTAGGATACCTTTAAACTTTCTCGTACGTTCTTCTTTTTTTCCAATTCTTTTGCCCCCCCTCCAAGGAATCGATATCAGATTAATAAGTTGTTCGTTGGATGCAAGAACATATTTAACTGATGGCTACGATGGGTCACTTTTGGCTCACTCAGAATGGACTTTAACAGATTTCTATCTTTGTATCGAACCATACGTGTTTACAAAGTATAACCTTACAAACACAATTACAAGGTACATGTTCCATAATTATAGTAACTATGGTATTTTAAAAGCAGAGGCTTGGCTCATGCCTTAGCATCTCGTTCCTATTCAAACACCAGTATCTTTTTCTTTTGCAGCAACGATAGGACAGAAACTTCTAATCTATTTAACAAGAGCTTAACACCACTGCTCTTGGACCCATACGATACCTGTGCTTCATTTTCTTTGTGCCTTTCCATGTATCGGCCAAAAGAAGAAACCCCTCTGATTCTGGACAACTAAGGCTACTTGCATGTTCCCGATCAGTTTGCTTTGAATCTAGTTCAATGCAAGCTTTTGATAGCTCGTGGACCTGGTCCTGTCGAAATTCAAAAACTCGTATCACCTAAACCAAAACTTTTGTAAACTAGTCTTGCACTCCTCGCACACGTCTTGGTACTACGCTTCAGTAATACCCTAACAGGCTCGTAACAGTTACAGTCACACCTTCGTTCAGAAAACAATATGTTTGGCGAACACTGGTACACTGAACCAATGTAGCGGTATTAAGTTCGTGGGCAGAAAGTACGAAGTGATGGACATTCGTGGGAATTTTGGTCATGCACACTGGAGCGCATGATCACTGCTGTATACGCTTAACCAGAATTTAGGCCTGGGTTAGGTCTGCATTAGGTATACACTTAACTAGAATTTAGGGTACCGTTGGACCCCAGTAAGGAACAAAATTTAAGGAAGTTACAGGGAAAGAGACAAAAACAATAAATAAACGATAAGTTCATTTTTGTGTGATTGGCGAGCATTTGAAGTGGAAAGTTCAATTTGGTACAAAACATGGGAATCCCGCGAGAGAAAATTCCAGTGCGCATGACCAAAATTCCCACGATGTCCATCACTGCTGAGGACACGAGTAGTTGAACTGCGGTCGGGTCTAGCGAGAAACGTTGTAGGATAACCGAGTGAAGGTGCAGAGATCGAAGGAGGAGGGCAGGAGACACGGTTCGTTGTTTGTTTCGATGGTTGTTCGTTTGTTCACACGCTCGTTCGCCACTAACAGCAAACAAAAAAAACAAAAACAAAAAACTGTTAGCACCCGCGATTCACGGGTGGCAGGATTATGACGAATTGCGAATGCGTTGTGAAACACTTAGGCAAACGGCAAGTCCCGGTTTCTGGTGGTACATATCGTCCCACCTACATGGTACCGGAGACCCCGCTGGTACCGCCTCGAAGACACCGGGCCCATCGTCCATGCCGATGCCAATACCAATGCCAATACCGATGTCGATGCGAATGCCAATGCCAATGTCGATGCCAGGGCGAATGCAAGTGCCAGGGTCAGTGTCAGACGCGGCCGACGCCGATGTCGCGCAACGATCATCGGCACCCTACTCGAGAGTACCGGCCTCGCAGCCCTCCGAACTCTCTGAGTCTATCGAGCCCGTCGAGCAATCACCGCGAGGGGTGTCAAGCTCAGGGGCCGGATTGTCTTCCAAGACTATAAACAGATTCCTTCGAGGTAAATTGCTTCGTCTGCAGACCGGAATACCAAGTCACAAAGCTGTTGCTCGAGCGCTATTAAACCGTTCGATTACACCTGGCTCACACGAATGGCTTTACACTCTCTGTTTCAGTTGTTTTCTATTTTTTTTTTTTTTTTCTGTTTTTTTTTCACACTAAGCGCACAACCTAGCGGTCTCCTTGTTCCTGGGTCACCGTTCCCCGCCTGTTGTCCGTCCATAAGATAAAGGCTAACGAGCGTTCACGGTCCCGTTGGAAGCCCGCTCGATTGCGAAGAACGAAGGACAGGCCCCCCGGGGATTCGTAGATATTTTTAAAAGGGAAAGCATTGACTCGAAATCGAAAAGTTTGTAGAAAGCAACGTAAGCGTAAAAATTGAACAGTTTTGTGAGAAATCGCCGCCATTCTTGAAAATAGGTACGTGATTTTTTTTTTGCCGATACCTTGTAAATTATTAATTTTATGTTTATTGTTGGGATTAAAGAGTGTACAATTCTCTGTTTAGTTTTGATAATAACTATTTTTTGCATAAAATCGATGGTTTACTAGTTATTGCAAAATGAAATCATTCCAATATGGCGGCGATTCCTCTTCTATACGTTCGCTAAACATCTTTGTCAAATTTCGAAATTTTTCCACCTATTTTTCTTTGAAATCAGACCTTGGTTGATTAGGCTACCACCTTCGATCCATAGAGAAAAGGATCACGTTCCTAACGATCTCTTTGCTCAGCATTATCTCTGTATTTGTGTTTTTCGTAATTATTTTTTTTCTCGTTCCAGCCTTCCCTCTGCCCTCCCGTCTTTCCTTCGCTTGATACCGACTCTAGCCACTGTTTGAAAATTGCAACGCGTCCTACGAACGGGAATACCGAAAGAAGGATACAAAAACGAAGAAGAAAACCGTAGATCGTCGAGCGTACGTGCTACGGTTCTGTCAACGTCGACGTCTAGAGTACTGTTACCGTGGCAGGAATGCGTTTATGCGAACGTTAATCATAGCTCTGTTTAGCCGCTGTCTCACCCACCGAAGCCTTTCTAACAAACGTTTAAACCTCGTTTGTCACGCAGACAGTTTGCGTTTGCTGTTTACGCCACATCGACTCTAATTTGATTGTTTGTTCGAGAACGTTTTGACCACCAGCGATATACTGGTTGTTCCGAGTCTTTCTCGTCAAACTGCGGGAGCATATTCGAATAGCTAAAATAAAAGAAAAGTGTTGCACGAAGCTCAGTTATAAACGCTTTGTTACAAAGTTACAAGTAAATACTCCTCCGTCAAGTATGATGGAGGGCTAATATTGTTTTGGAATAACGTACTGTTTGTCACTATTCTTTATTTAGAAGATAATGTTAAAGAAACTTCTCAAATATATACTATAGGATAATTTATATTAAATAAAGAAATAAAGAAAGGGATGATTTGGTTAGAAGTGTAACAAGCTAGATAATGCTGTATTTGCTTATAACTTTGTAACGAAGTTGTTATAGCCGATCTTCGTACAACATTCTCTTCTTATTTCCACTCGTGGAATATGCTTACGCAGTTCGACGGAAGCACCTGAAACACCCTGTATATATACAATGCTTTGTGTGCCTTTCGTTGGATCGTTCGCTTCCGATCTAATACGAACGATTCGCGCGATTAGCACGGATCGATCGACGCTAATCGATTATAAACGAGACCGTTTGTATTGCAGGTAGCGATCTGTTGACCAGCTTGACGACCACCTTCGATCGTAAATGGAGATCATTGGTAAACTCGTCGAATCAAACAGCTCGCGGATCGGCCGCGGAGAACGCGTCTCTCAGCGACGAGGAACTCGCCGTGACGCGAGACTCGCAAAGCTCACGGCACGCACGAGGCTCTTCGCGCGACGAAAAGGACGAACGGAAAATCACGGCTGCTGTTCAATCTGTGGATTCTGGCTTGGTAGAAAGCTATCGGGACCCGAGTCTTCATAAATCGAGCCTCGAGAAACATCAGCATGTTCGTCAAAAAAATGTAAGTGTCGCGTTCAGAGCACACGGAAGGACAATTACGTTGTAATATTTTCCGACGCGACTCTAACTTCTCGACTGTCACGCCGAAATCGCATGTTTTGCTCAGGACGCCACGGATGTGCACCACCAGATGCAAGATTTCATAGAAATTAGTCTTTTATTTTCGATGTTCTAACGAAAATTTTTAATTGCTGAACACTTGTTCTTTCAATGGATCTTCTAATGCACTGAGTGTCAATATTCATTAAACTCTTACAATTGTAAGTAGTTCAAGTGCTCCGGTCATTGATGACCACCGTGGCTGGTCATATACAGCGAGGAGCAAAATTTTTTATCCAATATTTGCATGTAGAATACAAAAGAAACAAAATAGTTAATATTATCTACAATCTTTTGGCTTCTCAAAACAAATTTAACATTTGTGATATCATCTTCATTTTGCTTGGTACAATTCTTTTTCGTGTAGTCGGTTTAGCACCGCAACTAATTTTTAGTAAACATTTCAGACTTTGGTACGGTTAATAATTCGTCCATAAACCTCCAACTTCGATAATTGCTTCAATATGTTTAGGTATACTTAATACTAGAGTTTCGCAATACTCTGGTGTGATAGAATCGTATCGATACAACATTATGAAATCATTATCTAAAGATGTAAAGAATACTATCGTTTTCCAATTAAAATTGAGTTTATAAACGGAAATAATTGCTAGAAAATTTGCTGCTAGTCAGGGAGTTGTGCATACAATACAGAGAAAATGTAATGAAGTCCCTGCATCTTCTGGAGGCCATCCAAAATTATTATCTTGTCAGAATACGAGAAGATCGATAAGATAAAACTGTTGGAAAGGAAATTAGTAAGTGGACATCTTGGAGAGCGTTAAAAGAAGCCAATTTTACACCAATTAAGATGAAAAAAAAAATTTGTCCTATCAAAAAGGAATGTCAAGGCCCATCTGAATTTTTGCAATGGAAAAAAGTAATTATTTCCAATGAATCAGAAATCAATCGAATTTCATCGGATGTATGTTGTCGGTGTTGGAAAAATCAAGACGAACCTCTTATACCACGTCATGTGAAGCAAACGATGAAATTTGGTGGTGTTATTTATAGTGTGGGGGTGTATAACTGTGTATGAAGTAGGATCACTACATTGAATAGATGGTATGGTGCACCAGTATACGTATAAGGATATTTAAGAAAAAAATTTACTAGAAACAATTGAAAATATGCCAGTGTCAGAGTTGATGTTATATTCCAACATGACAACGCTCCTAGGCATTGTGCAAACAGTGTGAAGAAAAACTGTGGATTGGTCTGCTCAAGTGCTAGGCATAAACCCGATTGAAAATGTTTGGGCCTACTTAAAAATGAAGTTAATGCTCCCCCAATAACGATAACTGATTTGTGGCATAGAGTGCAAGAACAATGGTATTCTATTACACCAGAGTATTACGAAAATGTAGTATGAAGTACGTCTAAACGTGTTTAAGCAATTATCAAGGTTAAAGATTTATGAACAAAATTAGTTGCTGTGCAAAACTGACTACATGAACAAAAATTGTACGAAACGAAATAATAATGATATCAGAAATGTTACATTTGTTTTGAAGAGCCAGAAGATTGTAGATAATACTAAGTATTTTATCTTCTTTGTATTCTATATGCAAATATTGAATAAAAAATTATTTTTGTTAAAATGTCGTTTGTGTGTTCAGTTTTGCTCTTTATTGTATGACCAATGTGGCAGTGAAAGTGTTAACGCGTTCGTGTCGCGTAATGTCGTTGATTAGAACGTTTCCCCGCAGGATGCTCCGGAAAAGGACACGGATTCATCGGTAACGGATAACAGTAGCGGCGATCGACTGGATGCCAATATACCGGACAACGATCGTAGCGCGATCGTACGGAGAAAACTGGAATCGGGCAAGGAGACGGTCGAGGGAACCCCGGAGTCGAACGAGATACAAGAATCCGTGGCGGCGACGCAAAACGGGAAATCGGAAACGGACGACGCGAAGGACCTCGACACAAATTACTCGAACAAGCTGGAGAAGTTCGAGAGCCTGACGACGAACTTCGAGGTCAGATCGCGGCTGAAGAGATCGGAGTCGTTGAACAAGAGATCCGAGAACACGTGCTCGAAACTGAAGAGATCCGAGAGCCTGAACAAGCATTCCGCCGAGCGACTGTCGTCGCCGACTAGCGGCAAACTGAAGCGATCCGAAAGTTTGAACAAACACTCGGAAAGGTCCGATTCGCCCAACAGCAAGCTGAAGAGGTCGGAGTCGCTGACGAAAACCGAGAAGACAGAGTGCAACATTAGCAAGAGGCGGCAGTCGGTGAGAAAGGACAGCGCGACGAAATTGAAACGGAAAAACGGTATGCCCGAGCGATCGATCAAGCGCAGACATACCGTCGGTGGTACCAAGGACTTTGATAAGGTGCACTGGTTGGACAACAAGTTGCAAGTGGAGGCCGAAAGGGTCGTGAGGAACGAGTACAGGCCGAAAAAGAGTCAGCTAAGAACAAGTTCGCCGGATCTCAGCACCGGTCGCATCGGCGGTCTCACCGATGCCAGTTTCCTCATCGAGGTCAGCTTTCGTGGACCGAGCAACGTTGTCTTCAACGTGACCAACGCGCGTCCGCAATCATTACCGGACACCAGCTTGGCCTCCAAAGTCTTTAAAGTACCCCTCGAGAGTCACGTTTAATCGCTCTAGCGCTAAAGCAGTCGAAGGAACCCGCGAACCTCGGGAATTCTGCGCAGTAGTCGTTTACTAATCTTATCTTTTCTCTTTTTCACGAAGCATTTATGTCCCAGCGCGTCAATTACTTACGCATCGTACTCGTTACTAGCTCATGAATTGTGATCGTGTGCAATTTTTTTTTTTCTTCATGTATATAACGTCCGTATAATTGTGTAACAGGCAAACGATCCGGTGATCGACGGAATTTGTATTTTTTAATAATCGAGTAGAAGAGATTTACGGCTGACAGCTGTGCCGTGTGGACTATTTTGCCTCCGCGTATTTTCTCTTCTCAGGAACGATGATCGTTCCTGCGATCACGATTATTTAGATTCTGATTCGTTCGTGCGTCTAACATGAATAGGTTTCTCTTTATCCAAATGATCGCAGTCCCGTCATTCGGCTACGTTTCGTAACGTACGATTTCTGCGCGTCGATCGTGCTCGCCGATCGAGAAAAAAACTTTAATCGTGTGAGGCGTATCGCAGGCCTGACAATCGATTTTTCTTATGCTTGTAAATGCCGCGTGCGTGCGTGCGTGCGTGTGTGTTACTCGAATGCAAGTAAGGGCCGATGATTAAGCTATATTTATTTTAAATTCTTAACAAGCATGATAACGTTATTTATTGAATGTGCCGAGAGTCCGATAATTAAGAAGTTCTGCATTACCTATTACGGGCACGAATACCGAATTTGTAAATAAATCTTATATATTGCTAATTTAAACAAACGTTTCGTGCTAAAAATTTACAATTCCCGCCTTTCTGTACCAATTCGATACCACAAAGTACTAGAAATTTGTATTTAATACTGATAGGTGTAAATATTTATGGAACGTACGAATTCTGATGCAATTAAATTTGGGATTTCAGCGGATATTATTTTGCTGCATTTATTGAAACGTACAATCACGAAAGATACATTTGGCTGGTGAATTGTGCACGCGGTAATTCGTTCTCTCTTCCGGCGGATTGCTACACGTGTGGCGTTGGGGAGTTGGGAGTTGGGAGTTACACGTTTTTGGGGAGGACGCGCTTTTGCCCTGCTACGCTGCGCGCGCAGCCTTACGGCAGATTTGCGCGGCATCAGAAGAACGCTCCCACGAACTCGTGTGGACGTGACTGCATACTGCACGTCTCGACCCCACAACTTAGATTTGCGTGCCGCTTGGTGGGTGGTGATGGTACTATTGTTTGTTCGGAAACCCGCGCTGCATACCGTTATTGTAAAAATGTACCAATCCAACTTGGCGATACAGATGGCACTGCTAAACGTTCGTTCGAACGTGTCGCAGCAAAACTTTGAAATCGAGTGTCGTTAAACTGATAGTATGAATGTAATACGAACCGAAAAGGTTTTCCAACCACCGGGAGGACGAAATGAACCTACTACCCGAGACCAGTTTGCTGTACCTTCTCTGGCAAAGTATCGTACGTAGTCATTCTGCAAAATTTCACCTGTTCCTCTTTCCCCCTTCCAGTCTCTATTTATCATTTCCTTCGACCGTATTTCGCGTAGAAGACACACGGCTTCGGATAAACTGGAAATCGACGACCAGTTCGAATATCACAAGAACCCCGCAAAATTGTGGTACAAGTAGAAGTCGAGCATTAGTATCATCCTCTTGCGTACCCAGTTCTTCGCGCAAATTCGCGTCACGGTAAGTCTGCTTTCGCCCGCCATTTTCTACAACAAAATTCACCAACACGAAATCGTTCGAAATATCGATGGTAACTGGCGCTTAATTTCTTTAATCGATCAAATTATACATTCAATGGGGTATTCCATTTAACGTCAATATCTACAGGGTGTTGCACAACTATAGCATCATCGAAACAAAATTTAGATTTGGGTAAAAATTGACCCTGTGTTCGCTGTTCCTGGGGTAGAAAAAATATTGGGGAACTTTGAATTTTAACTTTGTTTTAAAGCATTTTTATCGCTATTATCAACATTTGAATGTTTCTAAAGGAGATCTGGTACGAAGAGCACCACGGATGGCAACTTGAGCACGACCGAATCTGGCGGTATTATTCTCGGTGAGTACCACGTTTTCAGACGATTTCCTATAATTGATCGATCATCAGGATCACGATAGATTGAAATTAATTGCTCCTATTTAATCGAACAGCAATAACGACCGGTCGAGGCGAAGCGAGGGCCGAAGTGGGATTGGCAGCATTGGACATCCGCTGCCCGTATCTGATTCTTTGCCAAATCAGCGATTCCCAAATATACACGAACGCATTGAGCAAATTATACTTGTTCGATCCCATCGAAGTAAATTCTAGCAGAATTTCTTTTCTTCGCATATCCTGTCAGGCAGAGGTTCCCGAATTGCGCACCATGGCGCTGTAGATGCGACGCCACGAAATATTTTAAATTTCGTACACGCGATGGAATTTTCTTATTAACATTAGAACTACCAAACCAGTCACAATGACCCATTCGTAATTTCTAATGAAACTTGTAAAAAATTTACTCGACTGAATTTTTGAAAATTTATCGTAATTTTCTATAAGAGAATATATAAACACTTATTTCCATTGCATTATATATTTCTATCGTTTTCTATCGTATCTATCGTTTCAATTTCTTTGGTACAAATAAGCACACTATAATTGTCGGTATTTCTAGTGTTAAGAAGTATTCTCTGTTTAGGCACTAAGGATCCCATAACCTTAAAATTTGGAAGCCTCTGCTGTCAGATATCAATATACATATGTATTCCAGCCCAAGCCAATTAGTCTCTATACAGGGTGTCCCGATAAAGTATCTATTTAGGATTTAAAACGTTGTAGGTTCTGATGCCAGACACGATGTGTGAACGTACAACGAGCAGGAGCGTCCTCTATCCCTCGATCAAAGATAAGTTTCCCGAGCTGCAAGTAACTCCGATATCTCGAGTTCATTTCAACGACACTGTCGGTTTGGAACGAGTGAGAACTCTTTGCGCAGCCGAGTACTCGTCGGTGGAATTATTCGTTAAGCAAAAGTAATACTTTCCGCGTGCAAAAACAGAAAATGCATCTATTTTAAACATATCTTTTATTGTCACATAAATTGTGAAATGTTATTTTTTAATTTTGAGGTATGATTTCTAGGTATTACGCGTTAGCCGCAGCTGCAGCTTTACTGAAATACGTTGAATACGCGCAGCGTATAGTTTACACTCCGAAATCGATGAAAATCGAATTTCAGGGATCCCCGAACGCCACTACTGTAGGTAAGCCAAAAACCAAGGAGGATTTGCAGCATCGATTGACCAATCGCCGTTACATATTCTCTGTTTTTTGTTCTTGCATCGCTATTATATAAAATGTGTTACTATTATGTATTTTTGTGCATTTATGCAATTGTGAAATGTAACTAAATATTTGTGGGGGCATCACTTCCCGTACTTGCCACCAGAGGGATCGTTCTCTCGCAAGTACTCGACCGACCTTCCCTTCCTATACAGGGTGTTCGGTCACCTATGGGAAAAATTTTAATGGGGCATTCTGGAGACTAAAATAAGACGAAAATCAAGAATACCAATTTTTCGTTTGAGGCTTCGTTAAAAAGTTATCAACGTTTAAAGTTTCGCCCGTAGAACGGCGCGTGATTTCTCACAGGCGAAACTTTAAACGTTGATAACTTTTTAACGAAGCCTCCATCAACAAATTAGTATTCTTGATTTTCGTCTTATTTTGGTCTCTAGAATCCCTCATTAAAATTTTCCCCATGGTTGTATATGCATACGTTCTTCAACCGACTACACAATATCCTGGCGCCTAAAGCAGGGTCTGCTAAGGTGCTGATCAGTTCACTTAGCAGGTCCAACCTCTTCCACAGACCCCACATATTCATTGAAAATTGTGTACTAATAAATATCATAAATATTTTAGATTTGGAGAGTGCGCGGAGCTTGGAGTTGGTCCAGTCACAGAGCGGTCAACGAAACGTCAGTTTGTTAGGTATCTTGGATAATTGCTCGACTCCGATGGGCAGAAAACTCTTACGCGCCAACATCCTCCAACCTCCGTGCGAAGAACGTCTTATTCTCGAGCGACAATCTTGCATCGCCGAGCTGGTGTCCAACCGTTCGATGCAGGCTCTGCTTCAGGTTCAAACTTTGCGATGCGTTAACCCTTTCAACAGACTTTCTATAAAGCGTTTAATATCTTTTTTTTTTATTTTTAGCCAATAATACGGCGACTCTACGGCGCTGATAGGCTACTAGCACTATCGACGACGCCCATTCTGCAGGAAAACAATGTGCAATGCGCGGAGCAGAATTTAAATTATCTGTTGCTCTTGAAAAATTTGTTGAACGTTGTTCCGGAACTCGAGAGCACCCTGGCGCCTGCAAAGAGCGATCTGCTTCAAAGAATTCGAAAGGTTTGCTCGAACTTATCGCCACCTCTTCCAAATATTCAGACCTGCGAATATGTAGCTAGGAATTTTTCTAGAAATTAGACGATCCTCGTTACCAGCTGATGAAGGAAAGAATTCTCGAGACGATACACTCTGACGCTAGGTCCGTGTCAGGATACACGTCAGCGAACATGCAGCGTTGCTTCGCCATCAAGGCGGGAATCAACGATCTGCTGGACATAGCTCGTCAAACGTACTGCGAGCTGATCGACGACATGAAAAGTTGGTAAATTAGCGTAGCGTGTAAGAACCGAGCTAGCTTGTCAAAATAATTCCTCCTCTTTGTACCATCTCTGATAGCCATGGTGGAGAATCTAACGTCCAAGTACCACTTACCTCTATCCTTGGGGTGTAACGCGTCGCTGGGTTATCACGTTCAAGCGATACTGCCGCGAAACTTGGACACGGAACGTTTTATCCCGCCGGACGAATTTATAGAGGTTATAATCGTTTTCAAATGCAATCCTCGAGAAATGTGATTCTCATCGCGATCGATGTAATTTTTGTTGCACTCTGACATAGGTGCGGAGGAACAGACGAGTCTACACGATGACCACGACCTCGCTCGCAACGTTGGGCCAACAGTGCAAGATCGCGTCCGAAGAATTGCACTTAATGAGCAACGTGTAGGTATCGGTTCCCATTGTAGGGTCCATCGCCTCCCGCAGTTGCCGCCAGAGGGACCGTTTCTCTCGCAAACGATCGATCGACCTTCCATTGATATAATGCATACTGGGTATTCGGCCACCCATTGTTCGCCATTGTTCTGGGGCTCTGGAGCCCATTAATACGCATTCTTTGAATTTTGAATCATTACAATCCTTCAATCTGTCCAGAAGTTATGATTTTTTAAACATTTCTTTTCTGGCGTCACATTAGATTTTCGATAAGGAATTTTTTTCTCGAAAATGCGTAGGATTTTGGGTGTATGTTTATTCATAAAAAATGATTGTAATTGACCCCCGCAACCGAAAATAATTTTTCCAGAATGATTTGAAAGTTTTTAATTTTGTCGAAAAATTTCAGCACCTACTCGAATTTTTTTCTCGAAAGTGCGTAGGAATTCGAGGGTATGTCTATTCACCAAAAATGATTGTAATTGACCCCCGCAACCGAAAATAATTTTTCCAGAATGATTTGAAATTTTTTAATTTAATTTATTAATAACTTTTTAACGAAACCTCAATCAAGAAATTATATTAATATTTTTGATTTTCCCAGGGGTGGCCGAACACCCTGTAAGTATACGCTCCTCGATCGATTCTCAATATCTCAGCGTCTAAAACAGGGTCTGCTAAGAAACACCTTCCCCTCTCCTTTCAAATTTTAAACAAAGTAACGATAAATTATAACTTAAAATTTACCCTACCGTTCAATTAATCATAATTGACGAAACTACCAACAGGCTCCTTTGCGATTTGCTACAAAATCTTCGACAACACGTCGGTTGTTTGTTCCAATTGTGCACCGACGTGGCTGAACTGGATTTAATAACTTCTCTCGCTCGAGTAAGTTCCATTCAGACATATACCAGGCCAACGTTTGGACCAAAGTTGGAATTACTCGACTCGAGGCATCCGGTGCTGGAGATTTTCGGTCTCGATGGACCTATACCGAATAACGTTGTGAGTCTTCATAGAAGACATATTAATCTGTTTTAAATAATAATTGTAATATTACACAAAGAGACTGGTGATTACATACAGGGTGTTCGGCCAATTCTGCGAAAAATATTAATGGGGGATTCTAGAAGCCAAAATAAGACGAAAATCAAAAATACCAATTTGTTGATGGAGGCTTCGTTAAAAAGTTATTAACAATTAAAATAAAAAATTTCAAATCGTTCTGGAAAAATTATTTTTGGTTGCGGGGGTCAATTACAATAATTTTTGGTCATTAGTCATACCTTCGAAATCCTACCCACTTCCTAGAAAAAAATTCGAGAAGGTATGAAATTTTTCGACGCAAAAAAAAATTTCAAATTGTTTTGGAAAAATTATTTTCGGTTGCAGGGGCCAATTACAAGTATTTTTTGTGATCAGACATACCCCCGAAATCCTGCGCATTTTCGAGAAAAAAATTCAGAACCGTTGGAACTTTAAACGTTAATAACTTTTTAACAAAGCCTCCATTAACAAATTGGTATTCTTGATTTTCGTCTTACTTTGGCCTCTAGAATCTCCCATTAAAATTATTCCCAGCGATGGCCGAACTATGATAATGTCTCTCAAGTTGTCACTCGAACACCTTTCTGTTGCAGCATGCATCAGTGCCATTGAACGTTCACGTCATCTCTGGGCCCAACATGAGCGGCAAATCAACCTATCTCAAACAGATTGTATTGTTGCATATAATGTCACAAATTGGCTGTTTTGTGCCAGCCAGAAAGGCAGTGTTTCGTATAACGGATCTCATATTCTGTAAAATAGCTCTACGCGACGACATCGAGTGCAATGCATCCACGTTTGCCATCGAAGTCAGTCGTGTACCGTTTAATTGTTTAAATACTTGTGAAATGTTTCGAGGAGGTACATTGTAAAATAATGTTTCTCGACTCTTCAGATGAAAGAAGCACAATATATTCTGCGGTCCATCACACCCACGTCGTTGGTCGTTCTGGACGAATTGTGCAAAGGCACTGCGATCGAGGAAGGTGCCTCGATCGCTTGGGCCATATGCGAACGACTTTTGAACACGAACGCGTTTATATTCGCGGCAACCCATTTTGTATTTCTGACGAAACTGGCGGATTTGTACTACAATGTGACGAAGTACGCGCGCATATAATTCGACACAAATAATTATTTTAATCCTTTGTTTACTTCTACTTATTGCAATCGAACATTCGTTTTTCTTTGTATTGTGTTTTAGTCATTACTTTGAAACGATAAACGCGCTAGGAACAACGGAAACGGACAATTGTTGCCGATTAACGTACACTCATCGGTTGAAACTCGGAGTCGCGCCTACCGATGATTACGGTATCGTTCTAGCAGAATCGTCCGGTTTGCCAAAGTCTGTCACGGAGAAGGCTCGGAAATATGCTTCAGAGCAACTGGTACACGCAACGATATTGATTTTCATACTCGAAACGATTTTTAATAATTGTGTCAGCGATTATAAAATTCCTGGGAAAAATTTTAATGGCGGATTCTAGAGGCCAAAATAAGACGAACATCAAGAATACCAATTTTTTGATGGAGACTTTGTTAAAAAGTTATTAACGTTTAAAGTTCCGCCTGTAATGAATTTTTTTCTAGAAAACGACAAGGATTTCGGGGGTATGTCTACTCACCAAAACTGATTGTAAGTGTCCCCAGTAACAGAAAATAATTATTCCAGGACGATTTGAAATTTTTGAATTTTGTCGAAAAATCTCATACCTTCTCGAATTTTTTTCTCGAAACTGGGTAGGATTTCGAGGATATGTCTATTCACCAAAAATGACTGTAATTGTCCCCTGTAACCGAAAATAATTTTTCCAGAACGATTTGAAATTTTTGAATTTTGTCGAAAAATTTCATACCTTCTCGAATTTTTTTCTCGAAAGTAGATACGATTTCGAGGATATGTCTAATGACCAAAACTAATTATAATTGACTCCCGCAATCGAAAATAATTTTTCCAGAACGATTTGAAATATTTGAATTTAATTGTTAATAACTTTTTAACGAAGCCTCCATCAACAAATTGGTATTCTTAATTTTCGTCTTATTTTGGCCTCTAGAATCCTCCATTAAATTTTTCCCAGGGGTGGTCGATCATCCTGCATATCGAATTATATCATAGATCTTATTTAATAAAAATAATCGATCCTTCGCAGACCGTCGATCGAGTCAGGATCGAGACGTCCACCTGGGAGCATGCTTGTTACAAGATTGTGAGCGAAATGTACGAACTCTTAGAAATCGAGAAACTTGATCAAACGCAAGTAACGAGGTTCGTCGAGCGCATTGCAAAAGTTCAGATGCAAGATGGAGGTAAGGACACCGTAAAAGATAACGGAACAACAAATAGCAAAGAAATTGTCGCGAAGAAAAGGAACGAAAACGAAGTTCCCAGCGTTCCTACGCCTGTGGAACTAAATCCTAGAAGAAGTTTCGAAGGAACTAAACAACGCACACCTGACGCACCCGAAATCTGCACGGATAACAATGTTACGGGCGCTTGGACGATTGCAACGCAGACCAACGTTGCAATCGCCACCCACGTAACACGAAGTAGCTCCTTTGAGTATCAAAATAATATCCTATCCATGTCCCAGCAAACGCAAAACAAAACTATCGATTTTGAAAATGTCGCGTCCGTGCCCCGCCAAACGCAAAACAAAACTATCGATTTTGAAAATGTCGCGTCCGTGTCCCACCAAACGCAAAACAAAACCGTCGATTTGCAAAATATCTCGATTAGACCCCAACCAGCGCAAAATAGAATTTTCGATTTCCAAAATGTACCAGAGCCCCGCCAAACGCAAAGCAAAAATGTTGCAACCGCGTCTCAGCCGAAGGAAATCAGAACCGTCGATTTTCAAAATGTGCCTCTCAATTTGGGTGGTAGCAAACGAAACGCGTCGTGTTATTCGTTCAGTTCGATCCCGTCTTTGCTCTTCCCTTCGACAGCCACCGAAAATGCGTCTAACAAACTCGAGAAACATCCGTCTACGTCGAGCAACAGATCTTCATACGCTGAAGAACTCTGCGATGACCCCGACTCGATCTGCTCTAAAACCAATGACACTATGCAGTGCACTCAGTTTACGGACAAAACAACGTCTATGCGAGTGTTGATGTCCGGCGAGGTATCGTCGCTAAAACTGCACGAGTATTATCTCTCGGACGACGATTTAGAACCGCCCGATATGTCTCAGGTTTCTATTTTTAGTCGCGTGGCAGTGAGTAACAACACGTTGCATAGCGAAAAGAGCGAGTAAATGTAAACAAACCATTCAGTATTGTGATTATTTCATACACGCGAGCATCGGGTTGCATTTAGCTAGGGGCGCTTTAATACGAACAACGAACAGATAACTATTGATTATAATTTATTTCAATCTTAGAAACGTTTATTTTTTGTTATTGTTTTTGTTCTCTAAGAACTACGAATCGGCGCACAAAACGAGCCTATTTTTATTTTAATGTAATTTATCGTAAGTCAGTAATAAATAGATTCAAGAGTTTTAAGGTTGGAGTGTTCATAACCTTAGAAACTTCGAACCATTTCAAAGCTATAATTCAAACAGCTCATAATTAATCACGGGTTGCTCTAAATGTTATAGAGATTTTCGAGTTATCTGAGTAATTTTGTGTTCCGACTTTGGAAATCTTGCCCTGTTTCCTAACTTAACTTCCTTAAATTTTGTTCCTCGCTGGGATCCAACGGTACCCTAAATTCTAGTTAAGTGTATACGGCGGTGATCGTGCGCTCCAGTGCGCATGACCAAAAATTCCCACGAAAGTCCATCACTGGTCAAGAGTCTTGAGTCTTGACTCGAGACTGAATAACGACGCCTTTTACCGTGATTAACCTCTTGCGCTTCGGAGTATAGGTTAAGTTCATCCGTGGCAAAGAACGAAATTATGCATTTCTTACGACAGTTCCAAATACCCGAAATGTTCAGAAAGTTTCTTAGGAATTTAGAACGATGGAAGGTATTCGTGAATATACGTAGTGTTTAGAGATACCATCGTCGTCGTCGTTGTCGTCTCCGTACAAGCGTACGGGAGGAAATTTTTTTTCACCGTCGATCGAATACTTGGAAGTAAAGATGTTGACACGGCACGGTATAATCACAGAGTCTTCTCACGTCGAGGCAGTGCCGATAAATTTGGTTGCTACCGAAGATGGCCGAACGCTTTTAGCAGTGACAGGTAAGGAGCTGCGTTGACGGACTTGGAGCCATTCGCGAGTAAATTTCTGTTTTTTTTTTCTAGAACACAAAGACGGTATGTTGGAAATCGTTGCAACTCCGGTCACGCTCATCGGTCAAAGTGGCATGGCCACTTCGTTGATGGATGTGAAAAATTTGAGTGGAAATTTGATACTGCAATCTGTACGCATCTGTTGCTTCGCTGTACTTTACCTATCTCGCAAGGAAGCTTCTCTAACGATACGTGTACAACTTTTCAGCCTGGATTTCACATCAGCTTGGAAGACATAGATGGATCAGTGTTCCAACAGTCGCAGCAGAATTTCGAAATCGATCCTGATATTCCTGAACCGGATAAATCGCGATCGCATTTTGATGCAAAACACGAAACTTCCTTCGCCTGTCATTCTATCGATAACGATTTGTTATTCAACGAAAAGGATAGCGAAATTCAAAACGAAGCACAGTCGACTATTGTGACAAAAAAAAATAGCCCTGGAAGACCCAGAAAAAGCACCTCGATTTCTTCCAAAGTAACTAGATCTTTGAATTATTTATTAAGTATCATTTATATAATCGCTCTTTTAAACAAGGTTTTTAATTGTCAGGGCAAAGAGAGTTTAAGATGCGATATATGCCAGCAAGAATTCACCAAACAAACATTGTACAAAAGACACATGGAAAATCATGCGGAGGAGAAACCACATCGATGTCCAAAATGTTCAGCCTCGTTCAATGTACCGGTAACTAAATTATCTTCTCCTTCGATGCTAATTTTACAGACTTTTCGTCAACTGATTTCCACCGAATTCAAGATCAAATCTGAACGACTAAGTGTAATCGTTATTACTTGACATTTGTCATGTTTACAGACCAATTTCACGCTCCATATGGCAACGCACAACACTGGCGAACCAAAATGTCCCGAATGTGGTCGAAAGTTCGCAAGAATGGCAAGCCTGAAGTCTCACATGTTATTGCACGAGAAAGAAGAGAATTTGTTCTGCACAGAATGCGAAGATGCTTTCTCGACCAAAGTAAGTTACAATATCGTTAACTGTCTTATGTGCTTTATTGATACACTGCAATTGTAATATCTACAACTACGTAAACATCTGGCCTGAGCGACACGTATACAATTTTTGCACGTATTGTAGGCTCAATTGGATGCTCATTTGAAACTTCACGGAGAGAAATGGATAACCGAAGAAGCACGAAAGTGCAAACTGTGTAATAAACAGTTTGGTCAACCGGCTCTGTACAGGCTTCATATTCGTGAACATTACAGGGTAAGGGACATTGTTCGAATGAAATATATTTTGGTCATGGATCTCAGTTTTCTTGGTAACAACAGGCTGATTTATATTTCGATTTATAGTTACAGACAAAAATAGTGAAACAGACGAAGAGGGGAGCGAAACACAAGACAATGTACAAATGTACGATATGCTTAAAGTCCTTCCAGAAGCCAAGCCAATTGATGCGTCATATTAGGGTTCATACGGGTGAAAAACCTTTCAAGGTAAATCCATCTTATCCTTCTGTAATCACGATTCGTGAGTGCCATTTTAATTGGTCCGCGTTTATTCTTGCAGTGCACAGTATGCGGTCGCGCGTTTACACAGAAGAGCTCTCTGCAAATTCACACGTGGCAGCACAATGGTATCCGACCGCACGCGTGCGAGCTTTGTAACGCAAAATTCAGTCAGAAAGGTAATTTCGTAACTTGTTTACGGTACATGTTAATTTCTACTAACGCATCGTACTGATTTTCAACGACGTATGCATGCACGTTTGAGTCGCCTTGGAGGGGAGCGCAAATACGTAAACACACGTTACACAGATAACATTGTAACGCGGAAAACCCGGATCGAACGAAACTTATTTCGTTGCATTATTATAATTAGATTTTGCTTTTGCAAACAGTAAAAGAAAACTCAACGTTTTTGATTTTCGGTTCAGACGACAAAGATCGACTCTAAGTAACGTTACTAATAATTTCATAAGTATGGGTCCTTCTATAAACAATATTACGCGTTGTAAATTTCAAGTACCGTCCACCAGTGACCACCATGGCAGTCGACGCGTTAATAAATACACAACAGAGCAAAAAGAAGTCGACATTCTTCCTAAAAAAAAAAAAACCAAAAAAACTTGTTTTGTTGCGTTAACTGCATGTTGTTTCGATCTACTCGTAGGTAATTTGAATGCTCATATAATGAGAGTCCACAACGTGCCAGAGGGAGAACCTATATATGGATGCAATTATTGTTCGTGCGTATTTAAAAAGCTTGGCAGTTTAAACGGTCACATGAAACGCATGCACATGGATGTGAACGAGGTAAATTGCGAATAAAGCTTCGTATTACGAATTCATTTTCATCGCGATACCACGATACGGCTGAGCGATCGGATCGATGACGGGGTACGCGATTTTCAGGAGATCGTCACCGTCGACGACGCGGAATCGGCCGACGCGATGGAGTCCGACATCCGCGCCACCGTGGACAACGTTATGACCCAACTGGCATCGTTGGAGTCGAGCGTGAACGAGATAAGAAAACCGACGAACGTGGACGCGAGCATGTTGTCGGGAATGGCGACGAAAAAGGATATCTTGCAGCAGGCGTTGAAAAACAGCGGTCTTCCCAGTAAAAACAAAACCGTCTGCGAAGGTACGGTAAATTTACTTTCACTTAGTACTCTTTCGTTTATGAAGCTTATCTGTCGAAGGTACATTGGAAACGAAGAAGCTCGGGACTCGTACTAATTTCGTCACCTTGTTGGACCGTGGACCGGATGGCGGCACCAGGTAAACAACTCGACGAGTTCAAAGAAAATCTAATCTCATTCGAGATCAACAAAATTTTAAGCAAATCCACGAGGGGCAAAATGGGGTGTCGATTTTAAATAAAGTCCCCCGTTTGTATCGTACACCGTCGTTAGATTATGCGTTTGTTTATCGTAGAAAATATTTGACGATAAAGCAACGTTGCGTGGGAAACGCGAGGTGGTACGCGTGCAACTTCTGTCACAAGGAATTCAAGAAACCGTCGGACTTGATACGCCATTTGCGCGTGCACACGCAAGAAAAACCTTTCAAGGTAAAGACATAAATTTAACCCTCAACGCTCCGACTTTTAATCGTGAACATCGACCGGCAACTCCAACTTATTTTCATCATATTTCGACCTGCAAGTTTTTAACCAGTTACGATGACGGGTATAGTCGTCAAACACAGAGTATGTGTAATATAAAATTAGGTTCCAATAAAATGACTTTTATTTTTTTTATTTATTTACTTAAATTAACATAAATATTTTGCATATGAACGAAAAAAAAAAACATGAAAAATCAATTTCTTACTTTAAGTTGCTGTTAGAGAATGGTGTTGAGCAAAGCATGGTGCAATGTATAATGAATATATGAATCCATAATTGCTTCTGTGATGACTAATAAAAGACAACGATACATTTACGAAAACTAATTCGTAGTAAATTCAGTTTTTTTTATATTAATTATTTATCATTTTTATTTGTTTGTTTCATTTCGTCTCGACCTCTAAAAATTTTAAACATATTAAAATTTACGAATATAATTTAGTTTTCGCCAAAATTACAATTTAACCAGATAAGTGTGTTCGACGACTATATCCGTCATGGAGATGTAACAGAATTTTGTGTCATGACGACTATATTCGTCATACGTACAATTTTGTTACAATTTCATATTTAACCAGTTAAGTGTGTTTGACGAGTATATTCGTCATGGAGATGTGGTAGAATTTTGTGTCATGACGACTACATCCGTCTTTGAATGACCTTAAAATTATTATTTACACGTCATGCCACAATGACGTGTAAACAATAATTTTAAAGTCATTCAAAACAGTCTTTATTCTTCTCAGAAATAATATAATTTCGATCACAATATTTATATTAATCATTATTGAGTAATGTGTGGAATTTTTTAAAACATTCATTGGAATGCAAACTGGATTTGTCATTCAGAGGTTTCACTTTAAAAAACTGTTTCTTTTTTTACCACATTACTTCCTTCTGCTGAACAAACAAGATATTTATTTTTTATTTGCAAACAATTACCGATAACGACCCAAAAATACATTTGGAGCAGAGTGCTGCGTATCTGTGGTGCCAGAGAGGCACACTCGGAGCGTTAAGGGTTAAAATAAAAAGAAGGAAAACAAAAATGAAATACAACCTCGATTAAAATATTGTCGTTCGTGAAGTAAGATGCTTATATGTTTCTTTTAGTGTGCACACTGTTATCGTTCGTTTGCTTTGAAGTCTACAATGATAGCGCACGAACGCACCCACACCAGTACCAAAAGATATGCTTGCAGCTCTTGCGATAAAACATTTGCGTGCCATGGTAGTTTAGTTGCCCATACCAGGTGGATATTCGTTACGTTATTACTTTGAAATTGTATAGGTGTCACATGGATACATATGTATACGTGCTGGTTGTAGATTGCACGCGAAATCTAAGGATTATTTCGGGAAAGCTGTTGGCAACGATGAGAACGTCAGTGTATTAGACGTTTCCTCTAACAACAAGCCTAAAACCCAGTCGAAGAGCAAGTCAAAGATATCGCCGGAGGCGGAGAGTCTGGTGCGCCAAGTGGTGTTGGAGGAACCATTGGTGATCAGCGACACTGGTAACAAAATCTGCGTCGCTCGGGTACCTTCCAAGGAGAAAAGAGCCTTCGACGCGGCGACCGATCCAGCCAGACCGCACAAATGTTGGGTGTGCCAAGCTGCGTTCAGAAAAATCAGTCACCTGAAGCAACACCATCGTCGACACACTGGAGAACGTCCGTACACATGCACCAAGTGCGACAGGTACATCTGCATCCTATCAAAGCCCTAATTACCAGTATATTTTGAGGTACCATAGAGCACCAAGTTGTTTATCAATCGTTTCAGGAGATTCACGTCGAACAGCGTCCTGAAGTCTCATCTCCACACGCACGAGGATTCGAGGCCGTACGGTTGTTCCATCTGCAACGCGAAGTTCTCAACGCAAAGTAGCATGAAGAGACATCTAGTTACCCACAGCAACAAAAGGCCGTACATGTGCCCGTATTGTCACAAGACGTTCAAGACTTACGTAAATTGCCGGAAGCATATGAAAATACACAAGCACGAGTTGGCGCAACGGGTACGGTATCTGCTGTAGAAAAGTTGTACCGTTATCGACGTTCAACCATCGTTTTCTTTACTCCTGACCCTATAGCAATTGGAGGAACAAAAGAGCGGAATGCGTGAACGTGACACGGACAAGATGAACGCCAGAGAATGTTCGAAACAGGGAACAGCTACGGGGACGTCTGGTTCCCCGTCCGATTTCACAGCTACCAACACCACTGCCGTCGCTATGGCCACGTCTACCGCGACAATCGTCACGTCTCCGTCGTCCACGTTCTCTGATAATCTTGCACTGTCTCGTCTGGGGCCAGTGGAGATATCTTTTCAACCACATATGGGAACAGACTTCTCCCAAGCTTTCCCCGATCAATTTCAACAGGTAACCGGGGACAAGGACAGAATGAGGTCGCTTTTACCAACAAGCTGCGACACTTCGACAATCATCAACCGTACGTACCCAAATTTCTACAGCCTGGGACATTTGGGATAGATCATCTGAATAACTGATTTATTCTATTTTAAAAAATGACGAGATAAATAAAGTAAAGGATATCCTGGAATTGTCCTTCGTAACCTAGAATTTGCATTCTCTGATTGCAATAATCTTTTCTGTTGCTGAAGATAAGCAAGTTATCGAGGTGATCAAATGTCCCATCCTTTAGACTTACTGTTTTGACGTCGAAGGACTTTTTCTCAAGATGTATTGGAATTGTAATACTTTTCAGAGAACATGTCGGAAGTGGCGGTAACGAATCTTGAAAATTCGCAGATGTTACACGCTGACGAGGCTGGTTCGGTTACGTTACCCGTTTATTCTACAGAGCAAGCTCTCACACCGGTATATATATGCACATATGTGTGGAAAGTATTCTGTTTGTCCTGACGACTCTGAATATTTTCCTCCATGATACGAAAGAGTATCTTGGAATGATTGTTTCGAACGGTGAAGTATTGTGACTGGCAAAAATATTGAGGTTAAGTGATATTTTTGTAACACTGAGTCGTTGGTCCCGAATGTGTTAGAAAAAGTAAATGAGCAATGAGAATTTTGAGAACGATCAACTGGCAAAAAGAACTCATAATATTTGTTCGTTCGAAGTGTACAAAATATTCCTGAAACGCTTCTTCGTTCCCCCAAAAGCAGGAGAAATATTTAGAATCGTCATGATAAGACAACGTGTTAAGCTACGAAATCTGAATCTTAGTCAAAAACCTGCACATTCTACTTGCAGGAGAGCATACGAGAAATAGAAGAAACATTGAATCAGCAGCTGTTTAACATGGGGATGAATCTCAGTCTAGGCAGTAATCATTCGAAGCATTTAAGCGGTGCTAACAACGATCTTGATAATTCGAAAGAACAAGAACAACCTGTGTTGAATGTTATCTACGAGAATAACAACAACAACAGCAGCAACAATATGGAGTCGTCCGGGGATCATGTGTTCGCGTCGCAGTTAGACTCGTTTGAGATGGATCACATCACGTTGCAAGTAAGATGATAAATTGAAGCAAGGTCGTCGACTAGCGATGGTTTTAATTAATATAAGATTACTCAACTGTACACGTCGTTGTGGTTTTACAAATTCATGGTTTTAATTCAAAGTACTTGAATATTTAAAAAAAAATGTCTACCAGGCGGACACTGAAATTGGCCTGGACAGTATCGGATTGAATGCGAGTAATTCGACGAGTATGGCGAGTATCCTGCCTAGAACCGCGAAGGAGGAACACCGTCTCTCCGTTTCCGTTACGTCGCACGAGAATATGAACAGTGACCAATCTGGTAGGTGTATGCAGACGGTAGTGCTCATTTCGGAGCAAACTCTTTCAGGCAAGGAAGGTACGGCGAACGAACTGGAAATGGAAGAGACAGATAGAGATACTGGCCAGGAACGATGCACGATCGATCGTATACTCTTAACGTAAGTCTTCGCTGTTCCGTCACGCTCCTCTCTACTGTTGTTTTGTCACATTATTATGTAGGTAGAAAGCGGTTCCCTACGGTCCGATATAGGCAGACGATGAGCGAATGAATAGCAATTGTACGGATATGATTTGCGTAGAGAAGAGTATCGAGGAACGACGCACGATTCGAAGGTTCCGTTAAAGGTGCACCCGATGCCGTCCGAGATCCCAGGAACCATCGATACCAATCAGAGCCAGGTATCGCCGGGAGAGTCTCTGTTGCAGTGTCATATGTGTAGTCAGCAAGGATTTACGGCAACCGGGCTAAAGGTATAACAGACAATCCTCAGCGTCACGATTCATGTAAATTTCTCGACCACGAAACGCAGCAAGTGTATTTGTTGATCTCAGGAACACTTGAAGATTCATCGTGGGACGAAGGAGTACCAGTGTACGGAATGTTCGTTAAGGTTCTGCACAAACGGTGGACTGAACAGGCATTCGAAGACACATGTGAACAAACAGTAAGCATTCGATTCAGAGTTCGAGAATTAAAAGGAAGGGCTGGTTCAGCCATTAGCAATTGCAATCGACGCTGTAATTTATCTTCGTTTCACAGACCGTGGAAGTGTCAGTCCTGTGATAAGTACTTCAATAATAGAACACAGCTTCGATCGCACAGCAGGATACACGAGACCTCGACATGGAACGCTATTTCGTCGGAAATGAACACCGCCGCTTCGGAAAATTCGGTTTCGTCGGAGATGAGGACGGTCGTAGCTGCTGATTCGTTGCTGAACGATATTGTGATAGAGCCGGATTCCACCGTGTCCGAGAGAGTCCTGCTGGACACGGTAGCGGAGAAGGAAGTGATGGATAGACTAAAAGTGAGTATAAAATCAGACTTAATTGGTCATTCTTTGCTAATTTTACACTCTTCTGAGGATGATTCTGATAGTTGAACAACCCTGGGAAAAATTTTAATGGGAGATTCTAGGAGTTAAAATAAGACTAAAATCAAGAATACCAATTTGTTGATGGAGGCTTTGTTAAAAAGTTATTAACAATTAAATTCGAAACTTTCAAATCGTTCTGGAAAAATTATTTTCGGTTGCGGGGGTTAATTATAAACATTTTTAGTGAATAGACATACCCTTGAAATGATACCCACTTTCGAGAAAAAAATTCGAGTAGGTACTGAAACTTTAAGACGAAATTAAAAAATTTCAAATCATATTAAAAAAATTATATTTAGTTACAAGGGTCAATTACAAGCATTTTTGGTGAATAGACATATCCTCGAAATCCTGCCCACTTTCGAGAAAAAAATTCGAGAAGGTATGAAATTTTTCGACAAAATTCAAAAATTTCAAATCGTTTTGAAAAAATTATTTTCGGTTGCGGAGTACAATTTCAATCATTTTTGGTAAATAGACATATCCTCGAAATCCTACTCACTTTCGAGAAAAAAATTCGAGAAGGTGTGAAATTTTTCGACGGAAAAAAAAATTTCAAATCGTTCTGGAAAAATTATTTTCGGTTGCGGAGTTCAATTTCAATCATTTTTGGTGAATAGACATATCCCCGTAATCTTGCGCATTTTCGAGAAAAAAATTCAGTACTTGCGGAACTTTAAATGTCAATAACTTTTTAACGAAGCCTCAGTTAAGAAATGGATATTCTTGATTTTCGTCTTATTTTAACCTCTAGAATGCCCCATTAAAATTTTTCCCATGGGTGAACACCCTGTATAAGTAGGGAAAAGTTATAAACTCATTAATGATATTTCACTAATGATAATAATATTTCAGAACGTTTTGATGGAGAAGAAGGTTCGAAAGGAGTATACGAACAAGTGCAAATACTGTCCAAAAACGTTTCGTAAACCCAGCGATCTGATAAGGCACGTACGAACGCACACTGGCGAACGGCCGTACAAATGCGATTATTGCAGCAAAAGTTTCGCCGTGAAGTGCACCTTGGACTCGCACACGAAAGTTCACACGGGGAAGAAAACGTTTTGTTGTCACGTTTGCAACAGTCTGTTCGCGACGAAGGGCAGCCTGAAAGTTCACATGCGATTGCACACAGGTGAGCATAAAATAATAATACATGGAACGTAACGCTTTACTACACTATTCTTATGTTCCTCAAGGTTCGAAACCATTCAAATGCCCTGTCTGCGATTCGAGATTTCGAACCTCGGGTCACAGGAAGGTGCATTTACTGAAGCACGCGCGAGAGCACAAGGGCAGTCCCAAAAGGAAACAGAGGCACATGAAAGTCGCCGCCATAGCGGAGGTCGTGGCTGACATCACAAAGTGCAACGACACGGGCGAGGAGAAGATGAACAGCTTTGCGCAGGAGCAGCAACTGCAACACGAGCAACTGGCGCAGACAGCCACGACAGACTACCCCCACTTGGAGACGATCAGCGTGGACACAGCCACTGCCTGCTTGGCCGACCAAATCACCTTCGACGCCGACGGTACCGCCATACAGAATGGTAATCCGGTGCTATCGGTAACGGAGGGCAATCAGTTGGTAGCGAACTTGAATTTCCTTCTGGCGAACGGTCTCGTCACCATTCAAACCGAGGAATCGTTATTGCCCCAATCCCCACCCACTATGTCTCACAATCGTTCCACGATGGTCACCGAGCCCGCGTGCGTGTCCACTCTGAACATCGCGTCTGGGAACGGGAACGACGAGGCCAAGGAAACCATTCACATAGGGCAAATGCTGAAAGCACAATTATCGCCGTATCAGCTCCAATCGAATAATTGTCTGTTAACCGTGGCAGCCTCCGCGCAGTTGGAACCGTTCGCGAAAGTCGCGACTCTCGAGAAGCCCTTGTCGACGCCGGGCAAACCAACCGCGAAAGGTAACTCGTCCAAGAAGGAGTGCGACGTTTGCGGGAAAACGTTCATCAAGCCGTATCAGGTCGAACGACACAAACGAATCCACACGGGCGAACGACCGTACAAGTGCGAGTTGTGCGCGAAATCGTTCGCTCAGAAATCAACCTTGCAGATGCACGAGAAACACCACACGGGTGATCGACCATATCCGTGCCCCCATTGCGAATATTCCTTCACGCAGAAAGGCAACCTTCGAACCCACGTGAAGCGGGTTCATCAGCTGGACACCGTGGACGCGAAGAAATTGAAACGCACGCGTCAAACCTTTCTCCCCAAGACGCTTCAGGATAGCTTCACCGAGTCGAAGAGTCTCAATTTGGATGATATATCGTTCGTTGAATTCCTCAAGTAACGGGTTTTCCAACTAGAGCAACGGAAGTTGGAATTACGAAATAAAATTGAAACCACGAAAGATCATTTTAATAATTTCAACGCGTTAACTGTGTATCTCTCTACAGTAAATTGAAAAGCACTGTCGAATACAAATTGCACATGACTCGATAACAAATATGTCGGCTATGATAATTCTTAAAATTCTATTGCTCTTATTAGGAAACCCTGTAGTAATATCCGGTCGAAGTACATCATTTTCCCTTTATTTTTGGTCGTCGACGGACAAACGAGAAGGGTACAATGTCGATCGAACGACAGAGACAATAAACTTTGACGTTCTTCCCTATATACGCTAACGAATGACGAGTCATTAGGTAGTTTGTGGTTTTCGCGAGCTAAAGTATTCGCCGTGTTCGATGTACAGAATACATTCGATTGCCAGTGTTTGTATAAAAATAAAAAGAAATTTGTATCATATAATACGCGTTTGAGGTTAGTTTCGTTCATCGAGCCGTTGATACTAGATCTACCGAGGGGGTCAAAATAACTTGTTTCTCGGATAAGAATTATCAAATCTAATCAATTACGTTTACTCGATCATTAAATATCTTATTCTTACTACGCTTTGCATAAAAAAAAAAAAAAAAAAAACTAGTCATTTTGACCCATCTAGGTACACGTAAACTATCGACAGTTTTAGCGTTAATGTTTAAAGTTACATTTTGTTTCAGTTGCTGGACAACCGTGCGGATGATTTGCATAGAACCAACAGGGTTTAAATTTCGTTTCCGGTGAGGTTCCCTGTTTTCTCGACCTCTCAGCGAGAACTCCCCCGCCACCTGGTATACGAAACTCGACCTTCCCTTGCGCGACCCGGAATATGTGTCTGTGATTCTTTAACAGAGTTTGTAGACCGCCGCATTCTTTTCGTAAACGTATCATGATGTCTCTTGGGATCGATTCGGCGATCTGTCGTAGATCGAGGCATCGACCAGCGTTCCACATTCTCTTCGGTGCATCCTCGACCGATATTGTACGACCCTCGTGTAGCAATTGATTCGCCACCATATTGACGATATCCGCGATCAACGTTTTGTCCAGTTGCGTGCAATTACGTACCTTCTCCACCGCGTCCCTCGGTTTGAAGTTACAGGTCCAGCTACCGGTATTTAGCGTCTCGTTCGTTTCGTGTTTCTGTCGCGTGAACGTGGTCTTGGCACTGATCATTTCCTGAATACGATTCTCCCTGGTCTCCGCGTCCTCGCGCCTCCTCTCCCAACCGATCAAGCAGATTCGTTTCGTCGAAGGAATTCTTAATTTATCGATATGCGTCTCGAAGCCGCATTCGTCGCATATACTTCTAACGTAATCGATATACTCCGCGTACTGGCTCTTCGAGGCGCAGTATCTTTGGTATTTAGTGCCGTCGAGCTCGTACGAGCAACAAGGCAACAGAAAGAAACGACAGTCGACGGAACTGCGGGCGGCGATCACTGGAATCCACGGCGTCAATTCGTCCGAATGGTTCCCTATGATCCAATCGACGCCTGGATAGACGGTCGCGGACGATGGAATGACCGTGTCGACCTACATAAAATGGTTCAATATACAGTGATGTACGGTCAACTTCCGCTAAAATTGCTGTAATTTCGTTGGGCGCATTTAGGTGTCGCGAACCCGTAGCAACAAAGGGTTTAAGCGAATAAGGGGGTCAATGCAGTGATGGACATTCGTGGGAATTTTGGACATGCGCATTAGAATGTTCCCTCGTGGGATTCCTTTTTGCGCGTGCGTTAGCTTTCTGCCATAGATGTATCTTCAGCGCAAAAAGAGGTGCATGTTGGAAATTCCCATGTTTTGTACAAAATTGAACTTATCGAAGATCCCCTCCGTATTTCTCTAGCTATACTCGTGTAGATTAAGAGGAAATTTTTTGTTTTTGCTTCCTTAAATTTTGTTCCTTACTGGGATCCAACGGTACCCTGAATACTAGTTAAGTGTATATACGGCAGTGATCATGCGCTCCAGTGCGCATGACCAAAATTCCCGCGAATATTCATCACTAGTCAAATGTGCCCTTGAACCAAATTTGACAAACGATGCATCCATCGATGGAGCATCAGAAAAAAACATTTTGCGCCAAATTTCAACCTTCTATCTTGTTCGGAAGGGTAGTTATTGGGAAAATTCGGATTAGCAAATTTGTGCCTACTTCCTCTATTCAATCGAGTATGAAAATTATGAAAAAAATCTGGTGCATTGTGGTTATTGAGATACGTGTTTGAGAATTTTTTCCGATTTTTCGACTCCAAATTCTAGGCGTGAAAAATTAAAAACGCAGAAAAATACCGTTTTCGTATTGAAGCTTTCGAGACACTAGATTCATATAATTACTGTAAATGTATATTGTCGTCGGTTATGTCCCTGAATTTTTTCAGATTTTTTGGCGGGACGTGTCGTAGTAGCAAAAATCAAAAACCGTTATTTTCTGCGTTTTTAATTTTTCACGCCTAGGATTCGGAATCGAAAAATCGGAGAAAATTCTCAAACATGTATCTCAATAACCACCATGCACCAGATTTTTTTGATAATTTTCATACTCGATTAAATAGGGGGAATAGGCGCTAATTCGCTAATCCGGATTTTCCCTCTCGAACAAGATAGAGGGTTGAGATTTGATCCATCGTTTGTCAAATTTGGTTCAAGGGCACATTTTGACCCCCTCATTCTTCTACGCCCTTTTCTCCAAAACGAACAATTTACGTACTTGCAGTGGGATTTCGGGCGGATAGAAGTCCCATATTTTTCTGCGCCGCAAGTCGATCCCTAAACCGCGGTGACCTTCGCTGAACAAAATGTACACGAGCAAACCGTTGCCGCATCCCAAATCTAGAAACGACTGTTTATCCTCGGTCCCCTTCTCCAGTCTCTCCTTCTCCCACAACAACAGCAGATAAGCGGCGATCGCGATGTCTTCGTAAACAAACTTCATCGGGTCCGTGTTCTCGGGCCAGTTTTTAATCAGTTCCGAGCTGTACCTCTCTTTCAATTCGCAGTACAACGTCGCGTATTTCTCGGTCGACACCAGACTCAACGAAGAGAGACGCACCGAATTCGGCTTGGGTTCGCTTTTCATCCATTTCAACATACACGGGAAGAGCTTCTTCTCCAACCATTCCATGCTAGGATCGTCCTCGGCATTTTTCCGCTGGTACACGCTCACGGTCGTGTAACCGTTCTTTTCCAGCTGCGTCATGTACGCCTTTCCGGGCCCAAGAGACCGTTTCTCCGCGCAAAAGGTTTTGTGAATATTTATCACGCGATTCTCTTGCCTCTCCAACAATGTGAACTCAATGCCGGGCGAAAATAAGTGCGGTATGCGCGGCAATTGCTTCGTCACGTACAAGCAAACTCTTTTGCCCGACGCAACGAACGGTTCGTCTGAAATGCGTAACACGTCTAACAACAGTTTTTTATCGATATCGTCTACATTGTGTGTTTTATTTAGTAACGTATAATCCAAGTTATTTATACGGTGGAAAATATCAAAAATATCGTAGCCAAGTTCTATATTTAATATTTCCACGCACGCTAACAGTCGGCGATTGACAACCTGAGGGTTACGGCACCAGATGTCGATGGCCTTCCAGAACTCTGTCGCGTTAGCACCAGTTTCGCGACGTATTAACGTCTTAAACTCCATTTTTAAAAGAAACGCAGCTCAAGCTTCTCTACGAGGGTAAAAAACTGAAAGATGCTCTATGGTAAAATCAACTTCTCTGTCTCTTATTTCTCCTTATTGATTTTCACCCCCTCGGCTTTGGTATACTAAAAAGTAAGTGACAAAGTAAATTATCGTAATCGTATGATACGTTGAAAGCCTATATTACTTAAGTTAGAAATTTGAGACACCTTTTTGATTATCCAATCTGCATCCTGTACTGCTTTTTCCATGATTTGCTGAATGCGTTCCTTGTCTGGTTCAATTATGTGTTGTTTGTAGCTCTGCGAACAATGAGAGTTTCTTATAGTACACCAAAAAAAATACTTGAATGCTTTTGAATTTTCAAAATATTTTCATGACAATGATAATAATTTCAAGTTAAAATTTTTAAATGTATCTTTCGAAATGAACGAACAGTAAAATTTTTCCCCGAGAAATCATTATTCGTAGAAACGCACATATCAAATCGATGACATTTTAAAGAATCAAAACGGTCGAATGCCTTCGCGAACTACGATAAACATATTGTATCGAAGAGGTTATGTTATGCACGATATTTTGTTACTAGACGCGACCACGTGTTTAAATCATGCCTTAACCATTATTTTTCGGGAAACCTTGTTAAATATACCTGCTTAATCGAATGTTTATAAAACTGTTGCGCGTCTTTCGGTAACCTTCCACATTCCCTCAATAAAAATTTATAAAGCAGTTTCGGTGAATTCAGAGCTGTTTCCCGTAGCTTTGCACTAGCCATCTCGATTAGAAGTTGGAACTAAGAAACAATTTGAAAAGCAATTATATATGACGCAACTCGTTATCAAAAACAATGGACAGTAATTTTTTAATGGAGGATCCAAACGCAAATTGAGCTGGGAATTTGCTCGCGATTCAAGAGCTTTTTTAGCCCTTCCACGTTTCTATTATTTGTTTCTCGTTTTGTCCCGAACGTTAGCAGGAAGGAGGTTGTTCCCAAAACGTGGACGCAATGGATTCCAATCGATGGACGAGAGCAATATCGTCAAAGGGCACGCGCGTTGAGGTTGCATTTATTATGCAAATTTTTGTCACGGTGCGTATTTTATACATAATAACGTAATGGCAACGTAATTCGTTCGATAAAAATATCTTTTCACGCTACCTTGAACATATATCGTAACATATAGGTAGAAATCGTTTGGCTGGGTTTGGGGGCGTTTTGGTTTAGCGGCGCTGCTTGGCATTCTTCAACGACACTATTGGATCATCGTTAATGATAAGGTTAAAGCGTTATGATACATTTATGTCGACACGCGGCGTGTATTTTATCAAAATACAACGGACCAAGTGGCGTGGACGCAATGTTGGTACGACATAAAAACAGTGGGGAACACCCGACCGCCGGTATAATCGGTAACGTTGGCATAAGCACCTGTCAATTTCATATGATTTTATGGCGCCTCGCGAATATGTTCAGCGAGTCACAAAATATTAATGCTTTGTTTCTCGATCTAATCAATTTTATTGTTTACAGTGGTCGGGGACGAAATTGTGAAGGCACAAGTGAAAGATACTAATTCTTCCTATGCGTGCAGCTTGCTGTACAAGTATGGAGTCAAAGTTCAGAAAGTTAGTTCTCACATGCGTTTGAATCGTCGATTATGCAGGGTGATTCGCGTAACTGTAACAAACTCTATCTTTGTTATGATAGGAGTAAAAGATATACAAATATTCGTTTTAAGAAAACATCAATGACTTTTGTACGACCACCATACATTTGTAGACTCTTTTTTTCGTTGCGTGAATCACTCTGTATACATTGCTACTACTATCGTACACTTAGCATTTTGGTAAATTATACTCTTACAGATTTCAGTCATACGAGATGACATCGAAAACATTGCAAAGGAAATCAAAGACTTCTCCCAAAAGTTTAACTACGTTTTCACAACCGGTGGTATAGGACCAACTCACGACGATGTCACGTACGAAGGTAACTTACAGTTTAAGAGTACGTGTATAGGATAGTATAGTCTCCGATACGATTGTAATTTACAGCTGTGGCATTGGCTTTTCACGATACGTTGCACTATCATCCGACATTGATGGATATTGTGAAGAATCGTTTTGGTTGCAAAAATTTTCCCTCGCCTAGTTATAAAATGGCGTATGTAAGTGGCGGCATTGTTGTAATTGTTTAATGGTCGAAACGTATTTATCGTCTTTTTCCAGGTACCGACCAAGTCCGTGCTTAAGTTCGGAATAAACGAGACAACGGGGCAAGCGTTCCCGTATCCGTGCATAGTAATGGAAAACGTTTTCGTATTTCCCGGATCGCCCAGGTTTTTCGAATCCAACTTTCAGGCTTTGTGCAAGGTAAATTTTGCAACACTTTTCAGCCATCTAACGCATTTTGGAGAAACAGTTTTATCTTTTTAGGAGTTTTTCGCTGGATACAGGGGCTTCACGACAACGGAAGTTTACGTGAACGCAAACGAGGAATCGTTTGCAAATATTTTAACCGCAGTCGTGCGGGAATGTCCGAACGTTTCGTTCGGTTCGTATCCGGAACACAGCAGGTAACAAAGTCAAATAAGAAAAGGGTTAAATAATTTGTTATTTAATCTTTGAGAAAAAGTCTTCTATCTAGATATCTAGTAAACGCATCAAAAAAAAATAATGCAAACTTTTCTTTACTTTTAATCAGGAAATGTCAACAAAGCGAAATCGCTTAAATCGTAGTTTCGTATTATGTGTTTAACCGAAAACTTTTTGCCAGTGTTTGCACGTTGTTTTCATCAGTTTCAGAATTACTCGAAACACTCTTTTGTAGATATTACAAAGCTCGCGTCACTATAGAAAGCGAGAACGAGAAAGACGTCGAGGTAGCGAAAAAAATGTTTTGCGAACGTGTCCCGTCCGATGTGTTGGTGAATTACGATCGCGCGCCTCACACCGATTGTCTTGCGAAGTACGAGAAATTGCTTCAGCAGCCTCGAACTCGAGCTATTTACAAGAGTTCCTTCGAGAAATTTGTGTAATGCCTCTTCAACTGGAAAAAAGTATCAATTGCTCGGATAGCTACAGTTGCTCACGAAAGTATTTTTAACGCTTGCGTCTAAAATTGTTAATGATTGAAACAGATACTTTAGATTCAACTTTTGAAACTAACGATATAACTGAAGTAAGGTAAGGGGCCCAAGGATGGGTTGGTAAAATTGTAAACAAACCCTATAACATAGAGAATTGGTAGAGCATTTAACGTAAATGTGCTTTTTATTGAGGCCAGAAAAGCATTTGAAGACTAACCATTTTTATATTATTTTATGTATTTAATTATGCTACTAATTATCTCAGGGGTGACGAAGTGGCGACTCGCGTTCTAGCTGTGACCCCTTCCTCCATTTTTCTGGTCTGCTCATGCGCAGAAAAGCTGCACTCCGCTATGCCTACTCTGCTCTGCGGAGTTGGGACGAAAGTTTAATAAACATATGTATAATAAAATCTTTGAAACAGTGTGACAAACTAGGCTTGTTAGAGAACGTTTATTTTCATCGAAATAACCCGAAGCATGATGCTCGAATTGTAATAAAGTAGATAACTGTGTGGTACACTTTACTAATTAAATACTCCACAGGAACCTGATATTAATTACATGTTACATTTACGGGTTGATGTTGGAAGAAAGTTTAAAATATATCAAATTAAATAATGGAAATATGCACTCTCGTAGCAATAATTATTTCAACGAAATAATATTTCCATAAATATATTAATTAAAATATTTGACTGTGAACTTCTCAGAACTCAAAAACTTATTTTTGTTTATCAGTGAAGACTGAAATCTTATTTTTGAAAAGATTCGAACAAAATTTTCGCGATCACGATCATCTTCTTTATAGGTTAGAAAGAAGAAAATATAAATGCCCCAGTAGATATAATAGAACGTCGGTTCGGGCACGCAATCGATGCCAATGTATTTAATTCGTTAACAAATTTCGAGACGCAAACTTTCGAATATTTTCGTGAGTAACTGTATGTTTGAGACTCCGTCGAGGTTTCCTATCTTCCTTTTTCTGTTTGCACTTTCAGAAATTATTATCAGAATCCCGACGAAGTCTGGATATATCTGGACGGCAGCGAGGAATCTGTTATTATGGTGCACCTTGCACGGGTCGCCCATAATAAACTAAGACAGAGTTCCAAGTCGAAATTGCATGCGTTCTACTTTAAGTTCGATCATTTAGAACCGGTTGTGAACGAATTTTTTCGAGATATTAGCTACAAGTAAGTGTGCGTCGCGGTTGGTTAACTGCATTTACCGAGCATGGCCGAGGTACCAATTTCTTTGAATTGATTTGGTCAGGTACGACGTCGAATTGTGTAGCCTACGATGCGACGAGATCGACGTACGTCGATTGATCGCGTCGCGGTCGGAATTAAAAATGTTGCTGCTTGGAAAACGGTCGAACGTCAACGAAAACGAAATCTACGAGAATCTGACGCGGGTCAGTAACAACGCTCCTGTGCAAATAAATTGTCCCCTCATCGACTGGACGGACGACGATGTCGCAAGTTTCGTTGCGTCTCTCTCTTTACCTTATTACGCGACAGGTGAAACTCAATTGGCTCGGTAAGGAAGAAAAATTATCACTTTATATGCATTCGTGCGCGCATGCGCATTGTTTCTCGTTCCCCGCCATCGGGCGTTTTCACGCACACACGATCACAAACTGTTTTTGTAGGTAGGAAATTGATAACAAACGAGGAAATCTGACGGGGGATTCGCAACGTGAATAATCGCGCATAATTCGAATCGAATTTCGTAATTATTCGTCCATGGTCATCGCATTGCAATAAATAACCGTGCATACAATAAAGAGGAGAATAAAGTTTGAAAATAGCTTCCATATTCGAAGCTCTTTTATACCGTGGATTTTTAACCGTCTTAACGCTTTGTCAACATAAACTCCAATAATTCTTGCAATCTTTCCGAGATCTTCCTGATCGGTTGGCAACGTGTTAAAATTTATAAACTTCTCTTCGTCGAAGATCGTGAAAGATTTTATGAGGAAAAGGTATTTTAGGTTCCCTTATAATAGTGTATTGTATGTATTACTTGTCCTATGTAACAAATGAGTAATGTACAAAATGGTATAAACAAGCTTAATTTAACCTTGTATTTATTCGTGTGAAAATTTCAATCCTACGTTTTGGTCCGTTTTTAGAATTTTAAACTAATAGGTATGAACGTAGATAGAAGATTATGTCATTTCATTGTATAAGTCAAGTTCGATCTTTACATCTTGTTTACGCCTCTGCTGATAAAAAAATTATTGAGATCGGATCGTGGGCCCCTACGAAACTGAGCAACTTTGGTCCGACAGTTTCTTTCTTTTTTCTATTGTAAAGTGCAAGCGAGTTATTCGGGTGACCTGTTTTAAATGCCCCACCCTGGAAACTTGTTCCTACCTAAGAGCAATCATCGATCGAAGAATAGTTCGATAAAGTACGTACGCGCAAGCAGCGATGCAATTGACGTAAATGAAACGAGAAATCCTTGAAAACTTGTGTACAATACGTATTAAACGAAAGAAATCTTCCGGTGTGCTCTTATTAACTGATAAGAGTTATGCGTGGAAAATTCCAGAGATACGTCGAGTTACGTGTAGGTAACGCGTTGCGTGTGTACGTTTCGTACGAATAGAGAAAGATTTTTCTACAGTCGTATCAGCGACTTACGTCATTTTTAATAACGGCACGACAGACGTTTGGTCAATTAGATTCGTATTCACGTGGTTCGTTTTCTGTACTTTGTGATCATGAATATAATTGTACGCCCCCTGTCCTCTTTCACGCTGTAAATGATATTTAGATGTAAAACTTTCAGACGAACTTGTTCGAATTAATTGATCGAGAAGTAGGAAGCAATACACACGGTTAGGAAATCCTTGCTGATCACGTGACGATAGACTTCACACAATAGATTTACGAATTACATAACAGATGTCGCGATTGGTATACGTAGATTCCAACAGCATGCAATCTCGATCGTTAGAACCGAACATTTCCGAATGTCTTCGGCGTTAACCTTCCATTGCATAATGTACTCGGATTGGAAATCTAATAAAACAAATCTGTAAAGTTCGTTAAGAAAATTTTACGCGATTCGCTGATTACAGACTGAGTATCCGTCTGTAAATGTCGGGGCAAATGTGTGATAAGTGATTTTTTTTGTTTGTAACCTTTTTTCAGTCTTGGAAGGTCAACTTAGTTTTTTTTTGTCTAGTTAGCAGAGGTCTTGTTGGAGTCTTAAATGGTAGAGTATTTTCCATACTACCAACGTGAAAGACAAAATTTATCGGATTACATATGTAATTCTGAACATCGAACAGGATCGCTGATCTTTCTTTGACTTGTCAAAATATACGTATGCGTGACTTGTAGACAAAGTATAATTTGTAAAATATGAACTACTAGGGCGATGTCTATCAGTGGTTAGGACTGTTTACTATGCAGATTACTATTTTACAAATACGTAAAGATTTCTGTATTTTCAATCGTTTACGAGACATTTATGAATGGACATATTGCACACCCGGTAGCATTAATTAATGCACGGACGCATAAACAACCGGAGAAATAATATCTTTTCTGAAGTTTGGCAAAGCGGGATAAAATTCATGGGATAGAGGTTTAACAAGATTTTTGTTCGCGCGCATAATTGCATTGAATTCGTTAGATGGAGGTTCGAGGAGCGAGGTTAAAACGTATGTCAGGTACCCGAGAATCGTGGGTGGGTGGTTCGTTGAGCTCGAAGGAAGAGTATCCAAGCTCGTATTACACATTTTTCAGTCGCCACGGCGGGGAAGAAAGAAGTAGGGAGGGTTGGTTGTCGAGGGGGGGGGAGGGAGGGAGTCGAGTCGAGTCATGGAGGAGAACCGTTGTCGGCCCCTTCCATCCTTTTGAAATTTCATTTCGAGTTAAAGTATTTCTAGCTTTTTTCCTTTGAAAGTTTAAAATGAGAGTGGGTGGTAGTTGGCCGGTGGGTGGCTGACGGGGTTCGCGGCGGGGACGGGCGGGTGGAAGAAGAGGTGGAGGAGACGGTGAAAGAGGAGGAGGAGGAGGAGGAGGGGGGGTCGGTAGGCGGAAAGGCGGAGGGAGTAGAGAGAGGGCGATAAGGTGGGGAATGAATCGCTACTATCCGAGCAACGCCCATGGTTCTCTGCAGTTCACGGGCCGCATACCGTGCGCCACTCGACACTTCCACAGTCTCGAAACTTTCTGTAACGCGGACTATTTTTCATATTTTCGATTATCTCCGGCCAAGGGGTAGGCCAGATGCATCCAAGAATCACACATTTTCTCCCCCCCGCGGCCCGCCGAGTTACTTTGCCTTTTACCTTTGTTCGTTTGCCCGTTATCTGCAATTCTCAACGTTTCTCTCTTTTTTTTTTTTTTTTTTCTCTCTTCTCTCCGTTGATCAACGAGTTTGCGCTCGAAACTTTTCCGCGTTTATTTCACGCTGGTTACTCCGATCGAATTTTTTCCCCCCCGATCTCGTCCGGTTCTCGATGCGTACGCCACGCGTCCCCGGTCGGCGCGATAAGGAAAACCGGTTTCGACAATGGGTGGGAAGAAGGAAGACCGCGCGATAGAAATGACAAATAATGGTAGCCGCGATTGGTCAAATCGTGGAGATCGACTGAGGCGAGGCACGGCCGGGGCAAAGCGAAACGGAAAAAGGAATCGCGCGGGGATGGAGAAAGTTGGCCGGCTCGAAGAAGGAGGGCGGCGGGGTGAGGGGGGGGCGAGTCTCATATTTCACCGGAGTATTTCATTTGAGTTTGAAATTGATTGCGTGGTAGTGGGGTGGAAAAGAAGTCGATGGCACGAGGCTGGGAAAATATAGAAACTGTGCTGATAACTGGCTGACTGACTAGTTGGTCGGCTGGCTGACTGATCCAACCGACCGACTGACCGATTGCGAGAACTTGTTCGATTAATTCGCTCGCGAACCGATTAATCGTTCGAGTTAGACTCGACGTCGTGCCAGTCGATTCTGCGTTTAGTTCGACTCGAATTACGTCAAGAAATACTTGGACGTGTGTCGATCGGAATGGGACAGAGGCTAACCGTCAAATTTGATCGATCAAACTCAGAATTTGCGTACGGTAGATGTGTAGTCACTGTCATAATATTTGATGTTTTTTCTTTAATTCTGCCAGCCGGTTGGCTTGTTTCTTTTCGATTTGCAATCGCTCGAACTTTATTGCGGATATTGCTCGAAGGTTGAAACTTGTTCAATTTTAGAAACATCCAATTACGCCGGTATCACAGTTAAAGAAACCACGATAACAAAATTCTTTATAAATTTATGGCATTTATTGATTTAATTCGTAAATGGCAGAATAAAGGTAGTGTGTACGTGTAATTTGTTACAATTAATGTATTCGGTTAATACATTCGCTACCACCATTGGAAGCCAGGTATATTAACACTAGATTTACGATAGCCGATTCGACGGATGTCAGATTCCATATTTAAAATTGCAGAACGCGTAAATATTATTTTTTCACAATATATATTGAATTTGTCTGATTAGAATAGATATTCTAATTAAAAGAAAAATTGTATTTTAAGGTAATCGTCAACATGAAAGGTATCAATGCCCATAAATCTAGTGTTAAGAGGACAATTTTTTAAATAAAAGTAGCACTATTAGGAGGTTCATAAATTAGTAAAAAAGCGATCGAAAACAATATTTCCGGATAAACTTCATAAAATGAAAAATAAAGAAATTAAATTTTTCGTCAAGGTTCCCTTTAACGTTGCAAAAGTTTTTGTAGTCGATTCGTAGCGTTGAACATAAATTAATTTTACACAGAAAAAGTTACATATCGATCGAGCGCATCGACGCTAGAATTCTAAAGAGTATCGAAAAGATGGAGTTAATCGCGTCGGCTCGCAAACGGCTCCGGTGTTCTTAGCCGGGATCGATGCACGTTCGCGCAAAATTCCATCGGAATCGGCTTCCGTCGGGCCGCGATGCTCCCTTGTCAGCGTATCGCCTGCGATCAGATAACGGTAATACAACGGGTTGTCCGATCTCGAGCGTAACGGTCGGTCGTGCCGGGATAATCTAAAAAGCACGTTTGGCGGTGGCGAAGTGGTTTCGACGAAAGGATTACACGCCTCGTTTTTTCGCGCTTATTCCGTTTTTGCTTCTCGTCCGTCGCCTCAGTTTCGCTCAGACTTTGTGTCCCGCGCGGGCACGGAACTCGAGCTACGGGCGGCGTGATAACAGAGGATATTTGTACCGTTTAAAGATTGGAAATGATAAAGAAACGAGAGGACCGGCTGGTAAACGGAAAGAGTAGAGGTGGGGTGTGAAAGATCGAGTCGAGAACGATACGAATAGCGGGGTTGGTCGTTGCGTAATCGTCGATGAAGTCGGTGGCGAGATAGAAAGAACGACGGTGACGGTGACGGTGACGGTGACGGTGACGGTGACGGTGACGGTGACGGTAACGGTAACGGTAACGGTAGCGGTAGTGTGGCGTCGGCGGTGGCGGTGGTGGCGTCGGCGGCGTCGGCGGTGGCCCAGGCCGACGGCGTGGTCGATGGCGATGGTCGCGTGCTGGTCGCGTGCCGGAGGCGGAGCCAAGCCTCGACTCTCTCGCGTGCCACCTCCACCCTAAAGTTCGCGGTCCCTGTTGCACCCTCTGACACCCTCCCGGCCCAGTACGGCAGGGAGCTCTTCTACTCGACGCGCGACGCCCCTCGGTACTCTTTGGTTCCTCGCGTGTCTCCCCTTCTCTCCACCGGTACCCGAATCTACAGTCGCTTCCTCGTCGGTTATTGATTCCCTCGGGTAGCCGGTCCCGAAAAGGGTGCTAAAATGGGATGACTATCGAAAGAACGAAAACGGGAAGGTGCACGTAGAAGAGACTCGGCGATAAATACTG